TGCCAAATTCCTAACGAAGCTTGAGAAGCTCCATTCATTTGTGCACGAGTGGCAGCTTGTCGCCAGCCGGGAATACTCGGCCGCACCTTTGTACGACGACATCACAGCCATGACTATCGGTTGGCGTCGCCTTGAACTGTCGACATGGGCGAAGCTTCTGGATCTTGAGAAGGAGCGATGCGATGAGAATGTTAGCTCTTGGTGGTTCGTTGCATACGAAGCGCTTCTGGCTGTCCCACTGCAGATGGCAGAGTCTGGCGAGCAAGACATGAGTGAGCACATTCAGGGTGTCATCTCCACTTTGGAACAATTCTTCAACTCCACTTCTCTGGGTCAATTCACTCGTCGCCTCCAGCTTGTTTCAGACTTCCAGGCACTGCTCGTTGCATTTGCCAAGGACTATGCTTGTCTTGCGCCGCTCGTGTCTGCACTCAGCAATTTCTTGTCTCATTTCCGGCCCTTTGAGCCGTCGGTTGACAAAATCCTCCAAGAAAAGAGATCTGCCTTGGAGAAAGATATCAAGGAGCAGATTCAATTGGCCAGCTGGAAGGATGTCAACATTGTTGCTCTTAAGGCGAGTGCACGCAGGTCACACGTCAAGTTGTTCAAGCTCGTTCGCAAGTATCGTGAGGCTCTCGCCCAGCCTATCCAATCGGTGCTTGAACAGGGCCTTCCAGAATCTGAGCATTCTGTCAGCGAATCCCACGTCGAGGACAAAGAACTTCCATCGGCATTGTTCCCGGAAGTCTTACCCCTCTGTCAGTCAAACAAGAAGCTGTGGTCATCCAGAGCTCTTCGATTCCAGAACCCGGATGGCACAGCTCGCAACATGATGAATCTCTATACCTCCATTCCGTCCGACTTTGACATTGCGAAGGACCTCGAAGGCTTCACTGTCTCCATCCTTGACGCCATCAACGAGTTCAAGTCCCTGACCCCCAAGACTATGACCGAAGATAATAAAGATGATGTTCAGCATCTCAAGGTCCAGAAGCGTCGTCTCTACGCCGATACGCTGAAGCGTCTCTTCGAGATGGGCGTGAAGCGCAACGCGGGCACTAGCCTAATTGAAGCTCAAGTTTCCCTTGCCCAGGTGCTCTCCACCAGCGCTGCATTTGAAAAGTCTGCCACGGCTCAAGGGTCGGTTCGAAGTGCCGATTCGTACTTCCACAGGCTTCTCGATCTAGTGCCCCGCGCTCGTTTGGCCTCGCGCAATTACTCCGATGAGCTCAGCAATGTCGAAGTTTCCCGCAGCATGGGATCAATTGAGCACCTCTTGTTCATCATCCGACGCCAGAGAGGTGTCCTCTCCCCGGCACTATCTGATCTAGGAACCCTCAAGTCTACACTCGACAAGGCACGGCATTTGTGGACCATCGGCTCGAACTCGCTGGTCAAGGCCGGCGCCTCTGCTAGCGAGGAACTGTTGGGACTGACCCGAGTTGTTTCCTGGCTGAGCCCAATCCTTGGACTTGCATCGACCATCATTGACGTACATACCAAGTTTTCGGGTCTCCCGGTGTCCTCCCTTTCCCAAGAGTTAAAATCGAGGAGGGCTGCATTCGATGATCTCCGCCAATCGCTGCAGTCACAACCTTCTCTGCCATCTGGACTTGCCTCCACCATTCAGAAAGAGCTTATTCAGCGCACATGGTCATCTCTCTCCCAGCTCGAGGCTGATTTGAAGACATGGGTCCAAGATCGTCCTGAGCTTTCTTTCGCTTTGGAGCAAATTACTCCGTGGCTTCAGACTAAGAGCGTTCCCTCTGCTGGCCTGCTCGGAAAGGGCACCGTGTCAATTCAAGCGTTTGATGACAGTCTCCTGTCTGCCGTTGACAAGATGCTTGTTGGCCTGCAGCAATTGAAGGAGGTTCCTACCACGATCACTTTTGATGGTCTTATGACACGAAGCGACGAGTTCTTCTCTCGAGCATCCAGAGCAGTCCATCTTAACGAGATCACATCGTCGCTGGCCGAAGTTCTTGACAAGCTGCAAAATCTACAAGACAAGTCCTCCAGCGAACTTCCCATGGCAGCGGCTTTGGTTGCCAGTATCCTACCAATCGCCACAAAGTACTATCAAATCTGCCAGGACCTGACCGACCGTTTCATTTCGGTCCACCGGGAAGTCTGCAAGACTTCTTACATCTTGACCAAGACCTTCACGCAGGTAGCAGCCGAAGGTTTCTGTAGCCCTGCTGAAGCATCCCAGGACGAAGGCAAAGAGGGCAAGATGGAGAGCGGAACCGGTCTGGGCGATGGCGAAGGTGCAGAGGACATTAGCAAGGACGTCGGGGATGATGAGGATCTTTCGGAGCTCGCTCAACAGGCTCAGAGGGAGGATGCGGAGAAAGACGAAATGGACGACTCTGCTGATGCTGTCAATATGGACCAAGAAGAGCTCGAAGGCGAGACCGGCGACCACAAGGAAGAAGAAGACGATGAGGAGGACAAGGACGATAATGGTGAAGACGAAGATGACGACATTGATGAGGAAGTCGGCAGTGTCGATGACCTCGATGCGGGTGCCGTCGATGAGAAGCTATGGGATGGCGCCAACGACGAACAGCAGAAAGAGACCGAGAATGAAGAAGGAAAGGGCCAAGCCGAGGATGAACAACAGGCCGCTGCGCAAGAGCAGAAGAAGGATGGTGAAGAAGGTCCTAAAGGCGAGGAAGAGGAGGGAGATGAAGAGGAAGATGAGGAAGAAGCCCCCGATGATGAGGGCGAGGCCGTCGGCCGCGAAGATATGGATGTCACTGATCCCCAAACTAAGGAGGAAGAGACTTTGGAGCTTCCCGAAGAGATGCAGTTGGATGGTGATGATCAAGGAGATGGCGATGACGGCGAGGATGACGATGGGATGGATGACCTCTCTGACATGGGTCCTCTTCCCGAGGATGAGCAGAAGGCCGAGGAGCAGGATGATCAGGCCGGTGATGAGGATGTCGACATGTCACCCGATGACCAGGCTCCTGGTGAGGATGAAGAGATGGGTGAGGAGGGTGAAGAGACCAACGAAGGCGAGGGACAAGACGAAGAGAATGAAGCTGGTGGTGAGGAGCCGGAAGAGCCAGAGCAGGACGAGTTCCTTGCCCAACGGGATGACAACGAAACTGCCGGTGACGAGGTCGCCCCCAGCGATGCCGTGAACGGTGGACTTGCTGCCGACCAGGACCAGAACGAAGACAAGGGTGCTTCGGGCGATGCGCAGCAGGAGAGCGGATCGAGCGATCCCAATGCCAACGCTGATCAACAAACTGGTGCTGCCAAGGAGAGCGAGGAGAGCAAGCGCAGCCGAGATGCCGGTGGTGCTGAGGACTCGGCTCCCAATGAGCCTCAGATGCAAGCCTTCAAGAAGCTTGGAGACATCCTTGAGCAATGGCACCGCCGCCAGAAAGAGGTACTGAATCCGTCGCAGGAGGAAGAGGAATCGCAACCTCTTCCTCAAGATACCGACATGGCGGATGCCGATTTCGAGCACCTCAAGGACGATGACGACGTGGCCGATACGCAAGCTCTGGGCCAGGCAAATGAAGATCAAGCTAAGGGTCTTGATCAGAACAAGGGTGTCGAGTCCGAGAACCAGCCTGGAGATAACGAGGCTCTCCCCGATGTCTCGGACGAGCTCCAAGACTCTCTCGACAATCAGCTTCAAGACCAGATGCAGATCGACCGTGAAGCGGTTCCCACCGATAACCAGACTGCTGGAGCCTTCATCCCCGGCGATCGTACATCCTTAGACCATGCCGACGGAGCCCCTGGTGCCGAAGACGCCAATGAAGAGCTGGATGAAGTCGACTCGCAACTCGCGGCCATTCACCTCTCAACCACCCTCCCACCCCTGACCCCCGAGCCCGAAGCCCGTCGTCTCTGGTCGCACTATGAAAACGCCACCAATAACCTCTCTCTCGCTCTGACCGAACAACTTCGTCTCATCTTAGCCCCCACGATGGCCACCAAACTCCGCGGCGATTTCCGCACCGGCAAGCGGCTCAACATCAAGCGCATCATCCCATACATTGCTTCTCAGTACAAGCGTGACAAGATCTGGATGCGCCGCTCCATCCCCTCCAAGCGAAACTACCAAATCATGCTTGCCGTTGACGACAGCAAGTCCATGTTGGAGAGTGGCTCTGGCCAGCTTGCCTTTGAAACTCTAGCCCTCGTGGCAAAGAGTCTGAGCATGCTGGAAGCCGGCGATCTATGTGTTCTGGGCTTCGGTAACGAGGACCATGTCCGCGTAGCCCACGAGTTTGGCAAACCATTCTCCTCCGAGGCCGGTTCGCAGGTCTTCCAACACTTCAGCTACCAGCAGACCGGAACCAATGTGCGCAAGTTAATTGCCGATTCGATCGCCCTCTTCCGCGAGGCTCGCTGGAAGCGTTCTCCTGGCTCTAGCTCCGCTGATCTGTGGCAGCTTCAGCTCATCATCTCCGATGGTATTTGTGAAGACCACGATATGATCCGTCGTCTGGTGCGCCAGGCTCTCGAGGAGCGCATTATGATCGTCTTTATCATCGTCGACGCTGTCAAGGGTAGCTCTATTCTTGATCTCTCGCAGGCCAGCTTCGAGGCTGACCCTGATTCTGGCGGTGAGATGAAACTCCGCATGAAGCGTTACCTCGAGGGCTTCCCCTTCCCTTACTACCTGGTTGTTCGTGATGTACGTGAATTGCCTTCTGTTCTGGCGACTGCGCTTAAGCAGTGGTTCGCCGAGGTTGTGGATGTGTCTTCATGATCTACATTGAAAAGTGGATTTGCAATATTGGGCGTTATTTCTGTATTTAGGGCAAAGGCGTTTTGGCTACTTTGATGCATATGATAGATTACTTAGAATTAGTTTGTACATGAATGTGAACTACACGTTTGTTAAAACAGTCGTCTCTCTAAATACTGTAGTAGTTATTTGAAAGTAGTGATACGTAACTTGGAATATGCTATTGGTATCTGGTATCTCGAGAACAATGTGATGTAGTGCTTTGNAAAAAAAAAAAAAAAAAAAAAAAAAAAAAAAAAAAGCAGAGAAAAATGCGGGCTGTAGTGTGCTAAATCTACCACTACCATCCATACTTGGAACCTGCTTCTTTCTTGTTCCTCCTTCCAGTGGCAAAGCTCTCCTCCAGGGCATCCTTCTGACTGCTCGCCGCATTGACCAGCTGCTGCAAGGTATGCTTTCCGGGGGCAATGGCACGAACGGGATTATGCTGTGTAGCAGCCAATTCGGCCTCACTAATTGCTTGGTTCGAGGCATACTCCTTATCGGTGTTGAAGGTGAGAATTCGGGAGTCGACCGAGGGGGCATTGCGGCCGAAGAGTTGCCGGCGTTCGGACTTGGATAAGTTGAGGTCGTTGGCGATAGTGTCTAAGGAGGATGATACGGAGGCATTGGTTGGATAGTATGCTGCGTTGGTAGGCATTGAGTCTGGCACCAGCGCTGGGTCCGCGGACGCCGTCTCGGTCTCGGTGGTGTAGACCAAGGGCTCGTAGGTTCCTGGGGTCGCCGCAGCCGTCTCTGTTGCAGCCGTGTCCTCGGACGATAGCGAGAAGAGGCTGACTTTGGGTTTTGGTAGCGCCGGGGCAGAAGCTGATACTGTCGATCGTTCTGCTAAGGCCTCCCCCGGCGTTGCTGCCGCAGGAGCTGGTACCGAGGATGTAGGCTGAGGCGGGACCTTGGTAGTTATCTTTTTTTTCTTCTGATTTCGTGCCACAGACAGTGGCCGGAACATCATGGGGTTGCCTTGCAGCTTGACTTCTCCAGCCTCCGTCTTCGTCACGGGCAAATCTGAGGTAGTCGTGGATTGCTCCGAGCTGCCAGCGCCAGGATTGATCATATCGCCCGCACCAGCCTCATTCTCAAATGCCCGACTATTCCTCATCTCCGCATCTGCCGAGCGGTCAAACCCAGGCTCGGCACCCGTCTTCAAACTGAATATCTTGCGCGTGGACGCTATCGGTGCTTTCTTCTCGGCCACCCGCTTGGGCGCGGGCAGGAACGAGTTGAAGCCCGAGAATGCACCTCCGGCACCTCCTCCCAACCGGGCCTTTTTGCGCGCGGGGCCCTCATCACCGTCTCCGTCGGTAGGACCCTCGGGTTTCAGCTCCGGTAAAGCCACGCGAATCTTGCGCGGATTGCCGCGGTCGACCTGAAAGCCAGTGCCCACATCGGGTTTCTTAGATTTCTCGACGGAGGGTGGGGGGATGGTGTCTGGCTCGGCGTCAGATGCCTCGGAATCGGAGTAGGCTACTAGCGCCATGTTTGGGAGGGAGGTCGAAGGGGGGGGATCGGTTTGTTTGGTCACCGTTGTCGGTTTGTCCGTTTTTGAGTTGCTTCTGTCATCGAACCCATTCGGAGGCGGCGATAAGAATTACGTGGACACCCGAACCGTCAGGCACACATAATAGAACTACTTTTGGATGCCTGAACCTTGGGGCCGGTCAGTTTCGTAATCGGATTCGGACGAGTTTCCAATCGGACGAAAAGTGATGAACGAGTCGACTATTCGTCCAAACCCTAAATGACCCTAGACTGCTTTCTTTTTGAAACTCTCCCCGAATGCGAAGCCATTGAGGCTCGGAGGGAACGGGATGGCACCCTCGCAGAGTTGCAGAGTCGTAGAGTCGCAGCAGGCCAGGACACACCACTTCGTAACGTCATCGCCGTCATCCGGTTTCTCCGTTTCAACTGGTGCAAGACCAGCTCGTGAATGCTTATCTCCCGGTGCAAAGTGAGGGGAAGATTCAGAGCACGGACGATGTAGGATGAGATCGACCGTCCGGTGGAAAGGACGAAGTCAATCTCAATTCGGCCAGACAAAGGAAGTGCTCGTGCTAATTGACTCTCGTGGTTGAAAGAAACCCCCAGCCACGCACGTAAAACACGATCATGCGCCCCGAGGAGGCCAAGACTCGAGGGAATCACATATCAGTATCAAAATTGATGATCATGTACTATCATGTATCTACGAGGAATTATTTAATTCATAAAAAAAGGAGCCAGAATGATAGCCAGAGCATATGTACTCCGTAAATGATAATCACGAATGGTAAGGACCAGAAGAGAAAGATCAATGCGTCATTCTGCCCGCCCCTCCCCACCTTCTTTCCCTTCGATCCCCTCCCCCGACCATCTTCCCATTCCATGGCCCTCGCCCTCTCTCCCCCTTGTTGTCCTCCATGCCGAGCTTAGGAGGTCTGTTGAAGAAGCGGCGAACGAAGGATTCTCAAACCCTCGCGTCGGAGCTGCCTGCATCCTCCGAAACCCAGACCGTCCCCGATTCCCACGACTCCCACACCCACGATTCCTCCGAAGGCGCCTCCATGCAACCCGCCGAGAGCTCGCAAGCATCTCCGCAGCAGTCCAACAATGCCGCCAGCATTAATAACCTCATAAATACCCCTGCCAATGCCTCTCAGGCCCACGGCTCCGCCCAGCATTCTAATGCTGCTCAAGCGCAGGGCCAACAGGCCCAGCAGCAGCAGCAGAAACAAGAACGCACGACCAAGGGCAAGTACTCTCAAGAGGACTTCCTGCTGCAGCGCACCCTCGGCACCGGTAGTTTCGGTCGAGTTCATCTCGTGCAATCTAAACACAATCATCGCTTTTATGCAATGAAAGTGCTCAAGAAGGCCCAGGTGGTCAAGATGAAACAGATCGAACACACCAACGACGAGCGCCGAATGCTCAATCGTGTTCGACATCCGTTCCTGGTGACCCTGTGGGGAACCTGGCAGGACTCGCGAAACCTATACATGGTGATGGATTTTGTCGAAGGTGGTGAACTCTTCAGTTTACTGCGCAAATCACAAGTGAGTGTGCTCTTTTGCCCTTGATTGCTCACCCCCGCTTCCTTTTGCCAACGCGGCCCCCTCTTTGGTCTTCCCACACTCCCCGCACGCGATTCGTATCGCTAACATGGACCGTTTTTCTTCCTTTGCCACAGAGATTCCCTAATCCGGTTGCTAAATTCTATGCGGCGGAAGTCACGCTGGCGTTGGAGTACTTACATTCCCATCAAATCATCTATCGTGACCTGAAGCCAGAGAATCTTTTGCTGGACCGTCACGGTCACTTGAAGATCACCGACTTTGGCTTTGCGAAAGATGTGCCCGATATTACCTGGACGCTGTGCGGTACTCCCGACTATCTAGCTCCCGAGGTAGTCTCTTCCAAGGGTTATAACAAATCCGTTGACTGGTACGTTTGCCCTCGGATTCGTCATCCTCAAATCACCCTCACCCATTTTCCATCTAACTCTGTCATTAGGTGGTCATTGGGAATTCTTATCTTTGAAATGCTGTGTGGATTTACTCCCTTCTGGGACAGCGGGTCCCCAGTGAAGATCTATGAGAATATCCTGCGCGGCAAGGTCAAGTACCCGCCGTACTTGCACGATGACGCCGTCGATCTACTGTCACAACTGATCACGGCCGATCTGACCAAGCGTCTGGGCAACCTGCACGGGGGCCCTGAGGATGTCAAGAACCATGCGTGGTTCGCCGAGGTCACTTGGGACCGGCTGGCTCGCAAAGATATCGACGCGCCCTATATCCCGCCCATCCGAGGTGGCCAAGGTGATGCAAGCCAATACGATAAATATCCCGAAGAGACAGAGCACTACGGCATTGAGGGTGAAGATGCGTACGTTTTGTCTGCCCCACAGTGTTCTCTGATCACTCCGCTAACTTTCGCCTAGCTACGGCCATTTGTTCCCCGACTTCTAAGAGTGCTTGTATGATTTATGACGAGATGAAAGGCTCGCGCAAGGGCGCGAGATTTTGAACTTCGCACTGGGGCGCTCGATGGAGTCGCCGTGAAAAACCGGAGTGATCTTATATCTATGGAAAACCGTACCGATCTCATTTATAGCAATTGGACTCGAAGTTATGTTTCTTCAATCTTCTCTGTGGGATCGCTTTGGGTCTAAGGGGTGGTTATCTCTTTAGTGAATTCTTGGAACTGGCTTTTTTTTATTACTTTTGTTTGGTCTTCTTAATTTTTGTCTCGATATACAAGGGGGATTGGTCTTTGATTCCCTCTATATCCCGAACCCAAGATCTTTGGCCCTTAATGTACACGGGGCTCTCCGGCCGTCTCTTATTCGTACACGGATCCCTTCATTGGATCATCGTCATTTTCCGTCCCCCGCCGTAGTAGACATAACGTCACGAAGGATGGGCATGTAAAGTTGGTGAAGGCTCGAGTTGCCTCGTCTCTTACAGAGACAGACCGGCGACGTCGCCGCCCATCTTCTTCCGCTCCTCGTTCATGCGGTGCATGTAGCTGCGGCTGACGACGTTCCACATGTTGATGTACTTGTCCATGCAGCTGGACATGCAGGAGTTCTCCTTGGAGGAGAGGGAAGAGCCGGGGGCAGTGACACAGGCATCGAAGCAGTTCTCGTTGATTTTCTAGAGATCCGGTTGTGTTAGCACATGCATCAGGCGAAAAAGAACGAGCTCAAGGGCGAAACGGTGACGTACTCCGATCAGAGCGCGGGCATTGTTCATGGCCGCCTCCTGCTGAACCTGCTGCAGGAGGGCAGTCTTGATGTCCTCGTTGGACTTGGGAGTGCCGGAGCCGAGGAAAGACATGATGGATGGAGTTGTGGAGATATGTGAACGGGGTGTTTTTTCAAAATGACGAAGAAAGTTGGTCGAGAGGTACGCGGAAATCTGAGAGGCCGAGCTTTGAGTGGCTGGTGCGGGCACCGCCTGCGCCACAGGGCCAAATAGTGGACACCTTACAGTAGGAAGCATCACAAGACGGAGACAGTCTACACTTTATACCTTCAATTACCCACCCTTCCTCCCCTTTCACTCTTCTCTTTGATTGAGAACATTCGACTGCCACTCTCTCTTTCTCGTCACTCTTGCCCCATTTGATCTCCTTTTGCTTTTTACTTTGTTCTTCCTTTACTCTGCCGTGGGTACTCGGGGTCCTGGCGACACCGTTCACCTACTCCCCTTCAACGAGACTCGTCCCCCCCTCCCACCCCCGTTCGCTCCTTGAACTGCCCACCATTGGGCCCTTAATTCAACATAATGCGTTTTCCGAGCTTGTCCTCTCTGCTGTGTCTGGCCGGCTTGGCCTCCGTCCCCGTCAATGGCTATGCAGGTGACGATCCCAATATTAAAAGCATCCCGGTAGGTTACTGGTATTCTATGCGCATGCACTACTGAGGTACTAATATTTCTATGTTTCCCAGCTCCGAACCCACAGTCTTGCGCCGGTATGAGATCCCTCGAGCTATCTGAGCTTGGAAATGCTGTTTTAAGCAAGCTCCGTGTGAAAATGTGGGGGAATTCGACCTTGTTGACAAGCTGGATAGCCCTACCTTGATTCGGATTTCCAAAGCCGCTGGTTCGACTTCGGAGGAGATACTGTGATTCGCGCTGATAAGTAAGGCTATGACCTATGCTGCGTGAACACATTGGTACTAATTGCCTTGCTTGTAGGTATATTCGCCTGACTGCAGACCGTGCGTCACAGCAAGGTTGGATCTTCTCTCGGGTGCCTCTGACCGCAACCAATTGGGAGGTGAGACCTGATAAACCCCTCCCAAAGCCAATGCTATAACAAAGCTCATAATAATCTCCAGATCGAACTTGAATTCGAGGTCCACGGCAACGGTAACCTTCACGGCGATGGCTTCGCGCTTTGGCTCACCAAGCAGCGCGCCACCCAAGGCCCCGTCTTCGGCTCAACCGACCGTTTCGAGGGTCTAGGTATCTTCGTGGACACATACAAGAACAACCGTCCCGGAGTGTCCTTCCCCTACGTCATGGCCATGATGGGCGATGGCTCGACCACCTACGACCAGGCTCACGACGGCAAGGCCAACGAACTCGCTGGCTGCTCGGCTCGTGGCCTCCGCAATGCCCCCGTCCCTACCAAGCTCCGCCTTACCTATTTCCAGGACAAGTCCCTGACTTTGGACCTGCAGTACAAGACCGAGGATACCTGGACTAACTGCTTCACCCTCAACGCCGAGGATACCAACATTGCCATTCCCTCCGTCGCTTACCTGGGTCTTTCTGCCGAGACTGGCGAGCTGAGCGATAACCACGACATCATCTCTCTCAAGGCAGAGAATCTGTATGCCCTGAACCGCAACGCCGGTAACAAGGACTACGACGGTCCCAAGAGCCGTGGCCGCGGTGGTAACCGCTCCAACCAAAAAGAGTCCGGCAGCTGGTCTTGGTTCTTCTTCAAGATCGTTCTCTTCTTCGGTGCCTGCATCGGTGGTTACTTTGGCTGGACAATTTACCGGACGAAGTCTCGGGCCTCGCGCTTCTAAGGAGTTCTTGTGAACGAGTGCATGTCAGAATAAACCAAATCGACAAACCCCTCAAAAAGGACTAAAATTTGCGCCTGTCACTTATTTCCTCCCTCTCTCTCTCTCTCTCTCTCTCTCCCTCCTATCTGTTGTTTTCTTGGCTGTCGAACGATTGGGTCTTGCATAGCCTTTGATGTTTCTTTTCGTGGTTACTTTGCGTTGTTGAGGCAGTTCCTCTGTTCTAACTTGAAATGAATCCAGACATGATTAGTTCGTCGATTGCATTTTGGTGGTTGGGGACTCGTCTCCCGGATTGGACTTGACTAGAGTCGCCTTTTCTAATAGCACTCGGCGAGTCTTGCACAGATTATGCAAATAAGCCCCCACTGTTCGTGGTCAAGCCTCTACTTTGCTGCCTCACAGGAGGTTGTTCCTCGGTCCCCGAAGTACATCCGGCCCGTTCTCGGTGTTTTCAGCGGTCAGTGATGTACTTGGGGCCACTACTCCATCCGTTCTTTCTAGCTGAGACTCTCTTGGTAGTATACTTTCTCCAAAATTAGGTCCCTTACTGCCGAAGTCCACTTAACATGACCACAGCAAAATAACACCGGGCGTCAGCATACTACCACATGTATAGTGCATGGTAGCAATCCCAATCAGTCATGGCTGCCAGGGCCTCTCATATCTCACGTGGTAGCAAGAAGGGTATCATTAATTGAATCTAGACGGTACAAACGCTGCTCAAATGCAATAATCGTAATCGGTCTCATCAAGAACCTCATCAGGGTTCCCCAGGTATATCGTGGCCTCGACCACGACACACCAAGACGCTCAAGCCCGCACTCTCTCCTCACTCCACATCCTATCCACGATCTGAAAGACTTCCGTAACGCTGCGCATAACTTCCTCCTCAATGCCCAGCGCACTATACCGCTGCTGAATCTTATCCGGATGCCAACGCACCCGCTCCACCTTCAACGTAGCCAGTAAATCCTCCGTCGGCGCATGCCGCATAAACTCCTCCACCGAGTCCGGACTCACATCCCGCCTCTTCCCAGACTCAACGGGCCAGAACAGCAGATTGCGAAGTCGTGGACTCTCCCCAGCCTCGGGCTCGGCCTCGGGCTCGGGCTCGGGCTCGGTCTGGGCAACACCCTTCTCAACAACCCTCCCAATCTCCTCCCACCGAGCAAGATACTCCTTCCAAACCGCATCCCAATTCTTGCGCCTCTTCCTGTCTGCCCCGCGCCTCAGACTCTCCTCCATCGCCCGCTCAAACGCCCGCCGCTCCCTCTCTTTCTCCCCGCTGACCTTCTCCCGTCGTTTCGCCTTCTGCCGTTCCGCTCGAAGCCGCTCCTGCTCTTCGAGCATTCCCTCGCGCGTACGCTCCCACATCCGTGATCGGACGTATGCGGCGTACTCCTCGTCCGACATTTGTTCCAGCTCCCCGTCCGGACCCTTGGGTACTTCTGGAACGGCATAGTTGTGGATCGGTTGGCCGTAGACAGTTTCCCAGTACGCGGCGCCTTCGTCGTCGCCTAGGGCGTCGAAGAGGGATTCGCGGAAGGCGGCGCTCGGGGAGAGGGGCGTTGCTTGGGTGGGATCGGTGTCTGGTTCGCGGGAGCGGTGGTGTCTGTGTCGGCGTTTCGAGGCGCGGGATTCATCTTTGTGGGAGCTGGTGTGGGAGCTGCTGTGCCGCTTCCTGTCGGCGTCGTGAGAAGAGTGGTGGTGCTCTTTGTGGCGGCCGTGATGTCTTCGGCTTGGTGACGAGCTGCGTTTGAAGCGGAAGCGGCCTTTGCTTCGATTGGGGTTGGTGTAGTCGTCCGAGGGCTGTGCCGTTGAGGCATCGCCTTCGGGATGATTGGAGGTCATTCTCGAGGTGTGTAGTGTGTAAAAGCTACGCCATCGCGTGCCACAGGCTGCGAGGGTGTCGAGTGTGAAATGAAAATCGGTCGATTCGAGCGCAGTCGCGACTTAGTCAGGGCTTATCGGGCTTATCGGCTATCTTATCGGCCAGGGGCCGTGGGGCAAAGGTCAAGTCAAATAAAGTTAGAAGGAACCACTTATTTACAGTTTCTACAGCCAACTGTCACTCTGTAGGTCCATAATCCTCACAGTTCACGGGTATCGAGATTACGTAGATTATCAGAATGAACAGCGAACAGTAAAACGTCTTATCAGAAGTTCACGTTCATATGGATTCAAGATGCGCCTTATCAATCGCAAGCGCGAGTACTGTAGATAAATACCAGACCGAACACCACCACCATCCCAGATAGTGGTCTGCATTGCACCGATCCATAGAAACAGCCAACCAGGCTCAAATGATCCACCACAACATCATGTGCGATATTGCACCATGTTCTTCTTAATCTCATCAACAATCTCAATGGCCTCCAACGCGTTACGCGCTTCAAAATCGTACCGCTTCTGTTCCGTGGCATCGTTGCCTCGCAAAACGACGACTCGGAAACTCTTCGGATGGCGCCGACTGACTTTGGAACCAACCACTTCATTGAAATTGATAGAGCGTGTTTTGGCATTGGAGACTGTCTTTCCGGTGTCACCAGGCATGATATGCATGTAATCGTTGTCAAAGGTAAGAATGCGATGGTTCGTGGCGGTAAATGACATCGGTTGTTTGCGCAAGACATGGTAACGGCGATAGTATCCGCCGATGAGGTCTTGTTTCTGTGAGGATGAGGGCAAGTTGCTCTTCTTTCCCTTCTTAACCGCGGTCGGGTTGTTGCTTTCCACCATCAAGGGCGCATTCGGTGATGAGCTGCCTGGCGAGCCACCCATGGCAAGCGGGCCCACGCCGAATCGACGACGGACAAGGTCAAGCTCTGTGATGTTTCCTAACGCCTCGACGGTACGGTCCAATGGCGCGATGGTATTTGACCCCATCACCTTGAGAAGGTAATTCCCCTTGTCCAGGCCCCAGCGTTTGCACACAGAGTCCAGAATCTCTGCTATGTAACTGTCAGACGTCGTGTTCATGGTCATGACGTGGGCAGAAGCTTCCAGGTTGATGTAGCGAATTTTCAGCGTCTTCGAGACACCAAGTCGAGGAGTGGCATGAGAAACTGGGACTACGGGCCGATCGGCCGGTGTCAATGTGTTATCATTGAGTGCAGATGAAAATGGCTGGCCCAAGATAGGATTCACGCGGCCGAGGGTCGTCTTATTTGATGCAGCAGCCTGAACGATGGAAGCTGCTTGAGCAGCAAGGCTCGGCTTCTCCTCGCCTTCGTCCGGCTCGATGACCTGGCTGTACTGCGGGTATGCTCGTTCGTTCTCTTCGAACTCAGCCTTGGTGGCTTCTACCAAGGCAAACTCGTCGTATGGTTTACCTCGTGAGCGTCCTCGGGCCTTCGCTGCTTGGTTGTTGTTTGAAGTAAAGTCCGTCATAGGAAGATTTCGTGTAAGCGCCGGGAAGTCATACTCAACCTCGCCATCGTCGACCATGCGAAGAGCCCATCGGTTCACAATCAACTTCTTGCGGTCGATGGTTGGCTGACGCGCGTCTTCAGAGTATCTCCAGAGAGCAAGACCAATTGTTTCCGCGACTGTGATCAGAGCAGGATGCGAACTAAGCTTAGATTCGCGTATGACTGGTAAGTCCATTGGCTCATCGGGATCCGATGAAAAGGGGAGATAGATCTTCAGATAGAGTGGATCATCTAGACCCCGGCCATTAAGAACCATAAATTTCTCGACTGGGTTACTCGGTGCCCGTTTACGGGACTTGAGCTGTTTTGTCAACAGGCTAACAGGCTGGACTATGCTGATAGGTCGTGGGGGTGGGAGATCTTGCAACTCTGGGCCAGGAGTTTTGGATTTCCGTGGTGAAGCGTTGGAAGGCCCGGTTCCGCTGGGCAGTTTGTGCATTAATGCCATTGGTGAGGATGAATCGAGGGGACCGGTCATGCCAACCCCTGTTAATAGTAGTGAACCAGAACCGGCAGTAGCGTCGAATTCGGAGGAGAGTGCAGAGCCAACGGACTCGGCGCCCGAGTCTTCATCTTCTTCATGCAGATCTTCAAGCATGATACTATCAGCTCCTCGACTGCCTGTTCTCTCACGTCGCCTTCGAGGGCGCTCAACCACTTGATCTGTGGTGGAGAATTGAACCTGTCCCGGTCTAAACCCGTGTGATTCGATCTCATTGTCGGTAGACAAATCACTGCTTGTGGTAGTGTCTCGCCGTGGCCTTTGCTCTTGAGTCGGCATCGTCGTGCCCAGCGATCCTGTCCGATAATGGCCTGATAGGTTGTGAGTCGATGGTGACGTTATCATAACCTCCGGTCGTTCCCGCTGTTCAGTTGAACGGATGGGCGAAGAATCAGCCCTCTCTCGACGCACGGGCATCTTGGAGAACTTGATCTGGTCGACAGTACTGTATCGTGTCAGAAGGTCAGGCAGGCCGCGCATCGTAAGAACGAAATCACTCACTTTTGCATGTTCTCCCCATCATCGTCGCTGTCATCACTCAAATCACTGCTATCCTCTTCCTCGTCAACCTGGCGCTGAACCTCCAGATGGCGATCTCGCCTCCCCTTCTTCTTCCCCGTTCGCCCGTGAGTTCGTCGCCCTGTAATCTCCACATGACTTTTGCCAGTCACCATTCCTCCCTCGTCATCCTCGCCGTCTTCTAGGCCGAGGCCTTGAAGTTCATTCCTCGCTGCGTTGGCATCTCGTACGGCTAACCGGTAGTATTCCGAGGAGACGGCTGCCGTGGTGGGGATCGGAGGGGAATGGGTGCGTTTCACGTGGGAGTTCGCCGATGCAGTAGACCAGCCCGCGGCGCGGAATCCTGGAGTATTGAGGACGGAGTCGTTGACATTGATCAGACGATCTCCGATCCCGTCCTTGATCGTTGAGAGGTAGGTCGAGCGTAATTGCCAGATTGTGAAGCTAGGACTCGGTTAGTCTGCCATTGATCGCAGGGCCAAGGAGGGAGGGGTAAGACGCCCGCCTTCACCTACTCTTCATTGTGGAGAAGAGACATATTCACTGTCTCATATGTAGCTCAACCTCTCTTGGGCTACACACACCAATGCTGCGCGGTGGGTGGAGATCGCGTGGTGGTTGTTCCCGGTCAACGAGGGTGAGATCTGTCAGCTCTGACAGCGCATACACGCGGGGATGTAGGCTGTCAAGGACGAGCTTGGGTCTTTGAAGGAGCGACAGAGTGAGTGTGGCTTAAGCAGGACCAGCCTGGATGCAAAGGAAAGTAAAACGCAAGCCAAGGAGTCAGCGGAACGGCGCAGGGCCAGGGCATGGAGGGCGTGAAGGGTCGGAGGTTGATCGGTGGCGGTTGTCTCCGCAGATCACTTCCCCGCCCGCACCGCTTGCCCATGTCAACCTAGTATAACGACTGCTTGGCATGCCGATCTATAGATATCTTCGGGGCATTTTTTAAGAGTTCAAGGTGTGTTACAAGGGGGTTTTGTATCTACTTCTTTAGCAGTGTTGCAGCCAGAAAGGCCATAGCCAACCCAAAGGTGGTCGGTCCGTCCTCTGGTGTCCCAAACTAGAGGTGTCCCTGCCCTCGACCCGAGGTGAGATGTATATGTTTCCACAACATGACCGAGTCAATTTCACAAGAGAGGGCCGTTGATGTCTCTCGAATAGTCCATTGCTATCTTACAAATAAAATGTTGTGCACATTAGCAGTTTCAAAATTCAAAAAAAAGAGGTAGAAAGAAAGGTTTAGCTAGACATCCCTTGACCCTCCTCCATTTCTACCTAAGCCTAGCTCTTTCGAATGATGTCCTTTTGATAATCTTTCAAGAGAGCCCTTAGTAACATGTCTCGATTGATCTTCTAAAGGACAACTAATAAGATGACGCAAAAGTTTAGTCGAGGTTGAGACTCTAGACAGTCCACTATATATGTGCCTACTAGAACCGCTGCTCCGGATGCCCCTGGTGTCGTAGCATTTTGTACTCATCAAGTGCTTTTCCAGATCGGCTGAGAGTCAAAGTGTCCCGAAAGTTTCTTGTAGCACTATGAGTATTATTCTATATTATACAAATCCCCTCCAAAACTTCCACTGCACGCGATTAGATGCCACGCGCAACCTGCTCTCCGACATTGCTCACCAACACCCCTTATATGCTATTTAGCACTTGGCATTGCTAGGGACGTTCTTGCACTTTGAGCTGGTCTTGCCACCCTTGACACTGACGCTGTTCCAGGTCCAGCCAGAGCAAGCTCCCGAGGCACACAGGATGTACACGTTGGTAGCGCTGCTGTCAACGGTACCCTTCACGTTGTTCAGGGTGAGACCGGTGATGGGGACACCGTTGGTAGGAGTTCCAGTGGGGCTGCCGTTCTCGTAGTCCTGCTCGATCACAATACCATACTTGGAGATTCCGGACAGTGTGATATCCTTGTAGGTGACGCCCTTGACCGAGCCCGTCGCGCCGTAGACAGTCTTGACGCGGACACCTTCAAGCAGTATCAATTAGCGACCACGATCAATTTGTTTGGGAAACATCTTGGTGCGTCGTACCGTTCTGGGAGTTCTTGATGCTGCAGTTCTCAATGTTGACCTTGTTAACCGCGTTGTCCGATCGACCACCCACGGAGCCGATCGAGATACCGTGGCCTCCAGTGCACTGGGCTCCAGTGAAGGAGATATCCTAGACAATGTCAGCACATATTCCGGAAGAGCCTCACACTGAGTGGTACGTACCGTGCCCGAGTTGACTGCCAAGCAGTCATCCTGGTTGTGGACAACCGGATTGGTGATGTAGACACCGGTACTGGAGCCAATATCGAAGGCGTCGGTATTGTGGCCGCCCTTGCTGTCACCATCGGCATTGTTGACAGTGATTCCATCCAGGTTAAGGCCGTTGGCCCCATTGATGCTGAAGACCTGGACGGGGGAGTTCTTGATCGTGATGTTCTCGATCTTGGAGTTGATCAATTTGTGAGCATAGAAGAACTTGGGCTTGGTCTTGCCGCCGTTGGTTCCCTTTCCGTCCCACCAGCGGGCACCGTCTCCGTTGAGGACCGAACCGGAGGCTCCCTTGACAGTAATGTCAGTTCCGGAGACAGAGACCAGAGGACCGGACCATTCTTTGTAACCGAAGGTAGTTTCTCCCTCGAAGATGACCTAAAGAGCTGGTTAGTGGAAAGGCTTTCACAGGTCATGGAAGGTTTTGGTTTCTCACCGTGGTTCCCTTCTTCAATCCGGTCAGATCAAGAGTGGTGCCAGCGGGGACAGCCACGGAAGATAAGACAATAGTCGAGCAGGAGGTCTTGGAACTGATCGCAGAAGCTGCACCCTTGGAGCCGGAGAAGGTGCAAGTGGAAGCACGCTCCTCGAGAGTGGATGTGGCAATGACATCGAGTTCGGGGACAGTGTCGGGAATTGCTTGGACGGCAGCCGCACCGAGCAAGCCGACGAGGGCGAGTTTGAGACTGGCGACCATGTTTGAAACCTAGGATCGATTCACAAATAAAGATTGTGTTATGAAAGGATTCTCAAATGACCACGAGATAGGGGTTTCGTTTTATACTCATGCCACTATTTAGAAAGAACTAGATTAGGACTAGACCAGGGACCACTCAATCTACGGGAGAATTCCCTCGGTTGGATGGTGGATCTACAGAAAAGGCAACCATCAGTTCGTGCAATATATTGCTGACTCGCCTAGCCAAAAAGGGGGAGGACCCTGTTTCATCTTTAGCCCGGGCAGAAGCCCTACAGTGGAGAGGTAGTAGCTGGTATAAACAAAATTATCAACGAATGTTCCGATTGGTGGAGATTTTAATACCATGGGTTGCTACCAAGACTGCGCCTTTATTGCTTCACCGTTCCGAAGTATGCCAACATCCGAAGACGGCCGTGAAACGTGCAATCTACGGCCGTTCTACTGCGTGGCTGTTTCGAAAAGAGACATCCAGGGTCTTAAAGTGGGGATTCCGAATCTTTTAGTAACCATCCAACAAAAGTCGTTCACCGTACAGACCGCGCTTGCCATGATAGCTAGGGACAGCCTGCCATTTTAGGGACGGACCCGGCGCGGAGTGGATGCTCAAACGGTGTTTCCGCCGGCGCATCTTCGGGTAATCATTGAGCATCGCCTATGATGAGAGAGAATCTTCAGCCACTAGCCAATCATGGGCCGACATGCTGAATAATCTTGGCACTCCAGGACAGGACGCAAGAGTGTCCAGGTTGGTCCGAATCCGGTTCGAATCGGTGAAGCTTGGCGCTTTGACTGATTAGAGTCGATTTCCTTCCTTGAATAACGAGGGAATCCAAGCTAGACCGCGCCAGTCGGCTATTCTCAGTGCAATATATCTCTCGTTCGACTCAACCCTAAATCTACTTTCCATCACGATTGCATGTAAGCGCCCCTTGTACCTTTTCCTTGAAGAGGCTGGAAAGGTACCTGTTCAAAGCGGCATACATCACACATTCGGATAGATCCCTACTAGAATCTCTGTAGCAACTACAACTGGGTCCAGCCTCTAGCGGAACTGCTAATTTCACAGCAATCTCTCACGCTTCCTATTTTGGATCAACGCCGTTTAGAGATAAATGATTTTACTAACCTTTTGCTGCCTCAATTCCATGAATCCTCTCCGCTATTACTGTCATGAATTAGCTACTACTGTGCGACTATAAACAAAATCAAAGCCAATCCTTTCGCTCAAATACGCCGTCCGCTTTGTAGGTATTTGTAAGATCATTTATTATGACACAAGAGAAAATAATGGAATAATAGACGTAGACCAATCCAAAATCGAGACACTCCGATCTTATTTAAGGGTGTACGAGCACCTTTTCGCAAATGAGACAAAAGAAGTAGAATCCCTTCTTGAGTAATCCGTGCTCCAAGAGATGTTCCGAAAGCTCACTCTCGGCTGTTTCAAGTCCGGACTGACTTGTTGCTAGAGTGGGTATTTCAATTTTCACTACTTTTTTTTTCATAATCAACATGGAATAGTTTCGAAAAGTCGAGAAGAGACGTGGAATTAGCTATGTTTGAACTTGGGCATTCCAATCTTCAGCAAATAAACACTATGAATGCGAATTGAATGCATCGGTCTGTCCAGAATGGGCCCGTGCCCATGTGCTCATCTAGGGATATGAGTATAGTCCAGGACTGAAGCTGTTAGGTAAGGCCAGTGAACTGATACACACCCCGAAGTACTTACGTTTCTATAGATAAAACTAAGGAAATTATAGTACCGTCGCCTCGAAAGAGGTCTGATATATCGATAAAGCGGGTGCTATTAAACTAGGAGATGTGACTTGGCTAAGGGCGTAGGACTCGCGGTCGTCAGGTAAAGAGATTGTTGTTAATATCGTAGTCGACTCCAACCGAAGATCTAGTCCACACTCAAAGTACATAGTAAAGAGCGCGGAAAGTTGTTGCCAGACACACCGAGTTGAGATCTACCGTAACCACACAACGAGTGCAATGGAAGCGGGAGATCAAATCAAAAGCCACGTCTAGGTACAGAAAGGAGATAGAAAGTGCGACATCAAGTCGTCGAAGCCTCTGCGGTTTGGCTGTTCATTCAATCATCCCAAGCCCTCGTAATCGCAGCAACTGGAGAGAAAGTGACCATGAGCCACGCGTCTAGTCCCTAAGATTGAAGAAGTGAAAGAATACTGGCCAAGGCACTGTAGATTCTGATGTTCACATACTGAGTGGACCCGAAGCAAAATGTGAGTAACGACAATACTCTGTACTTTGTGAAAATGGATCAAGCTGTCTGCGCACTGCCGATTTCCTCGGGAGAGGTCGGGTCCACACGTAGACAGTGAAGAAATGATAGACTTTTTGCTAGTTTGAGAGATTACGTATATCCCTGACCGATACAGATACTCTTTAATTCTATTTGTATTCACCGCCTTTTGTTAGCCGCCCCGGTTGGTGGAATCTTCCATGTTTCGTCAAAGTAGAAGTTTTATTAGCTAGAAACTATTTACATAATTCACAAATATTTCCGTTCGGCTACAATGATAAGACGGACCCCACTTTTAGAGGAAGAAGACAGCTCATCAACTATGGAAAGACGAGAAGAACGAGGGTATGTTTAGCTACCGTCAAATAGTCCAGCCACAAAATCCTGGATGAATGGTAGCGTGGGCCGAGGGCTCAATTGGGCTCAATTTCAAGTGGGCTGCATCCAGCAGCTCCGATCGGGCAGGTAGGTGGCCCATCAACCGGACAAGTTTCTGCTCTCTCAGCCGATTGACAATGCTGCCAAGCTCTGATTGACGATTAAAGGTAATTGGCGCTGGGTTAGTGCCGTCTGACCACATTGATCGCCAAGGTTATTGGGCGGCTTCCGCCACGGCGTGTTCTGACCACGCGTCGGCATCGGTCCTCCACAAGCTCGAAACAGCTCCCAAGAGAAGGACCAGGGGAGAAGATAATCCCTCAGGCATGGGAGGATGACTGTGACTGCCAAACAGCGGCAAGAGTCTACCTGGCATGCCAGTTCTCAGTCTTAAAGAGCATCGACTCGTTCGAGATTGCTTCGTCTTGATGATCATTCCCCCCACACGATGTGACCGGGTTGATCACGACTAGGCGGATTTCATTTATCATGGAAGGCTGGTTGGTCTAGAGTTCTGCACTCTGGAGCGATCTGCGATTGGAGGGCGAAAGTCTCGACCATTCTCCGGGATGTGGGCCTCACCCAGCTACCCCAGACCCCGGAATTGGGTGGGTCCCTCCACATGACTTGACTGTCTCGAGATCCTTGTCATTGCGTCGAGCATGTATATAATGCAGGAGCCGTGTCGCCCCCGGGTGATAACTGTCTACTCGTCTCTACGCCCAGTCCACCCTTGACCATGACGGACACGCAGGTCAGAGACCGCCGCCCGGCCGACCTGGCTGGGCTCGATGCCAAACTTGGCAATGCTCAGATGAAAACTCTAGGCCATCTCCGCTTGCGAGATGCCGAAACGAACGAGATTATTCTCATCCCAACCCCATCATCCGATCCCAAAGACCCTCTCAATTGGTAAGGAGCGGCCCGTCCTGGTCATCGCCATTCTTTGATATGCTTCTGGATCTGATTATATGATTAGGCCACGATGGTTCAAACTGTACACGGCAGTGGCTGTCTGCTTTGCTATGATCCTGTGCAATTTCCTCGCCGCTGGTCCCACTCTCGCCATCCTGCAGACAGCGCAAGATTTCTTCCCGAACTGGAAGGAAACTGGAATGGCAAGCCCGATCGCCAAAACCGCGTACTTCTTCAATTGCACCGCGCTTTTCCAGGGTCTGGGCAATCTGATCTGGATGCCGCTCATCAACAAGTTTGGCCGCCGTCCAGTATACGTGACCGCGTTCACTCTATACACGATCACTGCAATCTGGTGTGCGGTCGGCAAAGGATACGCCAACTTCCTCGTAGCCAGAATCTTCATGGGGTTCGCTGCCGGTGCTGGAGAATGTTTAGCACCTGTGACCATCGCAGACGTCTTCTTCTTGCATGAGCGAGGAGTAATCACTGCGTATGTATATTCTAGTGCCACCATGCTTGGTTCTTCACTAATGCGAGCCCAGGTTATATACTGCTTCGCTGAATTTCGGAGTCGCGAGTGGCGCCATCGTTGATGGCTTCATTGTCAAGTACCATCCCTGGCGATATATCTACTATGTGGCGATTGCCTTGATTGGCGCCGTCACGCTGATTGTGTACGCGACTTTCCCCGAAACTGCGTACATCAGGAATATCGTACCCGATGGCACTGTTACTTCCCTGACCGCTTCGGGGCAGCGTGTTTATCGCAGTACTAAGAGTGAAGAAACGGGGTCTGCCGAACTTCATGAGGTAGCCCCCGTGGAGGAGCCGACCAGTCGCAGTGCCGGCTTCTTACAGGGCCTCAAACTCTACCATGGCAGATATACCCATGAATCTTTGTGGCAAATGACAATTCGCCCAGTGGGACTCTTGATCCTGCCGCCCGTTCTCTGGGCGACCCTGGTGATGTCCGTAACGATCGGCTTCATCACCGCGATCACCAGCAATGTTGCTTCAGCCTTCAACACTGCGTACGGGTTCGAGGCATGGCAATCGGGCCTTTGCTTTTTCGCAGCCGTGATCGGATGTATTTTCGGTATCGTCCTCGGGGGTAATTTCTCCGACTGGGTAGCGGATTACTTGACTCGACGCAATGGTGGTATTCGAGAGCCAGAAATGCGCCTCCCAGCTATCATGATCAGTGCCATCACGGGGCCGCTCGCTTTGGCGTTATACGGGTGCGGCATCCACTGGAAGATGCATTGGATTGTCCCAACCTTGGGGATTGGATTGAGTAAGCCCCACCTCCAAGAAAACTCCAGATTGTCTGGGGAACCCTCCCATGCTAACGTTTGTACAGTCAACTTTACTATCACCCAAGCTACAAACGTATCTCTCGTGTACACGATTGACAGCTATCGTCCGGTTGCAGGAGAGGTTGTCGTTACGCAACTCGCTTTCAAGTCTGCGTTTGGTTTCCTGCTGGGCTTCTACACGAACCCTTGGGTAGACACTCATGGCTACAATGTGGCCTACGGCCAGATGGCAGCCATTTGTGGCGGTGTTATCATTTTTTGGATTCCGTTATTCATCTGGGGAAAGAAGATCCGCGAGAAGACTCTTAGTTGGCGCGTCATGAGCTGGGTGCGATGGGACGATGATCGCGAGGTGGGAGAGTGATTTAATTTACCTACTAATAGTCATTCGTGTTGATGTTCGTAAAGAGAGGATGATTGCAAACATGTGTAGGAAGCTAAGTTCAGGACTGGGCGATGAGATCTAAATAAGCCACCATGGGGACCAAATACCTATCATGTGGCTACTAAACCAAATAATTTGAAACATCGCTTTTTGTCTAAATACAGTGTGTCAAGTTCAAAATTGGACTAGAATCGATAACTTAAACACCTGTTGATCTGTATACAATTGGGATAGTTGCTGTATCCATCAACGCGACACAACCTCGTCGACTCGACGTTCTTCACACAACACAGAGAATTAGGGTTGAACTCTACCAAGAGGAAATTGTGCGAGGTTTTTTCTCCATCGTCTACCAATAACCTTCCGGCCTGGGAAGGTGTTATGACGGCCTGTAAATAGACATAGGAAAGTATGCGAATTATTACGCGAACATCAATTTGATCAGCGTTCCCAAGTCCACGGTTCGGGCGACAACCAAGGATCGATCTACGTCGAGGGGCAGATTGAACCTCAATCCGTAAATGATCTGGATTGAAATCTTGCAAATATCAGAGGAGAAGATGCGACACAAAAAGGTAATATGGTAATGTAGTATAAATCATGCATCTTAAGCCTTGGCCTTGGCCTTTGTCTTGCGGCCCTTCTTCGGTTTGTCCTCGCTATCGTCGATGAACCCTTCGTCATCCGCGGCGGCAGCCTTCTTGCCCTTCTTGCCCTTGGCGGCAGCAGCCTTCTTCTTGGGTACACTGACGTACTTGTCCTTCTTCAAATCCAGCTCCTCATCTTCCTCATCGCCCTTGACCTCATCCACAACCTCTTCTTCGTCCGACTCTTCAACGACGTCTTCCACGTCAGGTTTCTCCTTGGATTCCTTCTTCGGCGCAATGACATTGCTCGCTTTCATGAATGGAAGCGGGTGGGAGCGTTGGTTGTAAAGACGTGTGAAGGTGGCCTTGGTCTGGGTTTCTAGCTTGACGTTGGATTGATCCATAGGCCCCAGGCCAAGCTCAACCATCGCATCAAAGTCATCACGCGTTAAGAAGTATGCATCCATAAAGTCGATCACTTCGTCCACACTCTCCTTGCCCTCGTCTCTGAGACGCTTGACGGTTTTGTCCCAAATCAAGGGCATATATTGCTGACGGATTTCCTCGCGATTGCCTGAAGTCCGGAGACGCGTGTGACCTTGGATCTCCTTCACGAAACGTGAGAGTTTGCCTGAAGAAATGAAGGTTAGTCAATGTATCTAAATCAAGCACGGAGTGGAATCTTACCCTGCTTGCTATTCTGGCCAAGCCAAGTGGTAAACTGTGGCCTCTCGCGTAGGTTGCCAAATACGAAACTGGCCGGTCGTACAAAGCTGAACATAGCGTGGGTCGGCATCAGACTCCACTGCTGTTGGGTTCCATGAATCATGCGGTCCACGAGATCTCCGTCACTGATACTTGATGCTGCCTTGTCAACCAATTCCAGTTCCTTTAGGTTCTTCTCCTTCTTATCATCGTAGCTTGTTGCAAGAGTGGGATAAGTGCGCAGGTAGTTCTCCTGAAGCATCAGATAGCTGAACTCGTGGTCGTTGAAGTAAAGTTCAGTCTTGTCGTTCAGTGTTGAGGTGGAGCTTGGTGCGAACATTTGAGCGTTGAGAATTTTGCTTGTGATATCCCATGGCTTGAGTATAACATGCTTCTCCCATGCCTTGGCCATCTGTTTGCCTTTGTCGAAATCGATGCCTGACTGATCATCCATGTTTGACAAGTCCAGCTTGATTGACGACAACATATTGATAATTTGTCGAATATCAGCATGTGAGCCGTCGACCAGAGCCTCCACCACAGAGGGAGGGAGCTTTATCTTCTCACGGAAGCATATGGTAGAAATTCTGGCACGAAGTTGATCTATTGTTGGGCGTCTGAACGGAACGTCGAAGGTGATGTGGTCAAAGGGCTTCATCTTTGGTAGTCGTCGCTCGTTGCAAATGAGGATAATCGGAATGTTGGTTTTCTTGACGATTGCTGCGACTGCACCAACGCCTCCACGGTCACCGGCTGACATACCGTCGACTTCATCCATGATCAAGACCAGGTTGCGCTTCTCACTTTCAACCTTCTTTCCTTCTCCGGCAAAGTAGCCTTGCAAAGACGTCGTGTCCAGAACACCCAAGGTACCATTCTCAACCAGTTTTTTGCTTCTGGTATCGCTTGCGTTGGTTTCAACGATATCATATCCTTCAAGCTTCGCCACCAGGTGTGCAGCTGTAGTCTTGCCAATTCCTGGTGGACCATGGATCATGACGGCACGATACACCCCTGAGCCCTCCGGCCCGGCCTTCTTGAAATTCCCCTTGGCGCTTTTGTGCCAATTCCGTAACCAGTTCTGGATTTTTTCGACAGCGGTCTTGTTACCGCAGATCATGTTGATTGAGGTGGGCGCATACTTGGTCGTCCAAAGTTGATCATCAACCGGCGGGCCTTGGGCTGGAAGCGGAGTTGGACCATTTTGCTGTGCCCTGGCCTTCGCTTTGGCTGCTTCCTGTCTCTTTTCTTCGGCATCAATCTCGGCAGCCATCTTTTCAACCTTTGCTTCCTCCGCTTTCTGCTTTGCCGCGTACTTTTCTGCGGCTTGCCCAGAGCCACCGTTCGCGGGTAAACGCCGGATGAGTTCGAAGAGACCGTCCTCATTGATTGTCGTGATGTTAAATTTGGCGATAGTCTGAAGCTTCTTGGGACCTGCATCGCTGCCGAGAACGACGTAATTGGTTTTGGAGCTAGGGGCTCCAGTCACCTTACCGCCATATTTCTTCACTAATTCCTGGCCTTCTTCGCGACCCAACGTATCAAGGATTCCGGTAAATACAAATGCCAGGCCTGCCAAACAGTTCTCGGCGCCGACTGGAAGTTCTTTGGTGCCAGCGGTCGGGGGAGTGCGAGAACGCTGCGCGCCAAACTGCCATTTCTTGGTCTCTCCATTCTCTGGAGGTGGCGAGGGCGGCTTGATGGTCGGGATGCTGTCGAAGATTGACTGGATCTCAGGGTTCTCCGTTTCCGGTTCCTTCTTCTTGGGCGTGGACTTTGGTTTCTTGGCAGCAGGAGAGGCAGTCGACTTAGCTCGAGATGCTGGTTTCTTCGTTTCTTGGTAGTCACCATCCTCATCTCCATCGATGAGGGCTTCTGACTTTCGCTTTCGGCCAGCTCTGGCGGCTTTGGGAGCAATCTTAGGAAGGTCCTCCATAACTACATCATCGTCCTCATCGAGAACCGAGGGCTTGCCTCGAGAGTTCCTAGCAGCCGCAGTTGCCGGTTTGACTTCTAGCACTTCAAAATCATCGTCGTCATCACTGTCTGCGGCGACGTAGTCATCATCCTTCTTCTTGCTGAATTCGCTTGCAAAGATGTCGTCTCCGCCATGACCCTCGTCGTCGTCCACGACCTGTTTGGTCTTCTTCGTGGCTTCTCGTGCTGTGGTTCGGGAGGACTTGGCGGGTGCTTCTGTGGGCTTCGACTCAGTTGAGGTCTTGGATGACCGGCCTCGCTTTTTGCTAGAAGCAAAATAGTCTGAGCTAGTCGTAGGTTCGCCTTTTGGTTCCTCGCGTTTCCTGTTTCAACATAGTGATTGTCAGAACAAATGAAAGTTGGGCCAGACCCAAGCGACGCATAATCAGCTTACGGTTGACTCTTCGGTTTTGTCTTTGGTGTCGATGGTTTTGCTGGTGCTACTTCCTCATCATCATCGCTATCGTCCACAACTTTTCTGCTCCCTGTCGAAAATATTAGTACTGGAGGTAGATTTGGATAAGAGGTTCAATCGTACGGCGTTTCCGTGCAGTTGAGGAATCCTTAGCCATAGAAAATCAAATTAGCAAGCTAAGAAATAATTCGAGACCAGAAAGGCAGAGACGAAACCACGTAGATCTATGCACGATGTGTGAGCTTACCTCTTTTGCGGGTTTGGGAGCATTGCTTGAAGCCTGTGTAGGCTTGCCTCCAAAAAAGTTTCGAATATCTGAGGGCATCTTGAATTCGACTACCGATTTGATCTGTGAAGAACAACCACAGACCAGAAAGACAATTGAGGATGAAGGAAGCTCCTGCCGCCTAGTGAGGCGACGCCGCCTGCGTGACGCGCTGGACATGAGCGGGCGACGTGATTGCTGACTAAGGAACACGAAAGGCACGTGCACAATACTTAGACCCAATGTGGACTAGTGCACTTGGGGAACTCGGACATCGAAAAGTGCCGTCGCCTTGCGCAAAGCAACCACAGTTGCTCGTTGCATCCTTGGTCGCCTTCCCCGGTCACAATGGGTCCTCAGAGAAAGATGTTCACGGGGCCTCTGTCGGCCTGCACCCGGCCAACATGTATGATTTTACCCCCATCGAGGCCAATGGCCGTCACGGCACGAAACTAACATTTCCTTGTTCAGGCTTGTCCGGATCGCTAGCTACCTTCTCTCTTGCACGATATTTCTCTACCACATCATCCACCCTGGACTGGCTTACTCCAAAGTTTGCCGAGAAATCCAAGTCCCCTAAGGGTCGCCCACACGTCGCTACTGGAGGATCAACTCGCGGAACAACAGTGGTGTGGGGAGACTTTGGTCTTCGCATGAAGGACCACGACCGTCGGATGCCGGCCTCGGCCCTCAAGATCGCAGAGGAAACGATCAAGAGGCGGCTACGTGGCATGAACTACAAGTTGTACAAGCGTGTCAGTGCCAACATTGGTGTCTACACTAAGGGTAATGAGCAGCGTATGGGTAAGGGTAAGGGTAAATTCGACTACTGGACCGTCCGATTGCCCGTTAGCCGAATTGTCTTTGAGTTGAAGGGAGATCTGCACGAAAAGGTTGCCCGGGAGGCATTCAGATTGGCTGGCCACAAGTTGCCGGGTATGTTTTGATTTACGTCACAATTTTGTTCTGTCACTGTGCATACTAATTATTCTCTCACTAGGTCTCTGGGAATTTGTTAAGAAGGATGACCCGCCCGTCGTCGGAATCACCAAACTCGGAAACGGCGTCACCCTAGAATCCCTCAAACGCGCCCGCAGAGACCCTCCTCTGGGAACCAACGCTCTCGAGAACCCGCCAAAGACCACTTCCTCCAGCCCTACCGCTCCTCAATAAATCGCCATACCCTCTCTCTCATGGCCTAGGCGCCCATGTCTCTCCTTGCCGATATCACCGTGCCAATCAAGCCCCGACGCCGGAGCCAGGTCCATACCCCTGCTCTCTCCTGGTTTTCGCGGCTTCTGCATCGAATGGGTTGTCGGAATTCCGATTTTCTGTACATTATCTGTCAGCTTTGTGCGCATCATATCCGAATCCTTATACGCCATATTTGGAGTATGATGCCTTTGTCGTTATATTAGGAGTTTAGACCGAAGGATACATGACTGTCAATTACCTTTGTCTTCAGCACATTGTCCCATTCCCAGCCTCTGTGCCATAGCATACTCGTCCTCGTCTTCTCCGTCTCCTGTGCCGTTCTCGTCCGAGCCCAGGGAGAACTTCTTTTCACTCTTAGTATGTGGCTGGCCCACTGTAGTCTCATCAGTAGCTATTCCCCAAATGCGATTGATCTAAGGTATACAAAAGCGGAAGGGCTAATTTACCGCCGAGTTGCCCGGTCGCCTTTTCCGGCGTCAGAGTAAATTCGCGAATGGATTCGTATCTGATTGACAGAGGTTAGCATCAATATATCATTGGTGGAAACTCTGGGCTCGATCAATACTGTGTGCTTTCCCCACCGGGTTCCATATCAACCAGTCTCGGGTCAGACATTATGTTCAAATTTGATGAATGTTGAAAATCAAATATCAGGATGTGCAGGAAGTATGCTTGGTAAAGCATGAGAATAATTCTGTGGCTTCTAAAGGATTCCTGGAAGCTGGCCTGGTGACGATAAGTGATGACGTAGGGTCCAACAGCCAATCCCCGTCGTTCTACTTTCCACGTCCGGAAACCATGAGGAGATAACTTCGTGTGATTTAACATTGTCAAGATATCAATCGAAGGCTAAAAGGCAAGTTCGGGTGCGCAGACTTTTACAAAAATTTGAGACAAAGTAGAATAGGCAAATGCTCGAATATTTAATGCGTAGCTCATAACAAGCAAGTAGAAACGCCCGAATCCAACTCAAAATGCCACGATGTGCCCAGAGATATCTGATAAAAAAAGGAATGGAGGCGAGCATTAGAGATCCAACCATGTCGAATCCCACACAACCTGCCGGTGCCCAGAAAAAAAACCGGACCACGAGCTGATGCTCACCGCGTAGTGTACAATCATCATTCATTGATCCATTTTCTGAAGTCAATTTCACTCGAAGTCCATGCCCATAGTCCAACTATAATCATGTCAGTGAATATTCATTTGAAGGAGTATTTTGCAATGGACCAACCTCTCGTAAATGCGCATGAACTTGGCAACGAAGGCCTCGAGGTGGAAGATCACCTTCTATATTGGCAGGTATATCAGCACCCGAACAGGTCGAAACTTTCTAAAATACCGTGATAACTTACACTACCAAGCTTAATTCGGTGCTCGTAGAAGGCAGACCATTTGATCACATCCGGTTTGAGCACGTCGTCAACTTTTGACACCAACATGAATGTCAATGTCTAGAAGAGAGCATTGTCAGTCATGCTTCGGAGGTCATATTCAAGATATATTCACATACCTTGAGGATCGTTGTCGGGGGAATACAATGCGTCAAAAGGTCATAAAGCCGTGCGCGCACTTGCAAAAGCTGGGCGGGTGTTCGTTCCCTTATGATGTCGTCTGCTGTGACTGAGATAAGTGCCTCCCAGTCAGGAGGCGGAATTGGGGTGCTGTCCGTCACTTTCTCGCTATCATGTCATGCCTGTAAGAGCTTGATCACCTATGCCAATGCACGCTTGAGGAGCCACTTACTTCTGCGCATAGATTGACTCGAACATGAGCAATGCACGGCGAAGATTCCGGCCACTCTCCTTCGCAATTCTCTTGTTCAAGCCATCAGCCTCTGTCCATCCCTCCCGCTTAGCGGCGATTCGCAGTGCGGAGCAAATGTCATTTTCAGTCGGCGCAGCTACCCTGACCAGCAGGGTACGCGAGCGGATAGGCGCAATGATGTTGGAAGTGCTGTTGGCCAGGAGAATCAATCGCAGGTTCGGGCTGTATTTCTCCATGGTACGTCTCAGCGCAGCTTGTGCGTCACGAGTGAGGTGGTCGGCTTCATTAATCACGACGACCTTAAATCGTTGCTTCGCGGACAGATCCACCTGTTGTGTCTGGGCGACTTCCTTCAACAATTCTTGAACCACCACGCGGTCATAATTTCCGACATCGGCAGGAGTAATCTCGAGGTGGTAGACGGACGAGACAATGTTGAATTCGAGCTTGCGGTTGCTCGTAGTTTGGAAGACTCGCGCGTCGATCTTGATCTTCTCAACACCGGGGCCGTATAATTCTTTGAGAGTGGCGATAATACGTGTCTTTTTGCCAGCACCCGATGGTCCATAGACCAGCAGATGGGGGAAATCTCCGCTCTGAGCCTATAATCAAAGAAGACTAAGTGAGAAGGTGCTAGCTTTACTGTAACCAAGGGTTTGGCCTTACCAAAGATCGGAGACGATCAGACAGGTCGGGGTGGTATGTGAGCGCATCGAGCGTCCGCGGACGCAACTTGTCGACGAGTAAAGCCATTATGCAGTGGATGAGTAGATGTGATGTTCTTGAGGTGGGCTTTAGAAAGTGCGAAATTGGGTGAACGCGTCGGGACCGCGCGCGCCTAATTAACCAGTGGTCCGTGCACGAATCTCGAAGAACTAGCAGCTTTCAATCGAGAACGCTCTTTAATTGTAGAGTCCTTGCACAGCGGTGATTGAGAATGTGTTTGTTTTAATCATATATACAGATTGAGATTTCTACCGGGTTTTGTACCTCCCGTCTGTTTCTAAAAAATATCGTACAGTCACTATTTTGTGGAGATGAGATATTGATACCGCAAATCCTCTGTCAGCATTGACTCGAAAGCTTGCTGGAGAGAATTAGGCCTTTCTTTGCCAGGAATAAGCGGGCCTGACTGCGTTATCATCCAAGGGTATAACCGCCGTTTTCCAAGGAGATTGCATCAGGACTGAATAGGCTTCAGAACTCCATTGTCATCGTACCTCGCTTCTGTTCTGGGTCAGCACAGTCGTAGAAGGTCAAACCCCAATTTCACTTACTGAAGAATGTATACGATAACGTGATCGTATCAATGCCCTTCATGGTCGGATCCGTTGCAAAATCCGGATCAATATAGAAGAACACAGGCATATCTACCGACTCGTCCGCATTCAGCTTCTGTTCCTCGAAACAAAAGCACTGGATCTTGCTAAAGTACGGTGCCACCTGGCCCGGGGTAACGCTATACGTTGCGACTCCAATGATATCCTGAGGGCCCTTGTTGGTCGCAGTGTAGAAAGCTAGGGCGGTCTCACCAGGCAGGACTCGGACTTCCCGTTGTTGCGGCGTGAACTTCCAGGGGAGTACATCAGAGACAGATCCGTTGAAGGTAATACGGAGGCGTCGGGAGTCGGTCACTGGGGTTACGCGCGAGGCCGTATCGCCGTCGCCGACTCGGTGGGTGAGAATTGGCTGGCCACCCCAGCCGGTCTGTTGGCAGATCTATATTCATGTGTCAATCGAAGCCTAGTGTGCATTTGCATGTCACTGTTAAAGAAGGGCAAGGCGCACCATTTTGTACAGAGGTACGGAGCCGTAGGCAAGGGCAACGGTTCCGAGGATCATACTGATTGTATAGTACCTGGTTGGGAGATGTCAGTTTATCATGAATCTTACATATCCAAAGAAAATTATAGATCATACTCACATAGTCGAGGTATTGCGCTGGTGCGATTGCGGTGTGTTGAAGGGTGCTGCGGAGGCATGCTGCTTTTGGTGTAGGGATGAATTCCTTGAGAAGAACCTCTTCTCTGCATCGAGAACCCCCCTTCGGAGGTAGAATGAGCTTTTAGGTATGCTCCCCGTCACCGTACAGCGCCCCCATGAGGGGACCATCCTGGAAATCATGGTTCTGGGGTTTGCAGAGGAATCGGACCACTTCTGATCTCGGTGATTGAAGGTATCCGCACCCTGCACGTGACGGTATTCTCTTATCGATAAGGTCGGGATCTGCATCAGACGAGACGTATATCTGATCCAAATGGATACTAATGTGGTATTTTTCTCATCAACTCGCTGGTTAAACGCTGCTTTCGGCCTCGAGAAGCTAAAAACTTGGACTGCATCTGCAAAAGACCCACCACAGTCGTTGGTCTAGGACATTGGTAGAGCTAGGATAAAGTCGTTCCTACAGTGCGATCGTGAAAGTCTCGGTTGTTTCTCCCCCAGTATGGTGGAACGGCCAATCCCTGGTCACATCAAATTATTTTCCCCATTTAACAAATCACCAAGCATTAGTAGAAGCGCCTTTCAGACAATGGTCTGGTTTCAAAGAGGCCTCAAAAGTGAATACTAGTTATACAGAACGCCGAATGAAAACCCGCCAACGCTGCCGACACTCGCTCAACGCTAATTCAATACACCCGCAGTGATGCGGCCAAAAACGCCTCGAATCAACCTCGGCCTTTCGCGAAGAGTGGTGAGAAGGATAGCGGCGCTAACCGCAAATGCAATGCGCTCGCGATGTTGATACTGAAACCAAGAAAGAAATTGCATTAGCACTCGTGACAATAAAAACAGTTGCAGCCGACCACGTCCCCTCTCTTTAGAGTTGGGAGAGGGTCTTCGCCTGCAGCAGTGTAACACAACGAGTGGGCAAGAAGAGGCTCGAACATACCTTTTTTTCATACAATCGTGGCAACACCGTGGCTACTGCCCGGGGTGCCACAAATAGTGCCAACTCCTGTCTCTTCCGTGCTTGTTCGACCAATACACTCCATCCACACATGAGACATCCCGCTCCCACACAGAGACCAGAGTCCCACATCAGCGGCGTGACTGTCTTCTGATCAAAGACCTTCGGTCCAATGCGTGTCCGGGCCAAGCAGACAGCGTAGTAGAACAGACTGACAAAAGTCGCAAGGAAGGCAGATGACTGAGCACCCTCGGAGATGGCCCGACCTAATACGGCCCGATCCTTCATTTTGCGTAGGCGCAATACGATCTGAAGTGGTATGTAGGTAGCACAGGCAATCTTGAAGGTTCTGGCAAAGCGGGACACCGCATGTATCTCGCAATTTGGGCCGCAGCCCATGTGCACCATTTCGCATGGAATTGGGATTGTCTTCGAAGGGTCGCCCCATACCTCAGGCCAACCAAAGTCCCTGCACATGGATTCCAAAAGAGGCGCTTGTCCGGTATCCTTTCCGTACACGAATTTCCCGCGACGAGCGCGACGGAGGGCCTCGATCAGCCGTGTGTCGACCTTGGCAACTTCCCCGATCCACTTTTCGTACGTTCGGGGTAATCTCTCGGGGAGATAGAACCATGCCCACATGACCACTGCTGCACTCATTGCAAAGACCCCAGCGTCAGCCAGACCAGGGACGTAGGACTCTACGATGGTCCAGCGGTTCTGGGCTTTGCGGCGGCGAGCCCAGTGGCTCCACGCCATACAGGCTACCACATCCATAGCTCTCGTGACGGTGAAAATGGTAAGATCCATCGTCCGTCCCACCAACTCCGGATGTGGACGCTCGAGGGCATTGGCCAGCTCATTTGCGGGCTCGACTTGCACGGATGAGAGTCTTCTGGCTCTGACATCTTGTCGTGAGATGGTGCGGTGCTTGTTCAACAGATCGAAACTGATCAATGCCGATAGCAAGGCAGTGGCGAATCGAATCAGTCGATTTGCCTTTTGAGAGATCCGGGTGTCACCTTGAAATAGGCTAGCTGCGATCGATGCATAGATTCTATAGAGCAGCACCGGAAACAAGGTCGATCCACCAATGAGGGCTGCGCAGAATGTTGGGAAGCTATTGATTCGCAGAGGCCCGGCGAGAACGTGAGCAAGCTGTGTTCACGGTTAGCCTAGGTCAAATTACAAATAAATTATGGTTCGAGCATGCGATAATGACGGTGACATCATGTATCGCGGGCTGGCTATCAAACTAACGTCTGCTACTAACCTCTTGAATCTTTTGTCTGAAGGACCAGTCCTGACTTCTAAGTCGTCGGACAAACGTGACGAGCTTGGGCGTGACTGATGACAGATATCCCAAAGCGTAAGCACGTAGGATGCTATAGACCGTGGGCGAAATCAGCTCTAACTTCCCAGTGGATTCCCACTCCCCGGTTTGAGAACGGCGCTGCCGCTGTACCCGGCAGAAGGTCGGAAGAACTTACGGCTTCAAGACCCGCATTCGAAAGTGCTTATCACGGAGACTTAGCCGGACTGCAGGTTCCATAGCGCCGGTAGCACCCAGAAGCTGATCCGCGAGGGGGTAGAATAAGCATCACCTTGGAGGGACACGACTAATCGGGGTGTCCAGGACTGCGTCCGGGACAACTTCGAAGGTGGGACAGGGAGTGCTTGTCCAATCACAGCGCCACTCGTTCGTGCCCTGCAGTGATGACCAGGCAAGGCCTTGTCGTCAAGGATGACGAGCAAATGGCAGCTGTCCGAAAGTTGGGTAGTATTTTTGACTTTCGGGATTGAGGGGAAGCAACCCTTCTGACAGCTGCACGATCGTTGTTCTCGTCTCCCCTACGATGAATCGTGGATCTGTGTAACGGGGGGGGGAAGCTTATGTAGGGGGGATATGTAAGAAGGTCGAATGGGGGTTGGACCTCGGTTCCTGATGGGGAAGTAAGTCCCCGCCGCGACCAGTAGCTACTTGCAAATTATAAGTATATTCAGGGGCACGACAAGTCGTGGCCGATCATCCGTCGTCGCAAGTTGCAGAAGTTGGTTGATGCGGGGCTCTTGGCTGACCAAGGGTCGGGGATGATTTAATAAAGGGCCAGATGGGGGAAGGATCGAGTCTCGGCGGACGCCATGAAATTCTCCAGATTCTCAAGAACAAGGCTGGGAGATAGTCGTTCCCCGAGCACAGACCTGGAGGAATACGGCTTGAACCAACGACGTTGGTGGGGGCCGTGAGAGAGATCTTGGGACACGACCGAAAAGAGTGAAGAGGCCGAGTAACTGAGCTGGGAACCTGAAAGGTACCCTGGATGTAGGCGAACTCAAGAATGGGGGTACTCCACGCTGGAGCCGGTCGGACTGGAGTTGTGAGTTTCGATGCCGAGAGTGTCAGGGCCTCGGGGCGGCTCCCCCGGAGTTCTGGGCTGAAGATACGGGCCTGGTACCGATCTCGTACCGGTAGTACCGCTGCCAACCGCTGAGAGCATATGTACAGCCGGCGAGGACGGTACTGCCGCCCAAGCGCGGTTCTGTATTGTGGTGGTAATTTTGGTATAGCCGTTACGTCACGCGACCTGCGAAGAAAAAATTCACATGTGATCGAGGGCCCTCCCGATATTGCGATGGTGGTGGACGGCGACGAGATCACTCCACACTTGGATAGTCTTTCCCCAGCTTTGAGGATCTTCCTTCGCTTCACTTCTCTCTCGTCCAACACCCTCTTTGCATCATTGAAATCAATCCTCTGCCAGTTAATCGGTATTCATCCCTTGTATTTATCGCAGTTCGACCCCCGAGTGCACTGGCCTATCTCTCTTTATCAAGTCGGTGGACTCGATTTTTGTACAGCCCGGGCGATAGTCGGACGCCGAACTTCATAGCCAAGGCATGATCTTGTCGTCCTGGTCACCGCTGCTCTTGATCCTTCAGAGCAGCACCTCTTGACTTTGGACGTTTTGCTCAGTCACATCGCATTGATCATGGATGGATCAGGCCCTGAAGTACACCCCGAACGTACCTCCCCACCACCCGCTGGACCATTTGGCTGTGAGTGCTACGTTTTGCCCCTCGCTACTCTGCACCGTTCGCAGTTTTGCTCTGCATTATCTCCGCGACATCTCTAATCGGCCACCAGACGCCTTCCTTTCTCCGATGGACACTCCTTTCGAACAGGCTCCGGCCTTGCCTCCCGGGCTCCCTCTGCTTGACGATAACGAATCTAACATGCTTGACAACTTCTTTACTACGATGAATGCCAACAACTTTACGAATGATCTCTGGCTTCGAGGCCAACAAAATAAACCATCCGGTCTCAATTTCGACTGGACTGACGAACTTCCGCCCACCTTTGAGGGCTCAACGACTTCACTGTCGCAACCCTCATTTCCACCACAGAACCTCAAAATGAACCTGATGAACGGCGGCATTGCTGGTCCTGACATCTATGCGGCAGCCTCGATGCTCTATCATAATAACATGAACGGAACCGATCTCGGTTCCACTCTGGCCCAGCAGGCGTTCGTCGGCCAACCGATCAACATGAATGGTGCTCATGCCCGGCTCGATTCCCATCATATTGCTCCCGCACAAGCGTCTAGCTCGTCGCCCTCTCGGCCTCGGGTTCCAACTGGCTTCCACACTTCCGAGATGCTCTTTGACGTCCGCGACCCGATCCCGGAAGACCAACACCCCTCTCGCAAAGCTCGAGGCTTGCATTGGGGCTCGGACGGCAGTTTCATGGACCAAGGCTATGTCGCACCTCCTGATCAGCCGGATATGGAGACTCGTACGAGGGAACTATTAGATCACCTTGATTGCTTCGAGCCGCAGAGCAGCGCAGCCAACACGCGGGCTCCCAGTCCCGAACGTGTAGCTGGTACCCATGGTCAACGCAACGCTTTCCGTCAGGCCGACGAGGACGATATCTCCCAACCTCGAAAACGACAGCGTATCTTCAAGGCGAACGGTGATCAATACTCCGATGATGATGATGATTCGAGATCGCTATCCCGGAAATCCCGGACTCCCAGCATTGCCAAGGGCCGACGTACATCGACGGATACATCCCGAAAGGCGAGAGCCACCCCCACAAGCAAGGCTCCCCGTGAAAATCTGTCAGAGGAGCAGAAGAGGACCAACCATATCCTTTCGGAGCAAAAACGGCGCAATCTCATCCGTCAGGGCTTCGACGATCTCTGCACATTAGTCCCCGGCCTCCGTGGTGGTGGGTTCAGTAAAAGTGCCATGCTCACCCAGGCTGCGGACTGGCTTGAGGATCTGCTCCGTGGCAATGAAATCTTGCAGAGTCAGTTGACCGATATGAAGACGATCAACGGCCTGGTAATGCCTCGATGAGAGATGCCCTTGTGACGTGACCATGATTTGTTCCTCGTTTATTCGTTCATTAATACCCTGGAAGGAGCTTCACGCCCTTAGTCATTTCTCCGGCACTCCAAGCGGTTCAGCGGTTAGGTTGCTTCTGTCCTCCCAGGCTGGGTGAGTGGGCGTTCGTTCTTGACATGATACCAATTTCTCTTTGTACATGAGGGAGGCCTTTTGTGATGATGTTTTTTCTTCTGCCTCTCTGTCATCTTTCCTCTGTGATTATGTTCCCTGGTCGGACTTGCTGCCACATACTTTGCATCTGCGGGGACCGTCAAATATGCTCTGCTCATATCATTCGGCATGAATGCTACATAGCGCTGCGTTGCCATTATCAATCTGGTGATCGCGCTTACCTGCTGTTGAGTTTTTTTTATCAGTATGAAAACATACGGTCTGCATAGATTTCATCTGCTTTTCTCAATATGATTCCCTCGAGGTAGGCCACGCTAGAATACACGAGACCTGTTGGGTCGGGAGCGATCTGATTTGAACTTTTACTGGTTCCACAACCTGAAATCCTTCGTACGGCTGGTAGCAGAGATCAACTATGAGCTCGGGTTAGCCTTACCAAAGTGGAAAGGAGTTCCATGGACGTGAATGATCAGGCCTCGGGATAGTATTGTGTTGGAACGCATAGGCTGGCAACCTCGGTGCCGCACCAGACTCGTTTCAAGTCCTCAATTATGTACGGATCTACCTAGGTAGATAGTTCGAAATTTCCGTCCATTGTATCTTAATTGCCCGGTCTCTGGATCCACTCAAGGGTAGGACTCGACTTTGAAGGATAGATTGATGGGAAACCTTTCTGGATATATACCTACAGCCTCGGCACTGTCTTCTGGGTTAGAAAGTCCTTCGAGGAATATAAGATTGAGATGCTATAAGAACTTTTCAATAATTCAACCCCGTAGGAACAACGTCGTATTCATCTTTCTGGGTTATAGGTGGAATCATTCCTCACTATACACTCCCATTGGTTGAATTGATAACAGCAAAGGACAAAGGCTTGAACAGGAAAATCTCGGATTTTGAGAGATTCTTGAACCGACACGATGGAAATGACTACTGAGAGCTGTCCTTTCTTCCAAAATTTGATTATCTCAATATTCGCATTGGCTAGCGTCAAGAACACTCAAAGCGCGAGGGCCAGTATGCAAGTCGTGTTTATCGGAGGGGCTTACTAGCGGCCGATCTCACAGGTCCCACCGCCCTGTTTTGGGCGACGCGTCTAGCCAGCCCGAACTTCACATGGTCAACACCACAACACCACTCAGCGATACCTCATTATGCCCCCCAAAAGAAAGCGCTCCGGCGATGGAGATACCGGCAACTCGGACAATGACTCTCGCAAACGCTACGCTTACTTGAAACCGAGCGTGCGCCGCATCCCTGAGAAAACCATCAAGACGAAATGGACCACTCTGCCGGAGCCTTTACAGGATAAGGTCCGGGACTTGTTCCATTCGCTCGAGCGCCCAGTGATAGTGCGCCAGCAGAATGAAAGAAAGCGCATCGAGGCGCAGAGTGCGCTTCGGGCCGTGGTGCACAAGTATGTTTCCACAACCTCTTATCGCCATACTGTCCTGGCGCATCGCATTGTGTCGATTACCCCTTTGCTGACTTACTCTTAAACTGATAGTCTCGGAAAACGCCTTCCTCGAATGCCATTCCCGCCCATAACAAAGGACTCTAACTTTGACTACGAGTCTGCGCTCGCTGAACATGTACGTTTCACCTCAACGATGACCCGAAGATTAGAGTTGACCGAATACAGCGTGCTCTAGAGGCCAACTTCGCTACGATCAAGGATAGCTCGGATCTCCTGAGAGCCGAAATTGCCAAGGAGGAGGCGCTTCTTGCCGACGAGAAACTATCACTACAAGAAATGGAGAGAAATGCCAAGCGAGCGGAGACCGAGAGGAAGAGGCAGATGAAAAATGTAAGCGCAAAGACCCTGCTATAATAGTGGACGCAATGATGACTGACATTGATATCGTTAGGAACATCCTGTCCTGCGCCAGCTTGACGAGCTACCACAAAGCAATCACCAAGTGGGCGCTGAATTTACACTTCTAAATGCTAAAAAGAGCCAAATGACCTTAGACGAGGTAAGACTCTTCAGCTCTTTGCTTACCACTGGATCCCTATTAGAACCCTTGATTCTGACCACCATCACCAATCTAGCTGGACGATGACCCAGAGATTAAAGCCCTGATGAAGCAACTGCATGGCCATCTCCAATCGATGCAAAGTAATACCGCACCACTCGCCGGACTCAAGGAAGCAGTCACCCGGTCGCAGGCAGCATTAGACTTGTACTCGACCCCGAACGACTGAAAAGTTTCGACATATGGTTCAATATGCAGATTACAAGCCTTTATTTTGGGCGACTGGCGTGACAGGAGCTCACATACGCAACCCCCCGGAAGGCTGACTGGATCCTACCGCGCCATCCAGACGCAAGCAGGTCATGGCCCGGCTTTGACCACCCGATGATTCCCAGGGAATATGTCCGTCGTGTGTCCCGATCCCGATCTTCCTGACTAGGCCACTGCCGGTCGACGGGCTCTTCGCGCAGTGGACCTCCAAAACGATTGATGTTCTTGTTGGGAACTGGAAAGTCTTATGCCTGGATCGCACTCCAGGAGGGTGCATCATGATATGGATCTGATCCTAGGGCCCCAGAGGCCGCAATCCCTACAATGAGAAAAATCTCAAACAATTGCTCATACGTAAAGTGAGCTTGTAATATGACTAGTCTGTCTCAACCATGGGGATAACAAGAAGCCGAGATCTTACCGGAAGGTCTACGATAGCAGAGTCAAATTGCAGGGAGCGGATCACAGCATTACACGCCATACCAAGGAGCTGTTATATGAGGTGGAGCACGTATCTAACACCCGAATGTGAGAGACACGAGGAGGGTTAGTCGACAGGCGATCAAAGCCAGTTTTAGCCTCGCCATGTGGTCGGTTAGGCCGAGGATGGTCAGAGGTATGAGCTGGTACCACCAAAGCCTTTCCTTTTTTTATTTGCCCGAGGGCCTGGACTTGAATGGATTTAGTTGCCCAAGGAGGCCAGACATTATCTCTGCAAGTATTTTGTAGGAAGCCTGGAAAAGAGTCAATCCTCTATTGAACCTGGCCATATCTAGCAAAATGGGACTTCTCTGTCAGACCCCACTGATACGTATCAGCTATCCGTCGGCCGTGCTTGGACTGCCTATTTTATTTTGAGTGCAGAGTCGCAAACGGACCAGATAGATTAGTACTTTTTGGACTCGTGAGACCCTGGTTCAGCCGACTTTGCCCTAGAAGGACTGCCATGCAAATTTAGCGCAAGCCAAGGCAAGGCGACTGGTGATCGTCAAGAAAATGCCGTGGCCCGACGCCTGAGGCATCCGAACGTGCACTCAGGCAGCCAGGCCGCGGCCCCGCAAGGCGCATGCGGAGAAGTTCGGAGGGGTCGCTCTCACCTGCCCGAGACTCCGCTTTCGCGCCCTCTACGAACTTTGACGTTCTAACCCGCATTTAATCCCCGTACCACTGCATCTCTTCTCCTGCTACCTTGGGATACGGTCAATGTCTGCAGGCAGTCATTTGGTCCAGTCTTGGTGATTTCCGCACTTCGCAATGACAGAGAAATCCGCCTCAGGATCGGGCACAATGTCCGACAAGAATGCTGCGGCTGCCAAGTCCAAGGATGCAGGCAAGGATATGCGGGCAAAGGACTCGCCCGCGACATCTGCAGTTAAGTCTGAAGCCTCTGGCGCAGGAAGTCACTCCAGCCCAAAGAAGCGCCGCAAGGTGAATCACGGTAAGGTGCCGTTCGCGAGGTATGCGACAGGGATCTTAGGGCGCAACCCTTTGGGAACTGGTTCGCATGGTGATTGACTAGTTAATTTTACTGACGAGTGGTCCATATTCGCAGCCTGTGTCTATTGTCGACGTTCGGTAAGCTCTCCGACTCATTCAGCACCGCGCGCATTCGGGCATACTTTGCGACAGATCTTTGAGATCCACCGTGATTGTGTGTCTTGATACTAGAAGTGCGAATCTCTTTGAAGACTTTGTTTTGCTAACATAGGCCTCTGGGCTGTGTGTGACAGCATATGACCTGCGATTCGGTACGACGTTCCCCTCCCATCTGAGCCCCTCCAACTTTCATATCACCCGCAACCCTGGCTGCCAACGCTGGTCGCAAGCAAGGGAAATATACCTGCTGACCAACTTTACATGCAAAGGAACGGCCCTGCACTCGATGTATAAAACGCAATATTGGCCATCTGTGCCATGACGAACCCCGTGAACCTACAAAACGGAGAGATCAAGAACATTCAGCTGCGGACGAGGAGGGCTCGTCCAACAATGAGATGACCAACGTGCAAGGCATGCGAGCGAGTGTCGATCTCCCTGATCCTGCCGGTCAGCAAATTCTCCCGGACGGTACGATCGGAATTGCGCCTTCTTCTGTGCAGCCTCCGAGCATTGCATCCTCCGGTCAAGGTATAGACAACCCTCAGCAGCGTGAGTACCGCGCAGGGTTTTACTTCTGGGCATTCTTCGAGAACCGACTGACACGGGATCTTAGTGATGGCGTACAACGACTGGCTAGGTGGGCAAAACCAATTTCAAGACATGCATTCGCTCCATCCTTCATACATGTTCAATGCGCCTGAGGTTACGAATGAGTACAACTTGCTCGGTGATTTCCTCAGTAATAGCTTGTTGGACGACGGCGCGCTGTTCCAGGACCAGAACATGCAGGGCATTTACTCTGATCCGAGCCTCATAAACTCTATGAATACAGTCGGTGTAGCAAACGGTCTTCCCCCACCAACCCAGCTCCCACCAGCGGCGCAGAGTCAGGAACCTCAGGGAGATTCTATTTTGCGCCCAACCTCCACCGTGGGCAACGACAAGGCTCGCGAGACATATTACATGACCGCAGCCGATCCGTCCGGATCCGACCCGCCAGAGGAGCGCATGAACAAGCTCCTCAAAGCCAAGTACGATGCAGGGCTCTTGAAGCCTTTCAACTACGTCAAGGGCTACGCCAGGCTCAACCAGTACATGGAGAAGAACATGCACCAAGCATCTCGGCAGAAGATTCTCCGACAGTTGGACAAATTCCGACCTAAGTTCCGAGAGCGCATGCAGAGCCTGACTGATGTTGAGTTGATCCTCGTGGAGATGTGGTTTGAGCGGAGTTTGATGGAGTATGACCGTGTATTCGCTAGTATGGCTATCCCGGCCTGCTGCTGGCGACGTACGGGCGAAATCTTCCGTGGTAACAATGAGATGGCACAACTCATCGACGTGCCTATAGAGAGTTTACGCGATGTAAGTGGTACCAAAACCAGCCCTCTTCCCTGTTGATCTTTCCTGATGAGTGTCAAGGGTAAACTCGCAATCCACGAGTTCTTTGTTGAGGATCAACTCGTGAGCTACTGGGAGAAGTTTGGCGCCATTGCTTTCGACAACACCCAGAAAGCTATGCTCACCAGCTGTACTCTAAAGAGCCCAAGTAATCCGACGGGTGAGGGTATTCCATGCTGCTTCTCATTCACCATTCGACGTGATAACCACAATATGTAAGTGTCATTAACCTTGTGATTCGCGATCAATAGAGACTGATATGCCCTCGATAGCCCGTCTTTGATCGTTGGAAACTTCTTACCGACGCAGCGTGTCCATAAATAGGCGCGGGCTTAGGATGATTTCAGGCTTCGTTTCGTTGTTTGAGATAGGTAGGTTAAACAAAAATGCGGGCACAGTTTCTTTCCATATGTTCTCGAGTCTCGTTCTTTTTGTGTTTTGATTCCCCGAGTCTGGAGGCTTGTATCCTTTAGTCTGAAAATGTGCAACGCCCGCGGTGTATTATAGTATACCGTTACTGTTCAACATTGAGATATCCTTTTCTTATTGCACTTCTTTCAAGGTCCCAGGCTTAGTTCAGATAGAATGAGTGATGTGGTGAGCTGAGCAGGTGACCGTCATGTTCAACCCTCGCTGACTTCGATCACCTGAATCATCCACTTCCTCTACATTCATTCAACTCAATTCCCATTTTTCCAGCCCATAACCCCTCTGCATCCTTTTGAATTATATTTCACAGGCCTGTCGTTATGGTATCATCTGCAGCTAGTGTCTTGGTAGACCAAGCAGCCGCATTGGTCACTGCAACACGCCAATGGCAGATCGAATCTCCCATCGATGCCTTCAAAGCCGACCTGGAAGATTCTCTTGAGGCCATTGAGGAACAAATCGAAAGAATTTCTGATATGGCGAAACCGCTATCCTCGGACCGTTCCCGGTTGGATTCGATGGGGACGGAATTATGGAATGCTTGTCGCATCCAAGTGATGGAGGCAAGTCCGAGTAACAGAGACTCAATGGCAATCAACATCAGAGGTATTTCCCACCTCCCCAAGAACAATAATGCAGACAGACTTTGATGGACATCGACAGTGTTGGCCATCGCCGTCGCGCTGCTCGACCTTGCCTCGCCGTTCAATCCTCCAGGTACCTGATAACTGAACAAGTATCGTGAACAACCACGAAAAAGTTGACTAATCTGCTATACAGGGCATATCAGGATTCTAGAGCTAGGTATCGAAGCAGCTCGTGTTTGCATGGGTACCTCAGCCCCGCCCACACATGTTGACTGCAACTAATGAAGGCGGCAGACACTACTTATCTCGACAGTGCTCTCAAATTAATCAAAGTGGCAGCAAAGCGACTTGATCCACTGGAGACGTATGTCCCAGAGATTGACCAAGTCCATCTGAGCGCTCTCTCTGCCGAATACTACATGCTTCGCGTGCATTTGGTGAGGCTTGTTGATATCGTCAAAAGTGCTTCCCTGCTAATAAGATCACTAAGGCTTGCCAACAAGGTCGACATGACATTGCTGATCACCTTTTCAGCAAAGTCCCACTCAAGAGTGCATTGAAAAATCGCTCTCATGTCATTGAGCGATGCCTTTGCATTGGTCGAGGCTCACTGGAAGCTGGTCAGAATGAAGCTGCAATCAAGTGGCTCGACATCGCGCTTGGCGAGTTGCAAGAGAATCTGGACTATCAGGGACTGAATTCGGGAAATTTTGAACTGCAAATCAGGCATACACTTGGTTAGTTCTGATTTCAAAGGGTTTAAGAGCGAAAACCCGCTGATATGTCACAGCATGTGCCTATATGAAAATCGATACCCCCGAGGCAGCCAGGAAGCTTGAGGGGCAAACTGCTGTACTCTTAACAGTAAGTACTATTAACGTGAAATACGCATCTGCTGATCACAAAAATTTCAGAAGTATGGAGATACCCCTGCCGTGCACTTGCTCGAGCTTGAGATCATTCGCCGAGAAGAGAACCCGAGCAGTGACGAATTCTTTCGGGGTAATGTAACTCTCCCTTTTAGGATTTGCATTCATTGACAGGAAATTCCAGTCTTGAGGGCTATAATCGAGAAGCTCGATTATACTGAGGAGTATCTCAATGTGTGAGTACCGTGGAAATACCTCAATGCGTCACCATTGCTGAGCACTTTCCAGAGCCCTTGGCTATATCAAATATTCGATGCGCTTGAGGTACGTGGGCTATTAATAGACTCAATCCCTGATTACAAACAGCTAATTTTCGGAGAAGCATCGGTCTTGCTTTCGAGATGCACCATTTGTTGCTAAAGTCCCTGCCATGCGACAAGCGCGGGTGGATAGAAGAATGCTTCCTTTGGCTTGCTTGGATGGTCAGTTCTGCGCCAGATGAGCTGGAGGTCCCGGAAGAAACGTGCATGATGGCAATGAATGATGCGCTGGGTTTCCTCAAATATCGGGGCATTGAGATCATGAGCCAGGAGGCGACACACGTGTTCATCACTGTAGGGCTCCAGAATCTGGTCTTCTTCCTGCATTCCACTAATTCTCTTTTCAGATCCTTCTGAGCATGCTTGAAAATCCAGAGGCGTCCTCTCACCGGCAGATTGCTGAAAAGTGGTGCCTGCTCACCTTGAACACAAAGGTCTTTAATGACTGCTTCACATCCGCCAAGTTCAATCTTCAGAAGTACATTCGTCTTCGTCTTGGCTTGTACTCTGACACTAATACTGTCTATAGAAGATTGGCCACAGTTTTCTTCGGCAACAACAACTTGCTCTTGGCTCGGCAGACTCTGGATCGAATACTGACTGAAAAGGAGACAAAGTCCGATCTCAAAATCCAATGCCTTCTCTTCAAGCTTGGACTACACGATAAGAAGAATGTATACCGTGGGTGCTTCAGTTCGCCTGTACTTGAAGATTATTGCTAACCAAGCCGGCAGTGAAGGATTATGCTCTCGAGTTGTCTCTTCCTGACCAACTGGAATTCTTTGGAGGCTGTGCGGTGGAGGCAGACAGGCTGAACAAGTCTAATGTGGTGATTGACTGCATCCTGGAGTTTATGAGTTTGACAACTCTTCGTGAGATCTCTCAAGAAGGAGGGCCTGTCGATGAAGCCCGATCTGACCTTGTCAAATCACTATCAGCGGCCAATTCAATCAGCTTCCCGCTTTCAATGCTCTCTTCAGTGATGGAGAAAGAGCAGGCAGTCTGCAGCGAGAATGTACTTGACTTGACGTATTCAGGTAAAACTCAAGTGCTCGGCATTGCTCTGGGCTAGAGGCTGATTTTCAAAGTTCTCAGATGGGCCAAGCAAGGCCTTCGCAGTATTGATCTCTCAATTTCGGTTCGCGAGTTGGAATCAATTTGTCTGGATTCTTATAACTTAACCTTGCATATTTTCAACAGGTTCCCACTGGAACACTCAGAAAAAACAATGGAGATCACGAAAGAGGTTGGTTTATTATGATTCACCAGATCACCCTGGGGTCTGCTAACATAATGTGACGGTGTCAGATTCTCGATCTTTCAAGGCAAAGATATGAGTGCATCCAGACCGAAACTCCTCAGTCGCTGCCCTTGAACAGCCGCGAAGAGAACACAAAGGAACAGATGCTTTTCCAACTTGGCTATATCACTTACCAATTCCTGTTCCTGGAGGTCAGTATACATGCTCTTTGTGTGCGATCTCAAATCGATTCAACGAGCAAGGTATGTTTGACCATGCAACTTCATCCCAGGCATAACGTTGATAATCCCTAGTTTGAACGCTACACGAAGATCAGCAAAGCGATCAACTCAATTCGAGAGCAATCATCAGAGTACTCTGAGTCCCACCCATTGGATATCGATACTCTTCGCAACCTCTCGGCAAACGAGTTCGAGGCTACCATTGCCCTGGAACGTTGGAGCGCCATCGTTACGATCATCCGAGCCAGCCAGAGCTTCTTCGACGCAGCTCTGTTTGATCATTTCATGAACTGCATTCTTACCTTCGGAATGGCAGATGCGTACAGGGCGGTATCCATACATGTAAGTCCCGATCGAATGCTAACCGCATCGCTCAAACTAATTTCGTGTAACAGACAATGGTGGAAATCACCCGCAGAGCTGGTCCAGGAATTCCAATCCCTTTCGACAACCTCCCCTTCTATTATCATCAGCTTTTCACATTTGCCCTTACCGCTGCAAAGTCCGACGACTCTGTCCGTCTTCAGGATCTATCCTTACACTGGCCCGACGCGTACTACGGCATGGCCGAGTCCGTCATCGACGAGGTACTCACCAAAGACGCCGAGAGATCTTCGCCATCAGGGTCCGCACAGTACTTTTATCCAGTTGAAGAGCTGGGGTATCTCGCCACATGCTCGTTCAACCAAGCCATGGACTTTTACTCGGCGGAGAATGATCAAGCTTGTCTGCGGTGGGCTCAGAAAGCTATTCTGCTCGCGGAAGCGATAGGTACCCTTGAAAGTGAGGAGTTGGTTTGCCTCTTCCAGACGCGTTTGAAGGGATTATTCTGAATTGAGTATCAACTAGCGCAGTATCTTTCCCATTGCGGGTCACTGTATGGATTTCACATGGAAGACGAAGCAGAGAAGACACGAGATTATGGCAGAGGAAACAGAGTATATTACGAGTATCGCTAGAATTCTATGATGCTGAATATCGATAACTCCAAAAGAAATTGGCAAGGGAGAAAAAGAAAGTGTCTAAATGTAAATGTAAGCTCTGGAGACGTAGCCAGGAGCGACTTTGATATAATAATGTGGGTATCATCAGAAGAGAAGAATAGGAAATGAAGATGAAAAAGAAGAACGAGAGAAAGTCGCCCTGCTCCACAGGTTGGAGAAAGCGATGCAAACGTAGCGGAAGAATGAAAATGGAATCGAACGAAATAATAAGTAGAGTCGCCATATGCCAGGGGATAAAAAAAAGAAGGCAGAATAAGCAAATTGGGCCGCTGATACTAATCACTCGCACCAGCAATGCGGAGGCTCCCGAAATGGCAAAGAAAAATGGATGCCGCTTTGAGAATATTAACATCCCGGAGAGAAGGAGTAGGAGAGGTAATGCAAGGTGTATATGTAGATGTTTCATTCATCGCCATTAGCATCATAAGAGCGACTTCTCGAGACCTGGCGCATCCCTTTATGTCGCAATAAAGGCGTTGATGGCATATGACGAGGAAGATGCGATGACCGAGAAGAAGTAGACGAATAGCTCGGTTTCCGATCCATGTCTTTGCCACTGCTATCCGTCTCCGTCTCGGCACTTTCGTCGCTATTCTGGAAACGTGCGCTGACGGCCCGCATGGTCAAGTTCAGTTCCCGCTCGAGCTCCTTCTGTGACTGAAGTTGCTTCGTTGAACCGTTGAGTTTCTTGCGGTATGCTCGTAGAGTCCGACAGAGCTGTTCGGTGGACATTTCTAAGCTGCCGAACTCGCTGCGGCTGGATGCTTTGGTGCGTGTGCGGAAGTCCATCGAGGTACGGCGATTGGTACTTTTTGCACTGCTGGGCTTTTTGGAGGCGGAAGAGTATGACTTTGTTCTAGGGCTGACTGGAGACGGCGATCGTCGGATGTTGTCTGTTGGGGTGAAGCAGATTGGGGAGCGACGGTTTGGAGGAGATGGTGTTTCGGCGAAAGAGTTGTTCTTTAACGTAGATGGGGTCAAAGATAATTTAGACATCTTCTTGGTGAGCGTCGGAGAGCGTTCCCGAGCGGGAGTTGGTGTTCCCAAGGGACTCGGGTTGTCAAGTCGCTGGAACCCAGCTAGTTCACTCCGCGAGAGGACCTTTCGGAGTGGAGGCTTGGCTGCAGTTGATTCTTTGACGGGACCTTCATCGTCTCGCCCGTTTTGACCCTCTGGTGGAACATGCGGCTGGACACAGAGGTTCCAAATCATCAGAATACCGTCCATGCCGGCAGAGATGAGATTTCGCTTGATTGTGGGACCGTCCTCGAAATCTTCGTATTGTTCGAGAAGCAGCGCATCGCTGACTCCCTCCGTATGACCAAATTCTCCAGTGAGCAAGTTATCTTTCTCCAAGTCGTAGACTCGAATCGACTTGTCAGTGCTAGAGACTCCGATCAGAAGCTTGGGGCTTTGACCGGGAATCTCCGAGGTGACCGTCAAAGAGCTCATGATCACCGCATCATTCGTTTCAGAGTCCAATGCGCGGAAAGAGTGCAATTGTCGTCCTGAGGGGATGTCGAACTTGGAAATACAGCGGTCCATAGTTGAGACGAAAAGGATATTGGAGTCATCCGGACAAAGCGCCATGGATATCGGAGACGACTTCATAGTAATGACTCTGGTGATGAGGTACGCAATGGAGGTCGCACCATCTTCGTCTCTAGTCGCACGGTCCCGGATCAGCACCGTACGATCACCGGAGCTTGAGAGTAATTTCTCGCCCTCATTCAGGAACATAATTTGTCCTACTGCCCCAACGTGATCATCCATGGTCTGCACCAGCTGCAGAGTTGAGTCCGTCTTCTGGAAGAGCTGCACCATGCGATCGCGGCCAGAACTGGCCACCAACCATGTATCCTCGGTTTTTTGAAGGGCAATATCCGTGATCTCGCCTCCATGAGCGCGGGCTTCGTCAATGCACTTCCATTCTTCGCCCGAGTAAACCCTAAAACGAGTCGTTAGCTTAGGCGCTTCAATACTCCGGAATCGAACGATCATCACAAACCTCAGTACACCGTATTTATCACCTGCCACGAACCAGGCTGCATTGTCTGCGGCTCTCAGAACTTTCAACTCGTTGGGTACATCCTCATCCCCTGCCACGCTTTGCTCGACAACCACCGTCTTCAAACCAACACATTTGCCGCGTGCATCCCAGAAGTTGACCGAGCCATTGCGGGACCATGAGAAGAAATCTGCCGAGAACCCGTTGGGCACTTTGAGCGGACGAATGCCTAGAACTGGGTCTCGATGAGCTGGCATGGAAATCTCCCCAAGCTCTTGCTCGACTTCATCAGGCAAGGTTTCGATAGGGTAGATGTGTATTTCCTTGGTCGCTTCTACCGTGACCATGTGGGACGATAGACATCCCATGCAAGTAATGGCAGGTGTCTTTGATTTCTTGTCCACTACAAGCTTCTCCAACTTGGTAGGAGATGGTGGAGATGAAATAGTAGACGTTCGCAGAAATTCAAATGACAATCGCTGCATTCTCCTGCCACGCCCACCCAGCCATATCGACTCTCGGTCGAAATCCACCGTCATGGATGTGACAGCAAATGCAACCTGCGTGACCACGGATAATCTCTGAAACCCATCACGTTCGTCAAGGAGGCAGACAGCTCCCGATTCGGTGCCCACCACGGCCTCTTGGTCAGAAATGCTACTGATACAGCTGAAGGTATGGTCGTTTAGCTGGCCCAAAATGCAATTCCTGCCAGACAGGGCTTTCGGGGCCGGGTTAGGCGACGGGGCCCCATCCACGGTCAACCTGGATTTTGTCGGAGATACCGGCCTTACGGTTGGAAGTCGCCATACTTTGACATGGCGTACACCAGTAGTAACCAGCGTCTGGCCCACCCAGCACATGTCGCGAACGAAAGAAGTGCATTTATTCGTAGAATGCAGCCTTGCTGATCCATTCTTTAGATTGATAGCCCAGATGAAAAGGAACCCATCGTTGGGATTGCCCAGGGTGGCCAAATATTGTGAGTCCGGGCTAAAAGCCAGGCTGCACACCCCAAAAGTGTGTTCGCTGAGGATGGATAAAGGAACATCGGGTAAGGCGTCTCGGGCGGTGGAAAAGATAAGGACGCGGGGGTTGTAGCCAGTCTCTCCCACGGCCAGGAACCGACCATTGGGACTAATGGAGACACTCGTCACTGCTTTGATCCTTTCCCTGGACGACCAGCCGCGGGGGCTGCCATTGTCGGCAGCTTCATTCGATGGTGAACCATTGGGAACGTTGAGATGCGGGTTTGAGCGAATGTGGGAAAGCGATCGCGAACGAGAGTCCGGGGTCGTTGGAGGAGTTGATTGATTGTAGAAAGACGTCGTGGTCGGGTTTACGCTCGTTGCCGACGGGCGAGCTCGAAAGAAGCGCTGACAGAGGTTTCCATCGTCGTCGAGTTCGGCGAGTACCGCCGCAGACCCGGCGCACAGCGCAAAGCTCTTGCTCTGGTCGTGACTGGAGAAGCCATTGGGGGTTGTGGTGGTGGTTCCCAGCACGGTCTGGAGAGACAAGGTCGATTGATGTGAGGGTTTGCTCGGTGAACGAGCTCCAGGTCGGAGAATGGGAGAATTGGACGGGGTGATTTTCAAGGAGGCACCCGGTCCGGCGAGTTTGGGTTTCGCGCTGAGGGGCGCGGTGGTGGCCATCGCCTCGGGGGAACTGAACGGGCGAAGAGTCAGAGTCCCCTGGGAGCGCGGGGTCTTAGCATTTCAGGTCGAGCGCATTCGTGATTCAGGATCGTAGATCACGAGGTACTGGTGATCCGGAAAAGTGAGGGGCGGGAAGGAGAGGGGAGGATGCAAGGTGCGATGAAATGACGAAGTACGGCGGGGGGTGGGAGGAACGATCCGGTGATCGGCCAGGTCCAAGCTAAAAATAAGAAGATTTCAAGGGAGTGACAAGCTAGAGGTAAAAGTGAAAGGACGAGGTTAAAGCTGAAGATGAAGCTGCGGAGGAAAAGCCTAAAGCCTAGAGGGGGAAAACACAAACATGGAGCTCCCATTCCACGCTAAGCGCGCTGATCATTCCCAGGCGATCCAAGGAATCTGGCGAACCTCGATTTTTTTCTTTGGGACTGGTCATTTGGTCCGTGGATCGAGTGGAGTTCGAGGCCGATTGACCTGTAGCTAGTCGCTAGAAAAGTTAGAAGTATAGACCCTAACCTTAAGATACGGAGTTGATCATGTCGCCTATCTTTTGCATTTAACGTGCCAGACCCGGTCCATTTGATCGTCGAATCCTAGTCTCGACTGCCGTCCCCGGCTTTGGTGTTTATCTTCACTGACCGAACCGGCGGGTCCGGGCCCCGAGCAATCAAGCCGGTGCTGCTAGCTCCTTCTTGGTGGAAATGAAGAGAGGGACTCCGAGCCGTTCCAGTGTCATACCTCCTGAGATCATTTCTGACCTATCTGGATGCAGTCATCGCATATATATTCTTATTGGCTTGAACTACCTAGCCCCTGGAGCGAATGATTTTTTCTCTCCTTAAGCCCGACGGATAGATATGTATTCTGTCCTGGAGATATCTCCTCCATTGTAAATCTTACCCGAAAGACAACCACATAGCCATCACGAATATTAGTTCAGTTTACACTTACAGCTGAGAGAATAACTGTGAAGGATTGAGGACAATATATACATCAAGAAACCAGATCATCCATGATCTCTACATCTATACCCCTCTCATCTCCTCCTCACAAAGGCCTTTTCAATATCCTCCCACCTTCTCCTCCATAGACTTGAAGCTGACTAACGTCGGCTCATTGCTAATCCCACGCCTCTTCGCTTCTGCCAGAATAGCCACCGTCGCCGTAGCGCCAATCCGAGTGACGCCCAGCCTCATGACGTGCAGCAGGTCGTCGAGTGTGCGGACACCACCGGCCGCCTTGATCTGGACGTTGGACCCTGAGTGCTGCCGCATCAGCTTGAGATCCGATACCGTCGCGCCGAGGTAGTTGTACGAGCCATCGCCTTGCTTGACAAAGCCGTACCCGGTCGAGGTCTTGACAAAGGCGACTCCAAGATCGGTACAGATCTTGCAGAGCCGAACGATATGCTCGGGCTGGAGATAGTCGTTCTCAAAGATGACCTTGAGAATGGCGCCGTGGGATCCAACCGCACGGTTGATCTGGTCAATCTCTCGGGTGACGTACTCCCAGTCTCCACCGAGCACTTTGCCAACGTTGACAACCATGTCGATTTCTCGACCACCGGCCTGGGCGGCGGCGGTGGCCTCGTGGACTTTGATTTCGGTGGTGCTGTTGCCGTGGGGGAAACCGATCACGGGGCATACCAAGACATCGGTGCCCGCCAGCTCCTTAATAGCGAGCGGAATGTGATACGGTTTCACGCAGGCTGTGGCGACGTTGTTTTCTCTGGCGATCTGGAGTCCGGCCAGGACGTCGGCGTCGGTCATTGTAGGGTGGAGCAATGAGTGGTCGATCATCTTGGCGAGCTGCGACAGCGTCACGGAAATGGTGTTGTTGGAAGGCATTTTGGTAAATTTGGATATGATCAATGTTAAGTAGAATCCAACTCGAGGAAAGTAAATTCTTCTGCTGAAACCTTCGGTGCGGACGGATTGTATATCCTTTTTATAGTTTGTTCGCTGTAGTCTTCCGTCCATCCGGTGGAATCATTTCCTCTTTGGTCATCTTCTGTACCTCCCAGTTCCACCGGAACAGAGAGTAGATCGTAATGGACTACCAATTCACCAAAATTTCATCTAGAAAAACTGTAAGTAGCTTTATGCAATGTAATCATCTATCTTATACACGATAATTCGTCCATTGTCCACTTTGTTGCTCATAAAGTAGAGGAAGTGGCGGCTCTCCTCAAGCTTTGTCATCTGCTCCGCCGGAAAGATTACCATTCCAAGTCAATATTCCTGTTCTTCCGAACAACACGCTCACTACACCTTCCCATTCACAATGGCGCCTCGGAAAAAACGATCGAAAGTAGGGAGTGCATGTCAGAGGTGCCGCCGGCAGAAGCTCAAAGTGAATTTAGTCTTCCATTTCCAGTCGATCCTCGCTAACCTTGTTAGTGCGACATTAAACGTCCATGTACCTTGTGTATCCGTGCTGGGGTCGACTGCCCAACAACAGACCAGTGGCGAGTTGTCGAAACGCTGCAGAACAACCAGGGGACAAAGAAACGCTCCAAACGCAAGCGGAGCTTGGGGACGGGGCATTCTGACGATGCTGGTATCATCGAGCAGCCGTGGTCTAGTTCTACCATGTCATTAGTGGAAGGAGTATGTAAAATATAATCGTGTTTTGCCACTGACAACTTACTAACATTCGATGAGGCATTCCATTTGAATAGCTCTGCGACACCTGATACATCGTTGGTCACTGCTTTGCCGGGAAGTCAAAATCCGCATCGCTCAGCGAGCCCAAGGCCAAGTATAGCACTTTCCGCCGAGAGAACACCGACGGCGCTTCCTGCCACAAATTCCTGGCTACAGGGACCACAATCAGCAATAGCAGACTTGGTCTCACTGTTACCTTCACGTGAGGTTGCGGCTTTGCTGGTGGACACATACTTTGATCGAATTCACTGGTTCATGCTCATTTTCCATCAAGATGATTTCCGGAAGACCTGGCAGCAGATGTATGAGTTGCCTAAGGAGCAGCTGATTGAGAACTGCCCGAATCCAGGGTTTATCAGTACCTTTCTCGTCGTGATTGCTATTGCGTTACATTATGCAGGCAGACATAGGCGGGAGTTACTGCAGGCTCATGGTATATCCCCGGTGGATTTCAAAGAAAGAATACTGTCAACCACTCGGGCCAAGATACTTGACATCGTGTCTCTGGGGTCTCTAGAAGCAGTACAGACATGTGTTCTTTTAGGGACATACTACCTGTACCATGGAAAGCCAGAGCTAGCATGGCCTGTCTGTGGCTGTGGATTACGCATTGCACAAGCTTTGAATCTGCATCGAAAACTGCCGCACAAAGGATCCATGACCCCCGAGATCCACCGACGAAATGAGACCCGCAAACGTTGCTGGTGGGCTATTTACGAGATAGAGACATTTTGCTCCATGTCCTATGGATATCCACATAGCATCAAGGACTCGGATTGCGACGTGGAGTTTCTAGACCCGTCGGCCAAATCAGTGACCGGCCAATCGCCTGCCTCATTCAGTGCTACATATGGATGGCCAGCCAGCCTACTCTCGTATAAGAACCTGATGTCCAAGCTCTCGGTACTCATCAACGACATTCTCACTGATTTGTATGGACTCGGATCCTTGAAGGGCAAGAGCCAACAAGGCAGGTTGAGTGGCGCTTCCGGCCTTAAGAGTCTTGTTCGCAAGGTTTCAGCTCATGATGCTCGACTGCGGAAGTGGAAGGCTGAAATACCTGCTGTATTACAGCTCAGTGATGCCGATGATACGACATATACCTCGGCCGATGAAATGGACCAACAAATTGGGGCCTATGGTCCCAGATTCGAAGCTCATATTTATCAGTTACAGGCTCTTGCCCTAAAACTTGCCTACGAAAATGCTATAATTCTTGTCCATCGTCCGTTGTTGGCGTACAAGTCGATCTCGTCGGCAGAAACCGACATAGAAGACCCCAATCATCCGGCCCGAGACACTGTGAGGCTGTCACTACAATCCTGCCGCGATGCCGCTCTGGCGACCTCTAATATTGAGATGACACCCATCTTCTCGCTTGCGGCTGATACCTATGCAGCGGCATTCATCGGTATGCACACCTTCACAGCTGGGGTTATGCTCTGCGTTTTGATAAGCACAGAACCATTGGGCCCACAGTCTCATGAATCCAAGATGGGTTTACGTCGACTACTACGTATGCAGTCACTTCTCAAGTCACGATCACATTCCACTCTCAACACACAAGGCCTAGAGATCTTGGAGAGATTGACCAAGTTGGTTATGGAGAAAGAGTTGAAGGAGATGTTGAATTCTTCTAATAATGAACCGAACTCTTCACTCCACCCCGAGAATTCCAGAGAGGAGTCAGTTATACAGAATCCGGCTGAAAGTGATCAAATGCTCGCCATAAATGTTCCGATTGTAGACGACGATGCTACATTCAACTACATAAAGGACCCAGTCATGTCACAAGCTCTCTTCGATTTTGACCAAGGTGCGTCGCCCAGCTTCTGCTCAATTAGCATAACTAATGAGAATCGTACAGTACTCTCGGGGAATAGCATGAATTTCCCACTCGAGCCGCTTTTCCCAGATCTCCTTGGCCCTTGGGGTGGCTTTGCTCCGGAACAAGGATGGATCTGGGGATTTGATAGATTGGCTCCGTCTTCGGAAAATTGAAATTTTATCTGCAAAGAGTGACAGGCATAACAACGGACTTTTCGAGTCTCGGGATGAAGGACCCTAACTTTTGTTACATTAAATCTGCGCAATATCGCTCCGTCAATTATCCCGACTTTCTTCTCTTTAAATAACGTATGACAACAGATCTATCACATTATCGCAGTAATATGATCTTACCAGTCTTTCGAAGCAGGATAGCATGCTAACAGAAGGATCACTCAACATGTAAAGTAATTGCGTAGATAGCTTCAATATGAAGCAATCATTCCACCCTTTGTTCTGGTAGGGTAAACGATCCGAAAAAGCTTGGCATTTTCATTGGTGCCCGACTTTTCAGGAGCGCAATTCTTTATCTTATCGCCACTGCGGAATTTCCTTTCGCTGTCGCCTTCAACTTCATTCACTCATTAGCAACTCTGAAACCCGGGCTCTCATCTATCATGGCCACTCAGTGTGCTGCCTCGGCCAAGTTGGCCTTGCCATCGCTTCTTCGCAGTGTCTTTCGCTCAGAGTTCAGCCGCGACCTACGCCCTAATATCCTACGTTCTTCTCGACCTTCATTACAGCTTCAACACCGAGCGTTCAGTTCGACTCCCAGGGCCTTTCAGATCCAGATCAATCAGTCGCCTGATCTAATTACTACGTCGGCTCCTCACCAGACGTCTCAATCTACAACCCCTCCATCTACTTCATCTCCATCTGCAACCGAAGAAACTACGGCCCCCGAGTCGCCCCGTAAACATGCATCCGACCGGACCAAGAAGCGAGCAAAGAAAGAGAAACCCACCCGAGACGATTCGAAAACCCAAAACAATGATCGCAAAAGATTCAGCAAGGACTCAAAGCTTGACAGTGCGAAGAAAGCTCCGATGAAAAAAGAGAAGCCCGACCCCTGGCGAACACAAAAGGATGCCTTGGACAAGAAATTCCCCAACGGGTGGAATCCACCAAAGAAACTCTCACCCGATGCGCTGGAAGGTATTCGCCATTTGCACGCGACTGCCCCGGATCGTTTCACGACTTCCGTCCTCGCGGAAGAGTTCAAGGTCTCCCCAGAAGCTATTCGCCGCATCTTGAAGAGTCGATGGAGGCCCTCGGAAGCTGAGGCAGAGGATCGTCGCAAGCGATGGGAGAAGCGACATGAGCGGATTTGGAGCCGCATGGCTGAGCTGGGTCTTCGGCCCTCGACCAAGGCCTCTCGGCCGTACTCTGATGCAAATTCCCTGTACAAGCCTGGTGACCGGGAGTTCTAGTGCCGCTTTGGCACGGACGGTGCGAGCTATTTTCGATCGTTGCGGCCTTTATTGCGGTTGTAGCTGATCGCAATCTGTATACTACTATATTACTGCTTAGCGCTGTATAATAAATCATTCTTCCTCTGCATGACTGCCTTTGGCGTTTCTGCACTTGTAATCCCGGAATGCATCTTTAGATTTGTCCATAGTCGAGCGTCCGCATATAAAAATAGATCTACTACACAGATACTTGATTCCTACATTTCAAGAGCAATTGACTGCAATACAATGGCATGGCCGTCTTACTTGATCGGGCTGAACCTACTAGTGTCACAGGCTCACAGCGGGGCAAAAAAGGAGTCGACCCCCCAGGAATCATGCATTGGGAGTCGGGGCCGCAGCTCCTAGCGGAGAGGCGCCACCACCCCCAACTTCTCCTTCGAACCCACCTCGGCAGCATTCGCATGGTCATACTCCTCGACCGCGCCGACCACAACGACCCTCATTATGATCTTTCTAATCTGACAGAATGCAGATGTTAGCAAGGCGTCTGAAGTTCGGTTTGAAGCAGTAATCGTTGCGCGCAACCTCCGTCCCGAGATCGAGTCTGGAGCACGGCCTTCGGACCGCATGCTCACACCGCGTCGCCATGCCGTCGAACATCCAGGTCTTTGTGAAATGGAAAGACCAGACGATCTTTGCGGGAGAGAACGTGGAATGCACAATTACCTTTAAGAATGTTGCAGACTCTTCTCCCAAAGCAGGTCAAGGAGGTGAAGGTAGTCAGCATCAACGGAAGCTGTCTCGTGTCGCGAACCACACAAGCAACTCGGGCTCCGACTCGTTCTTCTCGTTGAAATCCCCCCAGGGTCTATTTTCAGGAAGAAGATCATACTCTATCAGCTCACAGAGGAAACCTTACCACCGAACAGCCTCGTCATTGAGCTCCCCGCTCGTCTCCTCGCATAGCTTTCCGCCGACCAGCGGCCCCTCTACCCCTCGAAGTTGGCAACCCGGCCACAGCCATAAACGATCAGTATCGATTCTGTCTATTGAAAGCGAAGGATTTCCCGAAAAGACATCGCCGCAGAGCTATGGCCGGACTCGACCGGCCCGGGGCCACGGACGCTCGGCAAGTCTACAGGTTGCCCCTAGGAGAAATGATAGCTATGATGATACCCATCGCAAAGGTATGATTCTAAGCAAGCTGCATGATAGCAAGCATACAAATGCTAATAATCTCCCACTAGTGTCGAGAGCTCCCATACGCGGCCCTCCCCTCGCAGAATCCCCGAACGAGTCCGCACCGTGCCCACCCGGCAACTTGAAGGTCGACACTTCACACCTTGGACGAGCAAGTCGGCGTAGCTCTCTTGCCACGAGCCCTGTTGCCACCTCAGAGCCATTACGTGCTCCGCCGCGAAGGACACAGCTACCAGCTTTCGACTTCAAGTTCCCTCCCGCCCCTCCCACCGCCGACCCCAATGCCAACCGCCCGGCCCTCTCGCCTTCTCCAAAGTCATCTGAAAGATCCCCTTCGCCTGGAAATCCGGCATCAAAAGACTATACGGCATTGGCCGCGCCATCGCATCAGCAAGTTACGCGAATAATATCAGCTACAAGCGTGAATGGAAGCAGCCGGAGTAGTGGAGAGTTCTACTCCGTTAGTGATCATTCAAGCGAGACACTCGCATCGGAGTATACAAGTTATTCAACACAAGCGCCACGGCCGCCACCGACCCCACGACATGGACGGCATTACTCGAGTGTGATGTCACCTACAAAGCCATCTGATAGCCAGGCGCTACTCATGGGCTATGCACAGATCAGCGCGTCGTTCACAGTGGATGGCTCTTTGGTGAACCAGTCGAGCTTTGACGAGGTCAAACGGAAAGGCGTCGTCGGTGGCCAAGTAGGTACAGGCGGGGTTCCTGGACGACCGGGCTCGAGTGGAGATCGTTCACGCAAAGGTGGTGGTTTTTGGGGAGCTCTCAAATGGAATGCGATTGAAGAGTCCATCAATGGACTCCTGTCGAACAATGAGCTGGATGGCCTGCGAGACATGCGCGGTGTTGCTTCGTCGCGATCAATCCCGTTACTATCGACTCCACAGTCGCTCCTTTTCGTCGACCTACGACTAGCTCCGGGTGAAGAGCAGTCATTTTCATTCTCTTTCGCTCTTCCGAAGGGACTCCCGGCGAGTCATAAAGGCAAGGCGATCAAGATTGCCTATAATTTGGTCATTGGTACGCAAAGGCCCAGCGGACCTAACGAGGCTCAGCGAGTGAATCGCATTAATATTCCATTCCGCGTTTATAGCGGCGTCAATGGTAAGACCACCCATGTCTTGGGATCAGTTGAGCTTTGGATCATTAACATATGAACAGACAAGGGAGATGTGCTTGGCCATGACTTGATGTCACCGTATGTGATTTTGCGTGACGAAGCCAAGGTGCAAAAAGTCGGACCAACAACACCTGTGACCCTCAAAAACCAAAGCATCAGTGGACCGTGGAATTCCGCTGGAGATTTTCTTTCTTATGTGGACGAAATACTTGAACAGCGTGCGCGCTCAAATTCGCTCTTCCCGCCAGGGGCATTATCGGAGAGACGTTCAAGTTATGATGGCCCTCCTCCACATGCTCTGTCCTGCAAGGATATAATTGATTTTGCCATCCTCAACAGCAACCAAGCTGCACACTCCCGGCGCAGCCCAAACCGGTTCGAGATTGCTCGCGACGGGAAACGGATCGCCGTGGTGGTGCTCAATCGTCCTGCGCATAGGCTGGGTGAGACTGTCATTGCCACGGTTGACTTTGGCGATGCTGCTATCCCAAGCTATGCTGTACGAGCATCACTCGAAACCTCGGAGAAAGTAATGCCTACAATTGCAGTCCGGTCGAGTGCAAGCATTCATCGGACTACGCGCCGCATCCATGCATCTTTATTTGAGAACACTTTGTACGCAACCCGGGTTGTGTTCAGCCCTGCGATTCCCATTTCTGCAACACCTACGATTCTAACTAGCGGCGTGACTCTGGATTGGGACTTGCGATTTGAGTTTGTGACACCAAAAACAAATGGCGAGCCCGGTCATGGGCCGTCCGGTACTCAATTGCTCGAGATGACATCCTCTGATGATCGTGGCAAAGTTTTGTCTGCGATGGAGCATTTGGGTTGCGAATCGTTTGAGATTTCCATTCCCCTGACAGTCTATGGTGAGACTGTACGTGAGCATTTGCCAGAAGAGAACGTGGGGTATACCATCTAGAGAATTGTGATATACATCTCATGTATGTGCTGTGCTTTTTTGGTGGTGCCTGCAGTGCAGGCTTTTGTTCATTCGAGCTCGATATCCTCCAAGGATCTTGTCCATGGATATGATCCTTGCCAATGGCATGTTTGTCACAGCTTATGTAGATATCCTGTGTTGTCATTGCTATCTGTTTCCTTTGGGTAAGGCTGTCGACACTTAGATTTGCCACACGCAAACCCCTGTGGCGTAAGATCCTGGCTGACGAGCTAAATAATGCTGAGCCCGTAGTACCTACAAGGTCGTTCTGCATACCCCACGTAATCTCCTTAGGTTCGAGCCGGCCATGCGCAGTCTTTTTCGGAGTACATTGTCTATACTCTTTTATGCTTCCTTGGCAAATAAGATTGTTGAGAGCGGATTTGCATTCTGTGTAATGAAAAGTCGGATTGCCATACTCGAATCAAGCTATGGGTCCACGAATACCAGTCGGCAAATCTCACCCCATATTATCTAGTGAATCCTCAATTCGCCCAATGGCAACGACGCAATATACGAGAACAGGCCCAAGCCTGCCTGGAACGCCAAGCTTCTGCCTGGTTTCTGCCTGAATGGTCCCCACACCAGGCCCGTGGAATAAGCTCGCTTCTAGATACTTCGGGTTGCTATAAAAGGGGCAACGGACTGTCTTCCTTTCACACTTCGGTCGTCAATTGAAATATCCAAACTATTGGCGAGGATGACTTCAACCACTTCAGCGCCCCAACTACCGGGTTTCAGCACCCCGCTGAATTCGGGGCCCGAGGTTAGTAGACACCACCTCTCTACGCGAATAAGCATTTGCTAATGGAAGTTAGAAACGAAGAGGCCATGGACCCATCCAAAGGCAGCTTGGATTTCCAAATGCACTGAGTGTTTCCGATGGCTACGTGAAGTAGGACTGAATTTGGAATCTTCGACTGGGTGGAGGCTAATTCAGAATCTACAGCCGGGTGGACGTCAAGAGAGAGATTGTCATGATGCAGGTGATGAACAGCATCACCGATAAGCCTGATTGGGATAAGAAGGTCTTATTATCTTGATAGCCTGAGTGACTCTAGTACTTACGCTAGCCAGGTCTTCGATGAGGGGATTACCTCGAAATGGCGCGAAGAGATCGCTCAAAGCGGGGAGGACGTATCCCCCAGAATGATGGATTGGATCATCAAAGAACTCCAGTGGAAATCTGAATCCTTCAAGGAAACCGGCCGGGTCACGGTGTTCGATGTCGGAGTCGTCAAGTCCGATACCGCCATTTGCGCAGAGCTACAACAGGCCTTGAAGGAGGCAGTTGTCCCCTTCGAAGATGTTCCCGAAGAGCAAAGGGATTATCACCCCGGTTCAAAACAGCAGGTTATTGATCTGGTGCATCCGTCTCTGTTTCCCGTTATATTTGGCCGATCTCGTATCCTCCCCGATCGAACTATCGACTTGGAAACTTGCCTCGGCAGTGTGGGCCAGGGCGAGCTGCTTCCAGTGCCATCGCAGGATCAGTTATTGGCCCCTTCAAGACCCTATAGCTTTGCCCACACGCCGAGTTCATACAGCCAGCAGTTTCAATGGCTGCCCTGTGACGTAGAACTCAAGCAGGAAGGATGTCGAATCGTTTCCTATATCAACAATGCTCATCCGATCGAGCATAAAGGACTGTATGCAGTTCTCAACAAGATCATCACCCAAACGGTGCCACTGTGGAACCAGACATTGGCCTACAGACCGCGTGATGAGAGACGAATTCAATACTATTCTGTCGACTATCAAGATGATAGTGAAAGTGAACCAGAGCAGGAACCCGACGAGGACGATGACACATATGGAGAACGTTATCACGCGTTCCAAAGCTCCCGCCGGATCATCCAACCTGAGCCGCAGAAGTTCCAGCCTCCGAGCCTTGATAGATGGGGTCTTATTGACCTGAACAAAGATTTTTCGAAGGAAGGGCTGCAAGTGATTGTGAAACTGGCCAATATCGAACTCACGCCGGAGAAACCCGAGTATGCGGGTGGGAGCTGGCATATTGAGGGACAGCTGGTAGGTTCCTCTGCAAGATATAGACTCTACGGTGATCACTAACTTGATTTAGAATGAACGCATCTGCGCAACGGCCATCTACTATTACGACAGTGAGAACATCACGGAGAGCACACTGGCTTTCCGTCAGCGCAGTGAAGACAACTTTGAAGATACCGGTTATGAACAGGACCGCCACGAGTTCCTCCAAGCCGTGTATGGATTCGGTCCCGAAGTTGACAGCCGCGACGATACCAATGTCACGCAAAACCTTGGCAGCGTCGTTTGTCGTGAGGGACGTCTTCTGACTTTCCCAAACGTTGTCCAGCACTGCGTCTCTCCGTTCTCTCTGGAAGATCGTACCAAACCAGGGCATCGGAAGATTCTTGCATTGTTCCTGATTGATCCTCATAGAAGGATCATCTCCTCTGCAAATGTACCTCCTCAGCAGGAGGATTGGGGAAAGGAGAGACAGAATTTGGTGAACAACTTGCTGTCACAGAACCTGCCGCCGGAATTGCAGAATATGGTTGAGGAGGATATGCCTTCCCCGTTCATCACCATGAAGGAAGCCAAGGATTACAGGCTTGAAATGATGTCGGAGAGGAGCGTGAGGTCGGAGGTGAATAACATGACTTTTGAGACTGGAAGCTTTTCACTGTGTGAGCATTAGGAAGGAAGGAGGGGGTGTTAAGGATCCAAATGGGTTCATACTAGCCATTACTTGGCATGTTATCCCGAATATCTTCAATCAAGAGCTTCATAATTGTCGAATACAAACCACATGTCTTCGAGATCTGGGTTGCTTGGATGTTCTAATCGATGGTGAGGCCGTTCAAGCCGGTATCAGGAAGACTTTTCCATTCATCGAGCCCAATAAGTATAGCATGCCAAACCAAGTAAATTGACGAAGATTTCTCCTTGCATGCATAGAGTACCTAATCGGTCCATACTGAGAGGTTCATGCATTGACAAGGCGATAATTGGCTTACTATTTATGGAAAAGAAAAACGTTCTACGCCGTAAGTATCTCAATCGCAATGCCCATATCGAGTTGCAATTCCAATTCTGTTCCAAAGTGGGGTGTAGTTTCTGACGTAGGGGACTGTGGGTCACCAGGGCAACGCAGGGCCACTTCGCAAGTTGATTCCATGGATCCGATTGCGGGATCACGTTGAAGGGTGGAGTAGCTGAAGCTGGACTCAGTACTTGGTCCTGGTTACTTGTACCGACGCCCTGGCGCATCGTCGATCCAAACGTGTTTTCTTTCGACTTATCTCGGCGTCTGCTATCACCTCGCTTCAAACCTCATCCTGGGTACGTTGCACACGTCATGGCGGGAATTTGATTCCCCGCCAACACGAACACACCTCTCGCCCGACCGAATCCCTTCTGACATCGGAATGCAGGCACGTCGCGATCAGCGCTCTCCCCCGCCGAAACTACCTTCCAAGGGATAAAGATCGATAATATTCTCATTCTGCGCGAAGAGAAGAGCCATGTCTTCCTTCATCACCACCATGTCGGTCCCCACTGCCCCTGCCCCCGTCTATCTCTCTACTCCCACCCAGCCTGCGTCTGGCGCTCCGCCCGCGCGATCCCCGTCGCTCACTTTGAGCCCGTCGGGAATCTACCAGACCACTCGTACTTCCCATATTCCCTCCCTTGAACCTCCATCATACCTGTCGCCAGCGGTGCGCGCACTGAAACAAGGCGTTTTTGAACTAACACCTCCCAGCAATGCGCGAACGCGAGCCCCCTTCAAGCCCCGCTCTGCGGCCAAGGGCACCAGCAGTTACCAGCTGAGACAGTTCGCCGAGGCCACCTTGGGCAGCGGCAGTCTGCGTAAGGCTGTGAAGTTGCCCGAGGGCGAGGATTTGAACGAGTGGCTTGCGGTGAATGGTAAATATCCCATTGTCTTGACTTTATGACACCATATGCTAACTCCCTCGGGCTTTGACTGTAGTTGTCGATTTTTACAACCAGATTAATCTCCTCTACGGCTCCATAACCGAATTCTGCTCCCCGCAATCATGTCCCGAGATGAAGGCTACGGATGAGTATGGTCAACCCATCAGACTTTTAGACATCGCTTGGCGTGATCCAGGCTGACCATCAATTCAGGTTCGAGTACCTCTGGCAAGATTCTGAGAACTTCAAGCGGCCCACCAAGATGTCCGCCCCCGAATATATCGAACACCTCATGACTTGGGTACAGAGCAATGTCGACAATGAACAGATGTTCCCCAGTCGCATCGGTAGGTGTTGAGTGTTCGTCGCATGTTTAGAGATTCATCACTAATGTTGTCGCACTTACAGGCGTTCCTTTCCCCAAAACCTTTCCCAGTCTCCTCCGACAAATCTTCAAGCGTCTGTACCGAGTCTACGCACACATCTACTGCCACCACTACCCAGTCGTGGTACATCTCGGTCTCGAACCGCATCTGAACACTAGCTTCAAGCATTACGTCCTATTTATCGACGAGCACAAATTGGCGAGTGGGAAGGACTACTGGGGGCCTTTGGGTGATCTGGTGGACAGTATGCTGCGCAGTGACTAGACTTTGAGTGGGTGGGAGAGGGATTGGGCACACTGTGCATGAGAAGCCCGTTCATGGTTGATCTTGAAGACCGGAGTTCTTGTGGAGATGCGACCAATCGGGTTCTCGACGGCGTTCCGGGCGTGGTGCATGCATTAGTAGATTCGATATGTGGTTATGGGTTTGTCCTGGCGTTTTTATCATTGTGTGGTATGGAGAATTGAGACATTGACGATCCGGTATTTTGGAGGTCATTCGTAGTTGGAGCGATCATGTGGTAGAATGAGCGAGATGAGGGGGTGGGAAGGCACATCATTATTGTCGTATCAATGACCGTGTCCAGGCGGAACTCCACGTTGAGCGGTCGCATGAAGTCAATTCCAGCCCTCACAATGAGTAGCAGACTGAATAGCTAGGACCATGTGTTGCAGCGCATAACTTAACGAGCTCCACTTCCGCGAAAACCAGACGGCTTACCTCAGCAGCTAGTGCAGCCACGTGACTCGGGAAGAAGTCGGACCTGCAACTCTCAACCTTGCACGACGCCCAGCACTCCGACCGTCGCTCGCAACTCCCTCCATCACAACCCTTCTGGTCTCCTCCTCCCCCTCGAGGCTCTCCTCACAATCAATTCCACGATGATGTCCGCTCGTGTCGCCCGCACCGGCCTGCGCGCCGCCCAGCAGTTCTCCGCCGCTCGCCCGGCCTTCAACGGCCTGCGCACCTATGCCACCCCGGCCCAGGATGTCCGCCCCCCCGTCGCTCTGTTCGGCGTTGACGGCACCTACGCTACTGCTCTGGTATGCATTCGACCCTTTGCCAGCCATTACGTCTGCCATGTCGAGGTTTTCCCGCGACCCCGTGTCGCTCCGACCCCTCCTACTGGCTAGGCCCCCTCTCTCCCTCTGCATTTCAATGTCGGAGATGAAATCCGCAAGAGAAACTCGCGAATGCAATGACGATGAATGGGCCCTCTTTTTTTTCTAACCTTTTTGAAAACTCTCTAGTACACTGCTTCCTCCAAGTCCGCTGCCCTCGACCAGACCGCCAAGGCTATCGCTACCCTCGGTCAGACCCTGAAGGCCGACCCCAAGCTGATCACCATCCTCGGCGCTCCTACCCTGTCCATTGCCGACAAGCAGGAGATCATCAAGGAGCTCCAGAAGGTTGCCGGTGCTGACAAGGCCGACATCCTCAAGAACTTCCTCCAGACTCTGGCCGAGAACAACCGTCTCTCTTCCCTCGAGGGTGTCTGCGATAAGTTCGCTACCCTGATGAGCGCCCACCGTGGTGAGGTCGAGCTGAACATCACCTCTGCTCAGGTGCGTTGAATCCACCTACAAACTTGCTTTAATCTCAATCTTTGAATGATAGTTCTGACCACCCATATACAGGAGCTCGATGCCAAGACCATCTCCCGCCTCGAGAAGGCCGTCGCCAAGTCCGAGTTCAGCCAGGGCAAGAAGCTCAAGGTTGTCACCAAGGTCAACCCTGACCTTGTTGGTGGACTCGTCGTCGAGATCGGTGACCGCACCATCGACCTGAGCGTTTCCTCCAAGATCGCCAAGATGAACAAGGCTCTGACCGATGCCCTGTAAATGTAAAATAAGCAATTTGTTCGAAGTGGGATTGCGTGTTAGATTTATACTACAGCATTATCGTCCTGCATGAACGGTAGCGTTGGTTGAAAGTGGGAAAAAAAAGGGGAGGAATGACTCTTGATATCACTTGGGTCTCTCCTTTTTTGGGTGCTTTCATGTTCCATTTGTTTTCATTATCTGTGAATTGCACAATACACTTTTTCATTTTCTATGTCAAAGATTGACCGTAGATTCTGGTAATTTCTTGGACTTGATGATTCGGGCATACTTCGTACTCGAGGGATGATGTTAAGTGAACAACTGGAAATGTAGTACTATATAAAATCCTCCAACACACGCAATCTCGATCTCGGTGTATCTATCTGTCTTGACATGAAAATCCAAGCTCTGTAGGTAGTTGTACGTGCAAATTCACAATAACAATGATAATCTATTAATGTAACTGAATCCCGATATCGCATACCAACCCCCCCCCCCCATCATCCCAGTCTAGGTAGGGTCCAACAAAGAACACCTCACATCCCAATGGAATCTCACCTAATCCCCATTCTGCTTATCAGCCTGCGTCTCAAGCTCATCCTCATACCCCTCAGCAATAGACGCCGAGCTACGAATACGCTGCAGCTGGCTCTCAACATAGTTGTGCAGATGTTCATCGCTATCCCCATTCTGAGGGAACGCGGAGCTGCTATCCCGGCGACTAAGGGGCCGGCTGTTGTCTTCGTCGTCGAGAACTGTCGAGGCGGCGGGTGTGGCGTCGCCTGCGATCGTGGAGTTGAAGTCACTTCTGTTTCCGATGGAACGGTTCGTGGAGGAGCGTCTGATGATGGGGCGTCCCTTATCGCGGCGGCGACCACCGGAGCGAGAGAACATGTCGTCAAAGTAGTGGGATGCTGCGGCGAAGGGAGAGCGTGGGGTTTGGGGGATGCGGCAGTTGAGACTGGATCTTGTTAGTATTTGATTTTTTGAGAAGGTTTGTAGAGTTGAAACTTACCCAGTGTCATGAATGATCTTGGCAATTAGACCGGTCCAACCGCACTGGTGGGATGTACCCAGGCCACGGCCGGTATCGCCATCGAAGAACTCATTGAACCAGAGGTGGTCCTTCCAGTGCTCGTCAAAGTCAAGCAGGTCGGATTTGCCGTTGATAGCACGACGACCATCGTCGTTACGAGCGAAAAGATGCTGCATACGATGCTGCAGCTCCTCGGCAACGTGACCAAGATGCATGTAGTCACCCGAGCCAGTGGGACATTCGACCTTGAACGAGTCGCCGTAGAACATGTAGAAGCGCAGCAAAGACTCGACGAGCAAGAAGTTGACACAAAGCCAGATAGGGCCACGCCAGTTACTGTTACCACCGAAGAGGGCGCTGTCCGAATCGCCGGGTACATAGCCAACCTTGAACGTTTGGCCATTGACGTCCATGGAGTATGGGTTTTCCTCGTGGAATTTTGACATGGATCTGATGCCGTGCTCGGACAAGAATTCGGTCTCGTCGAGCATGCGCTTCAAGATTTGCTCAAGTCTGTCCTTGCTGACTAGTGAGAGGAGGAGCCGATCGTCCCTGCCGCGGGTCTTCATGCTGGCAATATTACGCTCGGCAACGTCGGACTTATTCTCGATGAACCAGTCAACTCGTCGTTTGAACGAGGGGAATTTCTTGATGATTTCCGGCTCTAGCGTAAGGACGGCATATAGCGGGATCAGACCAACCAGCGATCGGATAGGCAGCTGCTGAGTCCAGGGACCACCATATGAAATGGCATCGTAGTAGAAGCTGATTAAATTAGCAGATGTGGGAGAATGATCATGTATGATCGCAAACTTACCCATCTTCCTCGTTCCAAAGTGACTTGATGCTATCCTCACCAGACCGGTAGGTCATAGCATCACTGATGAGGATGAAGTGTTCAAAGAACTTGGATGCAACTGAATCAGAGTTAGTGGATTGTGGTTTGTTTCACAGGTCTATTAGTCTAAACTCACTGTCCTCGTAGGTGCGACGGTGCTTGGCAAGCTCCAAGGCAATGTTCATCATAGTCAGGCAGTAGAACGCCATCCAGCCAGTGCTGTCCGCTTGCTCGAGGACACCACCAGTGGGCAAAGGCTCTGAACGGTTGAACAAGCCGATATTATCCAGGCCCAGGAAACCTCCCTCGAAAACGTTCTTGCCATCAAAGTCCTTCCGATTCACCCACCAAGTGAAGTTCAGGAGGAGTTTCTGGAAGACACGCTCGAGGAAATCCAAGTCTTGCCGGCCGTACATCTTGCGCTCGATCTTGAATGTGCGGAAGACAGCCCAGGCATGCACCGGTGGGTTGACGTCTCCAAAGTTCCACTCGTAGGCTGGGAGTTGACCGTTGGGGTGCATGTACCACTCACGAGTGAGGAGATCCAGCTGCTTCTTTGCAAAGTCGGGATCGATCATGGCCAGCGGGATACAGTGGAATGCGGTGTCCCATGCGGCGAAGAAAGGATACTCCCAGGAATCGGGCATTGATAGGATGTCGTCAATGTAGAGATGCCGCCATTGTTCATTGCGAATTCCCTTTCGACCCGCAGGAGGCGGGATCTCAGCGGGGTCACCGTTGCTCCATTGATCCCAGATGAAGTTGTAGTACTGCTTGCACCACATCATACCCGAGAAGGCCTGGCGCTGAATGTTTCGCAGATCATCGCTCATGGGAAGAGGGCTGATGCGGTAATAGAAGTCATCCGCCTCGGCGCGGCGCTGTTCAATCACATCATCCAGAACCTCCTCGTCCACAAATTCTACCTTGTTTCGGGAGAAGCGGAAACGGACCACGGCACACTCTCCTGGAGGCACGCCCTCGCCCTGGTCGAATGCATACCATGCACCAAACTTGGTACCTTCGTTCGCAGGGTTCACGGAATCCTTCTCCTCCTCCACGATATGGCGATGGAAGGCATCCTTGACATATGGCTGATCATTCTCCGTGCCCCAAAGCTTTTGGTTGTTGGTCTCGTTCTCGGTGAAAAGCAGTTGCGGCTGGATATCTTCCTCGTTGGATCCGACGGGAGGCGCAGGTGCGAAGCAAACGTAGCGCTCACCAAGTTTGTGATGATCCGACTTCGCGATTCGGTCCCCTTCTTGCTTGATGGAAGGCTTGGCCTTTTCCTTCTCATAACCCCAAGACCAAGTGTTACGGAACCAGACCTGGGGGATAATGTGCAGAGGGGCTGGATCGGGACCACGGTTGTACGCAATGACTCGGAAGATGAGCTCCTCTTCGTCATCGCTTTCCTTGGCAGTCTCGATGAAAATGTCCCAGTATCGGTTGTCCTCAAAAATACCGGTGTCGAGGAGCTGATACTCATTCTCCAATCGAGTTCGCTTGGCGTTTTCGTCGACCAGGTCCTGATAAGGGAACTTCTTCTGCGGGTACTTGTAGAGGAATTTCATGTAGGAATGCTGCAGGAAGCTCACGTCAGACTTTGAGTTCGGCGCTCGGCAATTGGAACATCTTAACCTACCGTCGGGGTATTGTCTAGATGAAAGTGGCACTCTTTGATGCTCTCACCATGATTACCTTGAGGGTTTGACAATCCAAAGAGGCGCTCCTTCAGGAAATCACTAATCCGGGGCAGTCAGTCTTTTGGACTTGCGGGCGCAATTCCTGCCACAATCGAATACAAACTCACTCTTCTCCGTTCCAAAATGAGAAGCCAATGTTCTGCAGGCCGTGGGTGTCCGACACACCGGCGATACCATCTTCGCCCCAGCGAAAGACTCGCGACCGCGCATGATCGTGGGTAAAGTCTAGCCACGCAGGTCAGTCATTTTCTCCATGATTAAATTCTCGGAATGCAAGTTGTAGCTTACAGCTCCAGGCGTCACCGTCCTCACTATATATCGTCAGTTTTGTACATCCGTAGTAAAGTAATCTGCGAGTGTTTAACTTACGAGTAATCCTCGCGCACTGTACCCGCAATGATGATGCAGTCATTAGCCCGCTATCCAACTCCAACCTCCACTTTACAATTCAGTTCAAACTAACCGGTTGCCCATTGTCGCTCAGCCACGTAAGGACCCCATTTCTTCCAGTACCGAGTGCGTTCCCGATCTTCCTTGAGACGTTTCTCTTCCTGCGTGAGGTACTCCTGCTTGTCGATCAGGACCATGATGGAGGTGGTGGGCCCTAGATGCGGAGCCGGAGGGTACGGTGCGCGAACGACAATTGAGGAGGGAATTCAGCGGTGGAAATGCAGAACAGTCGCAGCGAGGGACCAGGGAAGGGGGAAATGAGGAATTGCGAGTATTGAGAAGTCGTCGTAAATACCGCAGTGGAGGGATGGGAGACAAGAACGACGAGTCTAAAAAAGAAGAGAAAGTGGCGAAGACAGAGGAGGGGCAGGTGGTCGCCTTTTTACTCCGCAGGGTTCGGGACTATCAGAGAGCGTTTACCAACTTACTGCTCCAAACCCAATTATGCCCAGTTTAACTATCCGACCGAGCCAACTTTTGGCGCCGCGTCCATTGCGTACTGCTACCCAAGGGCCTAGACGGAGGAACCAGGTCCGACTGACAGCTCCACCCCGGCCGGTGTGCTATCAGTGAGCCCAGGAAGCCAAAGCAGGGACAATGACGGCACCGGTGGAGATCGGGGGCGCCGGTGCTTGGGACGGCGCTTCGGTGATTGGCCACCCTGGCGGACCTTCTGCACTGCTTGGACAAGTCCATTGGGATCTCGACTGCGGGAACAACACAGACCGGCAATTAATTTATCGGCGCTGCACTAGTCTCGAGAGGACCGAGAGGATCGCATATCTGTCCCGCGATCATACATTCTTCATCTCCAGATATGAAGCCGGGGAGAAATCGAAAAAAAAATCACAACTCAAATCACAACTCAATTACGCCATAGCAGTGCCAAAACGAGGGCTCCGAACGTGTGGAGCGGGCCCCAGATACATACACAAATGGATGTTTCTCCAAAAAACCAGCGCATAAAGCGAGTCAAAACGCAAATCATCAAAGCGCGCCGACCGGGTTATCTGTCGTCGAGGTGGTCTGGCTTTCAATTCGCCGAATCCCGGGTCGGTTTCCGTCTGTCCAATTTCTGGTTCATTCGGAAGAGGTATAAAACAGTTCAAAAGAAAGGAAATCCCTTTGGAAAGAGAGAGGCTAGATCGGTCGATCGGTCCATCACGACTCATTCACCTTCTGCTCGTCCCCTTGCTGGTGCTCGTTGGGGGATTCTTTTTCAGGAGCTGTCGCGTTGAATCAGTCCTTCCGTCAAACCGTCATAGGTAAGGGGAAAGAAAAAACCACATTCAGAAAGATCATGAGTGGAGCAAATTCACGCGGAGCTATCCTTACCGGTTGCTTGGTCCCGTTCACTTCGTTCGGTCTGCGATGCTGATGTGGTGTGGTAAGCCTGTGCCTTGAGGCGCTCCTCGGCCTCGCGAATGCGCGCTTGCAGTGCTTCAAGTTCGCGGGTCTGGATCATCATCTGTTGCTTCCTGTCGGTACTCGTCAGTCACGATTCGACCAAGGCGGGAGATCGATTCCGCCACGCTGCGACATACGCCTCCAATACTCACTTCTGATCAATGGTCTGGGACAGGTGGTTGACATCGCTATCGAGCATAAAAGCGCTGTCCAATGCCGTGGAAAAGGCTTGCGCCATGGTCCTAGCATAGCGTTAATTATCACAGCTTCCTGCAGCTTCGTCTCGGCGAACACATTAAACGCACGACTGCGGCCGGATCTTGCCCGATGGCTTCCACTCCCGGTCCATCTCCATATCGGATAGAGTCATTATAATAGGCTTGAGGGGGGTCCCCGTTGCGAGGGACGCGTTTATTCGGTCGGAAGGGGTTGACTGTGTAGAGGGGGTATATGCGCGACTTCACGGGCGGGGCACCACAGCACCGCACGGCCGCAAGTACCGGGGAGGGGAGATGGAAGGACGATGGAGAGGAGCTTGCGATATCAAGCGAACAGGATCACACGGTAGGTTCGCAGGTTCAAGGGAAAGGGACCCCGTTCGAGTGCACTGTCGGGAGTTTCGAGTCAGTCGAGTCTCACGGTTGGTTATACTTCGTCAAACCCCCAACAAACAACCCCGATAAGCGGGTTGTCTCCGAACTGGAGGGGGAAAGCGTAGTAGGCCAGGGACACAGAGCCATACCAAAGACAAAATTGCAAGTACGGGATTCGAGAGAAACCTGATGGCTTTGCACTGACAACCAGCTGGAAAGGTAAATGAGAGGAGAGCGGGAGGAAGGGAAAAAAGAAGAGAGAGGAGGAGAGGAGACGAGCTCGCAGCCCACCAAGTGACTTTCTTTACGGAGTACTTTACTTTCCTTACCGGAGCTGAGGGTACAACATCGTTCTTCCGTAGAGGTGACATAAAGCTCGCTACATACTGGGACAAGCATGCTAGCTACCCCAGGGCTGAGGTTTTTGATTACTAGCCATGTGCGAAGTACCTAAAAGAAGACTTTACTCCTGTCCACCGTCCATTAACTCGATGCCGTGATCGTTGAAAGGCACCTATAATATGTACTTCATATACATAACACGGATCCTCCACCGCAAGGGAGGGTCACGGTATTACAAGGGGGGGGATTACTGCAATACACAGGTTGCTAATGAGCTAGAACGATTAAGGGGAAGATGAGCAAGATCATTTGCTGGGGTGGATCTATGTGATCTCGTAGATTCGCTGTGACGGGCTTCCTCGAGAAGCTTCTGAGGCGAACTTTTAGGGGGGAAAGAATAAAAGCAAGTTGTTCAGGGGCTCGCACAAGACCCGCGCTATCAAACAAGCACTCCACTTACGAGAGCCGAAAAAAAAGGGGTGAGCGCATGCTAATGAGAAGGAAGCCCCTGACGTGGGGAGGCCCCAGTCTGCCGGAAATTTATTTGTGATCGATAGTTTAGGTTGGTGAATTCGAGGCGCACTGGACCAACTGGATAGACAGACGATCGGGTGGTTTGAATCATGACATTCAGAGCACGGAGCATAGGTTGAGGCATCCTCTGTCGAGCTTCCCGGGAGGATCCATCGATAGTTATGTTATTTTCCAAGTAAGCCCAGGAATGACATACCTTATTTATACTCCGCACTTCTTTAGGACGGCTCAATGGCCGGAGGAGTCCTTACGAGCAAATACCTCAAGTATGTAATATTAACCACGATAGCCCCACCGTTAGGGCCAATCTGTCCCGCGCAGTCATCGATACCGTGGTAACGCGTATGAAATATACGGACATACCTTACAGGTCGTGCGGCAACCCACGACCCAATAGCCAGCTGTCTGCACGTGATGCTGTAAGTTACAATACGGTTTACGTTCTGCAAATTGGCCGGGCCTGTCGCCCTGTCGCCCTGGTTGCCAGTCCGCCTTCAGTCCAGCCCTTGCTTTCAAGTCTTTCCATCTCCAATTCTCTTGGAAGGAGAACGGCCACCGTTTCATCACTTCCATCCTCACCTTCTCGCCCTTTCATCTCCATCCATACTGTCGCTTGATTCCCCTCCTCGGATGGACTAACACGGGACCACGGTCGCCCTCTACTGTCCTTTCAAGGTCCCCCTCGGTGCAGTCTCTCCTCGACTCCTCGCCGACCGCCCCCGTCTTTCTCTCGAAATCTTCGCGATCTCCGAGAACACGCTCCGCGTTCGCTCCGCGACCACCCACCCCTCCCTCTTCTCCCCCGCCCACCACCACCACCGCCACCACCACCATCGTGGCCCCAATCCCCAAAGTGCTTACTTCCAGTGGCCGACCGGGCGGGCCATGGGGGATGCCTCCTCTGTCGGCTTATACTCCGTTTGAGTCTTTACTCTTCTTTCAATCTCTTGCGACCTCCGATGTGCGCCCGGCCAGTTTTGCGACCATCTCGACACGACTGAGCAATAATCCACTCGTACGACAGAATGTAGCCTTTAGCGCCGATCGCCTCAGCCCTGAGGCTTTAGAGGATCTTTATGCGACGCTATTACGCGACGGCTTCGATCGCGACAGCGTATCCCTTGGCGCAAATGGACGACCTACGGAGAGCTCTAGCTCCAACCCGAAGAAACGCAAGATTTCTAGCCCGCGCCCGGATGGGCTAGCTGACCGGCTGTCCCATGCAGTTCTGGTTCCGGAACTCGTCGCTCACCTCTACGCGCGGTATAAGGAGCTTGTGACGAAGGAGATTAGGGACGACGAGAAGCAATACACGGACATCACGATCGAAATTGAGCGTCTTCAGAGGGAGGATACCACAACGGCGCCACCGACTGCGAAGGGGGCCGGCGTGCCCCCAGCTACAAAGTTAGAGCGTCGCGAATCCATCGATATTGACGTCAAGCAAGAAACCCCCCGGCAGGAACGTCCCGACAAAACAGCTCCTCTCGCAAAACAAGCTCAAACGGTTCAGCCTGTCCCGCAGGGAGTCCGGCCAGAACCAGGTCAGCCTCAAGAAATCCCCCGTCCGCCAGTGCCAGTTGGATTGCCTGGACCTCAACCACATCAGCCTCAAGCCCAACCCTCCCCGGTGAAGGCTGGCCAGCCACTACAACCACAGACGGTCACTCGCCAAGATGTACCACATCCCCCACCTCAGCCAGCACTTGCACCGCGAGCCCAACAGCCAGGCCCTTCAACGCCCGCAGCAGCACGAGTGGCACCACCGCATCCCTCACAAGTTGCACCGAGACCTAATGTCCCGGTGGCTACACCCATAGCCCCAGGCAAAGCTAATATCCCTGTATCCGCCTCTCAACAGCCCACTCCGACACAGTCAAGCTTCCAGCAATGGCAGCTTGAAGCACCCCCGCACTCGCCTTATTCCACAACCTCTCCCGCCACCGCTATCCCCCACCCTAGTACGACGCCCGCCAAACCGCCAGTTCCCTCCTCACAGGCTCCGTCAAGGACCCACTCAAAGGCTTCCATTTCCTCAGCCGTTCCGAACACCCCAAGTGCACAAAGTCCAGCAGTTCAAACCCCGGTGCCCGTAGGGTACCCGCGCATCTCACAGACACCGAATGTCGTGATTCCTGCGTACTCCGAGTCTCGTGGATCGCGCCCGCGATTATCTATTGATACCCCGGGATCGTCTACGCCATGGAAGAGAACCCCGCGTCTGAGCATCCCGGAATCACCTGCATCACCTGCACGGCCCCGGCCGGAGGACGTAAGCCCGATCAGTGAAAGGGCACCTTCACCCGATGCTATGGATATTTCACCGCCTCGAGAGAAGAAAACCACTCGTCGCAGCCAGGCAACCACGGTAGAAAGTAAGGGCACGCCGAATATCAAGGTTGAGAAAGGCATTACTACCAGGAGGAAGCGCGCTATCAGTTCTGCTTCCACCCAGAGCCAAGGACGCTCAATCGCTTCGAGAGAGGAATCGCCCGATCCTTCTAGGTCTGCCACACGCCGAAAGGGACCCGCCGCAGTTCTGGATGATCAGACTCCCAAGGCACGATCAAAACGCAAGCGTGGTCTCAGCGAGTCCTTCGATCATGAAACCATTGTTACGGAACAACCCAAGATCGATACTACTAAATACGTTCTTTGTGCACGAGGTTTCCATAGGACAGCCGCTCCTATAATGAACGACGTCACGACCCACAAGCTTGCCTCGATCTTTGCCAAGCCATTGGGTGAACGTGATGCACCGGGCTATCACGATCTCATCTACCGTCCCCAGGATCTCAAGTCCATCAAGTCGGCAGTTCATCAAGGCAGCAAAGCCGTTGCTGCTGCAACCGAGGCCGTCAGCACACCAGCGGGCGACGGTGAATCTCCAGTGCCAGGCGCAGGTACACCATCTAAGAACAATATGCTCATGTTGCAAAAGACCGAAGACCTCATACCTCCAAAGGGTATCGTGAATTCTGCACAGCTGGAGAAGGAGCTTATTCGCATGTTTGCCAATGCAATCATGTTCAACCCCGTCCCGGCGCGAGGATTTGGTCCAGCCTTCCCGATGATGAACGAGCGTGGTTCCCGCGAGAGTACACAGTCGGGTGACGGGGACGAGGGTGGGATCATCCAAGATTCGATTGAGATGTTTGAGGATGTCGAACAGGCCGTGACTCATTGGCGTCAAGCGGAACGTACTGCTGAGCGTAATGCCGATGATTTAGCCAATAAGAACGTGCTTGCTTTGCGGCGTGGCAGCGTCAGTGATCTCAATACTGACAGCGCGGACGACGTCAAAGGGTGAGCCATGTCCTTGGAGGTCATGTATTTTATGATAGTTTTGGAGTGTTTGACTAGGATTTTTTGATTGACATGAATACAACACATCACCACTTGCAGCCTTCAGCGGCCTAGCAGTGGATTTCAGACGATTCTCCTACTAGCTTTTGACAATTTCTCTGCTTGGTGTAATGTCATCTCACCAAAAGCAGAGTCCACCACGATTTTCTATGGAAATAAGATACACATCACTCAGCCTTAACCAAATACCGCGCCGCATACTCAACCCCAGCCTCATACCCATAAACCCCCAATCCAACAATACAAGCCACAGCCTTATCCGACAAATGACTGACATGTCTAAACGCCTCCCTCGTATGCACATTCGTAATATGGATCTCAATAAACGGAATCGACACCCCGATCAACGCATCGCGAATCGCAACGCTAGTATGCGTCAACGCTCCCGCATTTATCAGGACGGCATCGAATTTGCCTCGCGCGGCATGTATACGATCTATGATCGCGCCCTCATGGTTTGATTGAAATGCTTCCAGGTGGATTCCCTTGGAAGAGGCGAGGGATTTGGTCGTTGTTTCGACGTCGGTTAGGGTTGTTGTGCCGTAAAGATGGGGTTCGCGGGTCCCCAGGAGGTTTAGGTTGGGACCGTTGATGAGGAGGATTCCTGGCATTTTGAAGGTGGAGAGTGGGTTTGATTTCGTTGGGAGGATAATTGGGATTTTTTTGGTTTGCTTGATCTTTAATCTATTAAACTAGGGGTATCTTATATCTTATATCTTTGTGGTTGTTTACTATGTATGCTGTTTGGCTTCGGTTATGAGCATAGCCGAACGGGTATTATCAGAAATTGAGAGGATCATGCCGAGGGACCCTGAAGTTGGGCGAGGAAATCTGTGTCCAGGTCTCCGTCGTAAAATCCTAGGTTGTGCGCAAAAGCAGGTTCTTGTCTGGAGATGCGGTTAGGATATGTATTCCACGATATGGAGGTGCCAGTGCGAGTGGGAGATTAACGTACCTGCTTGATGGGAACGAGGTGACCATCTCTTCAAATAGAGCGTCATATCCCTCTGCGCCAGATAGAGCTGCCGAAGTGTTATAGCCACCGGTATCAGTGATATTTGGCAAGTCTACGATAGACGATTCGGCGATGTTGGCCATGGCGATTGCACTTTCGGGTATTGTCATCGTCACGGAGGGCTCTCCCTGATTCAAAGAGGGAGCTGGGAATGGGTAGTCGGGCTGACTCTTCCATCCAAGATGGCTTGTCGACTTGGTCAAATTCAAAAAGTTGTGGATGCGACTTTCCAAGTCCGCCTTCTCCGCCGAGCTTAATGCCGCATTCGTGACAACGAGACTCCGTTGGCATTGGAGTGCAAAGCAATGAACTAGCGGGGAGATCCCAGCCTCTCCAGCGATTGCAAGGTAATGGTCCAGTATATCAAGTACGCGGTGAACCGTTCTGATGCAAAGGTCCGTGACCGCAGGCGAGACCGGCTCAAACCTACGGATCAATGACAGCGTCGTAAAAGCGGATGCGAGGTGTAACACCAACAAAGGCGGATTGTTCGCGTTCTGCCTGTTATATGGCCGATCCTGCAGTATAACCCCTTGTCTTTCCCGAAGGCTGTCAAGAAGATCCTCCAACTGGAAATTTGACATTGGCTGGTATAGAATTTTGGACAAATCTTGCATGAGTTGCTGGATGATGTTAAAGGAGCTAAGGGCACGCAGAGGGGCGGTTGATATGCGTCCGCCGTTGACGGAGTTGCTGCGAGTTGCAGACCAGACGTCCCACTCGTCTACATCGTCGTCCTCTACCGGTCCCTCTTCCAGTTGCTCGTTCGAGGACAAACACGGCGTGCGTCCTAACAAAGCCGACAGAATGGTGTCCAAGAAGACACAGCCGTTGAACGAATGGCGGAACCGTGTCTTCCTTGCGGTTAGTGGTAGGCCAGCCAACAACCTCGTAGCCTGTCCTACCAAGGTCCAGGCGTGATGAATGTTGCCGAGGGAAATTTGAGTCAACACAAAAATAAGAATTGCATGAATGTGGCCAAGATCCAGACTCCTCGGCTCTGCGAGAAGCTGCTCTTGAATGGAGAGCTGGATGGCCGACGGAGACGTTAGGCGGACATCGTGGTTTCCTCTTAGAATAGAGGTGTAAGATATCACAGCCCATAGTACTAGATTGCATGATGTCGCACTCGTTGTCGGTCGATTCCCAGTCGTATGCATGGCCCGAAGGAGTTCTCGGCGTTCAAGAATTGGAAACCAACAATGCGTGTAGGTGAAGTAAAAGTCGACCAGGTCTGGGGTATTTTCCGGTATCAGCCAATTAACTCCTTTTGACGTGGTTTGAGATGCCCTTTGGCTCTGGAATGGCTCTTGGATAGTCTGAATGATCATGGGCTCGTTCGAGCCAAAATCTATTGGTGCACCGACTAAATCTTCCATGTTCTCATCCTGATCGCGAGTCTCCACCGGTTCCCAGTCAGAGCCATCGTGGCCAGCTTCTTCATGATCGGGTTTCAACAATTGATTCACGTCTTGGGATAATCTTGATTTTCGCCAAACGGTCACAAGATGATCTGCTTGTCCACTTTTTAGGAAATTGCCTTTGCCTCGTGCATCGCGTAAGAGGCCAAAGACAGTGCTCTCACCCCCAGGCACATTCTGGAGAACAAGACCTAGAGTAATTTCAAGGCTTCGGACATATCCGGATGGCAGGCCTCGTCGACCTCCACCAGTTTGATAAGTGCAGGTCCGGTTTGCAGCATGACATATCTTGCACACGGGCTGTTCTCCGTCACACTTGGACTTGCGACGTCGGCATTGATCACAAGCACGATAAATGCGCTGCCGTTTCGAGGGACGTGGACTGGACATTGAATCCACGCTTATCAGTCATCCAACATCCTTAATTGATTCACTGGTCGCTTCGCCTGTAGAAGATGAATATGGTTGGGTTGACTGCGAGTGGCAAACAGTCAGGTGATCGGCCTTGGGTTTAGCCGATGGCAATTCTGTGGACGAGCCGACAACCAGCCACGCAGAGGTTCGTTCACAGATCAAAGAAAAGACAATGTCTGGTAAAATCGCGAATAGTCATTTCATGTGCAAAACACAGTCTCTGAAATGAGTGCTATCGAAAGCTCTCCTGGTCCATTGAAGTGCAGCAGGACGCCGCCAGCGTCTGCCAACAAAATTCTTGGCATTCGACGACAATATAGCTCGGATGCTACGATATTACTCGTCGGGCTTTTTGGTGCTGGCAAGAAGACGCTTGGAATAATTGCATCTGTTGCCTTACGAAGACGTTTCGTTGACTTTGATGCGGTCTTCAATCAAGAAGTTCAATCCTCACCTCAAGAGTTTATAGCTTGCCACGGTCTTGCACGATATCGCGATCTCGAACTCCAAATATCAAAGGATCTCCTCGCAAAATATGATACGGGTTGTGTCATCGTTGGCCTTGGAGGCACGGCGAGCCCTTCGCAGCGCACCCTTCTAACCGAGTGTGGTCGGCGACATCCCGTTATCTATGTGCGACGTGATGAGCATGATCTACAACGGCTCTCGGGAACCACCCCGGACAAGTTTAGTCGCATCTTCGAGATTGTGAATGCGTTTTTCGAGTCTTGCACCAATTTTGACTTTTTCAATCATACTCAAAGCGAATCTCAGAGCGCTCCGACATTGCCTGCCTACCTCAAGCTCAAAGAGACCGAGCGTGTATTTGTGGCATTCCTACAGAGGATTTTTGGAAGAGATCATCGCCAAGTTTTCTCAGTCGATCCATTTTCAAGGTCACACACATACGCTTTACAAGTTCCTGTGGCATATCTGGATAAACCGGAGCTTGATCTGGAATCACTTGAGTCTGGCGCTGACGCTATCACTCTTGTGGTTCAACCCGAAGATATAACCTCCACCAAGTTGACGGAAAAGCTTGTACGCCATATCGCCTTGTTGAGAAAACATTCCCGAGTTCCAATAATTGTGGATGTGTCCGCACCTCATTCAACACATTCGACTTTCGATTATCACAAAGCTCTCGCGACCACCCTTCGACTTGCCCCAGATGCCCTGACATGTTGCCTTGAATGCGACCATGGTCTTCTCTCCGAGCTTAAATTTACAAAGGGCTATACCAAAATCATTGGCACGCTTCATAACCCCATTCCTATTGGATCTCAAGCTGCCATGCTGTCAACCGTCACCGAGCTAAGCAGGGATTCCGAATGTGACGCCCTACGAGTGACTGGAGAAGCAATCTCACCGGATCAGAATTACGCCTGCCTATCCTTTTCTCATGACATAGGAACAACCTTGGAAATTCCTATCATCACATACAATACGGGACCAATGGGACGAGTTTCGATTTGTCTGGGCCGAACTCTGTCACCAGTTGTACTCCCATCCTTGCAGGAGACAGGCGTAACAATGCACGAAGCGCAATGTGCGTTGACCGCTTGTTTCTTGCAGTCGGAGAAAACCTTCACCATTTTCGGACAAAGTGTGAAGTACAGTCTTTCGGCAGCGATGCATAACACTGCTTATGCGGCATGTGGATTGCCACATGTCTACGATACCATCCAAAGTCAGAACTTATCAGATATCCACCCCCTCTTGAACGATGAGAACCACGGTGGCGTGACGATCTCTCTTCCTTACAAATCAGCAATCCTACCTTTCCTTGATGAAGTCAGCTCTGATGCAAAGGATATTAACGCCGTCAATACGGTAGTGCTGGAACATAGTCAGCTTCTCAGCGGTGAAAGCGTCACTATTCGACGGGGTTACAACACTGATTACATTGGTATCAGAGATTGCATCCACAAGCACCTTTCTCCAGCAAATGCAGTTCGTGATGGTACCACGGCTTTGATTATTGGCGCTGGAGGAATGGCTCACGCTGCGATCTATGCATGCTATGAACTTGGCGTTCGGAGGATGTGCATCTACAATAGAACGACCGAAAACGCCAAAAAGCTTGCAGATTATTTCCATCAGTGGGCAAAGTCAAAGTCAGGTGTGAATTTGCAACTCGACGTGCTCTGCTCGCCAGAGGACCCTTGGCCGTCAGACTGCCGTCTACCCACTATTGTCACCTCCTGCATTCCACCATATGAGCTTGGAAGTGAAAATCCAATCGATATGCTGCTGTCAGAACGGTGGCTTAGCAGCCGAACAGGTGGCGTGTATCTTGAGGTAAGTGAGAATCATCATGGGCTCGAAGACTCCAAGTTCATTAATTGTCTAGGTTGGATATGGCCCCTCCATGACTCGATTGATGGAACAATTCCTCCCGCGTGCATCGAAGGGGTGGGTGGTAGTAGATGGACTGATGGTGCTGGTTGAGCAAGGCATTGCTCAATACGAGATCTTCACCAAGCGACCAGCACCAGTTCATGTGATGCGACGTGCAATTCGTGAACAGTCCATCCGGCATGGCTTTGTTCATGGATGACGATTTTTTATCTTCGCATAAATGCATCGGTCTACCCAGCTGTTCGCAACAGGTAATATATCGTTGGTCGTGAGACCCCGGGGAGTGTGTTGTTGAATAGCTGTATGATAATTATTCGATACATCTTCCTTCTCAGCTTAGCTCGCTGTCTCATCTAGTATGTTTTCGAGTAGAGAACCGAGACACTAGATTTACCAAATAGTTTATTTTGAATCCTTAATTCCTATCATCGCCTCCGTCTACATGGGTAATGTTACAGATTCCTCTTGTTGTTGACTTTTCGCTAGTTTCATAAGAGCTAGAATTTCACTCGATCAGTAATCCGATAGTCCTTCAAATGAGGAGGGGGTTCATTCACAAACCCGGGGTTTGAGCCGACCCCGTTTCTGCTGTATTCACGGCCATCAGGTTAAGATCCACCGGAGCTAGGCTAAGACTTTAACCTTCCACCCCCTCCGAATGACGTTTTAAATCGCATCACATCTACGTTTCAAGATACCAAAAACGAATCTCATTTTGAAGCAAGCCGATAAGTCTTATCAAATATAAGCGAGGGCAATCACGCAAGTATGTCTTACCAACCCGCTATTATGAGCGCGTCCCTCGGACGGGCATGGCTACACAATCTCCACTACAAGATCGAACAAGCCGCAAAGGCCGGTTTCAAAGGAATTGAGATATTTTATGAGGACCTCGATTACGCCGCCCGAGAAGCCTCCGGAAGCGACTCCCCATCTGCAGAGGATATTCTTAGCGCAGCAGATCGTGTTCATGAGTCCTGCCAAGCGCAAGGGCTCCAGGTGATCGGCCTCCAGCCCTTCCTCTTCTACGAAGGTCTCAAGGACCGCGAACAACAAGCTAAGCTGATTGAGAAAATGAAGCTGTGGTTCCAAATTGCCAAGAGACTCGAGACCGACACGATTCAAATTCCTGCCAACTTCCTGCCGGCAGAGCAATTAACGGATGACCTGGATATCATCGCTGCCGACCTGCGACAGGTCGCTGATATGGGTGCTGCTGAGAGTCCTATTGTGCGCTTTGCCTATGAGAACCTGTGCTGGAGTACGTACATCGACACTTGGGAGAAGCTTTGGCAAGTGGTGAAACGCGTCGACAGGCCTAATTTTGGCATGTGCCTTGATACCTTCAACATCGCCGGGCGCGTTTGGGCAGATCCAGCCGATGCGACGGGCAAGACGCAAAATGCAGACGCAGACCTGAAACAATCTCTGGAGCGGATGGTAGCGGAGATTGACCTGACCAAAGTTTTCTACATCCAGGTCGTGGATGCTGAGCGGATGGAGTCGCCTTTGGTTTCTGGTCACCCGTTCCATGTTGACGGTCAACCGGCACGGATGAGCTGGTCTCGAAACGCCAGAACTTTCATGTATGAGAATGATCGCGGTGCATACATGCCAGTGGAGGATGTGGCGAAGACCATTATAAATGGGCTAGGCTATAAGGGCTACGTTTCTATGGAGCTGTTTTCCCGGACTATGGCTGAGACGGGCAAGCACGTTCCTGACGAGCATGCGGCACGGGGTATTGCCGCTTGGAAGAAATTCCAACAAAGACTTCAGTTAGAGTAAATAGGGAATATGTAGTTCGTAGCAAGGCTTCTATAACATTGTAAATCTTAAAATGAATTCAAGATCAGATGGAAAGATAGAAGAAACCTGAAGATAGAGATACCGTAAATTCGTGTCAGACAACTTTACTCACCGAGGTTTCAATAGGAACGATTTAGTACATTTAGTCCTGCCGGCTTTCAAAGCCATGATGATTATTGTCCAGTTCGAAGCAAATCTAAATACATGAAATTCGATTGCATTTTGGTAAAATTAAATATCAATGGCCTTTCCATCCAACCAGTCCTTAGACAGCCTATATAGTAGATCATGCTTCTCTCCACAAACGGTACCCACGTGTCGTCTGTGTCCGGGCATATCTCTTAGCACGGCAACACCCATCGTGAGCTCCTGGCAGTAAGCAAGACATTTGTAGCCCTCAGGATAAGAGTTAAGCTTCTCATCATTGATACGTGGGATCTTGTTGGGGTTGACGGGCAACAGCTTATCCTTCTCGTACCAATGACGAACGAATCGGGCTCCCCAGCGGCCATTCACCTTCTCAAAGAAGAAACAGAATCGGCAATCCGCCTCGGCGTCAACTTCGCACCCGTCGATCGTGAAGCGCTGCGTGATTGTCGCTTTCATCTTGGTGACGGCGCGAGTGGCATCGGGAGTGATGTCCGTTGTCACGCCGTGACAGCGGTGCATGATAAAAGCGCCTTTGTCCATGCCGGCCTTGGAAGCGGCAATGAAGTCTTTATAGGAGACTCGGCCGGACCAGGTTGTGTATACATGGGCGTCTTCGTGAAAGATGGATTCAAAGTTCTCCCATTCACAGGCATCGCTATGGAATTTTCAGCAACTGGGGACTGGAAATGTTTGGAGTATAGGCATAGCTTACCGGTAACAGGGCCAACCCTCCGCAAGCTCACGCAGCTTCGCTCGTTCCAAGACGAGGTTATCAGGACCATTGTTGCGAATGGCCTGCTCGGGCCAGGTGCCTTCGGGGAGAGAGTGTAGGTCAAGCATAATGTAATTCAAGGTTTCATGTGGAAGTGTCACTCAACACTCCAGCCGGGATGGGGAATGCGATTATATACCGGCTTCGGGATATCCGGGGACACGGTTAATGCCACTGCCGATGGAAAACCCGCCCATTGCCTCCGGACAAACCAACATGTGGGATGCGGGGGAGGACGGAATCTATGGAGCGGAGGTCTTTATGTAATGCTTTTCTACATTAGGTGAAAACGATGTACCGGTTTAGAAGGTCTCCGAGGAAGTAATTCAACTAACATACTATTGAAACTAACATGATCTAGAAATTGATACCTTTGCTGTTCTCGGCAGCTTTCAGCAGGACATTCCAGGCGCCCTCTCGATCTAACCTTTGAAGACGATCCTCCCCCGCCCACAAGCGCCATTGTTCTTCAATCTGGTACCCGATGATATGCGTGCCCTCCACACACGGCCAATCCAACTGCTCGGCCAACTTGATCATTCTGGTTCTCCGAGGCTTGAAACACATATCCAATAAGACACCTTTTTGCGACCTAGATAGGAAATGCTTCAAAATCGAAGCTACAGCCAACTCCGACTCCGTAGTTGGCTCAAAATCGGGCACAGTTCCGACGATATAGTACGGAGTTGATAGAGTCTCTGCCTCACTCAGAGACTTGACATGGATGATCTTGGGGATCGCAGGAAGTCGACGTGAATCGGCGATGAGACTCTCCACTTCTTGATCATCTCGATTCAGAATGTAAATCGTCGGACAGTAAAGTTGATTGGCGAGGGCATAGACGGCTGCACGACTCGCACCACCTGCTCCCACGACTAGAGCAGAGGCCGGACGCTCTGCTGAAGGTCGATCTTTCTCCTCGCCCTTTTCCAAGAGACAACCCTTGACGCCTCTCCAGTCGGTGTTGGTGCCGCACAGACGTCTGCGACCGTCATCTTTGTAGTAGACGTTGTTGCAAGCGCCAATGATGGTTGCAAGATCGTCAATCTCGTCCAGATGCTTCATGATGGTGTTTTTGTATGGCATGGTGACTACCAGGCCGGAGGTCGTAGACTTCTTTCCCAGGGCCACCACATCGTCGAGTGTTGGACATTCGGTTGCGTAGAACGTCCATGGCAGACCCAATGAATTGGCGATATAATTATGCATTTCGGGGGCAATGGAGTGGGTGACACCCACGCCCACCAGGTGGAGGGTTTTCTCTTCGGACTGTTGCATGATGGTGGCGGAATCTAGCGAGAGAAAATATCTGAACAACAGAATGAATTGTAGTCAAGCCAGTCGATGATAGAAGCTTGATGAACTTAGATGATTCGAGGGAGAGTATCTCGGGTTAAGTCATTGCCTTTCTCCGTCGGGGCGCGATGTCTTAGCCGATGGACTCGTCATATCGCGGTTAAGCTCATGGCCGAACCTGATTTCCGAACTTGGATAGTATACAGACAGTATATCTGCCGACTCTGGTTACTTGCGAGAATTATTTCAAAATTGAGCCTTCACCGAGCTTACAGACTTCAACTTTTAGCCAAATGACTCAATCTGCATCTCCCTCAGGCCACGCCGTCGCACCCAAGAATTTCCACATTTTTGGTAGTGGAATATCCTTCAGCATTTCGCCGACCATCCACAATGCCGGATTCATGCATTATGACCTTCCATACAAATACGACGTCCGAGAATCCTCCAACATCGATGGAGTGGCTAGATTCATCTCGGACAAGCAATTCAGCGGCGCCAGCGTCACGATGCCCCATAAGTTGCAAGTTCACAAGTTTTGCACCGAGCAGACGGACACCGCCCGCTTGATTGGAGCAATCAATACTCTCGTTGTCAAGGGAGATGGAAATGGACGGCGGATCATTGGTGATAATACGGATTGGTCGGGACTGCATAGGATCATAGCGGATTATGCGACAAGGACGGGTCAACGGTCGAACATTGGCCTTGTGATTGGCGCCGGAGGTGCTTCGCGAGCAGCGCTCTATGCCATGCACAAAGCAGGGATTCGGTCTATTTATCTCGTTAATCGGACCCTGGCCACTGCAGAGAAAGTGAGACATGATTTCAAGGCCGTCTTCGACATCATCGTCGTTCCGAGCCTCGAGGAGCTTCCTCAACACCCGGACGTTATCGTGGGTACCGTTCCTGCCGAGACTACGACTGAAGATCAATTCTCGGCCCTCTTCGGAGAAAGAGGTCTCTGCATCGACATGTCGTATAAACCGAGGCAGACACCGTTGCTGAGTGTGGCTCAGAGAAACGAGGGATGGTATACCGTGACTGGTGTGGAAGTGTTGCTGGCTCAAGCATACGATCAGTTCTATCTTTGGACGGGCTGTGAGCCACCGAAAGAGAAAATGGTGGAGGCTGTTGCTCAGCATGAGCGCGAGCGAGCGAGAGGAGGAACAAAGGGAGGGTTGCTCTGAACTTGAGATAACGTGGGAATTCCAATTGTGATAAGATGGATTTGTGCGTAGATATACCTATTGTTTAGAAATAGAATAGAGAAAATGTCGTAAGCCCCTGCACTCCTATGAACGGCCTAGCACAACTGCCTTGGAACAAAGTGTTTATGGGCAGCTTCGTTACTTGAGTTTACTTCACCTCCACAGGCAAATCTATAAATGTTCGGTTCTATTTTCAATTTTGTATACAAGGCCAGTCCCGCTGCCATGTGCTCTATATGGGGGTATAAACATTTCAAATGGTCGCATAAATGCATGGCATCAGTGACGTGATTGATCAAGCCGCACGAATGGCCTGCTCGGGCTTGGTTCGACCCAGTCCCTCCTTGGCATAAAAGTCCATTGGGTAAATACCATTGTTGGCCTTGTCCCAGTTCTCACGAACACCCAAGGCAATAAGCGCCTCGTATGGGGTGAGCAATGGCCGAGAAAAGGCATAGCCCCAATCAATACTCAGCCGTGGGCAGGCGATCTGCACCCAGCACTCGACGTCCGACATGGATGCGAGCTTTCCTGGGAAGATCTCACTCAATAGGAGATTCACCACAGGAATACCTCGCTCGGCAAGGTGACGTTCAATCATCGCCATTGTGTTCGGGTTGCCTTGCCGACCAAGCGACCCCAAAATGATACCCCATTTCTTAGCTGACTTGGCAGTTGCAATGGCGTCTCGGCGAATGGTGTGCATTTCATCGTGATCGTATGATTCCCGGGTCAGCGTCCGTGAATAAGGATCATACCGGTATGCTGGGATAGTGGGGTTGTGGATCATGGCAGATTCGAGATGGAAGCGGCCATCACCCAGATAGAGAAGAACGTCAATCTCAGACTCGGGTAGAACTGGCGAAGTGCAACCCAGAATTTCACCCTTGGAGAGCGGCATAATTTGCGGGATCACAACACGGAAACCAGCACGCTCCAGAACCGCCTTCAGTCCGTGCAGGGTTGCGTTGAACTGGATGGTGCCGACAGTGGCGATGGTTTGCCCGGGTTTAAAGTTGCGCTCGAGGGTAGCGATGAGATGGCTCGTGTCGATGCTAATGTCGACAAAGATATATAGCGTCTTGATCTTGGTCACATCCACGGGGATCAAGCAACTGTGGGCATAATGAACCAAAAGATCGCATCCCAGGGCCCGTGCCGTGTAGTCGTCAATGCAGCATGCACCGTATGTCACGTCACCCATGATTAACGTCTCAATACCGGGACAAAATTGTGTGAGGATGTCTGAGATAGTGGTCGCAAAGATCAGCAATCCCTCTGGGAACTGCAGTGCAACACGCTTGGCTCCGGAGGAGCGGACTCGATGGATTGTCTTGGGGATCTCGAAGGAGTAGTTCTTGGGAAGCAGGTCGATTGCGGCTTGAATCTCCGGGTCATTCAGGATCTCTGGGGGCACTTGATTGAGGGTTCGAGGAGTCCTCCTTGGGGCGGCTGATTGCACAGACATGTTAGTAACGTGCTCCGATCCGTGCCGGCAAATCCTGCATACCTGTCTGCACTGCCGTGGATTCGACATCGTTTTGGCTCGTGACGTCCTTTTGCGCCTGGGCTTCGGCAGTACGTCGACCGACGAATCTCTTCTTGGGCTGGCGCATCTGACTAGCAGGGGTGTTTGCCGTGTCCTCCATATTGACAAAAGTGGTCGACCCTCAAATCACGAATTTTATGAAGAGTTGCAGAAGATCACCCCACTATCGCTTTCTATCGTTTTTATCTTTTTTTCGGTGGGGCGTGACCGTTCCCGCACTAAGCCCAAGATGGTTTAGTTCTCTCCGCATCAGACGAGCTCCCCTCTTTACTTCTTCGACTCCTCGTCACTTCCCTTTCTCTGTTCTCCAAGTTGCTGATTCGGGTACTCTTTCTTATCTCCTTGGAACCTCTCAATTTTCTTTGAAGCCACCAGGATGGCAGTTTACTCTCGTCTGCGTCTGCTCTCGGCCTTCCGGGTTCCTCTTGTCACACGATGCTATTCAACCGAATCGCGGTTAGCCTCGGATCATGTTCGCATCGTGGAAGTTGGCCCTCGCGATGGACTGCAGAATGAGAAAAAGTCTATCCCGATGGAAACCAAAATGGAACTGATTCGCAGACTAGCCAAGACCGGTGTCACCACCATCGAGGCCGGCTCCTTTGTACCGGCGAAATGGGTACCACAGGTATGGGCCTTCAGCGCATCTCGGCGCAGCGATTTGATTGATGTGAACTACTAACGTCCCGGGGCTGGGAAGATGGCCAGTACGGCTGAGATCTGTGAACAACTTCTCACATCACCTCCACAATCCCAAAGTACAATCGCCTATAATTATCTAGTTCCCAACATCAAGGGGCTGGAGAGCCTTGTCAAGATCATGGATGCAACCGGTGTTCCGGCAGACTCGCCCGGCTCAGAATCCAAGTCAGCGACGACGACAGAAATCTCCCTTTTTGCCGCCGCTACGGAATCCTTCTCAAAGGCCAACACCAATTGTACTATCGCCGAGTCCCTGGAGCGCATCAAACCGATCGTTGCGCTAGCCAAGACGAAGAGCATTCGCGTACGTGGATATGTCTCAGTGGCACTGGGCTGCCCCTACGAAGGTCCCGAGGTGAGCCCATCCAAAGTGGCTGATATTACGGCGACTCTTTTGGAGATGGGCGCGGACGAGGTGTCGGTTGCCGATACTACGGGTATGGGTACTGCGCCGCGGACTATGGAGCTTCTGCAGGCTCTCAAGGCGGCTGGTATTGCCAACACGGATCTGGCACTTCATTTCCATGACACCTATGGACAGGCCTTGGTGAACACCATAGTCGGGTTGGAGCATGGTGTTCGGATTTTCGACAGCAGTGTCGGAGGATTAGGTGGCTGCCCGTACTCCAAGGGTGCCACTGGCAACGTTTCCACGGAGGACCTCATTCACACCATTCACAGCTTGGGCATGCACACGGGTGTCAGCCTCGAGGAAATGTCGCGAATCGGCTCGTGGATCAGTGGGGAACTCGGGCGAGTGAACGACAGCCGAGCCGGCAAGGCCACCCTAGGCCGACTGTCGGAATAAAAAGTGGTCCTCTGTAACAGTCATCCCTACTCCGCTTGTGCCGTATATATCACCAATGTTTCAATAATTTGAGCGAATTCTGTTTATTGTCGAATCAGTGGCGGCCGTTCTCGTACATTCACTACACATATCATACAATAATCCAATCCAATAGCCGAGATCCAGTCTGCCACTTCTTTATATACATTGTGTCCCGTATCGATCTGTCCGTTGTAGAGCAGAGAGGTGAATCAACGCCAGCATTATGCATAGCCCTCAAGCAGTTGGGGCCTTCAGAAATCAGTCACACGGCCTCCATAGCTCCAATCTCCGGCGGATCCCCATCGCAAAGGCTCATTCTTAGGTCCACCAACTTCTCCCGTCTTCGGGTTCTTCTCGCCCTCGAATTCGGGCTTCAAGCCCTGCGGCGCATCCGGGTGAAGCTCCTCGCCACTTCCGTTGACCTTGATCTCTGGCCGGGCGTCCGACTGTGGGGACTGGTTGACCTGGGGCGTACTGAATGCACCCGTTGAACGGCGTTGAAGTTCCTCGAATATCTCTTGTTCTTCTTTGGGGAGGCGTGGAGGAGCGGGAGTGTGCTTGAATCCGAATGATGGTTTACCGTCGTCGCTGCGCCGAACGGCTGTTGTGGAGAGGGATCGGGTAGCGAGTCGGCTCGTGAAGGAAGGGACGCATACGCGACGCAGTAGCAGGGAAGATGCCATGATTATTGCTTTGGGAGGTATTTTTCAGCGATCAATGAGCAATTGGTTGCAATGAAGCCGAGTCGAGGGAATAATAACCTTCAATGCCTCGTGCCTCGGGAGGTGGCGCCGAACCTCCAAATGACTAAGAGTGGCCGATCCGATCCCGATATCGCCTTAACTTTTTTTGGTCTCTCCGCCCGTCGAGTCATCCGAGCAGTTGGTCTTCTTTTAATTTCCCTCTACAACTGCCCCTCGGAAGATCAATTCGGCTGTGCAAATAGCAGACGACTTTTACAACTCACAATGTCTGCTCTTCGTTTGGCCGCGCGCCGTGTGCCTCGCGCAACTCGACTGGTTCCTTCCTTTGAGTCGCCGATCCAGCGACGCTTTGCGGCGACGTCCAATGCTCCCCAGGAAGTGAAGCGCCAGGTGCAGGTATGTAATTCGTTTCAACATGCCCATTGCAAGACTCATTCATCTAATTTCTTTTTCTTGCAGAAGGAGTCTACCCTCCCTAACCCTGACCCTTCGCCGGACTCGCTCACCGTGTCGTTCATTAACGAGCGCGCGCCCTTCATGGTTCCCACCTACGTTCGCCCCGCTCCCATGATGATGAAGGGCCAGGGCTGCTACCTGTGGGATATGGAGAACCGACGGTACCTGGATTTCACTGCCGGTATTGCAGTGAACTCTCTCGGTCATTGTGATCCTGAGATTGCCCAGATTATTGCGGAGCAGGTGCGCAGCCATAAATATCGCAGGCCCAACAGAAGCGACTACTAACTAACAATGTGCTATCTATAGGCCGAGACTCTCATTCACGCCTCCAATCTTTACCACAACCCTTGGACTGGTGCTCTGAGCCAGCTTCTCATTAACCTGACCCGCGAGTCCGGTGCTATGCGGGATGCTTCCCAGGTCTTCATCTCCAACTCCGGCACCGAAGCTAACGAGGCCGCGATCAAGTTTGCCCGCAAGGTCGGCCGTTCTATCGATCCCTCCGGTGCTAAGCACGAGTTTGTCTCCTTCCACAACTCCTTCCACGGTCGTACAATGGGAGCCCTGTCTGCTACCCCGAACCCCAAGTACCAGACTCCCTTCTCGCCTATGCTCCCCGGATTCAAGTACGGCAACTACAACGACGTTGAACAACTGCAGACCCTCATTACTGAGAACACCTGCGGTGTGATTGTCGAGCCAATTCAGGGCGAGGGTGGTGTTAACGTCGCCAAGCCCGAGTTCCTTGCTGCTCTCCGCAAGCGCTGTGACGAGGTCGGCGCTGTGTTGATCTTTGATGAGATTCAGTGCGGTCTGGCTCGTACCGGCAGCTTCTGGGCTCACGGCCACCCATCTCTAGCCCCTGCCTCCGGCGAGGCTGCTCACCCGGATATCCTGACCACTGCGAAGGCCCTTGGTAATGGTATTCCCATTGGCGCGACCATTGTCTCTGGCAAGACCGTCGCATCTCACATTAAGACTGGTGACCACGGTACTACCTTCGGTGGAAACCCGCTGGCTTGCCGAGTTGCCTACCACATCGTCGCACGTCTGGCTGACCCCGAGCTCCAGAGCGCCGTCTTGGAGAAATCCAAGGTCTTCACCTCCGGCTTCCAGGCTCTGCAACAGAAGTACCCCGACGTTATCTCGGAGGTTCGTGGCCGCGGTTTGATCCTTGGTCTCCAGCTGTCTCCACTTTTCTCCTCCAAGGCCGCTGATATCATCACTGCTGCCCGTGAGCGCGGCCTTTTGATCATCACAGCTGGTGATGGCTGCATCCGCTTCGTTCCTCCCTTGACCATCACGGAAGAGCAGATCCAGACTGGCTTGAACATCCTAGAGCAGGCTCTGACTTCCGTGGCGTACCAAGCTTAGATTTGCTCCTATCTGATTTGCATGCCGCCTACGATATGTTTGATATATACCATTCTGCTGGAGCGACTTATTTGTTTTTGAGTTTGATTTTACCTGGTTGCAGTCCGATGTATAGATCGTTGATACATAGAGGCACGAAGCGCGAAAGTTGAAAATTTGATTCTTTTTTACTTCAGCCATTGACCCCAACTACCATTTGTCTGTCTTGCGTTCTATTTCAATGCGAAAATGACCAAGTGTTGCCCAGTTAAGAGTCCTTACCATCGTTGTCACCAGCCGCTGGCTCCAGTAGATACGATGACGCGCGTAGCGGAACCCGCCCGGTGGACCGCGTGGAACTCCAACTTCCCCCATCCACCTCCCCCATTCAGTGGTGATACACGCACCTGCCCCCATCTTCCTCGTGTGCTATCCGGGTTGCCCGAGATGATCCCTCGCTCTTAGTCGGAACTCATGGACTGCGCATCCGTCCATGTTTCCCTTTATCTGTAGCCACTGAACTCCCTCACGCGACTACCTGCTTCAAGAATGCCTCCCCGCGGCCCCTCTGATGACGCCCGCATGTTTTCCCCTAACGTTTCTTCGATGTCGACACGGACTAGCATATGTGACCGGCTCAGAGGAGTCTTCCACGGTGCTGACCCTCGAGTCTGCGTCGCTTTTTGGCTCTTTGGTGCGCTTCGCTTGGATCTGTGATGAGCTCGAATCACTTTCTAGGAATGTCAACTGATAGCTTCCCCTTCTAGGCCTAGTTAACAATGTCCTCTATGTGATTCTGCTCTCCGCAGCACTCGACCTTGTCGGTCCGGATGTCCCCAAAGGCGTCGTCCTCCTGGCGGATATCATCCCCTCCTTCGGGACCAAATTGATTGCCCCGTACTTCATTCACGTGGTACCCTACTCGATGCGAGTGATAATCTTCGTGTTCTTATCCGTCGTGGGAATGCTAGTCGTCGCGATGAGTCCGAGCTACACGGATGGCGGGACCATCTCATCCAAGCTGGCGGGTATCGTTCTAGCGAGTCTCTCTGCGGGCGGCGGCGAGCTGAGCTTTGTCGGTCTGACGCATTTCTATGGACCGTTCAGTCTGGCGGCATGGGGTAGTGGCACGGGCGCTGCGGGCTTGGTTGGTGCGGGCGCTTATGCTCTCGCTACGTCTACAATGGGCGTTTCTGTCCGAGCGACCCTTCTGGCGTCTGCTATTCTGCCGGCGATCATGGCGTTGAGCTTTTTCGTAGTTCTGCCTCGAGCGGCACTGCAGACTCATAGTTCTACAGGAGATGGCTACATTGCGGCTGCGAGAGGTGACGAGCTAGATGAGGATGAGCTAAATGACGAGAGCCATGAGATCGAGCGCGGGGAAGAGGAAGGACTTTTGGGTGTTTCTGATCACTTGGCTGACACTTACAAGCCTGTCCATATCAACGAATCGTCGTCTTGGTGGGCTCGGTTTCGCGCTAACCTGCGGCGGCTCAAGGGGCTTTTCTTTCCCTTGTATGGTTTTGCTCTGAGATTAAGATGATATTCGTGCTGACCAGTTTCTAGCATGCTTCCATTGCTACTCGTATACATCGCCGAGTATGTGATCAATCAGGGTGTCAGCCCGACGCTACTGTTCCCACTATATACCACCCCCTTTGAGAATTTTCGCGCGTTCTATCCAGCCTACAACGCTATCTACCAAGCCGGCGTCTTCATCTCACGGTCTTCAACACCCTTCTTCCGAGTACACCATCTCTATCTACCGTCTTTCCTCCAAATCCTGAATTTGGTCTTCTTGACTCTCCATAGCATGTTCAACTTTATCCCGAATGTCTACCTTGTCTTTGCGGTCATTTTCTGGGAAGGCTTGCTGGGTGGGCTGGTGTATGTGAACACCTTTGCGGAGATTTCCGACCGCGTGCCTAAAGAGGATCGTGAGTTCTCGTTGGGTGCTACGACGGTGAGTGACTCGGCGGGGATTTGTATTGCTGGGTTCTTGAGTATGCCGTGGGAGGTTTTGCTATGTCGTTGGCAATTAAGCCATGGGAGGGACTATTGTCGGCAGGTCTAGTGCTGTTTTGAATTGATTTGGGCGTCCTTTGCGATAACTATATATACATGGCTAGAAAGATCGTTGTTCTATATTTTTGTGGGTGTACTTTTCTAGGTGGGAATAGGTGGACATCATAGCTTGCCCAAGTGTACGGAGTGGAAACACGTGGGTATTTATTGCGGATTCAAATTCTCTTAGACGGTACTAAGTATTAGTTGTGATTCAATAATACAGTTTCAACGTTCACGTCTCGTGGCTCGTGGCCTTTTGCGTCACTGACATGTGATAGTGTGGGGGCGTTCACATGTGATTGAACGTGAAAGAAACTGGAACTGCTGACACACTCAACCTTCTCTTCACCTTCAAGTCTCTTTGATTTCAGATCTACTGTGATACCGAGTACCGAGTACTGGAGACTCGGCTTACTCGTTGCTCTTACAGATCTCTCTGGTGGGTTCTTGCGCCCCGAAGGGTTTGACGATATCCCTAGCACCGGATCCGGTCAACAGCCAAGGGAAAAAGGAAAAATCGAAGCATCACCTCCTATGTGGAAATGATAGGTATGAACCAGGTATGAAAGCTATTCTGGGATTCCTGAGCTTATCAACGTCTTTGACAGACCACGTTTTGGGAAGACCTTCGACTCGGTTTCGCAAGATCCAGGTCTTCGCGGTCGTCTCATTTTGGTCCCTCTATCTACTAAGGTGCGTTACTTTTTCAGATGGGGAAATTCACGTAACTAATACAAGAAATCTTACCCGATGCAGAGCTGACAAGCATGGCCCTCCGCTTATTCGCTCTATCTCATCGCACTTCACCGGCAAATTAACCAGCTGGCAGACCACGGTCATCATCTTCTTATGGCTCTATGTGAGCCGCAACTTTGCCAAGATCGTGGGCTTGGAATGCCCAGAACCACTAGCAAATCTTTATTCTCGATCATTCTTTCGTGCAACATGGATCACCACTGGGTTGGATGCCGGCTTTTGGACGGCAATGAAAATCAAGCCCAAATGGCTGCGCGACTTGGCATCGCTGGTCTTCACGGTCTATTATCTCATCGCTGCAGAGCAAGCAGATGAGAAGGTACGGCGAGTCCGGGGTACGCTCACGTTAGAACACCTTCGCGTATCTTGGAATAAGGCAACAAGCCCCTACTTATGGTTCCTGGCGAGTTTGGTTCGCCCTCGACTTACCCGCTATGGCCCGCGAGCTATCCGGATCCCTCGGCCTAAGCACTCGGCGAACACGGAGCCAATCAGTGCATGGATGTACTTTGATGGGCCGCTCAGTGCATTGAAGGATCAGACTTCCCTCGTATTGGATGTCCCAGGTGGAGGATTCGTTGCGATGGGGCCCCGCAACTCGGAGGATAAACTACTTTCTTGGGCGGGTCAGCTGAAGATTCCAGTCTTGAGTATTGACTACAAGAAGGCTCCAGAGTATGCATATCCATATGCTCTTCATGAATGTTACGATGTCTATCATACGATCATGGCGACGAACGGTCGCTGTCTGGGGCTGAGTGGCTCGACGCGCCCTCGGATTGTGGTAACTGGAGAGAGTGCTGGCGGCAATCTTGCCGTCAGTATGACACTGATGGTCTTACAATCAGCCATGGCGCAAGGTTGGGAAGGTGAAAACGTTCTTCCTCGACCGGACGGTCTCGTGCTGGCGTATCCGGCGTTGAACGTGAGGGTCGAAAGCTGGATGTCGGACGAGCAGATGTCTTTGATCCAAGATAAAAGTTGTCGTCAGACGAATAGCGGCGTATTGCAACGCAAGCAGGATCAATATCGCAGGCTCACGCCGTACACGTCACCCGGTCACTCTGTTGAAAATTTGACCACGATATTCACTGACGAGAAGCGACCAAAACAGGGACCAACAGAGACCGATGTCGCTGCTGAGACATCCAAGGCATTGCGTGACAAGCTAGAGAAGAGCGAACACGTCTCCGGAGACGCTGCCTTCAAGACGGCTGGTCCGACTAATCCACTCAAGACTCGACTCGCGGTGTCCTCTATGATCTCGTATGTCCATGATCGAATCCTCACGCCTGAAATGATGCGTGCGATGATCATCCTCTACATTGGCCCACACCACCGGCCAGATTTCAATACAGATTTCTATCTGTCACCCGTCCTCGCACCAGACGCTTTACTAGCTCAATTCCCGAAGACGTACATCCTGACCGGTGAACGAGATCCACTCGTCGATGATACTGTTATCTTCGCAGGTCGACTACGACAAGCAAAACTTCACCGTTTCCATGAGCGCCAAGATCTTGGACTCGAAAAATCACAACGCCAATTCAACGAAAAAGACCACGTCGAAGTCTCTCTTATTCCTGGAGTCTCACATGGCTTCATGCAAATGGCTGGATTTTTCCCCGACGCTTGGAAATACATCAACCGCAGTGCGCGCTGGATCGAGAGTTTACTCGAGAATGCAGATCTGCAAACTTCGGAATACAGCCTCCTTCAGCTCTCTCAGCTCTCAAATCTGAAAAACTCCCAGAGGTTGCGAGACCTTTCTCAGAGACATACAACTATCAAGAAAAATCATTTCCGCAGCCTGACGGGTGAATCGTCCGCCGACGAGGATAGACCGCTGGAGATGAATATGAGCAAAATCACACCACTCTCCCAAAATGAACCTTCATCCTCTTCAACGGATCTCCCGTTACGACGCAGACGGTCCAAATCATCCTTTGCGTCCACTCATCTCAGCGGGCTTACTACTCTGGGTAACGACTCCAGCGATGTACGTGAGTTCCGCGCAAAGCTGAAACGCTTGGAAATAAGTCGCAATCTTCGAGATTCGTGTTTCGATGAAACAAACAGCGCTCCGGAAAGCCCTGTTGCGATTCGGCCTCGCGGAAGGAGTATTACCTCGCTTGGTAGCGAGGAGGATATTTTGGATCGGAGGATGAATGGAATAGCGGGCGGTTTGATGGGGCTGGGTGAGGGGGCTCAGACACCGGGAGCGTGAATTTTCATGTGGACAGACGTGAGATTTGGGAATAGAGATGCATGATTTACGAGATATGATTGATACGACAAATTGGGCTTGAGATTTACTAGATTCTAGAGTTGTTAGATAACCTATCATCGTGTGACATGCGATCTCTTTGACTTTGATTGTGTGTGCTATCTGTGATGTAGTCTGTTAGTAAAGATAAGAAATTGACATAGAGCTATGGACTACAAATACCGTTAGGTGAATGTTGATGATTGTCTGGGGTTTATCAGATATGAGCTAATCTCGCGTTTCTCTATCAACCTCCCAGATAGCCGATGTCTGCTCTTATCGGTGAAGCATTACGTTTCATGTCCTCGATAGTCGAAAACGACCAAATGTTTTGTCTGCCTATCGATGCCTAACTCAGTTGTGATATCTCGTCCAAGCCATTGTGTCCAGTTGTTCTCGTTGTCGATCTATCATCGACATGCGAGGTAATCAGTCAAACTTGACAGGTGGAAATTGGTCGGTCGCAAACCCTACGATAACGGTTTGCTAGTCTGTTCTGGTGATTGCATCGCCTTTGGCCAGAGAGTATAAGAATTACTAATATGACACCATGAGCTAGGCTAGTCTCGGTACCTACATGTGCGCAGAGTAACTACTTGCCATATAGAGAGATTCGTGAAGGAATACTTAGAAAGCGCATGCGAACATCAAACCGGACACGTCGTGATCGCATTCTAGTTCATAGCTAATTCAAGAGATAAAGCAAAGTGACTAGTAGTACACACCTCAACACCCTCACTAAAGCTTCCAAATACTCGAGCCAGCGGTCCACTTTCGGCAGGTCTTCCCGTAGAAGAAGAACAAGAAACCGAAAGAGCACCACAGCACTGTCAAACACATATTCATCATGATCGCCGGAATATAGCCAGACTCCTCGGTCCACGTGGTGATAAATTTACTGAAGCCGTAGCCCCACACGTTCTTGTTCACGGTGATGGCAATAAAGACGGAGCCGACGACGGGCTTGTAGCTATCGACGGCGTAGGTACTCGCGATAGCGGGCAGGGCTGTTACCTGAATACCAGCGCAAGTATAGCCGACAATAACGATTGCCTAATACGTAGATTAGAATGGAAGATTCAATGATCAGTCGCTCAATGAGGGGATATACGCACTCTCCAATCCCAGTGATACTCGTATCCGAACGCGATGATGAAATTTCCGATAATCGAGATGATCACGTAGGGGATCAGCGTCGGTAAACGCATCTCCGGCTCTCTGATACCCCTGTTCTTCTTGGTTGCTCGCATGGAGATCCAGTCGGAGAGGGGGCCATTGGTAAGAAGTCCAATCAATGCACCAGCAAGACTGGCAAAGTTGGTAAACCCGATAGACTGGCTGGACCAGTTATATGGCGGGGCACCGAAAGCTTGACTCTGCGTGAGATTGGCTGTGAGGAAACAGCTGGCAGACCACGACACTACGAACGCGGCATATTCAACAATCGGGAACGCTAGCAAACGCCACGGTACCCAGAATGCGAGAAGCAAAGTCTTGGCCCAGTGAGGATCAGGCTGATATATGGCGAACTGGCCTTTTGAGGGCTGGCCCTTGTGGAGGAATGGATCCATAGCAGCGTCCTCGACTGGTGGGGTTTGGACCTCCAGGTGCGTCTGCAGGTTCTTGGAAGAGTCCTCGGGTGATTCTTCCTTTTCCTTGCCATCTGCAGAGTCCCCAGTGGAAGTCACTGACGCCTGAGTATCGTGGATCTCATTAGGATGAGCGCGATGCCACTTTGTTTCTGGAAAGGCAAACACCGCAGCAAGGATAATGAAAACGAAAGCAGCCACGTTGAGCCACCAGAAGCTGCGCCAGCCGACATGCAGAGCCATCGAGCCGGCGATGATGGGGCCAACCTGTCATGATATCAAAAATCAGTCTATATCGCTCATGTACTGTCGACGCATCTCGCTGCACACTTACCATCAGTGAGCCGAAGTAGAGAGCAAAGTACATGGTGTTGTAATAGCCTCGCTCATGAAGGAAGAAGATATCGGTAATGACCTGCGGGCAGAGAGTCTGTCTCATCCATCGTCAGTCAGTTTTGTGTCCATTGAATATACAGTTTATATTTTGGCAGATATAACTTCTTACCTCGCAGGGTCCAGCGCCGAATCCATTCAGGACGCAAGCTCCCATGAAGCTTCCATAGGTCGTGGCTTTGGCCCGCCAGATGTTGGACGCCAAGCATACCAGGGAAGAGAAGATCAGAACGGGTCTTCTCCCAAAAGTGTCGGAGATAGGCACCCTAATATCGCACCCATAAGTAACCGCGATGATTTATTTTCCAAAACGAAGAGGCTCTCACCAGAAGAAGTTACTGAATCCAAGGACAAGAATGCACACTCCTGTGAACTGCACAACGGCAGCCAGATCGGAGTGGAATGCTTCGATCAAGTCTCCGAACATGGGCGCCAGTGCCAAGGGCCCGATACCCATAATGACATTGCTTGCCATTGCGATAAAGATGGTGATGAACTTCCAATATTTGTTCCAATTCTAGCGAGAGGGAAAGTTGGCTCAATCAGCATATTGTCACACAGTGCCGTCTGCAGCTTATGATCGTTGTACGTACGAGAGGATCGTTTCGGTCCTGGGATGGCTGAGGAACCAAGACATTCGACGATGCGCCCGACTGTCTCACGAAATGATGCGAGCCTACATCGGTCATGATCTCCGTACCGGGGTAGATCTTGACGTGGAGCTCATCTTCGAGTCTGCATAGATGTTAGCCACGCGATGATCCACATGATACTCTGCAGGAATCATGCAAGGTTTGACCTACTGGCGAAGAGTCTATATTGGGCGTGGGTTTGTTAGCCTTCGGATGATTCAGATTTGAGTTTACGTGTCAATCAGGAAAACCCACCGCCTCGTCGTTGTTCATCTCCATGATGAAAATTTCTCGGCCAAGTCAGCAGCTCACTCCAGAATGGCAAATTGGGACCGAAGATAGTCTCCAGGACGTGAGGAGTTGACATGCACCTGGGGGAGACCCGCGTGTTTTTGAGTTCCGTCGCGGCCGAGGCAGCTAAGCTTCGTCTTCTCAGCCATTGGAGTGTCAACGAATCAACTCCACGTAATTTAAGGGGTTTGATACCGGTCTCGTCCTCCCAGAGTTTGCCTGGGGTTGGCTGACAGCTAAGCTCTTTGAGGAGGGGGCCACTCGAGGGACCCGCCAATCAATGCGGGCCCCCCACGGGAAACTCTTGCGGGGGAGACCCTGGAGACAAGCGGGATGTGATGGGAGAACGACTGCCGGGTGATTTGCTGCCCATGGGCTTGAGTACGCAATGGCTGACTCAAATGCCCCCAATCAGCTTGCAAGCCACAAGCTTATCGAGACCGAAAGCTCAACGGCGGCAACTGCACTCGGCATTTTTTGAGGTGGTCATCTTGTAGTCGTGGACACCTGGTCCGGGGAATTTCCCCAGATGACCCCCCCTTCGTCTCCACGGTCCGGGGTGTGGCTTCTTTGTAACCATCGTGTAATCAATGAAATAGTCAGAATGACCGCGAGAGTCGGTCGGTCTAAATATCCGATCGGCTATCGTTAGGCATGGGTTTGGATGACGCGCTTGTTAGTAGGTTTATAGCGGACAATAGGGATCACTTTGCCATAACTACTAGTCAGCAATTTCTAGAGGGTGAGGTCAATGACACGACAAACAGATTCATGGCACGACAAGCTAGTTCTACTAAGGACCGCCATCACTTAGATACAAATTGCTTACACTCGACATCTATGTACCTAAGGGTGGTTGTGTTGGCACCACCTGCCAGCCCGAATTACCATGTTCCTGCCTGATTTCTGCCAAGCCCGTCACGGCCGTTAATTACAATTGTCAACTAATTTAGGCTATAATCTATCGATTTCCACAGCCGGAAGTATGTGAGAAGGAAGGGGTCGGTTGAAATTGTAATAACAGCCGTGACGGACTTGGTAGAGATTAGGTAGAGACACGGTAATTCGGGCTGCCAGGTAGTGCTAATAATATAGCTATAGATGAAATACAATAGTTCCGGGGGCCAGCACTTACAAGTTATTTATGGAATTATCACAGTCACAGTATTAGGAGTGGTAAGAGAGCCCCAGGAACTAGTCGTAGCTCCTTGCCCATCAGCCTAAAGCTCGTCTTAGACTGATTACAGGGGAGCGTAGTAGGCGTCGCAGGTAGGTCGCACGGCCCTTTCAGCCGTTGCTTGGTTGCGGGAAAGTGATGAGCGTTTGTCCAGATGTTCGTTCTCAAAATACCTCAAACCCCATTACTATCCTCATAAGACAGACTTCGGCCGTCCGCCTTCCGTGTCAAGTCGTTCAAGATCTCGATTCCGGGCACCATGTAGATGAACACTTTGATTCAAATAGTTGAATGCATGATCCGGAGACAAGAGCGTGTTACCCACAGCCATTTAGCAGACTAATTCCTGAGCTTATTTTGATGCGGCAGAACCTAGCCTTGATCCGGGGAACTTGCTCGTGAAATCGTCTTTTGCCTCTTTTGCTCGGCCCGGCTGTAAAAGCTGCTTTGTTTCGCCAATTTCTTGCAGCCGCTTATGCTTTAGTCTCGAGGCTATTTTTGAATCCAGGTTTCGAGGGTCTCTGACCGAGGACAAGCTCAAAACATCCAGATTCGGAGGTTCAAACCTTTATTTCGAGTCTCCGGCGCGAAAATATGTTGCCCTATACTTCCCCCCGTTCAAGTCTTAATTATCTTGGATTGTGAGGAACAGAAAGGGCCATATGGGTTCGGGTTAAACCCCTGATAATCATGCTCCGCACTTAATGCTCCAATATTGAAGACATGACTGCCATTTATGGTCACGGCGCAGTAAGAAACCTGTGGCTAGGGGCAAACGATCCTCAAGTTAGATGAGGGAGTTAGTATGGAACGACGGCTTGCGAAACCATTCAGGTAAATAACTATGATCCTAGCCAAACGATACTGATGTGCGGTACTAGGAAATCCTGGCAACCCAGAGGAGTTGTAAAAATTGACAACTATAATCAAAGTCACAAGATTGTTCCATTCTAAACATGGAGCAGGCACAATCAGACAAGAGACGCCAAAGCCGATATCCAAAGCCGATATCCAAAGCCGATATCCAAAGCCGATATCCAAAGCCGATATCCAAAGCCGATATCCATATCATACACGAGACTCGAGGTGCCTGACGTCTGCCTTAGTCCCCAAGGCATCCTCTCGCGACACGGTGCCATCGAACAATCTGTCTGTTTCCTTGAGAGACAACCCACACGTTTTTGGAAACACGAAATACATAAACACCAATTCAATGAGATTCCATCCCGCACAGATGGGATAGAAAATCCATGACAGCTTCATCATGTAGGGCACAACGTAAAGATCGACGAAGCTTGCAATGTTGCCCACAAAATACATTGCAGCCATACCCTTCGCACGCGTGCTGTATGAAAGCACCTCGACCGGATAAGCCACGGCCAATGGGGTCCACGAAAACGAATAAGCTCCGAAAAAGAGGAAAACCATGGCAAGGATATCGTTCGAGAGTGATTTTCCTCCATGAATGTTGAACTACTTTGTCAACACGGCGACTAGGATAAGGAATAAACTCATCAATGCCGTCGAGACGACTTGATTGATCAGCAACTGCAAAAGCCAGAATTGCCAGGGCAGGGTTTCACGTACAGAAATTTGGTCGGCGTCTAATTCGGTCAATGGCCCATGTGCCAGCCATGGCGACGACCAAATTATAACAGTTCATACCCAAATTGATCTCAAGCTGGGTATTTTGATCGGGATAGCCAGCTCCATTCGAAACACTTGACAGGTAGTAGGTGATGACATTATTGCCGCTAACGTTGCAAAAGATGCCCACAGCAACGGCACATAGCGTACGCCAACGGTTTCTCCTTGTTTGGATCAAGGTTTTCCATGAGCTTTCCTGAATAGCTTTCTCAGCCTCAATCGTCTCAAGAATCAAGCTGTATCCCTCTTGGATTTTAGGATCGTTGACGTTGCCATTGCCGTGATAATTAGCCCAGATGTTCAAAGCTTCTTCGGTGCGACCATTGTAAATGAGCCAGCGTGGAGATTCTGGCACAAATGGAAGGGGCAAAATGCAAAGAATAGGGGCAACCATCTGTAGTAAGGCCGGGAGCCTCCAGGACCAAGTGCCCGTGATATACTGGCTTCCCAGAGTAACTCCTGCGGCCATTATTCCGCCAACATACCAAGCCGTGTTGAATAGAGCTGTTGTGGCAGATCGATAGTCCGGATGAGCAATCTCAGCGACATAGGTCGGGGCGGCGGTGCCCGTGACGGTAATTAATGCTCCGACAATGAGTCTCCCCACGGCAAACATACCCACATTTACAGCCCCGGCCTGCAAGACGGCGCCGATGATCGTCAGGATGGCACCGATGGCAATACCCCATTTACGGCCCTACCGATCAGTCCAGCTACCAGCAAATGGAGTGATAAGACAGGCCCCCACAAACACGATTGAATTGTTCAGCGAAAGAGTCGCGGTAGTGAGTTTGAAATAATCGTAGTATGAGGGAAGCATCAACAAGCACATCGCCCTCCCTTCCAGGTGATCAGGATGCACTTGTCTCGGCATTGCTAGCTGCCAACAAGTCAACAGTGATAATCAACCAATCCGGCGCTCCAGTTTCTTTCCCCTGGCTATCCAGTGCTTCTACCGTTCTGCAGGCCTGGTACCGTGGCCAGGAAGCCGGCAACGCTATCGCAGACGTGGTTGTGGGCAGGGTGAACCCCAGTGGGCGTTTACCAATGACTTGGCCCAGAAGCATTGACGATGTGGGCCATGGAGCACAAGATAATGTATGGCCTGGTGTCAATGGAAAGGTAGTGTACGAGGAAGACATGCTCATGGGCTACCGGCATTATGACGAATATGGGATCGCCCCTGAATTCCCATTTGGATTTGGTCTGAGCTACAGTGCCTTCGAGTACTCATCGTTGATAGTCAGCGAGCAACAACCCTCCAAATCCTGGGAAATTCGTGTTTCAGTTCGAAATAAGGGGAAGATCGATGGCCATGAGACGGTCCAAATTTACTCAGGGACGCTGTGTTGCACTCCACTCAGCATTCCGAAGAAGCAACTCAAAGCCTTTGAGAAAATCTGGGTACCTGCTGGGACCACCGTGGATGCCATATGTAATTTGGACATACAGTCTTTAGCATCTTGGGATCCCGAACTCGGATTGTGGGCCACGTACGAGGGACAGTGGAAAATCTGGTGCGGTTCTTCAGTGCACGACATACACCTGTCAGAAACTATTGACATCACGAGCACCGCAACATGGACAGTGGAAGATTTTTAAAAGTCTAGCCCAGATGCCCGTGACGAATTCTGAAGCGGTTAACAGCAAAATGCAGAATGGGTCCCTTTTAGCTTGCACTCTGTTTAGAACAAAAGAAAGCATGTCATAGAATGAAAAAAGGTTCTTTATCCTCCAAGTATCCCTGCCAATTCCGCACCTGACCAGGAGGAAATGACTCAATGAGGTTTATGGCCTGCAAGATATTCCCAAATTTGTTACGTTCATATACTGCGCGTAACAGAGGTGGTTCGGGGAATTTGTGACTACGCCGACTCACACAAGAATAAAGCATGGCAAGGATATGCGGCAGCTGTGGCGGCGGCCTATGCGAAGGAGCTCCTCCTAGTTGTCCCACCCGATAAAACTCACAGTAACCCAACGGCACATACTTTACCAGACTCCGGTAAGAGACTCTAAGTCTTAAGCAGCTGTGCTCCTCCGATGGAGAAATCCTTGCTGAATGATTCTTTAAGATTTAGCTCGTCGTTTTGACGTTCCGTTGGACCTTACCGCTGTGCCAGTGATTGAAAATTTTCTCGGACGACAAGACGAGCTAGACCAGCTATGGCAGTATTTACGGCCCGCAAATTCCCAGTCACGCAAAGTTGCTATTCTCCATGGGCTTGGGGGAATAGGAAAGACGCAGCTAGCTATTCGCTTTGCGCGCTCACATAAGGACGATTTTACTGCCATCTTTTGGCTGAGTGGCAAGGATCGAGGCACACTCTTGCAATCTTTGAGCTCCATCTTGCCCCGATTACCAGCACAGTGTCGAAAGAATGAGGCGGTCAATGAGGAGGTGGTGGAGCAGCGAGCTAGGCATGTATTACGTTGGCTAGCGTTAGAAAAAAACTCGCGCTGGCTAATAATTTTTGACAACATCGATCAATACCTCCCCATTAATGGCGCTACTGTTGATGCATATGATATTGCGGAATTCTTCCCTACTGCTGACCATGGCTCCATTCTTCTTACATCCCGGCTCCAAGGGTTGACTGAACTAGGGAAGTCTTTTCAGCTCAACAGACTGGACTCCAAGGATGCTATACAACTACTCTTGCAAAGCACCCGTTTATCAGCTAGAGATACCGTTGCCGGACTTGAGAGCAATCCAGGTACTAAGTCCTCTAATATACAGATCCCAGTGATGACACTAATATTAGTAGATATCCTTGCTCTTGCTAGTCGCCTAGATGGACTTCCATTGGCAATCGTTATCGCCGGTGCCTTCATGCGTGAGACTAGAACTAGCGCCAACGAGTACATACAGTACTACCAAAAATCTTGGTCCGAGTTACAGCTGCAGTCGAATCCGCAACGCCAGTATCAACAGGGTAATTTGCTACAAACATGGATGATCTCATACTGTGAGATCCAGAATCGGGACCCGCACGCAGCGAAGTTACTCCTTTAACTCGCCCACTTCGATAATCGAGATATCTGGTATGAATTGATAAAAAGCAGTCACAATAGCTCAAATGTTCCCGTTTGGCTTGAAAAGACTATATCAAGCGGACTCTCGTTTAGAACCAGCGTCAAGAATCTCATCGGCTTCTCTCTGCTTGAGACGAAAGAACAAGCCGGAAGCTATACAATACACCCGGTAGTGCAAGACTGGTGCATTCACCTTTCTAGTATGGACAGAAATGCGGATTCAACCCTGCTCAATGAACTGGCACTGATATCTGTTGGATATAGTGTACCGAGCTCAAGTGACAGAAAATATTCCGAGCTGCAGCAACGGCTTATTCCACACGCAAATCATATTCGTCATAGGGATTGGTTAAGTGGCAAAATTGATATTGCGATATGGAAAGCATTTGATGGTTTAGGGAAGCTCTACTCTGATCAGGGGAAGCTGAAGGAGGCACAAGAGATGTACCAACGAGCACTGGTGGGCTCTACGAAGGCCCTCGGTCCCGATCATACGTCTACTCTTGATACAGTCCACAACTTTGGGATTCTCTACAGAAATCAAGGGAAGCTTAAGTCGGCAGAGGAGATGTACCAGCGAGCACTGGTAGGCAAGGAGAAGGCCCTCGGTCCCGACCATACGTCTACTCTTGATACGGTTCACAACCTTGGTATTCTCTACTACGATCAGGGGAGGCTAAAGGAGGCAGAGGAGATGTACCAGCGAGCACTGGTGGGCTCTGAGAAGGCCCTCGGTCCCGATCATACGTCCACTCTCAATATAGTCCACGACTTTGGGATTCTCTACTCTCATCAAGGGAAGCTAAAGGAGGCAGAGGAGATGTACCAACGAGCACTGGAAGGGTTTAAGAAGGCTCTAGGTCCATATCACAATGGGACGCAACAGGTTATGCAGAGATTGAATGCGTTAAGTATTGTGAACTTGAAATAGTCTTCTCTGTGCCCTACCTATAAAGTACATACTTTGGTCCAGTGATTTTCTACATTAGCAGTTGGTTGAGTACATGGTCGTCCCTCGATTTAGGCGTAACCCCATTTAACACGTAGAGGGTATTTGAACAAGCTTACATGGTAATCTGTGTAATCTCTAAGTACCGGAAATAATGACGGAAGGGAGCTTTGAGACGACCTATTATTGTATAATAACGGTCGCAGTTGTGTATACCAGAAAGTATTTCAGGTGCGTGCAAGCTAACATTGAGAGCTGATTCGACCAAGCGGATCTACTCGAAACAAGGCAACGGAGCAAATCAGGTTGGATTTACAGAGATGGACTATGTGGTTCCATGGATTTCCATGGAGAATTCGTGCGTATAGCGTATTACAGGGCGCAGAACCGTAATATAACTAGTTACAAAGCACCTTTTGCTAAGCCCCTCTATTCAAAGTGGCCCGCTCAATAAATGATCTGCGCTAAAGCCTTGGCGGTGGGGCCGAGGAAGACAGAGCAAGTGTGTATTGGTGAAGCCGATTTCGAGAATGACTGTAGGAAAACCGTTACACTTAGTTTTAAGTTCCGAAGAGCCTTTAAAAGCGGGCCCGGTTTCGATCCTAAATTAGGAAACGACTATAAACAGACGTACCAGAGACCCAGATATCAAGCGGAGATTATTCTATTGTTGACTAAAATGCAGGGAGACTCTCCCAAATCCAATTTCTCTCTACATCAACCACTTCCGTCGGTGCCCTTGACCTCCTTCCAGCGTTACGGTCGCCTCGATTCTCACCCAGAGGACCGCAAACGTGGCGGCAGCAAGGAGAACTCCAACCATGATACTCGTGTTCTCATAGCTCCTTGGGCTTGCCGTTTGCTGTTGGTTGCTCCGAATCAGCAACCCAGCGACAGGAGTGCCGAGTAGTGTCGCAAGTCCTCGGACCATATATAAAGCACCATTGACACTAACGAAGTTCTGGACGCCGAAAAGTTCGACCAGACTGGTCGGAAACAAGGATACGTATGCGGAAGCGAAGATTCCATAGAAAATGGTGAATATGATGAAAAGTGTGCTCCCACTGGCCGCACTGGTTGAAAGTGCCGACGGTAGCCACAATGCCAGAACGGCAATGGCCGAGACCATGGTGGTCAGGAACAAAGTGTTGAGTCGTCCCATTCGATCAGCAGCATATCCAATGACAATTTTTCCCAGGGCGTTGGCGGCATTCGAGATGGCAATAAAATTGGCTGAAGTGGCTTGCGAGTATCCCAGGGTTCGGGCAAAAGAAGCGAAAAAGAATACCGGGGTATAATAGGCTGCAGATTGAAGGGCTGCACCCAGGGCATGTGCCGCAAATTTGCGAGTTCGCACGACGCGCCAATCGATCAGTGGGATTCGAAGAAAGTTGAATCGGCGCGCATTCGCCGCGTTCTCGGTTTGAATGCGAGACATTTGGCTGGCTGGCCACTTCATAAAAGATCCAGCTGCCATAATCAGAGCGAACGAAATACCCGCCGTTATACGGAGGGTAATTCGAAATCCAACACGTTCAATGAGCGACCGGAAAGCAAGTGGCCAGACGACACCTCCAACGCCAGTACCCGAAAGAATCACGCCCATAGCGAGGCCACGATGACGAGAAAACCATGTTGGCGCAACGGTCACCGAAGGCATGTAGGCCATGCACGTTCCGATTCCCAAAAGGAAGCCCTGTGTGAGGATGAATTGCCAAAGCGCTTGGCTAAAGCTGGCAAGAACTAGTGCTCCAGCATAGATTACGCCCCCACTCCATATGACTGCTCGTGGCGAGTACTGCTTGGTCCAGGCTGTAGTAAACGGGGCTCCGATAGTCATCAAGGCGATGGATAGTGTTCCGATGAGATCAATCTGCGCTGGTGATGCTCCAGTGAACGGGGTGTTTGGGATTTTCGACATGGAGTCGTAGAGCTCCTGATAGACACCGAATGTGAAATTGATGCCGCATCCTGTGAATACGAGGGCAGTCGAGGAAGTCAGAACTAGGAATGGTTGTCTAAAGAGTGATGAGCTTTGTCTCTAGTATTGAGAAGAGGGATCCAGTACATACAGGCGCTCCCAGATATTGACCTGGCTATTGCCGGCCACAAGCATACGTTCGAATGAGCGATCCTCCATATTGATGATGGGCAAGATCTTAAAAGTTGAGTTGTGGCAGGACGGATCTTTTTAATGGAAGCTTCGGCGTTTTGACTCATGGCGCCGAGTGGATGCGACTGTGGGGTAAGTAAGCTGACCCCACTGGGTCGATGAACGAACGAGCTGGAGACTCGGTCGCTGAAGCCGAAGCCGAAGGTGAGATTTTGACCTATATTAGTTTGCGACGCCGCCGGTGTTGGCAAGCCTGATCTTGCTGCCTATATACTATTGATGGCTCAACGCATAGAATGACGGGAAGACTCCTTGGTTTGTCCGCGGCTCAATATGTGGAATGCCTCTGCCGCTCGCACTGCTGGGTAAGTGCTTGATGGAGTATTCTAGCAATTGGCACGGTCTCTAATTATGTTATTTTTGGCAGAGTCAAGGGAGTATACTGTACTGTGTTGGAGAATGACCCATTGCATGAACTGTTTGCCGATATGGACGTGGTTTATGATTATCTACGGGGCATGGCTGAGAAGATTATTGCTGCTCAGGCTGCCTCGTGATGTACAATTCGTATCTCAGACAAAGGCAGATGAAACAACTCAGGTTGTTCGATTAGGAGACATGGAACTCATATCCTTGATTTTCAATGGAAGATTGCAACTAAACACCTTAACCCATAACTTAGCTAGCTAATGCCGCGGCTTCGGAGATGTCTTGAGATGAGCCAAAGCATGTATTCAAGGAGAAGGATCGAAGCTAAATATAACCAGCACTGGTAAGGAAAATGTACACCCTTCTCCTCCAAGATATTCAATCATCCACTTGCCACGTTTCGGATAGATGCTTATCAACCGGGTCTCGTACGGCGGCCGATAGAAGCAAGTTGCTTAAAAAGATATTTCAGTAAGATTGTCTACCGCCTTAATAACCGCCTTTGCCCTGATCCCTTATTCCTAAGGCCTATGTAGACATCCTAATCAGGCAATATCGGCCAATTCGAAACGACTATATAAATCAATAGATCTGACCCCTAGTAATCTCTCTCTACTAATCTCTCTACACCTATGGCCGGCGTAGGGCCTTCGCCCCTATAAGATAAGACCTCGAATTCCTCTCGATTCATATAAGGAGGAGACTATAGCCCTAGCGCTTAAGGGGAAATCGGTCTAGGTAATTCATGCCTTTCTTAAAGAGGCCTAAGGAGTGCCTAGACGGTTTCCTAGATAGTTTCCTTAACGGTCTTCTAGACTGTCTTCTAGACGGTCTTCTAGACGGTCTCCTAGACGGTCTCCTAGACGGTCTCCTAGACGGTCTCCTAGACGGTCTCCTAGACGGTCTCCTAGACGGTCTCCTAGACGGTCTCCTAGACGGTCTCCTAGACGGTCTCCTAGACGGTCTCCTAGACGGTCTTCTGGACGGTCTTTTAGACGGTCCACGTTACCAGGCCTACGCTTGACAGGCGTATAGAAAAAACCAGATCTGCAGTAGTTAGCCTTAGCTAAATATTCTGCCCGTCTTTCTGCCTAATAAAATGGGTTTTGAGCAACTTGCTTCTATCGTCCGCCGTAGGTCTCGGTGGATAAACCGGCCGGTTAACACTCCTATCGGCAACTCGACGGTCGTACCCGGTGAGGGGAACATACCCCGGCTCAAAATCGCCCTCTCCGGTGATTTCTCGTAAGCAACTAGCTTTTTTTTAACGACTGTAGAAACAGATCAAGCGAATTTTTGACCCGACCGTTTCATTCTTCGTGCTCTTTTCCATCCAGAGCTAAAATGCCATCCGAACACTTTCCAGTCCCGAATGGGATGCTGCCTTATTGGCGCACGGATCCCCATCGGCTCGATAACTATCGATCTACGGAAGCTCTGCCGAAGGAGAGCGATATCGTCATTGTGGGCGCTGGATATGCAGGCTCATCTCTCGCGTATCATATACTCGATCAAACTCCGCCGGGATTCAAGCCCCCTTCTATCACCATTTTGGAAGCGCGGCAGGCGTGTTCTGGGGCGACAGCCCGAAATGGTAAAACTTTAAATTCTCTGTTAAAATCCCCCGAAGCCTAATGGTTACTGACTTGTTTTCAGGGGGCCATATGAAACCTGATATCTACAACTTTATCGCTACTCTTGAAGCAGAATATGGCGTCGAAGCCGCCGCAGAGGTTGCAGCATTTGAAGCAAAACATGTCCCTGCCATCAAGGACTTTGTTGATAAGGAGAAAATTGACTGCGACTATACAGTCACCAAAGCGATCGATGTGCAATTCAGTTCGGATCATTTTCAGAAGCTGAAGGATGGGTATGAACGTTTGGTCTCGAATGGAAGCGGACCAACCAAGCAGGCTCACTTCGTGAATACTGAGAACGCGGAATCGGTGGGCAGCTATTCCAAAGTGTAACAAGATAAAGCCTCCAGCTAATGATCTGGCAGTTCTCGAGTGTCAAGGGTGCAGTTGGCTGTGTTACGTACGATGCTGGCAGTATCTGGGCTTACAAGTTTGTGCTCCATATCTTGGAGAAAGTAGTCTTGCAAGGCGTGAATTTGCAGACTCATACGCCCGTGTCTAAAATCACAAAACCAACCAATGGCTCACTATCTTCTGCAAACTGGACCGTGGAGACTGCGCGCGGCACTATCACCGCACAAAAGGTAATCCTCGCAACCAATGCCTATACCGCCGCTCTCGTACCGCAGTACCAGAACAAGATTGTTCCTGTCAGAGGGACGTGCTGTCGAATTGCCGTTCCTCCCGGATCCACTGCCCCGCGCTTAACAAGTACTTATACCTTGCGGTGGAATAGTTGGGACTACGATTATCTGATCCCTCGTGCCGATCGGAGTATCGTCATGGGGGGTGCCCGAACGGCTTTCATTGACCAGCTGGATAACTGGTACAATGTCAGCGATGACAGTCGCGTTCTGGAGAGTGCTGTACGCTATTTCGATGGATACATGCAGAGAAATTTCGTGGGATGGGAAGACAGTAATGCGTACACCGATCGGGTGTGGACTGGCAGTAAGTGCATGATATGACGCCCCTTGCAGATGCGAACACACTTGTGTGCTCAGTCGTACTGAAATGATCGCCCCCGCACCCAGTTATGGGATACTCGTCTGATGGGCTCCCGCACATTGGGTCTGTTCCTGGACAGCAGGGTCAGTATATTTTGGCCGGATTTACCGGCCACGGGATGCCACAGATTTTTTTGGCGGCGGAAGGGATTGCCAAGATGGTGGTTGGTGGTGAAACGTTCGAAGAGACTGGTCTACCCCGGTTATTCAAGACGAGTCAGTCGAGACTTGATAAGCAGGAGAACAATATACTCAAGAGCGTGCCTCAAAGTGGAGCCTCCCAGGCCAAGCTATGAAAAAGGTTAGTCAGAGGTGGGTACCGAAGAATTGACCACTCGTGGGTGCATCGAAGAGGGCAATCGAGATATTGACTTGGTTCAAGATCATGTTGTGGTGACGAACTATTTCCTCTATAAAACAATCTAATCAAAATTGGTTGTAGAGATGAATCAGCGGACTTCACCAATTAACTCACTATTATCTAACTAACTAAAAATCCTTCCTGATTCCTGTTCAGCTAGATCTGTCACTCGAACCGGACCAGACTTGCACTCGGTTCGTCTCATGCAACGGCTAGCTCGATGAATTAGCTGTTGCCCTGCTATCTGGCAATCTCCAGTCAATAAGACTCTCGGCCTTTAACAAGCTAATGCTTGGCGGGGGGCTTGGCATGCAAGACGTCAGTTGGCCGATGAATTGTGTGAGGGATCCACAACCTTCTCCGTTATTGACCTTTGCCCCAGTTCCACCCCCTGAAGCGGGAGGATACGAGAGCGTACGAAGGAATGCAGAGTTTTCTTTCGGATAGCCCTGGAATGAGCACGTGGAACATCATTTGAGAGTTGCAGAAGGAAAGCAGTCCTTCTTTACGAACGATACACGATAGGGGACCACGTCTAAAGTCAATTCCCCAAAACGTCGATCATCCCGATGCTATCGATGATGGCGTGCTCCTCACCATCTACTGCTCCCAATTGCGCGATGGGGCCCGCTGAGAGTGTTAAATGAGCTTCTTTATGCTGACCGACAGCGAACTCAATACCTTATATACCTGCCCTCCCCTCGTATTCTCTCCGCTCTAGTGTGCGTGGACTCTCCCCGTAATTCTCTACACCCGGGCCACTCACTGCTATACTTTTGTTATCCAGCTTCTGCGCACTATCATCGCCTTTTTTTTCTCGTGTCAATCCGATGGGCGTCCCCGAAACATTCCCGCCTCTTCCCAAGGAGGAATTGGCTATGCAGCCAGCGACTGTTCGGTACGAATACGACCCATGGCTATTGGATGACCATCCGCTCCGCTCGCATCCAACCGAGTGCATTCCCGGTCTGGGAACTTTTCTCAGCGAGTGGTGTGCGTCTTTTCAATTTCGCTGGAAGGAGATCCTGTTACGCACCGGATATTTTCTTTTAGCATGCCTGTGAGTAATTCTTGGAGAGATGGAAAGGGGCCCGCGAAACGATGGTAAACATAATGCTAACGTCTATCCCTATAGAGCTGCATTCCAATGTCTGAATCTCTTCCACTCTCCATCCACCGGTAAAGGCCTGCCTCGCCCACTGGTGACGTCTCGAATCAATTCTCGCGAATGGCACGTGAGATGCACATACCCTCACTCGGATCCCCGCTCCAACGCCCTTGCGCTATCCGTCGCTGCAGGCTGCGACGGACTGCGAACGGGCGCTTGGCTGCACGAAAAGGAGCTGCAGATGGGCCTATCTAATTTGGGCCCCAGCGCGATCGATTATTTGCCGCTGCGTCTTGACTCGATCATTGCCAAATTGGAGTCGGGTAGTAGTCCACGCAGTTCCCAGATCTCCTTGATTAAGAGTGCTGGCGGTTTAAACCAGAACGACCCTTTCCGCACCTTTATGCTCGTCCTGGATGCTGGATCGGCCCTCCCTGAAGTCTTCCCTAATCTCATTTCACACCTGGATATCCTTCGCCAGCGGGGCTATCTGAGCCACTGGGACGGTGCTGAAGTGGTGCAGCGGGCTGTTACGGTGGTTGTCACAGGCGAGCTTGGGTCTGATCCGGATTGCTCAGGTTCACCGTACTCGGACGTGTTCTGGTCATCCGAGGAAGGATTGATCTTTGCGGAAGACCTTGCCAATGGCCAGCTATCTCCAATCTGTGCCACATGATGCTGACTGCCTTATGTGCTTCTATTTATTTTCGCTTTCATGATACCCAATGTCAATATTAAATCACCATGCCAATATCAAGTAACCTTTAAGTCTGTACTACAAATCCAGCCGTCTGTCTCCATCTAGATTGCTTCTCATTAGTATTATGCCACGGAACTGTTCAACGTTGTCAAGCGGATTATGTGCGACGTCAGTTGTGGCCTTATGGAGAGATGGTGGTACGGTGTAGGCACACTGCAGAACCCAACATCGAAGTATGCGTCGAGGATGGTCGGGGCACAACAGGGACGGGGCGATCACGAGTCTAATGCAAAGTGATGCATCACAGACAGAATGTACATCACAGAATATGCAGGTGGAAAAAAAAAAAAAAAAAGGAAAGAAAGTTATAATAGAGTAAGCCCAGTCCGTGCAGGCTGCCTGACGTCGGTTAGGTCATACAGTAGTTGTTAGGGCATCAGGGGTCGCGCCCAACGATACAATAATTGCTATAATTGCTAGACGGTGTCGAGGCGATCGATCACCAAATACTCCGTAGTGTAACGAGTTGATCTGAACTAAATCCACACAGAGTCCGTTTGAATCCTCTTCTTTCCCATTTCCAATGCAACTGTCTATCGCGCACGAGTGTGATCCCATCCGATCCCCACATGCGTCTTGGCCCTGGCCCCATCCACCACCGCGCTAAGCCGCTCACCGTTTTTTCTCCGGACTCCTCCTGAACCATCTCTGTTCTCGACTCGTTTCGGTCTGGACCTGCTGTTCTTCCTCCTTCCTCTTCTTCTTCACTCTGGTTTGCAACCGCCCACGGCACCATTTGGATTGTTATCAGTCCTTGATTACTATCATCTCGGGTCCAGCCCCTCACCCTCGGCTGACTTGTTCTTGTCTCCGCACCTCCTCACCACTCAGGCGCACTATCTCCGACCGGGCATGGGTCGCGCGATCATCCGCTGATCCTCGACATTGTTCTCAGTTCTGTCTGCGCTTCTTTTAATTTTTTCGCGGCGCCTCTTTTTCTTCCCGCCAGTCAAACCGAGCACAGTCTATTTAGCCGCGCCCTCTTTCTGGCACTTCTGTCCTCGTCCGCGCACCTCGACACGCATTGCCAGGGCACGCGCGCCCAAGATGGATCTCTTCCGTCGGCTTCACCAGAACTCGTATCCTCCCCGGCCATCACCTCTAAGCGGCTCCCAAGAGCCGCGCGATGATCGTGCTCGCCAACTCGGTGGTCACTCATCGGCCCACGACCCTCGCCGCCGCACCGAGAGCGACAAAGCCCGACCGGCCAGTCGCTACGAGTACACGACGCCCACGTCAGATCTATACTCACCGGGTGTATCAAGGGGGTCGCAAGGGGTCCGGGGTGAGAATGCTGGGGCGGCGATTTCTCCGCCGCGGAACCAGCATGCACACCAGCATCGGCGGAATGCCAGCCTCGAAACGCGGCAGCACCCACATGCGCATCGCCGAAATCACTCCCAACCGCAGGGAACTCATTATCGAGAAGGTTCGTATCTTTTTTTCTTGGCCAGTCTATCCAGGTGTATGCCGGGGAATGACAGATATCTCCTTTGCTATGGCGTGGTCCGTTTGTTGTGTCCCCCGGATTCAGGAAGAGTTGGGGTCGGACTTGTCCCGTGGTTCTTGTCCCCCCGTCCGGTTCCTCGCTCCACTTTGGGCAAGGTCTTGCGTTGAGGCGCACATTCAAAAGCAATCCCCGGCTTTTGGACCTTGATGAGATATCTAAAGTTCCCTTGCATGATCGATTCCCCCTATCTGACCCGTTCCACCAATTATCTTTTTCCCTCTTTCCCAGCCTCTTCTCTTCTTCCCTGATGCTTTTTCCCCGGTGGCGCAGATCCACCGGGAACGCTAGTCCCAATATGGACTAGCGGCGCTAGCCTGGTTTGGGCTTAGCGGTCGAGCTTCCGGAGTCACGGGTTCATGGTCCTGACTCTCTTGGGGCCTGGGTGGATTCAGCTCATTATCTGCTTCTACCTATCTTGACGCCGTTCAAAGGGTATTGCGCGAGATGAACCACCCACCCTATGGCTTTGGGCGCAGGGCGTCCCAAGGCAGCAGTGGCAGTCCCGTGTACTCCGGTGAGTGCGACCGCGACGCGCGCCCATGCAGCTCAACTGCAACTGCGCTACATGGATCTAGCCGCCCCCATCATTTCTGTGTCAACGTCGCTGGCGGATTTTTTTTATGAAGAGGGCTTGCATAATGCCCCTTTCCCGAGTGCATCTACTGACTATTCTGATCATCTATAGGTCCTCAAGAACATTCTGCACCACCAGCATTTGGTAGTCGACAAATGCCTCCTCCGTCTCCTCCACACTCCTACGGCGCCCGATCGCAGTCGACCAACGCGCCTGCCTCATCCCTACTTTCCCGCGATGCGCCCGGTGCTCCATCCCATCGTCCCGGCAGCAGTATGTCCATCTCTGCCATGCTAGGATCGGATGCGGAACGCCCCGTTCGAGATACTGGATCATCCCTCTTTTCGCGGCCTCCAGGGTCGTCAATTTTCGGGAACGCGCCTCTGTCCGCCTCTTCCGCCATGTCACCACCCACGGGCCCGTCTCGACCATCACCACTAGACCAGTCCGCGTTCCGTCGATCACATACACCTGAGAAGTCATTCTCAAGACCGCCGATGGGTCGGCCGTACCGATCTGGCTCTGGTGGAGGGTCGAGTTTGCTGGGAGGTGTCGAGCAGGCCAAATTTGGCGGCCTGTCACGCGCACCACTCTCCCAATATCCCGAGAAGCCGCACTCCACGAACCCGTCTCCTCAAATCCCCTCTGCCGAACCGTCTTACAACGAGCCCCGTAGGATGAGCTTCAGCGGGCCAATCGCTCGGCCTAACAGTCAACCACCGAACGCCGATGCTTCAACACGCGCTCCCGCTTACAGTCCAATCTCCCGCACATCCGGAGGTCCTCTAGACCAATATGAGCCTGGCCAGCGTGCTAGCTCTTCGTCATATGCAGGGCTTGACCCGCACGGCCGGGATCCTCACAGTCGATTCGGTAGCATCTTTGGGGACCGTCGCTCGGAAGAAACTGCCCTGAGGGAACGGGAACGGGAGCGGGAGAAGGATCGGGAGCGGGAACGAGACCGAGAGAGAGAGCGCGCTCTTCTTGGGGCGGACACAAAGGGTCCGCTTGCCACGCGGACACGATTCGGGGCTTTGTATGGCGAACGTGAACCGCTCGAACGGCACTCCGCCTCGTCTTGGGATCACGGTCGCTCGCATCCGTCATCCCCCGAGTCAAAACGTTTCCCGGCACCCGATGCTGCATCGGGTTTCGGATTCGGTGCCATCCAGAGCTATACCAAGTCTTTGGGGTCTCAGCCTGGGGGCGGTCGGCAGCCTCCGTTGTCACTGCAGACTGGCCATGGGCAAGTTTCGCCCACTCAACGCGAATCACCCTATCTCAGCAAATCCCAAACACAACCCTCACGCTTGGGTTCCACTCCTGTAACGGCCTCTTCTACGACAGCTCCCTCACTCGGACTCTCTGCGGCTGAGGAACAGGGGCGACGGAAAGGTAGTGATGAGCTATTCCATCACCGGAACCTGCTGGCGGTGGGCGTCGATGGCAAACGTGGTGGCCGGGCTTCTCCGCTGCCTCAGGCTGTTCAAGGTGCTTCTGGGGAACCAGGCATCAAAAATGAGCTGGGCAGGGTGTTTTCTGGAATTGGTAGCGGCGTTGGCGGTGTGACTGCTGGTTCATCGGGCAGTGGCCCATCAACACCGCTCATTGCGAGCCCATTCAAGCGCGACAGTCTCACTGGTCGCTCAGTCAATGGGGATGTCGAAGATGCTAAGGTTGCTCGACCAACATCCGCGACGGGTCAACGGCGATCAAGAAAATCGCGTGATGAGGAAGTTCCAATGGATGAAGGTGGTGCTGGGGCCTCTAGTCGAGGCCGTCGATCTCGACATGTGCATCATCACCATCACCAGTAAGGGCTTTATTCTTTTCTAGCTCCCATTTGCCAAGTTCTGCTAACTCTATCTTTCTAGCCACCATCATCATCGTCACAAGGCAGATGACGAAGCCGCTACTCTCAGTAGCCTACATCGGCCTACGTCCACCAACTTGTTAGGCCGAACTTCTACTCCCGCCGAAATTGCTGCAGGCCACCATCACCATCATCACCACCACCATCATCCCCCACCCCGAGCCGCAGCCACTGTTGCCGCATCTCCCATCCGGGAGCCTCGTACGACTGTGAATCTCGAACCTCTCCTATCAAGCGTCGCACACTTGCCACGCTACCACCTGGGGTCCACACTGTATACCCCTCGTGTCGGTGTTCCAAGTGCCAAAGCGTCCTCGGAAAGCTCCAAGTTCGGCTACACAACCACCCCGCAACCCCTCCCCAGGTTCGAGCAACGTGAGAACTGCACTTTCACCGTTCGTGTTCCCCGCTTCCGGATCGATGCGGCTCGGCGTGAGGAGATCTGTGCGCGACGAGCGTTGTGGGGCACGGGCGTCTATACGGACGACTCCGACCCCGTTGCCGCTGCCATCCACTCGGGATACATCCGAGGCGCTTGGGGGGAGGATGTGGATGAATCCATGCTTGAACTGGAAATCAAGGACACCTACCAACATGCCCCGCAGCCCACGGCCGATGAGCGTGCTGCGAGTGCCTCCAAGGGCGAGCAAGAGGCCCGCAAGCCCCGTCTTCCACCAGTCCCTCCTGCCGACAAGGACCTACACATTACCCTGTTGATTCTCCCCCGTGTCGACCAGTATGAATCGACCGTAATGTTCGGTCTCAAGTCCCGCAAGTGGACCGGCCGTCATGACGGGGTAAGCTTTAAGGTCCACCGAGTGGAGTGGGTGGATGACGGGGTCGGACGCGGGGAAGAGCGAAGCGGCGAGGCCCGACGCAAGCGTCTGCGTACATTGATGCAGACGGGACGCATCTGTACGGGGCCAGCCATGGCGAGGATGGACGAGCTTCGTCAGCGCGGAGTGCAAGTTCCCCGTGCTCTGGAGGGCCAAGAGCAGCCCACTCCCGTTCAACCGGTGTCTTAATGTCTATCTTACGAAGATCTCCTCTCTCGCATTTCTATCGCGACTTATCCTTTGTTCCGGACCCACCTGAACTGTCGCTAGTCTTCGCGGGGGCTCCTTTTTTTTCCCCCATGGGGAATCTGTTTATCTGGTTCTGGATCGGACTAGGGGCGTTTCCTCCTTTTTTCTTTTGTCAGTGTTTTACCTGATATCGGTCTGCAATTTTCTTGTTTTCTTGGGCTTGTCGATACCTGCGAATAGCGAGTTTTCTTACCGTTTGGATGTGCGATTTGTTTGTATGTCCCTATTCTATCTTGTTTCCGTTCTTCTCCTCCGCCTGACCATCCATTCGGGTCAGCGGGAGCGGATGAAGGGATGCTCTGGGGGGGCTGACAGGGATATACGTCTGACCCCTCCTTGCCATTTATTGTTTGATTCTAGTATGTAGTCTCTATAATGTTCATGACGCTCTCCGCGGAGAGCACGTTAGGGTTTCCCGGACAAGATGATATTGGGTTCCGTAGTAATTAGTTGACCTAAAAAAAGAAGCTTAACCAAGTTAGTCGAAGCTCTCCCCGCAAAATCGGGCACAATGCGTGCCGCCGACCGCTTCTTTGCGTTTTTAAGTCTAACGGACCGAATTTGAAATACGGAGGGCACTTTATGAAGTCATTTTATGCATCGTTCTTGACTCTGGGTAAATGGAATATTTTATCAATGTCTCGGCACTCTATATCTCGGTGAACCGATCCTGACTCCTTCCCCATACTTTTCATCATTCTGGCCTTTCGGTCCACTTTCTTCCCCCAGACTCTCCCACAATCAACCGAGGCTCAGCGGCCGGTACCATTGACCCTGGATTGGTAACGGTATTTCCGTAAATCATGGTTTTCCTCGGAGCGAACCCGTGCTATTCTGCCCCACCGGACGGGACCGACACATGCTGATGTGACAATACATAACCATACACCGCCAGACGATACACCGCCCTCGCTGTCCGCTTCGGGCTCTCCGTACAGCCGAGGCATTTCAGCCGGTCAACACGGTTCTTATTAGGACTTTCTCCTGACCAAACTCCGGCCGATTGTCTTTTCTTGCTTCTTCTTTTTCTTTATACCCCCAAGCATCCTCCATCTTAATACCATTGAGAGGGATGTTCGCTGCCTCTACGCGAAGCCGTCTCTCCACCCTGTCAAGGCCCCGGCTCCCTCCGACACAACTACTCGCCCGCTCGGTAAGTCGGCCAGCTCCGATCTCGTTGTGAGCTGCTCTACAGAAACGAGAGAATCAAACCTGCCGAGCAGATGCAGCGAGAAGATCGTGCAAGGAAAGCAACTCGAACAATTGAACTGACTCGCCTTGTATAGACTCCCGCCATGGCTCGCAAGGCGTCGTCCGTCCCTGAGGGTGAGTTATCACATGCCTCGCGCGATGGGGAAGCTCATGACGAGCATGTCCTCGTCTCTCGAGAGCGGTTAAAAGTCGTGCGCAAACACAGCGGATTCAACTAATGCGCGAATATAGGGTACAAGGAGGATCTCTCCAAGGGCAAGATGCTCCGCTTCGAAGATTCCCTACCCCGCCTCCCCGTCCCAACCCTGGAGGAGACCGGTAAGCGCTACCTCAAGTCCGTCCACCCGCTGGTGTCCGAGGCCGAGTTCGAGCGCACCAAGAAGGCCGTCGAGGCCTTCATCCGCCCCGGTGGTGAGGGTGAGCCCCTGCAGAAGCGTCTGCTGGAGCGTGCCGCCGACCCCAAGATCAAAAATTGGCTCGCCGAGTGGTGGAACTCCGCCGCCTACCTGGGTTACCGTGACCCCGTCATTCCCTACGTCTCCTACTTCTACTCCTACCGTGATGATCGCGCACGCCGTAACCCGGCCAAGCGTGCCGCTGCCATCACCTCCGCTGCGCTCGAGTTCAAGCGCCAGGTCGACGATGGCTCCCTCGAGCCCGAGTACATGCGTGGTCAGCCCATGGCCATGAGCTCGTACGAGTACATGTTCAATTGCTGCCGTATCCCCGCCGACCCCGAGGATTTCCCGCGCAAGTACTCTGCCGCCGAGAACCAGCACATCATCGTCGTCCGCAAGAACCAGTTCTTCAAGGTGCCGCTCGTCGTGGACGGTCAGGCCCTGAACCCCTCCGAGTTGGAGCAGCAGTTCCAGCGCATCTACGAGATTGCCCAGCCTGCCCCGCCGGTCGGTGTGCTGACTGTGGCAGACCGTGATCACTGGACTGCCGCCCGCAAAAAGCTGATTGCTGCCGACGCGGCCAACGAGCAGGCTCTGCAGGATATCGAGTCCGCCGGTTTCGTCGTCTGCTTGGATGATGCTAAGCCCGTGACCCTGGAGGAGCGCGCTCACCAGTACTGGCACGGTGATGGCACCAACCGTTGGTTCGACAAGCCTCTGCAGTTCATTGTCAACGACAACGGCACTGCCGGTTTCATGGGCGAGCACTCCATGATGGATGGTACCCCTACCCACCGTCTTAACGACTTTGTCAATGCCCTGATCTTCGGCAAGAAGATTGATCTCTCTGCCAAGTCTGTCCGCTCCCAGCTGGCTGACCCCAAGGCCGTCAAGTTCACCTTGAACGACGAGGTCAACGAGGCCATCGACATTGCCGCCCAGTACCACCGCAAGCAGATCGGCTCGCACGAGCTCGTCGTCCAGGCCTACCAGGGCTACGGCAAGGGCCTGATCAAGAAGTTCAAGTGCAGCCCCGACGCCTACGTCCAGATGGTCATCCAGCTGGCCTACTACAAGATGTACGGCAAGAACCGTCCCACTTACGAGTCCGCCTCCACCCGTAAGTTCCAAGAAGGCCGTACCGAGACCACCCGTACCGTCTCCGACGAGAGCACCGCCTTCACCCGCGCGTTCTGCGACCCCAGCGTTCCTCGCGAGGAGGTTGTCAAGCTCTTCCGTGCCGCCCTGGCCCAGCACACCAAGTACACCCTCGAGGCTAGCGACGGCCGTGGTGTTGACCGTCACCTCTTCGGTCTGAAGAAGCTGCTCCAGCCTGGCGAGAAGCTTCCCGCTCTTTATGAGGATCCCGCTTTCACCTACTCTGGTTCCTGGTACATTTCTTCTTCCCAGTTGAGCTCTGAGTTCTTCAACGGATACGGATGGAGCCAGGTTATTGATGACGGCTTCGGTATTGCCTACATGATCAACGAGAACAGGTACGTTCCACTTCTTTCTTAACCCCCTTTCCCTGTTGTGGACTCTTATACTAACACATTTCTGTCAGCCTCAACTTCAACATCGTCTGCAAGCGCCTCGGCGCCCATCGCATGAGCTACTACCTCAACGAAGCCGCCACGGAACTCCGTGACGTCCTCCTCCCCGACCTGGCCGCTCAACCCGAGAAGCCCAAGCTGTAAGCTATAGGCTATCAAGCTTCAAAGCTGTTAGGAAGTACAGTCTATCTGGGCTCTATGCATATGGGTATTTCCTTTTCTTTTTTCCTCTCTATTTCTTTTCCTTGGTCTCGGGTTTTTTGATATCTGGTTTCAGCGCCGCTATAGATGAAGATGAGATATCTTTGTATTGTCGTTGTGACATGCATACTTTTGTATAGTTGTGTGGATACAACATGAATGCCATTTTATTTGGTTACGAATATCCCTAGACTCTGTTCTTTTCTTTCTGTGCTCCCTTATGGGAATTATGTAGGGCTGCTAGAATAGGTATTGGCTATTTACTGAGACTTGGATGTCCTGCCCAGAGAGGTGACTGCTTGGGATTTTAAGGGTGACTGGGAAGCTGGCTTGTATTCGTGCTATTGAACAGCATTTCTATCCATTTCTCATTCGTTCGCACCACACATATGCAGGATTAGCAATGCTTGGAGTACTGCGGTCAACTGTCCGTTATCGATGTTCGCGGGAAACAAGGGAATTCAAGGGCGCACTGGCACAAGAGGGAATGAAAAACACGGAGATCTAGCAAAATCTTAAACCGTACCCTTGGCCGGTCATCTCTCTAAGAGAATCCACAGCTTGGTGTTAGAGCATTGAGCACGAACGATCCTCTCAAGTAAGATGCACGTCGATTGGCCAGAGAGACAGGTAGATCGGGCAGAGGGGAAGTACTCCTGTCGGCAAAATTCAGCAGCAAGTCATACCCCACAGCACAATTGTGGAGATGTTAGATCCCAAAATTCGTCAGGTTTGTTTGATGGCACCCGAGCAACTCTCAACTCTGGTTGAATAGCACTGTCCAGTTCACATGAGGAGTCTTGGATTTCAACCCAGCACTCCAGACTATCCGAGTCTGTCTGACTTTCTGAGATTGTTCATTATTGCGTAGAGCTAGGTAACATGAGCAGAGCCAGTTTCCGTCTACTCTAAACATGTCCATACTCCCCCAGAAAGGCTGTAGTGGGAATCTTCGTAACTCCAAAAGAACAAAGGGATCATTATTATGAGGTAGTGGAGGCTTTCCGGCCGTCCAAAGTTCAGTGCTCGCAAAGACAAGAATCTCAGGGAGAAAGGTCATGTCAGTCTTTACCGTCTGCCGATCGCATGGTCTGTGGGTCTGCCGTTTCGGGCGCCGCTTGCCCCGATACTGGGGCCGAGTCGGTGGCCGTAGAAGCAGTCGGTCTTGTTGAGGTAGTCATGTCATGAATTTGGCGTTCTAAACCCAGCGAAATTATTAGCACAAGCTGTACAAAATAGAATAAAGTGTTCTCATCTGGAGAAGTGGATTGCGAAAGTGAGCAATGAAAGACAGGGTACCTTACCTAGCTCTCGAATGCGTTGGCGCAACATCTGATTCTCTCGGCTCAGCATGGCCGCTTCGGCTTGATAGTATGCCCCCTCATCTCGGCTACTCCGTCGGGATGAGCTTTCCCGGAGACTCGGAAACGCCTCCGTACCCTCCGGTCCCCGCGATGGATCCCGTGGTCGGAGGTTCGGTGACGCAGCCTGGCTGGGCGGACGTGAAGATCGACGGTTAGAATGCGAAGATATGGAGAGTCGGTTGCTGGGTCCCGTAGCCGGTGGAGGAATAGGCGGGAAAAATGTGGCCGATCTCTCTGATGCTGGAGTGGTAGTCTCGTCGATGACTGCCGTACCTGATGCAGATGAGTTGTGCTGTTGGTTTTGTTGCTGGTATTGTTGTAGCTGGGCCTGTTGGCTGCGAATCATCTGCAGAAGGCGATTCTATTGGGACGAGGGTATATTAGCTTTCCCTATTCACCCGCCATGCCATCCCATAATAGTCACTCCGTAGCAGGGGACTACGGGCATCAACGAAGGAGACCCACCACTTGTGCTTCCTGCTCCTGCTCCAACTCCTGGTGTAGTTCCCCCAACGATGGGGCACGCTGGTGGTGCGGGTCCGCGGTCGCAAAGACTGGACTGCCGCCGTGACTGGTGGGACTGGCCGTGCGGAAGGCTTGGCCCATCGAACTACGATGCTCGGACCAGGGTGCATCGCCGTTATTATTGCCCGATGCCGTAGTGCCAGTCTCGTTGAAGTTGAGGTGCATGCCGGCATTAGACCTACGTCTCTCGGAGACCGACACTCGGCCGATGCTTGACCCGCGCGAGGGCCGTGGAGAGGTAGTACTGGGGTTGGCGGGAGCAGCGGGGGTGGTAGTGCCCGGGGAGACGGCGGAGAGGTTCCGGTGTGGGAGAGATGATGAGGTGGAGGATGAGCGAGATGGCGGGAGGGAGTTAAGATCTGGCGGCATGGTTATCAAGAGGGAGGAGAGAGCAATGAAACGAGCAAAGTATTGAAGCTTTGTGAACTCGGAGCTTTGGAGGAAGCTCAGATGGTTTCTTTAGGCAGCGGGCATGATCGCCGAGATGAGTCAGCACAGCGCGGGGAAGAGGATCACATGACTGAGGAGAGGTGTCAGGCCATCAAGGGAATAGACACCGTATGATTCAGGCATCAACACACCCAGGCACCCAGGCCACCAACACTCCACTTCCATGGAGGGAATCTGGAGTCCGCGGGGTGGTCCACTCGAAAACAGAGATTTATCAGTCTATAACCAACATTATTAGCTAAGAAAATATCAACGGTCTGGTTTGCAGTGTTCCAGTCTTGTGCGACCAGCTTGTTACAATGAAGGGGGCACAACAGAATACAACGAGCCTCGAGGATAGCCACATTCCGCCTCGCGGCTGGGACTTCAGCTTCACCCGGCGAATATTTCCTTTGGCCCTCTCAATCCCTTCGGTGCAACCGTCTACGTTATCTCGTAGTTCTTAGTCCTACCCGTTTCCAGACTCTATCTAGGGGTCCCGGGGCTTTACTCATAGATTCAGGGGAGAAATAGCTGCATTTAGCCTCGAACAAACGCGAGCCAGGGATTGTGAAGCACTTAAATCAGCCACGCAGATCAAACGCGGCGATGCCCCTCTTGTCCCCCACGTCTGCTGATTTTCAGAGTTTTTCAGGGGCGCCGAGCCGAGCAAAGTAAACTTAACAGGAAAAAGAAAGATGCGGTTGTGAATATTAGACGGCATCACTGGGTAGCAAGGGTGGTGCGCTCGACGCGGCGGTTGGATGATAAATTTGGAATGGATGAGGCCATAATTCATCGTTCATATTTCCATACTTCGAATGCTGAGTTGGATGTTACGCGCTCAGTAAACAATGTTGCCTATTCTTCTTGTAGATACTTCCCAATCTATACTAATATTCTACTCCGTCGTCAGTGTCCCAAGGTACACTAGCACGCCAATCGGCGCGGCCGAAAATGTGGAGAAATTTCACAAGAACTCAAGTAATTTAGTGAGTCAAGGGGTCGATAATAACCTCCTCATATTGTCAAGCACATAAAATCTTTCGCTGGGTCGATCCCTTGCGAGCGCGTGGCGTCTACGATGTGATCTCGTCGATCATTCAAATATTCGGAGATCCGATGCAGTGAGATGGCCATGTGCAAGCAAGACGCAAGGTCGTAGCTGGTCTTCTCCCGCTCGAATACTGATAACAAAATCTGATCTCTGGACGGCGCATTCTGGAACCTGTTTGGCTTTGTCCGTACTGGTGGTCGTTTTCGGGAGACAAAGCTGGGGTCCACCCCTCGGTGGATCAGCCAAACTTTGTTGTCGGATTGTGCTTCCATGGGGTTGAATGGAGAGGCGACCGGGACTCGCGCGTATCTGGGGGCCCTGACGATTATGTGAGCGTCAGAAATACCGCATAGTTGAGAAGAGATATCTGGGGACAAAGGCAGTCTGCAAGGGATTGAAATCTGCCCTTCGGTGCGAACTACGCTTTGACATCCTTCGATTCTGTTTTCTGGAAAGGCGACCGCAAGGCGACCCCAAGGAGACCCCAGGGCGGTCGACATTGATCCACATGATCGATTGTGCGAATGGACCATTCAACCTGGACTGACTGGAAACCAGAATCAGAGAATCGACACACGACGCACAGAGTAACCGTATTCCGGAGTGGTCGGAACAAGACTTCTGGGCCCCTGCACGGATGACGATCACCGCGACGCCACGCCCGTAGGTGTACCTAAACAGCAGCATCATCATACATAGTGGCAACCAACGGGTGGTACCTGCTCCTGAGTCTCGGCTGGCTGGCCCAGTCTCTGGAAGGTCTTCCTGGATGAACCACGGCCGTTGTGCCCAGTGTGATAGGGCGGGACCTCCCTGGGTTCCCCTCCCACCCGGAGCGCCTTTACGTCACTTGAAGATCCCATCCTTGGCCCGGGAGGCGGTAAATCCTGGTGGCGCCGCCGAGCCAAGTGAGTTGCCCTTATTTTACTCTTGCTGAGCAAATGTTGTTCGGCCTGGTCAGCTGGAAGAGATTTTGCACTGGGATATCTGACCTGCGTCATTTTCGTTGGGTAATCGTTTCCCAATTCATGCCCCCCATGGTCCTAGATCTGCGATGGGGAACCATGCGGTCCGGGGACTGGCAAAAAATCCCGACTCCTTACGTCGTGGGGCGCCATATGATTTTTTGACATCGTAGTCTCCCAAAGGATCAAGTCTGATCTGGTTCGGGTCAGAGACTGTAGATTCAACGTTGCATGCATCCAGAAAAAAATAGGAAAATATAGAAAGGGTGCGTAGAAACCAGACTCTGCGCCGCAACCTCTCGTGCACATCCCAATGCGGTCATTCCCGTCTTCATCGGATCCCCCAAAGCGGCGGCGTCGGACCTCGCCCGAAGGATTCCCAGAACAATTCGATTCCCGGAAAGTGATGGCATCGGCCCTTTGGTCATCGTGGTCTCACGGTGGAGCCGACCAACCAATTGCGGTCTGTGCAGGTGCGTGGGGCAGTCTCTTTCCGGGGTGTTTATCTGGTGGCTGAAAGTTCGATGCATGGATCAGGGCATCGCGCCACAAGGATGCAGAGGCTCTGCATACAGCAGTTTTTTTTTCTTTCGGTGGCAGGTATGATGAATGATTGCTTCCACTGTCGGTTAGACTCAGACAGGAGTTGCATGATTGAGCAACAGGGCTCCGGGGGTTGAAGTTGGAGATGGAGTTGGAGTAGGCCCGCATCGAAAGTGGGTATAGTACCGTATCCAAACTGCTTGGCCACGGGGAACACGATCAGTCGGCATCCCGCGTCTCTCGGTGTACCAAAAGGAAACTCCACGGCGAGGAGTCTGGAGAAGGAGTGGTCCATCTAGAAAGAGGATCAAAATCTGGGGCAGAGAGAAGTCACGGTGGAAGAAAAGTGGATGGCCCAAGGAATGCCCGGCCGCATTTGACGGCGGCTCTCTCTGTTGCATCGCGCCTGCCCCGTTGGTCGCATTGCGCTCTTTCCCTTTTTAATCCAACCGGCAAAGTCCTTGAATTTCTTTTTTCCCTACTTATTTGCCAGTGCCCGCCTTCCTCTTTCTCTCTTCTGCGTCCCTGGGTTGCTTCTTGTACTCTTCCCTCTCTTCTTTCTTTTCCCCCACACTCTACCCACCTTCTCATCTTCCGTCCATTACTTTCACATCCCCTCCTCTATCTCCCCGGATTCTCCCCAGTTCGGTGAACCGGTCAACGCATCACTGCTCTCAAAACTTCATAACTGTGAGTGATCATTGTCGCCTATATATGGCTCTGCTATGCGGGTCACCCAGGATTCTAGCTCATACTCGCCTTTTCCTCAAGAAACTATCAGCATGGCGAGCACCCCAGAAAAGCTGGGAGGTGGCCGCGATGCGGTGCTCACATCGGAGGCCTCTAGTGCTACCCAGCAAGAGATCTTTGACTCTGGTCTGCCCGAGAAACTCGACCAGAAGGGTGCACAACTCGAAAATACCGACGCCTCGGGCCGAGTCGAGCTTACGGAGGATATGTGCTACGACAAGCTCGGATATTCATTCAGTGAGAAACGCAAGTGGATGATCATCACTGTCATCTTCTTGGTCCAGACCTCCATGAACTTCAACACTTCTCTGTATTCGAATGGTCTCGGGGGTATTTCCGAGGAGTTTGGGGTTTCCAAGCAGGCTGCCCGCTGCGGTGCAATGATCTTCCTGGTGTTGTACGCTTTCGGTTGCGAGCTGTGGGCCCCATGGAGTGAGGAACTCGGACGCAAGCCCATCCTTCAGGCCTCGCTATTCCTCGTCAATGTCTTCCAATTGCCGGTGGCTCTTGCACCCAACTTTGCTTCCGTCATGGTTGGTCGTGCTTTGGGTGGTCTCTCCTCCGCGGGAGGCTCAGTTACCCTGGGTATGATTGCCGATCTTTGGGAGGCTGATACCCAGCAGTACGCTGTGGCCGCCGTTGTCTTTTCTTCCGTCGGTGGTTCCGTTCTGGGCCCCGTGGTCGGTGGTTTCGTAGAGGCTTTCCTGCCATGGCGCTGGAGCATTTGGATCCAATTGATCTTTGGCGGATTCGTTCAGATCATGCATTTCCTGCTTGTTCCCGAGACTCGTACCACCGTGATGATGGACCGAATCGCCAAGAAAATGCGCGAGAGCGGCGAGAACCCGAACATCTATGGCCCTACCGAGGGCATGTCTTTCCGCGAGCGGTTCCCCCCTCGTGAGCTCCTGGCCACCTGGATCCGTCCCTTCCGCATGTTCCTTACCGAGCCCATCGTGTTGACCTTGTCGCTGCTGAGTGGCTTCAGTGATGCTCTGATTTTCATGTTCGTGCAGTCTCTGTCGCTGGTGTATGATCAGTATGGTTTCAACACTTGGGAGAAGGGTCTGGCCTTCCTCCCCATCCTGGTCGGCTACTTCATTGCTTGGTTTTCCTGGTTCCCAGTTATTCGGCGCAACGTCAAGGAGCGCCGGGAGAACCCCGACAGCGAACGGGCCCAATATGAGTCCCGTTTATGGTGGCTGTTGTATACCGTTCCGTGCTTGCCCATTGGTTTGATTGGCTTCGCTTGGACCAGCTTACCTCAGTGCCACTGGATCGGCTCCATGATCTTTGCCGCCATCATCGGTATTGCGAACTACGCTATCTACATGGCCACCATTGACTATATGATCTGCGCCTACGGTCCATACTCTGCATCGGCCACTGGTGGTAACGGATGGTCGCGAGACTTCTTGGCTGGTGTCCTGACTATTCCTGCTACCCCCTTCTTTGAAAGTAAGTTGTCTCCTTGTCAGTTTCTTTTCGCTTTGACTAACGTATTTTGCCTTGCAGATATCGGTGGCAAGTACCACCTCGAATATGCTTCAACGATTCTCTGTATGTTCACCTCTTCCTTCAATTCTTCCTGAGAATTCCCAGCTGACCAATTGTTCCAGTCTGTATCTCGTTGCCTCTGGTTGTTGCCGTCTACGTGATCTACTGGAAGGGTCCCGCTCTGCGCAAGCGCTCTCCGTTTGCCCAGCAGCTCGAGGAGGCCCGCCACGACATGGCTATCCAAGGCCGCCGCCTGTCCAAGGTTCCGGAGGCGTCGCGTGCCAACTCGTACGCCCGGTCTCAGCAGGATCTCCGCATCCGGCAAACCATGGGCAGCCGTCCCGGTTCGCGAGTCAACTCCCGCGCCAATTCTCGAGTCAACTCACGCCGCAACAGCTTGGTCGGAGCCTGAGCAGCTGTTTCATTTCAGTATACTGAGGAATACTGATTCCAAAGACTATCGCACAAGTCCTTGATGCACATGCAAGGAATATGCACTTCGCAACAATATCCTAAGGCCAATTGCCACGAGGTAAAGTTTGCGGCCTAGGGATTTATGGGCAAAATCACATCTTCTATTCTCTGTGCATGTCTTTTCAACCGCATGGATCCTTTGCGCTGGGCGTTTTGGACTCTTAATTAATTCAATCAATGTTCTTGGGGGGAGGGTTAAGGGAATCTTCTGTGGCTGGCAGGCATGCATCTTCCATGCTTGAGTCTGTGCGCCACTGTTTGGTGCGTTGGTGCCTGCTTGACTACGTTGGTAGCTTGCCTTTTTTTTTCTTTGCTTGCACTATTTTCCAAAGTGTGGTTTGAGGGATCTGTTTGGTACTGCAATGTACGGTTATGGGCTTTGGCGATGGGATGCGATGCTTGTTATGAACTCTATGTTTTAGTTGATTACCCCCAATCCAGTTGGTTGCCCCCAGGATCTTTTGTGTCACTATGAGTTGTAGAGTAATCGGAGTATCTCAATCTGAATCACAGTTGAAGAGACAGCTAGACTGCATTCCTGCCTGATCAGCCTCGTGCATATCGAATTATCCCTCACTGCATCGGACGGTCGATCTGATCGACGATCACTGCGGAGTGCTCGCGTGGGCTACGATGGCCAGCGGGCGGGGGAGGGTCCTGCAGTTGATCGTCTGAACACCTCCTTACTGGTTTTCCACTGTTCCTGAAGCGGCAGATAGGATCAATGGTCGATAAGCGCTGGAGGGTAACGTAGTATCTTTCCTATCCAGCCATAGTGTACTTTTGTTATTTCCGTTTTCGGGGATTGGTCCCCGGAGGGAGTATATTGGACGACGACACCTCTAGAATACCCTGAAAGAAAAGAGACGTCTAATGTTCCATTATTGCATCGTTCCCACTTACCAACTTCTGGTGCGCTCTTATTTCTTTAGACTTGGTATGACGAGTATATATCTAATGACCGTGGAGAGTATAAGAATTGTCTCGGATTATAAAGATAAGAACCAGTGTTTATATCTCCATAGGTACTAGTGGTCAAATTTTCAAATCGTCAAGGTAAGTCGTAGCCGATCATCATCTTCGGTCATATCTATTCCTAAAATAGTGCAGCATAGAAGAGGGGATAGTGCTAAAGTAGGATTTAGATATATATTTCGCATGAAGTATAGTATTTTCTTATATATCTTACTCGGGCCGAGTTCAGTTAGTATATGCCTGGCTTTAGATGCCTGTTGATTCCTATTATTCATTGCTGGTTGTTCGCCCTGTCATTAAACTATATATGTTTGGCTCTCATCGTGAGCTTTCCGGCTTATGCAGTAGTATTATGAATGGAAATGTTTCAGATTAACTTGATAATCGTTGATCAATTCATCCGCACACATTCAGATACTGAACACTAAAAGTAATGGTTCCATTGTAGCCAATACAGACTCTTTATTCCCAAGACCAACTCAGAAGAGTTTCATAGCTCTGACCGTGCGATAAGATACGCCTGGTCCGTGCACCTCAGAGCTCCCCCGATCATGCGAATCAGCGATCATGGCGCCGACATCCTCGGCCTCATCACTCTCCCCCATACAATAATGAGCAGTTTCCCCGCATTTCGTCTCTGTGGGAGACTCCCACGACCAGCTCCTATACTCTCAGTAACCAGGACTGCACCCTTGACTCGCCTAACACCGTTGAGCCCCGTGCGCATGGCCTCCAACACGGTCGAGCCGCGTTTCGCCGAAGGAGAAGATGCGGCCCAACTGGGTCCGGACACGCAGACATTGCTGCAACGGCAGGGATGGGCCCTCGATGCTGATGGGATGGGTGTCACCAAGACGTTTCATTTCAAGAGTTACTTTAAAGCGGTGGTAAGTACGGGCTGGCGATTCTATTGCGCGGGTGCAAATCATATGATTGTACACGCAGTAGGTACTAGAGAACTGCCATAGCTGGTTGATGCCGTTCTGTCACGCTTGTGAGGCTAACAGGAGTCGTTCCAATTATAGTCATTTGTGAATCTCATTGCCGCCGAAAGCTCGGCGAAGAAACACCACCCCACGATGACCGTGGTAGGTACTAATCGGGACGAAAAAAAAATACTACGAGTGCATAGAGGAAACTAATTTGACCATCCGAATCTAGCGAATCGGCTCGGTCGATGTCCACTGGACGACGCATCGCCCACGCGGCCTCACGCAAAAGGACATCGCAATGGCTCGGCATTGCGATAACGGGGCCGACCTAATGGGCGCCGTTGACCCCGGGCAAGGGTTGAAATGCGGGCCGAAGCCCTAGTTAGCTTCAATTAGCTTACTTTACAGAGTATCTGCGAATCTCGATACGAGATCTTCGATTTGGCTTTGATCGGGGAAGAAGTGGCATGATGCTTTACCGAGAGGGGAAAGTTTGGACTGGGAAGGGTGGAGCGAACGGCGAAGCTCCACTCACGCGTGGATTGGAAAGGTTTAAGGGGGAAGGGGGAGGGGAATTAATATCCTTAGGGTTTTGGCGAGAACCTTATGGCGTCTCTGTGTAAGAAAAATCCGGTTGGTAGAAGACGAGGAAGAATTGAGTCTTCGAATCAAGAATGTCAGCTTTTGATACATCATACTTCCCAGTGGGATTGAAGATCGTCCCCACTGACTAGCGAAGCCAAACGGGAATTGGGACTGTCAGAAAGAAGGCAACAAAGAAAACGATGGGCGGGGAGACACCGTATACTTCCGTCGAGAGCTGTAGCAGTCTTGGAACTTGCTTAACCGGGTCTGGCTTAGTCCAGGCTCGGTATGGCTCGGATGTTCGTGATGTTGAGGAAAGAGAACTCCGTATTTGTTCTGCCTGGAGAGGGTTCAAAGGTATAGTCTCAAGATTAACACTATATAGAGAAACGAATTGCTATGATAGCATTGAGCATCAGCATAGCAATCCTTGTAGCTTAACGTTTCCCCGTCTGACAGTCTGACAGTCTGACAAGTCACAGATCGGCACTCGACGAAGAGGCAACCCTCGTACCTGCGGCACAACTACAGGAATCAGTATCCTATAGTTTAACTGCATACTCAAAATCTAAATGACTAGATTTCCTTTTTCTATAATCCATACTCCATACTCCATACTCTCGGGAGTCAAAAAGTACCAGGTACCTAATTCGAGGGCAAAAATGCAAAAAAAGGGTTTCAGGGGGCACCCGACTTTCCTATTTAGCGGCCTCATTTTTATGCACCTCGCATCACGTCCAGACTCGACTTTCTTTTTAGCCCCGATCCTTCTCAATTCCCCCACCCACTGCCGGCCATTTCTCCAATTCTTCCTTCTCCCACTCCCCGTCACTCTTTTCGATCTTTCCTTCTCTAATCTTCGATCTCGCCCTAACCCCGACTTTGAATTTTTTCTTTTCTATTTCCATCGTGCCTGCAATCGTTGCATGACGTTACCAAACGGCCGTGCAGCCGCGCCCACGTTCTTTCGCCGATGATCCTTTCCCTGTCAGACCGACTCGACCCCCGTTCCCCTTTTCGCTATCAAATCGCAAAGTCGTCTGGAAGGCCGGCAATGGTTTGGTGAATGCCGTCGCCCAAGCAGACCATCCGGAGGGGTCAACCATGTCCTCCCCTATAATGAGTGACTCGCCGCAGCCCTCCCCGTCCTTTGGCGAGCGCAGAGGTCACCGTTTGGCCCCATTGCAGACCAATTTCAGCCGACCCACGGCCAATCCCTTCCAGCCAACTTCCTCGCGATTGCAGCGCCCCCGGCCGACCGAATATCCCAGTACGAATGGCTCCGAGGGTCCGGTGCCGCTCCAAAGCCCCGTCAAGCGACAATCGTCCAAGTCGAGCTTGCGCAACCTTTTTGCTCGTGAAAAATCCCAACGTGCCGCTGCAGCCCCAGATGCTAAGTTGGCCGAGATTGACGAAACACACCCGCCTGCCAATCCAGACCCCACGGAGGCGACTACCCAAACGGTGACGGCGGCTGAGACCCCTTTGTCCCCGGCATTGACGAGTCCCCAAACTGTCGTATCCACCCCGACATTGACCTCACCAACCACCCCACGACCTCGAGCGACATTGAAGACCGCCAGGCCTAGACCGGCGCAGACTGCTTCCAAGCCGCCCTCGCAAGAACAGTACGGATGGAAACCGCCCCCACTCTTCCAGGCATACCCGCAATCTTATAAACATGAATGCCTGGCTGCGCCGGCCATGTCGGCGGACGCAATTCTACGTCTCCATGCTACTACGGGGAGATCCGGTGCGGAGGTAGGGCCAGATGAAGCGGCGGACGCAGCCCGGAAGAAGCGAGAACAGAAGGAGCGTAAACATCTTCGGACATTGTCGGGTACAATCAACAAGGTCGAGTGGACTACGAAGATCTACGTACTCGCGACGGCGGGCTTTATCCTGCAATACGCTGGCGAAGGGAAGAATGACCGCCTGCCGGAGAGGATGCTGCAATTGGGCCCTCAATCGGTAGCATTTGCTAGTGATGCCATTCCCGGAAAGCATTGGGTGCTTCAGATTTCACAGAATGGCGCGGCAGACAACGGCCCTATCGCCCCCGAACCCGCCAAATCGGGCCGCTTCCCACGATTTGGGTTTCACCGATCCAATGCACGACGTATGGCTGGTAGCTTTCTGTTGGTCTTTGATAATCCAGACTCCATGATCTCCTGGCTCACGGCTGTTCGGGCAGAGATTGAAGCCCGGGGAGGTCCCAAGTTCACAGCGGAGAAGCACTCGGATGACGATCAGGAACCTCGGCTTCGCAGCAAGTCCAGTGCTCGCAATATTGTGAAGAAAGATCCTAATCGTATCTCGAGTCTGTTCCTGCAGCCACAGGGTCTTCGTTCGCCCGATGAAGAAGACGGTTCATCGGTTGGTGGATTGACCTGGCAGTCTCGACGAAGCTCATACGTGTCCGTGAACCGCCAGTCCATGATCGACTCACGCTCTGGCTCGGTATCTACGGGCTGGACAGAGGCCACGGGCCCCAATAATGGCTCCGATGCTCAGTCGTCTTCGTTCACTTCGATCAATCCTCCCAGCTCGCCATATCAGGACGGCAGCTACCTTACTGATGACGCTCGATCGAAGGATTTTGATTCAACCTCAACCCGCAGCCCGCCCACGTCCAGTCATGACAATGCTAAACGCCAATCTATTTACGTGTCTCCCAAACCGCAAGACTTTCCTGCCGTTCCTCGCCCAGACGCGTTTCTACACAATCAATCTCCACCCAATATACCCGACTCATTAGTCCGCAGTGCTTCCCCGCCAGCACCAAACTTTAGTGTACCTTCCTTCAGCAAGAAATTTGTATCCAGGCCGGGGCCACCTCCTTTGGCCTCTGCACCCACACCTCTCGCTGGTGTTCTCCGTCGGGGCGAGAGCACTGGAGACTTCAGCCTCTCCAGCCTCTCCTCTCCCCCACAGTCTCCTACGTACAGCATTGCAAGCTCGAAGTATACCGACTCTCCGGAATCAATATTGATCACGCGCGAACCCAACGGCCGACGCATCCTCCGGCCCTCCAATTCCGAGGATGTCTTATCAAGAACCATGCGCTCGGCCCAGAATGCGACAAATCACTCGCGCTTACCGCGTGCTTTGGCTTCCGAAACCAGTCCTCCACCATCCCGCCCTCTCAGCCTGGTCGGTCGCAATGGATTGGGCATTCAGATGAATGGCGAGTCACCAGCCCAGAGTCTACCTCCAGGCGAACCAGTTCCAGTTCCAGTTCCACGCCCCCGAATGTCCACCATGAACGTGGACCAAACTCCGCACAATGTGTCCCGGCGCAAGAGCATGCCAGGACTGGCCATTGGACCTCCCGCGGCCCCTCCACCAAACTGTCCACTCCCTAAAATCCCCTCGCCCATTGCCGCTCAACCAGCACCAGTCTGGTCCACCAGTCCTCCAGCAGATCGTTTCTACCAATCTCAACAGATCCGGGACCGCATACAAGACCGACGACAAAGCGGTCTCCCACCCAACTCTCCTGCCCATCCTGATGGCAAGCTACTCAAGCCAGCTACACGGCAATCCAGGATGGTCCAATGAAAACCCATTATGCACAAGACAGATACGATAACCAGAAATTCACCTTTGACGCCCCAAAAAATTTCCGATATGTTCAGCCGTCTTTCTCATATATTCCGACCCTACCTACTTGACCCCTCCCTTTTATCCCGTCGTCAATTCTATACTACATCCTATAACCCTATTTTTTACCCTAATGAGCGATATCGGACACCTCTCATTCCTTGATCCATCCTTTTTCGCGTCCTGTCGTCGTCATCACTGTGCATACCTCTACATCCAAGCATCCAATACCCTGAGCGTGTTTCGCATATACGTTGACCCTGTCTGGATCATCTCACGCCCGAACGGTCATATCTTTCTCTCTTTTTTTTTTTTCTGCTGTGCGATATCTATTCTAAAATGACGATACCCGTCTTGTCTTATATACACTGACCTGTCAATATTATTCCCTTCTTGTACTGTGTCTTCTTATACCCCGCCTTTTTGTTATTGTCATTGTTCAATGCGAAGACTCTAGATTTGGTGTCATTCCTGCTACTTGTAGTACAATGGGTAGATCTCCTAGCCCAGAGCTGAGGAACTTTTGTAAGAATGGGAATGAAATAAAATGCGGACGCTATTGATATTTAAAGAGTCCTATTTTTGTAGTTCCCAGATGAAGCAGGTCATCCAACGCCTGAAGGGGCATCTCATGTGTGAAATAACAATGATCAGCCAAAATAGTCCACAAAACCTCGGCTTTCCGGATAGATGGTCAAGGCCTTGACTACCCTCTTAGCTACATGAAATAAATAGACCGAAATGAAATCGGAGGAATTCCATTACTCTTCCACCTCTTCGACTCGTGCGGTCAGGTCTCGCTTCACAGGGGTCGCGATAGGCGTGGATGCGGGCTCTGCGGAAGTTGTGGTTGCTGATGGGGTGGCCTCTTGAGATGTGGCCGCAACAGCAGGGGTCTTGGACTTCTTTCCTTTCTTCTTCTTGCTCTGGAGATCCAATGTTAGCATATATTGCAGTGATACAGATCGATTTTGGGGTGCCCACCTCCTGCCAACCCCACAATGGCTTGAAACTGTCAAAGAAACCAACATCCTCGAACAAATTGGGGAACAACCAGAGACCGGGCGGCACCGCAAAAACGGTGATACAGAACAGGATCAATCGGAAGATTGACATGGCAAAGAATAGACCAAGTAGGCCCATCATGCCCACACTCAAATACCACACACCCTGGCGCAGCATAACTGGCCACAAGGGGAACAGCACAACGGCGAAGATACCCGCCACGACCGCAGCGGCCATCGCCTTCTGCTTCCACTGGGGGCCCTCGTACAGCCAGACGTAGTGCATCATAGGATCAGTCTCTTGATGTTGCTCGATCTTCACGGTCCACAGGCCCTTGACTCGGTTCTTGGGTTTGGCATGGTTGTGTCCCTCGTGCGGGTCCACCTTGCTCACGCGCAGAGCCAGTAGGGAGAGGGGCAGGAGCTTGAAGACGTTCTCGGCAGAGGCGCGGTCCGTCACAGGTGGAAGGAGAGAGTTCTTCTTTGCGGCGGCTTTGGCGTAGGCGGGGGACTCGATGGCTCGAATGGCTCGCTTGACTACAAACAATTCTCGAGTTAGAAATGGCAATTGGCCCTCGAAACTTGAAGCGGACTCGTGACTGTCACTCACCCTTGAACATATCCTTGCGCTGGCCATCCAAGATGCAAGTCCGTGGCTTCAGGCTCTGCGATCGCAGGAAGTGAGCTACGGCCAGAGCTTTGGGGTCAGCCGGCTGTCCTGGCTGGACAGGAACTTGATGTGTCTGCTGTTGTGGTTGAGGCTGCTGCTGAGCTTGTGGCTGTCCTTGTTGACCTTGTTGTCCGGGCTGCTGCTGCTGTTGCTGCTGGGGTTGCTGTGCCTGTCCAGGCTGTGGGGATCCTTGACCCTGACGCTGGGCCTCCATTTGTTTCTGATGCGCCTGCATTGCCCGCATCCGCAACTGCGCGACGTATTGTTCCGGGGTGAGACCAAGCTTGGCAGCGTCAGCTGTCAACTGCTCGCGCTGCTGCTGTGCGAATTGCTCTGGAGTCAGTCCTCGTTTTGCGGCTTCGGCGGCGAACTGTTGTTGCATGGCAGCCATCTGCGCCATCTGCTGGGGACTGGGTTGGCCAGGCGCCGCCATGGTGAAGGCGAGGGGTGCGGTGAGTGGAAAAGGACGAGGGTCCAACTGGAACTGAGAGATGGAAAATAAAAAGTGAAAGACAGGAGGGCGAGTTGGGCGGCGTTTTGGGGGAAATTAAGAAGTGAAGTTTGAAAGGCAAGAAGTGAAGTGGCCAGATCGACTCAGGTGATCTGCGCCCTGTAGCTTATCCCGTTCCGCCCGCCCCGAACCCTTCGAACTGCTTGACAGTCACCACTATACCTACTTACAACAGCTCGCATGGAGTCGCAATGCTCTATCCTTCTCCATGTCGGTCTCCTATGATGCTGAAAATGCCATTAGTGACGCGACATGGCTGGCGGTGCTCCTGGTCAGTCTGCTTTTTCCTGATTCAAGTGCGTCGCGTGGACTGACATCACCACAGAGTGAACGCGATGTAGCCGGCCAGGTTCCGGTCAATTTCGTGACCAACCCTGCCGTATCGCTCTCATCGGCCTGTTTTGGAAATGGCCTCTACGCTCGGAAGGATGCCGCCAAGTGCATCTCCAACCTCCTTGCAGTGGGGTATAGGCGGCTAGTTGTAGACCTCTATTGGTCGGTAGAACGTCGAACATGGACCTTTTGTCCGGTAGAGATTCCTGCCAGGGTCGATGTGATGGTATCAACTTATACTTCTACCGCCACCAAAGCCTCGACTACTTCAACTATCACAACTGAAACTGCTACGACGACTTCGGACGCAGCTACTGCAACCATCACTGGGTACACTGATTCCTATGGGGATACGGTCTATGAGCTAGGACCGTACAGATGCACCAATGATCTTGATCTATATACCCTTTCAGAAGTACTTGTCGGATACTTTGAAGCCACCACCTCCCAACTTCTCGTCTATACAACTTATCTCGTTCTCAATCTTCATGCCGCGGGTAGCGATGTTGAACCGTCCAAGCCTGCTAAAGTGGTCACGGGCAGTGATCTGCCCTCGTCAGAGTCTGAACGAGTTGGGTCGTTCCTCAAAGATGCTCTGCGGCAATATCTCTACACCCCTAGACAACTTGCCAAGGACCGAAGCAATTTGAATGAGTCGTGGTATCAAGTCGATGAAAGCTACATGCCCATCGTGGAATATTATACAATCCACACAGACAAAGCAGGCGTCCAAAGTACTCCCGATGGGTGGCCGTCTGCAAAGTACGTTCAACTTGCGAAAGCCGATCGAATGATCATCGAGTATGGATCAGTGGATCTGCAACTTGCTGAGTTCGACTTTGCACAAGATGAAAATGCCATCTTCCCACCTGGCTATCTCACTACCGATGTGAACGTCACTGCTACTACGAACGGAACCCTAACGTCGGGTTGTTTGTACAAGAAGGATGCCACAGCAGTCTCTCAGGCCAACTCGTCTTGGGCTATCTCCAATGAAATCCCGGTTCCGGATGGGTTATCTACAGAGGACACTATGGGATCATTAACCAATGTGATCTCAGATATGACAGCATGTGGGATGTCCCCAATGCTCAACACCACCCTTTTAGATCAAACTGCCGACGCCAACGTCGATCATTATCGAAATGTCTCCCTGTCAACGGCATGGGCTTGGGCAATGGGTGAACCAGAGGGAGCAGATACTGGCGGTGGCACTGGAGATACTCCCAGTTTTGACCGCTGTGCTATCATGGACCTCTCCTCAGAGGGTCACTGGCGTGCCACCAACTGTTCCCAAACCAGGAGGGGCGCCTGTCGCATCGGCCACTCACCTTTCTCGTGGACCATTTCCAATGCCACTGCTGAGTATTCAAATGTTTCAGACACATGTCCTCCAGGCTCCAGTTTTGCCATCCCTCGAACTGGTTTGGAGAATACGTACCTCTACAAGTACCTTCTGACCCAGCCCGAGACAATAATTAACCCTGCATCAAATGATGCTACCCTACGCGAGATTTATATTGACTTCAATTCCATTGATGTCACATCTTGTTGGGTCTCGGGCGGTCCCGAGGCTCAATGTCCCTACGGTGCTGACCCTCAGCAGCTGGAGCGCAAAACTGTGCTTGTGGCTGCCATAGCGGGTATAGTCATCTGTATTATTACTGCGTTGACACTGTTTGTCAAGTGCAATGCCAACAGGCGTAACTCTCGTCGGAGAACGCGTATGATTAAGGGGTGGGAATATGAAGGTGTCCCTTCATAATGTACTGGTTTCGGACTTATGGCGTGTTGTTATAAACATGTATGATATCCTTTCTTGTCCGGCTCTGTCCTTTTTTGAATGTAATTGTCATTGTCAAATATGCTTGCTGAAATATCCGTACACCAAGAAATAAATCACCACCAGAGATGTTCCATCAATATGTTAAATGGGCCCGCTGAACTCGAAAAGGAAAATCAAATGACATGAATCGTCACATGCTGTGCGTAAAAACAGGTGGTAAAACTCCGTATCCCAACAGAAAAAAGAAACAGTTTAGGTATCTTTTACCGCATGAGTGATAGATAAATCACAGTCCCGCAAATCGTGCCCATCCGGCAGCCCGTGCGGGGGCGGGCTGCGGGCTTGGAGACTCGGTCTCTTCGACAACGTTCAAGCTGCGGCCTTCTTCGGCCACTTTACCACTCACGTCGCGGCGACGTCCAACGCCCAATCCGGCAATATAACTTCCATAGGAGGACAGGGAGGCACCGACACCACTAACAAGACCCGGTCGAGAAGTGTCTGCGCCAGAGTTACTGACAACTCGGCCCTTGCGATCTCTTTCAGTCGCACCCGGGGAGTTGACGTGACCCTCATCATCGCTGTCATCCTTTTTGAGGGACTGGTAGGCGGACAATTTCTTATTCCGCTTCTTGGAGAGCTTTGTTGGCTTGCGAGTCAAGTCGTCTTGACCACTGGCGTGCCGTGACATGTCCAGACCAGGCTTGCCCTCTTCCTCTAGATTACCATAGTAGCGAGTCTTGGTGGACGGTGAGAGGGGTGGTTCTTCCTGAGCCTGCTGGTTGGAGATATTCATGTTGTCAACCAACACATGGCGTCGGACGGGATCGGTATCTTCAGGTTTCTCCGTGAGAATTGGCTGAGGGGTCGGAGGGTTCAGCATAAGAGGGTTGAAGGGAAGCCCGTGAGAACGCTCATCATGGTCATGATCATGCTCTTCGGGGTCAGGGAAAATGTTGAAGCGGCGATCGCCGAGGTCCTGCTCATGCTTTTCCTCTTCAAGTCCATAGTGCTCGTGCATCGCTAAGGATGCATATTCTCCACGGGTTTCTTCAGGGATAACGCTTCCAATACTCGCAGGCTTCTGTCCATAGGCGAACCAGTCTCGGAAACCATTGCCGCCTTGTGAGGTAGTCGTAGAGATGGTGCGGCGACTGTAAACGGAAGAAGATTGACGAATATCGGCTTCGTGCTCATTATTAGCTTCGCTCACCGGGGATGTAGATCGGTCGGGATATGCGACCCAATTACCAGACAATGGGCTAACCGAGTCAGCTCTATCCGCAGTGCGAGAGGCCAGATGACGGGTGTGAGTGGCGGGGTCCACGACTTCGGGTGAGTGAGCAGCAACATTGCGGTATTCTGGGGCAGGAGCATCTGATGTCATATCATATGGCTGGCTAGCAGGATGCTGGAACAACATCTCGGGACTTGATGGCTCCATTTGATAAAACCGGTTGGGCTGTATGGATGCCACAGATTGACGCTTCACATTCATCATATCCACTGATCCGCGGTTAGAATCACCGGCCATAGATTGACCACGAGTATGCATGAATGGCATAGAGCGAGGAGGCCCAATGAGCGGATCTTCCAGGCTGGAATGTAAAGTGGACAAGCTGAGGTGCTTCTCATCCATATCAATCTCCTTAAGATTCTTGCGAGGACGAGCAGTCAAGTTGTCTTCCAGTGGGTTCATATCTGGAGGTAGATGAGAGATCTTGCGGAACATAACGGCCAAGAAGATCGACAATGCAAGCGAAACGAGGTGCAGGCTGCCATTGGCGAGAGCACAGATGAAAGTAGCTTCGGCAACCCGAACAGTCACCGTATCATTGGCAAATAGCGTTCCCCAATGGTAGGCATCGATGGTGTACTCTCCATGAGCCATAAAAGCGGTGAACACGTAGAATGGAATGAGCCCCGCATCCAGAGTGGAGGCGAACAGGCCATAGCTAGCTTGAGATGCGGGGGGCCGGTTCACTGGGGAGCGACAAAGATGGTAGATGGCATAGAGAGTATGAAGGATTGCAACTATGGGCTATAGGATAGTCAGCTATCAATTCTAGTCATGCTTCGGGGTTTTTGCTTACGCCAGCCCGAATGATCCAAATCACGGTTGTTGCAACGTTGTTGATCACAATTGAGCAGAATAGAGATCCAAGTGCTCCCAAGAGGGTGAGAACTCGCAAAGCTAACTGCGTGCGTCGCGCATAATTGACCCTGTTTTTGGTATGGGGACTCATTGGTGTCCATGTTGACTTTGAGTCAAGGCTGCCCCACTGCGACTTTTGTTAGTGACAATCTATAGTGTCCAAAGCAATAGAATCGCCACATACAGAGTCTGGATGGCGGTTGATGTTCACTAACGGGCCCTTTTGTGTAGGCCTTGGTGGTGGTGGAGCTCGGCTCGCTTGCGTCACGGCCTTGGGGTTGAAGCTCGGATCGGTCGGGCCATAGAAGCTGTAGGTGGTCGGGCGGTCGTAAATGAATGGAGGCTCCGATCTGCCCATTGTAGCGACTGAAGGCTCCCCGTAAAAACCACGTGAAACGTGGGAAACGGAAATCGGGAATCTGAAATTGAAAGGGAATGTGGATGAGGAATGGAGGAGTTGGAATGCGATCTGACGGCGACGACGAGCTGAGAGCATGCGGAGAGGCGCGGCCGATCAACAGGATAGTTGACCCAGCAACGGCTGATAAGGAACGATGTCACGTGTGAACGCGCCATCTGATAAGCACGATAAGCTTCCCTTTCCCGCGGTTGACTCCGATCCTCCGAAGCTCCGAGAACTTCGAAAGAACTACGGGGGATACACTCGTTCTTGCTTCGCTCACACCATGTTCGAGCGGGCCTTTGTATGTGCACAATGCACAACGCGATTGTTTCGGTCGTCTATACTAAGGCCTACCCTAAACCTGGGAGTCTCGTCCTCGGTGCGCCGTCTGAGCAGCCATACCGGTCAAATTGTTCGACCAGCCCGCATCGCGATTGTGGGCTCCGGTCCTGCAGGATTCTATGCCGCATCGCGTCTACTGAGCAAACATCAAGATGTAGTCGTCGATATGTATGAAAAGCTCCCGGTGCCATTTGGATTGGCTCGTTATGGTGTAGCCCCAGATCATCCCGAAGTAAAGGTGCGCAGCAACAACACAGATCATGATCATTGAACATTCGCAAAATGTATGAGGATCGCAAGCTAACATTTAATCCAAGAATTGCGAAGATAAATTCACCGAGGTCGCAACCTCTCCCCGCTTCAACTTTGTCGGCAACATCGACCTCGGCAACGATCTGCCTCTTACCGCACTCAAGCCCCATTACGATGCCATCCTTTTCGCATATGGAGCCGCCAAGGATAAAGAACTCGGAATCCCCGGTGAGAAGGCTCTGCGTAGTGTATACTCGGCCCGCGCCTTTGTTGGGTGGTACAACGGCCTCCCCGAGCATCGGGATCTCCAGCCCGACCTGACCAGCGGTGAGGATGCGGTTATCGTTGGCCAGGGTAACGTGGCACTCGACGTTGCCAGGATCCTACTTTCGGACGTGGATGCCCTTCGGAGTACTGATATTGCCGACTATGCTGTGGAGACGCTCTCCAAGAGCCGAATCAGGCGCGTACGCGTCGTTGGTCGTCGGGGACCGTTGCAGGTAGATACACCCCCGTTCCCCACGATATTTCCTGTTAAGGACCGGTTTCTCTAATGCACTTTTAGGCCTCCTTTACCATCAAAGAACTGCGGGAGCTCCTGCAACTTCCCTCTGTGGCCTTCGACCCCATTCCGCAGGATGTTCTCCCTCCGGAGGATGTCATCAACGCGCTCCCCCGAGCACAGAAGCGACTGATGCAGCTCCTTGCCAAGGGCTCAGCCAATGATCCCCAGACTGCGGCCAAGTCATGGTCCTTGGACTTTCTTCTCTCTCCCGACTCCCTTCACTGGTCACCCATGCATCCATACCGCCTCACACATACCAAATTCTCCCGCAATGAGCTCGACCCTGCGGATCGTTACAGCCCCAGCTCTAAGGTGACGCCAAAGCATCTATCCAGTGGTAAGCGTGCTATGGTGAACCTGTCTTCTAGTGTTTTCTTCCGTAGCGTCGGCTACAAGTCGCTTCCCCTGTCTGGCATGGAGGATCTAGGGATCGAGTTTGATTCACAGCGCGGTATAATTCCAAATGATGGATTCGGGCGGGTCACGAGTCCTTCAGGCTTGGGTGAATCCCACAAGTTGCCCGACGGCTCATTGATCGCCCATCTGCCCGGCCTGTATTGCGCTGGGTGGGTGAAGCGTGGTCCGACAGGTGTCATTGCTTCCACCATGGTCGATGCATTCACCACTGCCGATACCCTGCGGAAAGATCTGGCAACCAAGAAGAACTCTCAATCACCACTACGGGCCACCGAGCCGAGCAGTGGTCTTGGTTGGGATGCAGTCAAGACCGAGGCTGCGAGCCTTGGCCTACGCACAACTTCTTGGCAAGACTGGCAACGTATTGATGCAGCTGAACGTGAACGAGGTCAGTCCAAGGGAAAGGTCCGCGACAAGTTTGGTCGAGTGGAAGAAATGCTTGAAGTACTCGGATAAACGCTTCATGCTTTGTATATTATACTTGACAATCTAACACAAAATTTATGTGACAATTCCAACCATCCATCTCATCTCATCTCATCTCCTCCCAATCCTGCTATTATATCTCATGCAATATTTTATAGTTTCGGCTTCAACGCTCATGCACCGCACTGCGAGGCCTCGACCTCGGTGTAGGTGGCCGTCACCCGACCCAGCTGCTCAGCCTGGCCATTGGTGAGGTCGTTCATAGCCTGAAGACCAATGTTGAAACCACCAGGAGCAGTATCGATTCCAAGGACGGTGATGGTCTTGTCAACCCCATTACCAGAGTAGTGCAGCTGGTAGCACTTGCCGCAGCTAGGGCTGCCATTGCCGGAGATAGTGATGGCACCGCCGATGTGAGGGAAGCCGGGCAGCTGGCCGAACGTTGGGTACTTTTGGCTGAGAACGCTACCGCAGGCCACGGTATTCACGGAAGATCCGGCAACATCGTAGACGGGATCGTAGGAGACCGAGACGGAGACTGCCTCGGCGGTGGGTGCGATTGCTAGGACTGCAGCGACGAGGTTAAGAGAAGCCAGAATGGCGGAGGAAACAGCGATGAAGGACTTCATGGTGAAATTGATAACGGGTGATGCGTGGTTATTGAACGGGGTTAATCAAAAGTCTTCGGACGTGTAGCTCCACTGAGTTGATTGTAAACGGCGCTTGAACTACTTGTTGAATGGATGTAAATATCTATAGAGCCATGTGTCAACATATTTATATATCCTCGAACCACCGGGTATCAGGCAACCCAGGCGTGCTATTATTTCGAGCACAAGGAACAACACGACTGCATCCGGTACAAGTCCTAGACATAAAGCGGATACCAACCTCCGAGCCGGTCACCAGGCAGTAATAGTTGAGGTGAACAAGTGGCATCGTAGAACAAGGATAGACATCACGTGCGGGGCGAGGAGCAGCTGGAATGCGGGCAGTGGAGCGGAGACTGAGACATTGACGACACACATCTTGGCCGGATAAGGGATAGAGTGTGGCTGAGGATGATCATTTGCACGATCGAGCGATCTGCATCAACACGAAGTTGGATATCCTGCGTGTCGACTGATTCTCATGTCACGATATACTTGGAATGCCCCGTAGCCGTGGGGTGGATCACCTGCGGGATGCCTACTTGAAGCTGAGGTTACATTGACCACAAGGATTGACTGTGAATGGCAGCCACAATTGGAATACTGACTCAGAGTCAGAAATAGAATCTTCCAAAACTGACCCGGAAAACAAAAAAAAGAAGTGAAGTCTACGGTGACAATAAAACCCCTTGAAAAGAGGGGGAAAAAGACAAAAAGAGACGTCCCCGGGAAGGCTCGAACTTCCAACCTCCTGATTAACAGTCAGACGCGCTAGCCGATTGCGCCACGGAGACTTCCTTGAAGAGAGTTGGCAAGAAAGAAATTCATATTCCTGAATCCGACTTCCTCGCTTTTTACCGTTGCTCAATCCATCATATCTATACCTACCCTCCATCTGTATAGCTTACAATCACCAATAGGAAACATGCAAAATAACACCAATAGGCAAAGTATGCAACTAGCCAATCGAAGAAGCCCCGCAAGCACCGTTGTCAAATCGACTGACCACACAACCTGGCAATGAGCAACCTAACGAACACTCAGTGCGCTAGGAGCCCGATCTGGACTGCTTCCAAGCAGCGACAACTCTAGACCACATCAAAGAGGCACATATGTACTTAAACTGCTTTTAGGTGAGTTTGGACTCAAATACCTCCCCAAGGTGCCTGATGATTGGGGTTTGAGTGGCGGGGCCGAGAAGATTGGTAGCTCTCTATTACCTGGTCCCACCGATCTATACCATTTGTTAGACGATGATGCTTTTTAAACAGCCGAGGGATCTCCTCTGACCCAAGATCCAATTACTGCAGGCTACCATCTATAACACCTTGACGGGAAATCCCACCTCTAGGGGCTCAGGACAATTGTACAGGTTTCACCACAGCATTAAAATGGCCACGTTTTGTAATCAGCATTGTGCGCTATAATTCCAAGCCGTTTGTAACACTGCACAATATGAACAAGTTCAGTTTTACTCAGCAAGACGCAAAAGTATGAAATTTCCCTATCACTCCATCTTAGAAATATCGGGGCTTATCAGTGTTGAGGGAAAGAAAATGTGGTCGCGAAACCCTCACGTCTTTCTGACGTGAGTAATGTTATCGGTTGACGAAATCTTGAACCCACCTGTTCCTATGTGGATGTATGTAACCAGCGGAATCTTGCTTTCCAAATAGTGACTAGATCTCGACATAAATGGGGACCGAATTTGGTACCATTGGACCCCAACCAATCAGCGTCTTGACCGACAGAACTGACTTTAGGATCAGCAGCCTTGTCAGCTTGAAAAATATGGTGCTAGGTACTCCGTACTCTATGTGAACCTTATACAGTAAATCATAAACACCTTGTCGGATGGCATGCTGCTGGCGTCTTTCTCATTCTCCAATAGTAGCATCGATAGCAAAAATTGGTCTTGAAATCTAAACCTTATTACACGAGAGACCCGAGCTTAACTCGTTTCAGCCCCTCGGCAGGATCGAAAGATGCATGTTCATTGACCCGGCGCCGGTTATGGCATTCAAAGGTTTACTTCGTACTTTACTCCACATCCAAGGATGGACACTAGCCCTTCTTACGTGACTTGAGGTCGATCTCAGAGCTTCAGAAGAGCAAAGGGAAGAGATACATCACTATTTAGTGGTCATTATCTGTATCTGGGGGTATTTCAATTCGACCAAGGTGATCGAGGTGATTGCGACTTACCCCTGTCAGCCGTACGTCTACTCCGTACATGGCATAGCTTAAACTTCAGGATCCGGAATATTGTTTTCTTTAAGGTTATTGTGCTTCTGAGAAATCATTCCGGCCTTTAGGATCCTGTTTAGGAACCATTCGACGCCCCCACGAGGCTCGTGATTGTATAAGCCATTATTAATTATTGGCCCTCTCGCCCCGAATCGTGGGTCAATACGAGGAGAATCCACTATGATGGCTGTACGATGGCGTTGTGTTAGCCTAACGCGGGTCATTCGGGAGACGCGAGCGCTTGAAAATCGCGCCGTCGAATCTTAAATGGAGTGTTCCGACCAGTGATCGACGCCGCATTTTTCGGAACGAATTGACACCTTACCCTATCGCGCTTGAACGTTGATGAAGTGGAGATGGGGCTCGGTAGAAGTTCCCTCTCGACGCTGTGAACCAAAGAACAGCCGCGAACGCCCCTCCACTATTACGCTACCACTGATTTCTCTGCTCCCTCGTCTGCCGCACTATAGAGCTGTTATGATAGTGGTTTACGTGGTACTGGATATCCGCCTTCTCCGTTCCCCTGAATAACCAAAACAATGATGACCGGAAGCCAGAGGGTGGAGGCATGGGTGGCTTTTGCTCTGCTAAGCTGAAGCATAAGTGGAGAATCGGATGCGGTGCAGGCCGCTTCACGGCTCGAGTTTTTTTTTTGACCAGAAGCCCTTTCTTCAAATGCCTGTATTCTTATACAAATGAGGGACTTGCTCATCTGGTGGATTTTTTACTTTCTCAGGGACACGGTTCATCTCCCTGCCCCCCATCCGTGGTCATGCTAACCCAAGCTTTGCGGGCCCTCTACGCTGATGGAGGCAACTCCCCCATCGCCCGTCGGTGGGAGTTTCGCGAGGAATCCCCGGTCGAGGGTACCGATCGTTCGCTCTTTATTGCTATGGGGGTGATAGCTATTCTATCATTGGGGTCTACTCTTGGCCTCTTGTCGTTCCTTACCCACCGATTCATTTACTGGCAGCGGTACTACAAGCGTCCGCTTGCTCAGAACCAATACGTCGTGCTTATTTTCAATCTCCTGCTGGTTGACTTGCAACAATCGATTGCTTTTCTTATCAGTTTGCACTGGGCGGCTCGTGGCAGTACTCATTTCGGAGAGACTGCCTGCTACTTGCAAGGATGGTGGATCCAGACAGGTGATGCTGGTAGTGGTTTGTTCGTCTTGTCTATTGCGCTACATACGAGCGCCGTTGTACTGCGTGGTCGCCAACTTCCATTCAATACCTTTGTGTACTGTGTAATCGTGCTATGGATGTTTATTCTCATCTTGGGATTCATCCCGGTTGGTCTATATGGCTCTAAGGTCTTTGTCATTACAGAGGCCAATTGGGTATGTACCTTTACTTTCCTCATGCTTGAGCAGCACTCACCTAAATTTGATTTTGAAATTTTTAGTGCTGGCTGAGCCCGGAACACCAGGCCGAACGACTATGGGGCCATTATCTCTGGATTTTCCTTTCCGAGTTCGGTACAGTCGCTCTCTACACGATCATGTTCTTCTACCTCCGACGCCGTATGGCCCAAGCGAAGATGCTCCGCCGGGGCCAACAAGAGAGCTTGCAACGCCTCAACCGCGTTGTAGTCTACATGGTCATTTATCCCCTGGTTTACTTGGTCTTATCGTTACCACTTGCGGCGGGTCGTATGGCAACCGCTCGCGGTAATTCTCCTAGCAAGACCTACTTCGGTGTTGCTGGCTGTCTTATGGCTTCATCTGGCCTCATGGATGTGATTGTCTATACCGTCACTCGTCGCCATCTGATCTCCGATACCGAGCGCAGTACGACTGACCGCATCTACGACTACACCGACTCCCAATGGCAGACGAACATTACTACTACAAATGCTGGTGAGGGGACACGCACCCGAAAGGGAGGATTACGGATGGGATCTCGACTGGGCTCAAAGTTCCGGCGGAGTATTCCTACTGTCGACAAGGAGACTCGAAATAGCCCCTTCGAGGACTCGACGGACGATATTGTCCAGAAGGATGACGTTGAAATGAACAACTTAGACGGTGGTGTGTATCAGGAGACCACCATTGAGATCACTCATGAGCCTGCAACCCCTGCGGATACTCTGGAAGGAGGCTCGCGCCGGAGTGGCTAAAGGCTTTTTATGCTGTATGACTTCTCCTCACCCTACAGGGCTGTATTTATGATTGATTTTGTATCTACTTCACACGGCATGTCTGCCACTTCTTTACGCTCTCTAACACTCTAATACATGATCGTTCACGGTTGAAAATCCAACGAACTTTGCACCCCTGATCATTGTACATGATTTTGCACAATCTGTAACTCTCAGTGGATCATTGCATCAAACCAAGGATCAATAACCCTCGAACTCAAAACCCACGTGTTGGTTCCACCAAAAGAAAAGCAAAACATGTATGTACCCTTGATCTGCAACTGATCTCCTGAGATCTTCGAAGCATAGCTCGGTGTGCCCCCGTAGGGCCTTTACAGAGAAGGGATCCCAATGGCCAATCTACTTGCCATTATACTCGCCTGTTTCTACCCAACTTGTCCAGTCCAAGAGTGGGGTTGTAGCGCAATAGTGCTTTCTTAGCTGAAATAGTGGACTTGGGTGTTCGAGCCGCGCCAATCGTGTTGGCCCTTTTGCTTGTCTCCTTTGCTTTCGCGCTTGGGCCGCTCGACACGCTTTGGGACGCCCAGCGTAGATCTTCATATCGTGTCAAGTGGAGCTCCATTTTCCCGAGATCGGCAATCGGTCCACACTCAGGAGCCGACCGATTAGAATGGCGTGTATTCCGGTATTACATATTCTTTATTGTTTTTTTTTCTGTCAAAATTTTTTTGAAGTCTGGAATATACCCTGTAAAATGCAAAGACTCGGGGTGTTCGTAGCGTCTGGGAAAATCGGGTTAGTCCAAGTCTGTAAGCTCCCTAGTTGCAATGATGACCCAGAACTGAATCTCGGATGTTGTACGGTTGACAGAATGCACACTTGAACTCGAGAAGCGGTGGTACTAGTGGATCTGGAAAAGTCACTTTGACTTCAGGGACATCAAACTCTAGATCTGAAATTCTAACATCGAAAGACAATGTGAGAATAATTCAATTATCCATAACTGGAATCAACCCCACAAAACATCCGTCTATTGTAGTCTGATGTATGAGACTCTAAACTTTGAGGAAACCTTTGAAATGTTAAAGTTTTTCAATAGATTTTGAGTTTCTCGCACAGAGTTCTCCCCTTAACACTTAATTGTGCGTCAAATCTACTCCTAGCACGTTGCAAGACCAAGATTGAACCGCAGGAAACCATATTGTGAAAGACGGTCACTATGATGACGGGTCTTCCCAATGATAATGCCGAGAAGGAAGGAAGGGAGAATTCTAGATCTCTGCAGAAAACTATGTGTACGGCTTGATCTGCGTGAAAAATGAAAGTTTCCATGTAGACTTCCTCATACGTAATGATTAATTCACATTGGAGCTCGAGTACGATAAGCGTAGTTATACTGTAATTGTCCCTGGCGTGCACTTCTCCGTCTTTGCACCTCGTGGTCTGCTTCAATCAACGAAACACGCGTAAGTACCAGCATTTACCAAAGGCAGATTTCTGCTATACCCGGAGAAGAGACTCAAACCCTCATCCCTGTTTCTCATGCTAAACAAGGGGATTGATTGAATCTCGCAAAAACCCATCTGCAAGGAAACCGTCACCATCGCAGAGCTTATCATCCGACCTTTTTGGTGGCGCAGCATAGATCGGTGCGTAATGTCTTCGGGTTGATAGTTGCTTGGCAAACCATTTATAGCAATTGTAAATCGATGATCCCTTTTGAAAGTTCCCAAAGTCAAGAAGTGTCAGGCTTGAGAAGTCGGTGGTCACACCAGTCTCATTGTACCCAGACATTCATGGACTCGGGAAGTATGTTCTTGTCTGTCCTGTGAATCCAGTTGACATGGATTTCGGGTGCGTTGAGAGAAGACATTGTGTAACTCTCCTCATAGTAAGCGTTACCCGTGCCAAACTACTTATAGATTGTAGTATCCTCGGTTCCACTAGGAGAAGATGGATTTCACATCATGAAACTTCAACGACAAAGCCATCTTCTAGCCTACTGGTTGTCCTCGCTTTCTGTCACTACGGCACAGTTCCAAGGCTTTAATCCCTTCGGAAATGATGAGCTCACATACACGATTCGTATCCCTCAAGGCACAGCAAACTCTAGCATGGGGCCCATATACTTCCAGATGAACTCTACACGCCCCGTAGAGTGGTTTGCGTTGGGACAAGGAGCGGCCATGCACGGCTCGAGTATGTTCGTGGTATATACTTCGGACGGCAACGTTACTCTCTCCCCACGAGCGGGCACGGGACATTATGAGCCGTTGTACGACAAGCATTCGCAAGCCTCACTGATTTCTGTGAGCGGGGTACACGATGGAGTCATCACTGCCAATGTTAGGTGTGACGGTTGCAGCTTTTCCGGCGGTGGCACGGTGAATCTGTCCGACAGTTTCAGTCCCTGGATTTGGGCGATCAAGTATGGGGCCTCGCTGAAGACTAAAAGTGTGAACGCGAGAATTGCAGAGCATGATGTCTTTGGTACATTCTTCGTTAATAACACCAAAGCAACGGGACCGGACAGTGATAATCCATTTGTCGACTTGGATAGAACCTCGATTACGAGGGCCTTTCCGGAGGTCTTTGACCATGAAGGTTTTAAAAGAAAGAGGACTGCCCACGCGGTTTTGATGATAGTCGCATTTGTCTTACTATTTCCTCTATCTGCATTAGCACTTCATATCTGGCCGTCCTCCCAAATCGTCAGGATCCATGCTACTCTGCAGCTCTTTACGCTTGCGGTGACAGTTGCTGGCTTTGGACTCGGAGTCGCTATGGCCAAGGATGTTCATCTTTTGAAGCATCATCATGCGATTATTGGCATCGTGGTCGTGGCATGCCTGGCTCTCTTCCAGCCTGGGATGGGCCTTTTACAACACCGGTATTTCCGGAAGACGGGCCGCAAGGGTCCGTTTGCCTATTTACATCGGTGGTTTGGCAGGATCATGATCATCCTCGGGGTGGTGAATGTGGGCCTGGGATTCGAGATTACCGGGATTGGTTCATCCGATGTACCCAAAGGTGCGGTTATTGCCTATGGAACGGTAGCAGGAGTGATTGCAATAGTCTACATGGTGATTGTCAGCTTAGCTAGGCGACGGGCCGCATCGGATTGAAATTGGGCCGGTGTGAAGGCAGTAGGGAACCGCAGCGATTGGTTGTGCTCGGAGGAAATCAACAGGCAATACCAATTACCCTATTAAGGCGAATCCTAGGGAGTCTCAGGATAATGTAGCCACGTGTACGAGCTCATCTAGTTTAGTCGAGTATGTACTTAGCAAGAACTTTTTGACTCTAGTTGTAACTGGTAGCAGGGTGTATAAAGGGTTCGGTCGATGAAGTACAAGATTCTTCTACCAGAATGAAGATAATTGAAGGATAGCTCTGTCTGTAGTAATGTCTGTTGAATGCGCCTTATTCCTCGGGTTGCTCACAGTACTTAAGCCTCAACTTTGCAGATTTGGTCATGCATTCTGGAAATATAATTAGGTTAGATAGTTACTGATGGTTCGTTAGTCGTCATCCTAATAGGCTCGTTCGGCGAGTCCAACGTGGGATAGTTAGTTGAAGTCATACTTAACAAGTGGGAACTCTTTCTCGCATTATGATTCGTTCCCACATTTGCTTAGCTTCGTCGCTGCGTCTTCTTCGCCCCTTGGCCGCTTGGACCTGAATTGGCCCCACTTAAATGATGATGCGCTTCACCTGATCGTCCCTGCCATTCGGCGTTCGTGATTGGCGGTGGCTGAGTGTCTGTTCCGAACATCTCCTGAAAGATGACGTCGGGCCTCGGTTTGCGCCCTTATCAAGTGGGCATCCTATAACCTGGTCGATTTTCCCAACTCTATGCTTTTCACCCCTTTCATAACCTCAGCGGGTGAATGGCGCAGTCATGACACTGCATACGGTCGCGTTGGGTGCGGCCTTGTCTCCTACTGTCCTCCAGACTCTAATCAATCATGTGGGTCCACTACTGATGCAGGAGACGAGCTGTAAATGCATGCATGAATGAATGAATGAAGGCACATGCTAACCACTCTGAACTCGTCCGCAGTACCTGCACCGCAAGTCGCGCCATAGCCATCCGACCGTCCATCTCACCTACGATGAAGGCATCCAGGTTATTCGTCAATTCCTTTACTATGCCTCGAAACACCCCGTCGAAGATATACAGGCGTTCACTCGCCAGTCGGTCCCTAGCCCGCACTGGGTGCGAACGGAATCCGTCACCATCCCCGAGGAATTTCTATCGTCCGCAGCAAATGTGCTCGTCAAACAATTGGGTCCCAAGGGTCTCGTACGGGTTGGAGGCGAGCAGTGGTGGCAATGGCGAGGCCCGGATGAGGGTCTTAAGTGCGAATGGATCGAGATGCGCAGCCATTACAACGAGATGAAGAAGTCCAATGGCGGCAACAACAGGATCATGCTGTATGTCCATGGCGGAGCTTACTTCTTTGGAAGTGTTGATACACATAGATATATGCTGCAGCGTCACGCTCGCAAGCTGAACGGTCGCGTCTTTGCACCCAACTATCGCTTGGCGCCCCAGTTTCCTTTCCCGTGCGGCTTGCAGGACTGTATGGCGGCGTATCTCTGGCTGCTTAAGAGTTACGAGCCGAAGGAAATCATCCTCGCTGGTGATTCCGCCGGTGGTGGTATGACGTTGTCACTGCTGGTCATGATGCGCGACCAAGGCATCCCATTACCCGCGGGCGCGATTCTCATTTCGCCGTGGGTAGATCTGACACACTCGTTCCCAAGCATCGTTGACGATAACCCTGGTGACTATATACCACCATACGGATTCCGATACAAACCCTCCGCAGCCTGGCCTCCACCCAATGCCGATGAGATATTGAAGATCAAGAAGCTGTCTCGCAAAGAAACTTTTACAGCCAAGGACGTCGAAGCTGCTGGACCGACCGCAAATAAGGATGCTAGGGACACTGCCATACGTGGTTATACACTTCATGAGAAGAAGAGCACTGCCGAGGGCCATGCTTATCCGGGCATGCAGCAGAGTGCGGACCCGAGCACCCTGCATGCCGAACCCGACAACATTCACGTCGTCCTCGAAGGCAAAACGGTCGAGCTGAAAGATCAAATCCAGATGTATGCCACAAATCAGCTGATATCCCATCCTCTGGTATCGCCTATTCTTCAAGCATCATTAGGAGGCCTTCCGCCACTTCAAATCATTAGCGGTGGCGGCGAGACCCTTCGTGATGAACAGTTTTACGTGGCCCATAAAGCGGCCAACCCGACAGCCTATCCACCCGGCGACGTCTACCTAGATGAATTTGACCCTAACCGCGAGATACTGCACAAATACGAGCCAACATACGTCCAGCTTCAAGTCTGGGATGACCTGTGTCACGTTGCTCCCACGCTCAGCTTCACTCGGCCGGCCAAGTACATGTTCCGCTCGATCGCTCAATTTGGATCCTGGGCACTGGCTCGTGCCCAAAAGACCGAAGTAGAAATCATGGACGAAAATCTCATTTCGCCAGTCTCATCCAGTGAATCAGAAAGTTCGGACAGTCCAGGAGGGCCTTTAGGCGCACGCAAGCCGACATTCCCAGCCGGACAATCCGTCGGCAAAGCCGGTGACCCTCTTCCTGCTTTTGACCAGTATATGATTCGTCAGCGAGTCGACAAGCGCGGGCATATGTACCATCTCAACCCGCCGTCATCCTATCCCGTACTGGCAACACCGCCCGAAAAAGTTGGCGCAGTGAATCCAGAGTTGATTCGAAAATGGCTCGAGGCCAAGCACGAATGGGATCAGAAGTTCTCCAAGGAGAAGCTCCGGGTTCAGAGCCGACGTATCAAAGAGATGGCGCACGGCTTCCAGGATTTCGAGGGCGAATGTCCGCCTCCTAGCTCCCTAGCTGCTCGTCGTGCGGCTCCAGGTGTACTTCCAAAATCGCAAGCTAAGAAGAATTACGGACTGATGCTTTGGAGCGGCTGGGGTAGCAAGCATGATGAGCGGACCATGCAGAAAGCCCACAAAGCAGAAAAGTCCGGCCAGACTACAACCCGCCGCAGTGTGGATGCTGGACAGGCCGGTTCATATTCAAGCGTGCCATTGAAGAACCCTCAGCCCGCCACGTCTGGGGAGAGTAGGCTTGAACCGACCACTGAAAGCAGCTCGACAGGCGGCACTGCTGCTGTCACTTGGAATAACGATACTGAAAAGAAGCAGTGGAACGGAGACACCGCTCCTGATCGTCCTTCTGAACCCACGTCCTTGCGTCCGCCATCACAGAGAAGTGGCGGACCTATCCTCATTCTGCCGGGTGTCGACAATCGCAAGTTCAGCGATGAAAACGCAAGCACCAGAGCCCTCTTCCACGCCAAGGGAACCTTGCCCATGTCATCCGATGCATCTCTACCTTATCTAAGGGGCCGACCATCGTCAGTTGGTGGCTCGGTGGCAGGCCGTAGTGAGTTCATGTCTGACAACGGCGAAGATGCCAGTACTGTCGGTGGCGACATGGATTCGAGTACGGTCCCTGGCACAGCGCATGACGCCGCCAGCACTCGCGCTGTTCTAAGTGCGAAGGGTGTCGTGGGCGTGGTTAGCCCTCGGGATAGTGGTCGAATCTCCACCGATACTGCATCCTTACGGCCGAATCTCTCGGAGGCGGACGCTGTTCCCGCTGTTGGAAGTGAAAGCCGAACTTCTACGTCTCAACGGCCGGATATGCCGGAGAGAGAAGTGTTCAAGACAGCCCAAGAAGCGCTCTGAATTCGTGGACTTCCATCACATCGTTGCCATAGACACGCAAGATCTACCTTGATTTCACATTTGTCGATATCTCTGTCCGACTGAATTTCGACACATACACAACATTCCAGGACAATCATGTTTTCTTTTCTTGGCTGTTGCATCTTGGGACTGCCTTTTTCGATCTTTTGTCATCTCATTTTCTATGTTGAATATACCCTCCAGTAGCAACAATAGCTGTTGCTCATACTGGTGTCTTTTGTTAGAATGCATCCGATTCGCATACTCGTGCATTCTTGAGGGAACTGTCCCTGTAAACTCTTCAAAATTGCTGGACGATACTAGTACTATTCGTTCGATTTCGAGATGGCAATACACGTAGTATCGTGCCCAATCTACGATGCTTCGAATTTGGACGGATGCACGAATAAGGTTCCACGTAGACCGTGGTGAGTAGTGCCCTAATCTATCAGATGAATTTTTGGGCGACGGCATAGAGAAAATCGGAGAAATTAAATTCGTTGGTACAGAGCAAGGACGCTAAAATACAGAGTGTGGGCCACCAGCGCTGGTTGAAACGGATCCGGGAGAATGCAAGCATGGATATACACGCTCACGTAAGACCTTTGATAATAATACAATCGTGAGAATAATCAGGACACTGATGTTCTAGTGCCACTCCAAGCCAATCTTCTTGGCCACTTGTTCAGCAACGTCAAGGAAAGCCTGGCGTCGGACACTCTTTTCGACATTCTCCTCTGCTACCATAGTTGGCTTGCCACGGTCCGCATCTTCACACACTTGCGCATCGAGGGGAATGTCGCCAAGGAAATCGACTCCGAGCCGCTTGCACTCTGCAACCACGCCATGATCCTCGCAAGGCGAGTGATTTCCGTCTCCATGTGAGAAAATTCGGGTTTGATGACCACAATTGGGGCATGCGAAGTAGGCCATGTTGCGGACCATGCCGAGAACGGGGACTTCCATGCGCTGGAACATGCCGAAGCCACGAACTGCATCCCGGAGCGCGATGTCTTGAGGAGTCGTCACGATCACGGCACCGTCGATGACAACTTCTTGGTTGATAGTGAGCTGGACGTCGCCAGTTCCCGGGGGAAGGTCCAGAACGAGGACATCGAGTGGGCCCCAAGAGACTGAGTGTAGAAGCTGGTGCATGGCTTTTGTGACCATGAGGCCACGCCAGGTGATCGGGGTTGTATCCATGGGCACTTCACCGGTGGGGCTATCGGATTGTGTTTGTGGAAGGAGGTAGCCCATTGACATGGACTTGAGGCCGTAGTTTGTAAGGGGGACAAGGCAGTTGTCTATCGCGGGTTAGCTGATGTAGATGCCTATCGGGTTGGCAGTTCAAGAGCGGGAATGACGGTGATCTTACTTTCATCGAGACGAGGCTCGCCGGACAGGTTGAGTAGCGTTGGAATTGATGGGCCAAAGATATCGGTATCAAGGATTCCAGTCTTGATACCTCGGCGAGCAAAGGCAAGGGCAAGGTTTACTGGTCGCGTAAATGTTCACTTAGCTTAGTTTCAAGGTTTATGTACCGTAGCTGACCGGGAGAGCCAATTTAAAATATTGCATTGGCAACTAGGATAACACGAACCAGCAACCGTCGATTTACCCACACCCCCCTTGGCAGAGGAAACAGCTACCACTTTCTTGACATCTCGGATCGTGCGCTTCTGAGGCAGGCCACGACGACGGGGGAAGGACGGGGGCGTTCCGGAACGAGGCAAGCCCTTGAGAATGATGAAGTCAGTGAAAGATGCATCGTTGGAGGCAGTGAAGCTAGGTGCCTGTAGAATGGGTATGTGACATCTTCAAGTCACCCAACAGGCAACATAGGGACTGGATATAGACAGTGGTAGGTGGAGCACACTCACCAGAGGATTGTCATGGCTGAGGATGGACCGGGAGGTCGAGAACATCCTCCTGCAGAATACCATTGTGTGAGCTCGAGATGATAACATGTTGGTCAGGGTGCGACGCCAGGATGAAAAGCAATGTCCAACAAGTCCTTGGGAGAAGCAACGTGAACAAAAAACCCGCGGAGATGGATAACAATTCTGCCGCCAGGTAGGCCCACCTCCCCTTACCGCCCTCGATAACAAGACCGCAGGCGCTAATCCATAAGTAGAAGGTTATTCCGTTATCCGGATAAACAAAAAAAAAGTTGGCCGAGAGAATTGCTCTCTCGCCAACCTTCCAACACATCATGGCTCCTGGGAAACCCCGTTCTGGGCGGTCACTTGCAGACCAGCTCGCAGATCTTGAAGACCCAACTCCCAAGGGTATGTGCATTTTGAACGGACTTACACATTATGTTGGTGGTGAGCCAACCTGGGCTAACCTCGTTGCAGACTTTGATCCCGAAGACATCGACCATGATGTGCAGTCAAGTGGTGATGAAGGGGCTGGCAAAGAGTCAGATCTGAATGCTGGCAGAGAACACTATCAATCGGTGGGGTAAGTGAATTCAACGTACATGTGAGCAAATTGACGGTTGCTAAGGTTCAAACAGCAAAGGAAAACTCCGAAAGCAAGAGCCCGTTGATCTGGGAAAGCAATACGCCGGCGCTCGTGTTAGCAGAGATGACCTGGAGGCTGATAGTGACGATGATCCGTTTGCGGCACGTACCGACGATGAGGTCTCGTCCGATCAAGACGATGATGGCGACTCCGCCTCGGGGTCTGAACTCCAGAGGACAGAGTCACAGAGCGATGGGGAATCACCGCAACCTATGGAGCTCGCGGAGGCGGATGAGGAAAGCGAGAATTCGCACGGTGACCAGTACGAGGATGATAGCAGTGAGGACTCGTATGATGACGACGAGCAGGAAGATGACCAAGAAGTCGAACCTGTCGAAGAGTCGACCACGAGGGGTAACCGCGGGGCTATTTATGATCGCAGTGGGCCGAAGCAAGGGGATACTGATCGAGATGAGCTGCGGCGATTGATGGCGTCAGATCAGAAGACCATTGCTGCAACCATCTCACAAGCTGCCAAAGCAGATGCGGCAAAAGGCAAGGCCGTCAAGGAGCAACGTACCACGTTCGATGCACTATTGAACAGTAGGATCAAGCTGCAAAAGGGCTTGGGAGCGATGAACGAGATGGTGGTTGTGGTTGGGGAAGAGGAAGTAGAAGAGGGCGAGAATGGTGAAGAAAAGAGAAATTCGGAGGCGATCAAGTCTGCTGAAAATGCCGCCCTTGCCCTTTGGTCTACTCTGGAAGAACTGCGCATTGCTCTTGCCGATGCCCACTCTAAGGACGGAGCTAAAAAGCGCAAGCGCCAAGATCTTATCACCAATTCCACTTCGACTACCTCCCTCTGGGAGCGCATGTCCAACCTGGAGTCCGAGTCCCTTCTCCACCGTCGAGCCGTTCTCGACAAGTGGTCTTCCAAGGTTCGCGGCACCGCGACCTCCCTTCCCAATGCCCGCGGAAAGCTGCTTGGCTCTGCTTCTGGTACTCAGACAATCACCGCCGTCCTTGATGCGCATGTTGCTACAGAGATTGGTGATCGTGCGAACAAACGTGCACGCCAAACAACTGTCTCCAATGGCTCAACATCTAGCGGACTTGCTGAACCCGTCTATGATGACACCGTTTTCTATCAATCTCTCCTTCGCGACCTTGTCGAGCAACGCATGTCTTCCTCCGAAGCCATGACCGGTGGCCTTGATACCCTCCACCAGCTCCCCTCTCGCCTGCCAATTCACCCCATTACTGGTATGCGCAACGACAAAAACAGGAAAGAAGGCGTTGATACACGAGCCTCAAAGGGCCGTAAAATGCGTTTCAATGTGCATGAGAAGTTGCAGAATTTCATGGCCCCCGAGGACCGTGGCTCGTGGACAATCCGAGCCCGGGATGAATTCTTCGCTTCCTTGCTGGGTAAATCAGCAAGTGGCTTACTGGGTGAAGGAGACGAGAGTGCCAGTGACGCTGAGTCCGATGAGGATCGTGAGGAAGGTGGATTGCGTCTGTTCCGCAACTGATCCTATTTGCGCGGATAGCACAGCTACGACTTGTACATGTATCATTCTCAAACCTAAACATTGGATCCCGATCGTAACTACAAATCCTCCAATTGACACGGAGAGAAACTCAATCCTTATGTTTTACTTTACATTTTCCTACGTTGCACAGTCCACTTACGATGTCCTTTGACCTCTGGCGTTTAGGGGGCCGATCTTGAGAAAGCCTCTATCATGTTGATCTAAGAGTGGATTGAAAGGCGGATGAGACATTTCATGTGAAAACTAATCAGTATCCGCTGCTTTCATCATCGTCCTGCCATTGCTGGCGGAGTGATCTGATCAAAGCATCCATGTTCCACCCAGTCCTTTCATGCATGTCATGCAATAGATACTCTGCTGCTTTCTGATCGCTGTGATGCCGTAGAACCCAGCCCCCTTTAAGAAACTTGATCAGTAGATGCATTATGGAGAAGTCATCAGACATACTTACATGCTACCAAACTATGTCTCGCGGTAAATAGAGTGTTCTCTGCACGGGAGTTTGACTGGGCTAGGCCTAAAATGCAAAGTAGGTGATAACGAATGTTTCTCTGCATGAGGCATTTGTCAATCAACAGATTCAAATCATAATCAGGATGACCAGAAGCTTACTTCTGTTTGTCGAGTCTGACGGAAACTTTCGTAGGCAGACTTTATTGGAGATGATGCTGATAGAGCTAGCACAATCTTTGCAATGTGGTAGTACTGTAGACCAATGACTGTATCCTGATCAGCATGGCTCCTTTTCTTAGCTTTGCGGTCGAGAGTAGCATCTACCTACCATGAACTGGCAAAAGCATCCAAATGGTGGGGAATCGTTGATCAATTTCGGATCCACGTGCTACCATTCTCACTGGCTCAAAAGTATACGGTTTTGAAGTATACCAATCTTCCACCTCCTCCCTAATCGCGGTGTCCGGACATACATCAGAAACGGAGCTTTGAAGGACCTTCGCGAGCAAGAATACCATTCTGCTGGACCAGGCAAAATCGTCGTTTCTGTTGAAGATATCCGAGCCATGAAAGTTCAGCAGGTTAGTTCGTAAGGGCCTTTGAGTAGTCAAGGACACATAGATATCTTGACGTAGACATAGCCAGGCTGCTGCCTCGCCGAGGCCACCTGATGAGCCGAAGCTTTGTACCGAATTGAGAATGTGTGTTGTTCCTGTGAGATGGAACTGGTGATCCTCGCCTAGTAGAAAATGAGCTCTTGTGGCGTTTAATGGAGAGTATAAGTTGAGAGACTTACCATCCATTTCTTCATGCTGGCGGAGTATTGCTACAGCGGCGAGAACATCCTCGGTAATTTGCTCTGTCTCAGAGAGTGCTGGTATCAACAGCTGCACACACTCGTTGTGATACTGTAAAGCCTCAGCTGTATCACTATCCTTTTGTCGATTCAGATGCCGTGATGAGAATGCAAATATGGCGCAGCGTAAGACTGGCTCCTTCAGAGCCCTGGCGGGTACTTCGGATTCAAAATGGCGATATGGATCTGTTATGTCTGCCTGCGAGTAAATCAGATGCTATAGTGCATACTTTAGGGTAGATTGCCTGAACATACCCAATGTGCCATATTTTCCACGAAGTTGCGGAGTAGTATGGCTTCTCTCTGCGTGAAGCTATGTATATCTTGAGAGCGAGCTGGCTGCCTGGACGGAGAAGAATATAGAGATTGGCTAGAAGGAGAAAGATCTTTTGCGAGTTGTTGTTGAGGTGACAGAGCCAATGTTCTCTCAAGACGGGGCTCTTGAATATGGAAATCCTCATGAGGATGTGATACACCTGTGTCTCCCTCGAAAGATAATTCTCTAAAGTTTTGAAAGGGAAGAATAGTATCGTCTTGTGAAGAACTCATGTAGAGACTGGCGACTTCAGGAGTCTCGTCATGGAAGCGAACTAGAGGGTTTCTGGATTGGATAACAGCCTCACAAAATACAAGAAGGGATGCAACTTACCCTTTCCACGCACTCGTGGCCAGTTTTTCTGATCGGGAAAGGTTCCATCGACGCTATCTGACAATGTCAATCCATCCCGAAATCGAATAGTGGTTCGATCACATTCAGACCCTGCATCCTGGCAGGGCTGGCAGACTCTAGAGTCGATATCGCCTGTAGAGAGCGGTTAGTTCAGTTGATTTAAGCTCCACTATACTCAATAACCTTACATTTCAAATGTCGAACTAGGCAGGGGGAATCGCTGGTTCAGTGATACGCTCCTTAGGATAAACCCCAATCCTGGTGCATGAACTTACGGCGACAACGGTGACTATGTGGATCTGGTCAGCGTGTACAGTATTAATCTAGCAGAAACACGGTCGGACGTACCATCCTGCTGCAAGCCGACTTCGCTTCTGTCGAGTGGGCATCTGGATTCTGGCAGAGGCGTAAAGCTGGGGACAAAATTGCCCTCGACATTCCAGAGGCAAATCTCTCCGGAGTGCGGGGAAGATCGTCTCCACACTTTCATTTGAACGTTATCGAAAGACTGAATGCTAAGTGGGCCAGGATTGCTTCCAATAAACCCGGTTATTTATCGTTATAACAAGCTAATCACATAATGACCCAAGTGGGTCACCACTGAGAAAGTGGTCAAGTGGAGTTTCCTAATTTACCTCTTCGGGCGCATTGAGAAATTCTTTCCGTCCTATCTAAACAATTTGCCCAACTTGTCGTTGAGGTTTCTAATGCAGGTGACGGAGACCCTTGGCAGGCTTGAGAATAGACAAAAGAATGTTCGATCAATGAGCGACTAGATGACCCTGGGCTCACATATATAAGTCGTCCTAGAATCCTTGTACCCAAAGAGAGAACCAACATTCACACACTCTCCTTCCATTTTACAACTTTGCAAAAAACTCGAGAGCATCATGGGAATTCAGAAACTTCAGGTTGGAATGGCCGGCTTGGGTCGTGTTGGCAAGATTCATGCTATCAACTTCCTCCAGCGAACTCCTCGTGCTCAACTTGTGGCAGCTTTCACCCCCGATCCAAATGAAATTTCCTGGGGGAAGTTAAACCTTGAGCCACATGGAGTGACCTTGTACACCGATTATGACGAGATGCTCAAGCATCCCGGTCTCCAGGCCGTGGCTATTGGAACTGCTACCTCCGTACATGCCGAGGAGGCCATCAAGGCCATTGAACGAGACTTGCATGTTCTCTGCGAGAAGCCTCTCTCCATCGACGTCGAAGTGGTATGACCTGTTATAACCTATCTTGGGCTTTTGAAAATGAACTAATAGCCGGGTTTCTCCCTCTTAGTGCAAAGCTGTTGTTCAAGCTGCTAAGAAGAAGCCTCATCTGAAGGTGATGTGTGGTTTCTCGCGACGATTCGACGAATCCTACCGCGATGCTCGTGAAAAGGTCGAACAAGGGCTGATCGGCCGACCTTCTATCATCCGCAGCCAGACATGCGACAAGTTCGATCCCTCGGGCTTCTATGTGGAGTACGCTGCCTGGTCTGGTGGTGTCTTTGTCGATATGTCCGTCCATGATATCGACCTGACCCTCTGGTTCTTTGGAGACGACATCATTCCAAAGAGCATTTCCGCGCACGGAATCACCGCAGTGCAACCTGAGTTGAAAAAGCACAAGGACTATGATAACGCTGTTGGAATTGTGGAATTCCAGAATGGCAAGATCGCGTACTACTACTGCACGCGGATGATGGCCCATGGCCAAGAGGATACTACCGAGATCATCGGTACCGAGGGCAAGTTGGCAGTCAATAGCAACCCTCAGCGCAACTTTGTCAATCTTTATCACTCTGGTGGTATTACGCGCGAGGTTCCCCCTAACTTCATCGGTCGCTTCGGTGCTGCCTTTGTGCAGGAGGCGAATGAGTTTACTGCCGCTTGCCTCGATAACACTCCCCTTCCTATGAAGTTGTCTAATGCCGTCAAGGCAGTTGAGATTGGTGCATACCTCCAGGAAGCCTTGGTAACTGGACAGCAAATTCACTTTGATGAGATTGGACGGCGGATTGAAAAGGCTCAGCTATAGGATGGGGATTACTTGTTTTGTTGGGGATCGAATTTCAATAGATATTGATATTCACAATTAGTATACGAGAATTTGAAAGAAATAGTGCTACTTGAGAATCCGCTAATACTACTCGGGTTCACTATCTGCCGCATCTTTGGAATGCAAGACCAGTTTACCAGGCCCGCCTATGTCCATAGATCATAAAATAGATCTATGGTTTCAGATACTGTCGAACTAAACTCGGTTTTCACCGAGACTCTGCTTCGATTCTAAGGAGCTTTGACACTTGGATCTCCCCGCGCGTACGTAACCCCCGCGAAGCCTCGGAATCCAAGGCGCTGGCTGTCGCGGCCTCCTTGGAGAATCCATTGGGATTGGTGTTTTCAGATCCACTGTGATCGTCCGAGGTTAGAACCTACATACACGCAACACATCTCTCGTACTGTATTATCATCAGCCGTGCCCAGCTTGATGACCATGCGGAGTGGAGAACAATGTGGGGAATGCTGCGATCCCCTCATGACGCCACAGTATTGGCACGATCGACAGGACCTCAAGGGGCAATTTCCTTTTGTCTTCTTTGATGTTCCCGACCATGGGAACTAGGGAGTTACCAAGGTCAGGCTACTGATTGAGTTTATCTCGATTCCCTTAATCGGTCACGCATGATTCAAGCGTTGGCAGGAGCTTGTCGTCGCCAACTGTTGCTGTGATCCTACGGGCGCCCCCGAATCATCGTAGCCCCAGCTGTAACGAAGCAAAGGGCAGGAACCTTCATTCCTAGAATCCAAAAAAGATGCATTTCAACCTGCAGAATCAGTTGAGGCTGGGATCCTTCTGCTCATCGCTATTATCATTTCTTTGCAGCAATGACCAGGCTCAAGTCGCCCATCACCCAGCCCGGCCACCATCGTACCCGCTGGCCGTTCGCAACCCATACTTATCGACATGGATGCCAGCAGACCGAGTTGATCAGCTTCCATATGCGGAATCCCAGTTTTGGGCAGGCCAAGATCTTGGTTGGTCTGTGATGGTGCGTATCGATGGTCAGGCGTATAGTCTGATGGGCGTCTCCAACCTGGAGACCAACTCAATTCTCCCTGCAACCGTGCGGCGCACCGAGTTCACATCAACTCATTCGCTGTTCGATCTTACCGCCGGATCGGTGTCGCTCACATTAGACTTCTTTTCCCCGGTCTCGCCGTCAAATTACCTACGACAGTCGCTCCCGTTCAGTAAGTCCTATGTAGAGGCAGTATGATGCCCCACAAGCTCGCTTCTCGGCACTAACAGACAACACAACCCTAGGCTATTTGACGGTGCAAGTCAACAATGCATGGGGACGTGATATTCAGATATACTCGGACATTGACGGGAGGTGGACTGGCCGGGAACATCGCACAGTCCACAACTTTGAGGAACATGGCAAACTGCTGTTCCACTCCCTGTCGGTCGAAGATGCCCCTCGATATGCAGAAGATCGCGATATGGCCCTGTGGGGACAGGCAATTCTTGCTTCGCGTGCGGAAGGCTCACGAAACCTTTCAGCACTTGCTGGACCTCCTCAGGTCGTTCGCACTGCTTTTGCGACGAATGGCAACCTAGATGAAGAAGGATCCGCTTGGTCCCCAAAAAGTGTTGTAGCTCTTGCGCATGACTTGGGGAATATCGTCGGTGACGCTTCTGTGACCTTTGCTGTCGGTTATGAGAGAAAGGATGCGATCAATTACCTCGGTGACGCATACACCGGTTTCTATCGATCGGGATATCCCACAACTCGCGAAGCTCTCTCATTCTTCTTGGACGACTTTGAGGATGCTCGACTAGAATCTTGGAAACTGGACGATGAACTCTCTGCTTTTGCCACCGCCGCTGCCGGTCCCAAATATGCAGACATCGTAACTCTGTCAACTCGTCAAGCATATGGAGGCATCGACTTGACAATCCCCAACGACTCACTCAACACTGATCAAGTGCTAGCTTTCATCAAAGAGCTCTCTAGTGACGGAAATGTGAATACAATCGACATTATTATGCCAGCCTTCCCAATATACTGGGTGATGGATCCTGACTGGATCCGCCTGTTGCTGGAACCCGTCATCCTGTACCTGGATGCTGGGCGGTGGAAACTCCCCTATACCATCCACGACCTCGGATCTCATTATCCTCACGCCATTGGTCATGATGATCAGCGAGCAGAGCCCATGCCCATTGAAGAATCTGGGAACCTCCTCATTCTGGCGCTCGCATATGTCCGTGCCACGGGCGATGCAAGCTGGATCAATCAGTATATGGATATTTTCCAGAAATATGCCGACTATCTGGTCGAAAACAGCATCAATATAGCCGAACAGCTCTCGTCCAACGATGCGGCTGGTCCACTAGCAAATGAGACAAATCTGGCTATCAAGGCGGCCATAGGCATCAAGGCATATGGAGAGTTGAGCGGAGATCATAGATATTCCCAGATTGGAGATGAGCATGCAGATATCATCTTCGGACAAAGATTGGGCACTGACGAGAGCCAAAGTCATTTCGTGCTGGAATACCCCGACAAGCCAAATACGTGGAAAACTCCATATAATCTTTACCCGGACGTTCTACTGGGTCTAGAGACATTCCCCAATGAAGCATACTCGATGGGTAGTAAGTTCTTCTCGACCGTTCGCGGAGAATATGGCGTGGCATTGGATAATCGACAAGACTGGGCCAAATCCGATTGGAACATGTGGCTGGCAGGCACTTTTGAGACGAGCACACGCGACGAGTTTGTCGATGACCTGTGGGCATTCATGACCAATGGGAAGCACAACTGGCCCTTTTCGGATCGCTACGTCTCTACTTCTGCGCATGGCAGTGAACCGGGTATCCCAATACTATGCCGTGCTCGTCCAACTGTTGGTGGTCATTTTGCTTTGCTAGCATTGAAAGGCCCTAGTTCTCTCCTATCACTGTCAACTTACAAATCTCATGCTACTAGAGGTTCGCGATATGAGAGGTTCATGGATCCTGCTGGTGAGTTGTGATGAGTAGACACGTACGTACTCTGTGGACTCGACAGCTGTATGTTCTTAGTCAGTATCAGTATCGTCTTCATTCCAAAAAAAACCTGGATTTTTATCCATCTGTCTAAACTATATAACTCGTATCTTGCAGCCAAGATTGTGTTAAAGCCTTTCTGGAAATGCCTCGCTTGGCCAATTCAGTGTTAAGAATCTTAGGTTCCAACCTTAGGATTGATACTCTAATAGAGGTGTAAGAGATAGCCGGAAGCAGCCATTCAACACTGACTCTCCATAATTGAGTTATGTGGTCGAGAAAACTCAAACCTAATATCGTTTAATAAAAAAGTCAACTTATGTGTAGAGCTTAGTTACCAAGGTTCTATGACTGCGAACTATGTCCAGCTCAAAGTGCGGATACTACATTCCTCAAAAACCACAAGCAAACTCGGAGCTCAGCCTCTGATACAAATGAACGGAAACTTACCTAGACCCAATTTCAATTCTTGATGCAGTCTGCTTGTGTTTGCAATTTCATCCCTCTCTTAACCCGCAAAGGAAGTTCTGTTTGTGAGACCCAGGGGTGCTTACCTAATCTGCATGTCACGCCTGCCCAGTTGCTTCATCAATGCGCAGTGAATCTTCCGTCGCCCTTCGACTTCCTCTCACACCCTCCGTCTTTCTTCTTTTCTTCCTTTTCCCCTCATCTCCTCCCTCCATCTCCTTCTTTAATCCTCCATAATCCTTCGTTTCTCTTTTTTGTCCCCTCCTTCCCTCGATGGCTTCTGTGAGTTCCTCCTGTTTTGACCCTCGTGTCTCCCCTCCTACGGCACTGAGCTGGATGCCTGACGTTTGACCCGACGATACCACTCCTCAAGCTTGGAGAACCTTGACTAACATTGTGTCTCTCACCTCTAGCCTCGTCCGCATAACTTCGGTGCCCAAGGCTATCCCCTCTCGAACGGTGCGACCCCGTCCGGTCCGGCGCCCGGAGCTGTGCCACTCCTCCCCAATAACGGCAGAATGATTCAGAGTGGACCAACTCGGATCTTGTGTATTGCGGACGTGCGAGGTATGATTGAGACCCTGATGTCTTGATACTAGGCGAGGCTAATTGATATGTAATGTAGGAAATCTGAAGTCTCTGAATGATCTGGCGAAGCAAGCTCGCGCCGACCACATCATCCACACCGGTGATTTTGGTTTCTACGATGATACCTCGTTGGAGCGCATTGCAGACAAGTAAGTCCCCAATCCAGGCTCTTCACTTCTGTCCTTGGGTCTCCAAATGGGACACTGCCATTACTCCATGACGTTCGGTTTCAAAATCACCATGATTGGGGGGCTAAGCTAACCTTATTTTGTCTTCGCGCAGGACCCTTAAGCATGTCGCCCAATATTCCCCCCTCCTCCCCGAGAATGTGAAGCGCACAATTGCACAGGTGCCGCCTCAGCAGTCGATTAAGCAGCGTTTCACTCCAGACCAGCTACCCCTCTCCGAGCTGCCGATGCTCCTCGACAAGCGCATCACCCTTGACGTTCCTGTCTACACAGTTTGGGGTGCTTGCGAGGATGTTCGGGTCTTGGAGAAATTCCGCTCGGGTGAGTACAAAGTGAACAATCTGCACATCATCGACGAGGCCAACTCTCGGCTGCTGGACATTGGTGGTGTCAAGCTGCGTCTGCTCGGACTGGGTGGTGCGGTGGTCATGCATAAGCTGTTCGACAATGGTGAGGGAAAGACGACGATTGCCGGTGGCCAGGGTACCATGTGGACTACACTGCTGCAGATGGGTGAGCTCATCGACACGGCCAACCGAGTCTACGACCCATCGGAGACTCGTGTTTTCGTTACCCACGCCTCACCCGCCCGTGAAGGGATGCTGAACCAGCTCTCCGTCACCCTGAAGGCCGATTTCTCCATCTCCGCTGGTCTGCACTTCCGGTACGGATCTTCCTACAACGAGTTCTCCGTCAACCCTTCGCTCGATCACTATCGCGGTAAGCTTGCTGCCTCAAAGGCATCTTTCACCGATGTTTGGGAGACCGTGCGGGGTGAGGTAGAGTCGGCCATCTCCTCCAACGAGGCTCAGAAGACCTTGCTGGACAACGCTTTGGATGTGGTGCAGAAGATGCCTTCTATTGCTAATGGCGGCAACCCCTTCGGCGGCCCCGTTGCCGCTGGAAATGCTGCCGGTCAGGTAGACGAGAGCGCCTTCAAGAACATGTGGAATTTCAACCTTGCGGATGCGGCCTTTGGATACCTGGTCCTGGAAATTGAGGGTGGCCGTATTGCGACTGAAATGCGTGCCCAGGGCTTCAACTTCGCCCACCGCAGCGGCAAGCCTGCGCCTGGTGGTGCTCAGCCCATTCCCAGTGCTTTGCCAGCTACTACCGCCTCTCCCGCCCCTACGGGTGCTGGTGGTCGTCCTGCGGCCTCCACCCCTCAGTTCGGTCAAGCTCCCCCTGTTCTCGGCGGTGCCGCCGCTGGTCAGCAACAGGGTCAGGCCAAGGCTCAGCCTGCTCGTGCCTCTCCCGCTCCCGTCATTCCCAAGGTTGCGAGCCCGCAGCCCCCCACCACCACCTCTGCTCAGCCCGCCGGCGAGGAGAAGGTCGCTGGTGCGGATGCTAACGGCACGATTCAACAGGAGAAGACTGGCGAGTCTCTCGCCCCTCGTGGCGAGAAGAAGCCCAGCAACGGGCTCTTCGTTTCCAATGTCGATAGTGAACAGAAAGTTCGTGAGCTACTCCCTGAAGAGGATCAGGCCAAGGCTCTCAAGATTGAGAAGTATGGCAAGTTCAACTACGTCGTGACCTTCCCGACAGTTGAGGACGCCAAGGCTGCCCTCGACCGTCAGCCCATTGATCACAAGAAGCCGACCACCGGTTCCGGTCCTCGCAAGCCTAACTTCAAGTTCTTTGAGGAACGCCCCCGCGGCCAGGGCAATGCCGGCACCTGGGGAAGCAGCACCCGAGGCGGCGCTACTGCCGGACAGCGCGGCTACCAGAGCGCCAGTGACAGCGAGGGAGCTCGTCGGGGTGGATTTGGCGGCCGTGGCCGTGGCCGTGGTGATCGAGGTCGCGGTGGCCGTGGCGGTCGTGGCGGCAGCTTCAAGAGTGGTTCGACTGACTCCCCTGCGCCATCAACTCCCTCTGGCGACAAGCCTACCCCCTCCGGCGGTGACTAGTAGTCACTGGAATTTTCACCCGGCCTTTTTTTCTTCGACTATCGCTCTTTGGAGTTGTCGAGGATGCTCGACCATCGTCCTCGTCTACACCCTTTCCCTCGTCATCTCGATTCTTTCTATGCCACAACATTCCCCATTTTCTCGCGTCATCTTCTCATTCCCCTGTGTCTTTATTGACCCTCTTGGATCATTTTCGAAATTCCCCCTGTCCTTTTTACCTACCCCCGTTCCGTTTTTAGCAAGATGGCGCTTTCAAGCTGTGTTCTGACTCGTTCATATTCCTCCCGTAACGTCTACCGGAATGGATGAGTTGGCGCTTGGCAACACAGAATACGTGATCGACTCGAATGAGTCTTGAGGATTGCGTTTGGTTTTGACAGAGAGAATGGAAGACGCAAGCAAAACAAAAATAATGCCAAAAAAACGTTTACCATCTGCCCATTTCCCCGATGTTTCTTGCCCCGTTTTTCTTTGTACTTTACTATTATCCCTCTTCTCTCTAGAAGAAACATCGATACCCTTACAGCTTCGGTTTGAGACGGGCAATTTAAGTAGCTTAGATTGTACTTCCAATGGCAGACCAAATGCCAACGTACCAAGATTGACGTATGCGGTCCGATTCTTGCTCTTTTTGCCCACTTTGATCCCACTTGGAGGGCTTAGGTTCATCGAGCTATGCACTGGGGCTCCCCTTCTCTCGCCAATCGCTGGGTGTGGTCCAGACAAGCTTAAAGAGGCACTCTAATTTGGACCCCACGTGGCGATTAAGCATACTAAAACTCTGATGCACCAAGCCACTGGCTTGGAAACTACGATTAGATCATGATTAGATAGAGAAAGTTTACCTCAAGACGGAACTGAATTTAAAATTCGTTTGTGTACAAGGATATACGCAATATCCAACTTCAAGGAGCGCAAGCCATCCCAACCTACCAAGGCCTAGTTAGATTCCAGTTCGCCCAAAACCCAAATATTCCCTTCCGTTACAAGAGGTCGACTTATGAGCCGCCTCGTCCAGGCGCCGTAGTATATAGCCAGATGTTGATGGTCGGTCCACCTGCATGACGAACCCCCGTGTCTCCATTCGCCAGGCTTGATGATGGAAGTGTAAAGAAAAGACACACGCACAGAAGATGTAGCAGGCAAAACTACTGGCAAAGAGAGACGAAGAAAAGAAAAGAAAAGACGGTAGATCAAAAAAGAGGTCGATAGAAATGGAAATAAACCAGAAGTTCTCTGGGAATCAAAAAGGACCAACGAGTGATACGCCATGGACATAATAATCAAGATTCAATCTCGAGTGCTGCGGCGGGTTCGGCTGGCGTGTGGTCATGATTTGGTTCTTGAGGTATAATTCATGACGCCGTATATTTTTCAAATGATATTCGATGATGGGTATGATTGGATAAAAATCGTGGTACAAATTCAATTGACGTGAGATGAGGGTTGCGTGAGTCGTGAAAAGGGTAGGACATGCCAATTTTTTTTAAAATCTCCAGCGTGAAGGAGACTTTGTGAATTGTTACTTGGCACGACCCATGATGTCATCGACATCACGTTGGTTCACGACCACGCCGCCCTCGGAACAACGAGCCTTTGTGCGCAGCTCGGAGCAGAGGTTGTCGACATCGATCTCGCCGTTCCGGAACTTCTCCATGGATTGTAGACGATCCCTGTGTGTCAAGTTAGTATAAGAGAATAAGAGAGAGAGAGAGAGAGAGAGAGAGAGAGAGAGAGAGAGAGAGAGAACGCCCAAGCGCAGGATAACATACCAGATCTTGGTACACGACAGCATCTGAGACTTGTCCTCTCCTGGAACAACTTCTTCCTCCAGTCTACTGTCGATTTGTGCAATCAGGTCCTTCTTGGGGGCTTGCTGGGTTGCCACCTGGGTGAGGTTGTGGGATGGGCTACCCAAGTCCGGCAGGGGGAAAGCATCGTTGAAGAAGGAACCAAAGTCCTGAGACAGGACGGCATCCTGTGGTTCGCGCCAGTCGCCGAAGAGAACTGGGTCAAACTGACCGCCATTTTGTTGAGCCAGCCAATCGAGCCCGACCGCGTCTTCCGTGGAAGTCGGCTGGTCACTGGAGACACTGAGGGACTTGGTCTTGTCCCGAGCAGCTGGGATGGGGTTATTGATGTTGCCGCAGGCCATGCCAAGTTTTGCGCAGAAAGATTCCTCACCATTGACGCCGCCATGGATATCGCACGTGTTACTAGAGTCGTGGAGTTTTGCCTCGGGCGGAGAGTTCAAGCTCGGCTCGGGGGAAGTACCATTCGACGAGAGTAGCTGAGAGTGGTGCGAATCAGACGAAGACGAGGGGGAGTCCGAGGTTGAGGTGTCATGCGTAGAGGCCCCAGACTGCTTGATATTGTTGTAGTGAGCCCTGGTGGAAGTAGTGCTGCCCGGAGTAGTACCGCTGGAACCAGCATAGTGAGACTTCACACTGCCAGGTCCAGTGGGGGTACTGGAGTTGGACGGGGTGCTAGAATTGGACTTGCTGGTGGCAAGCGTCGGCAAGCCGTTCAGACCATCCCGATTGAGCACACCAGGGGCACGAGGGGTCTGTCCTTTGTTCTTGGATTGATCGTTCTTGTTTACCTGGCCATTGAAGAGATGGGAGCCCGGCAGGTCACCAAACTTGGGGAAATCGAAGATGAACTCATTGTTCTGGAGGCCATACGCTCCCCGGGAATGAGCACTGGGAATGGCACTCATGGCTGAGATACCGCTACCACTAGTCATCCAGGAAAGACGCTTGCGATACTCGCGAAGCTCGACCTGGAGTCGCTCCACTTGAGCTCGGAGCAGACCATTCTCCTGGTTGGCGTTGTCCGAAGACTTTTGCAATTCGTCCACTTTGGTCTCCAGGTCTTTGAGGTGCTTCTCCTTCCGTTCCCGGAAGGCTCGTTGGGCAGCCCGATTTTGGGCCTTGCGTTTCTGTTTCATCTTGTCAATAAAACCCTACCCCTACACGTAAGTCGGTGAATGCCTACCGTGGTGGGTTCCGAGGTGAGGGGCTTTCGGCCGGGCTTCTTGGCCTCGCTCTCCCGACGCTTCTTGCCATTCTCCTCCGGGTCCACCTCAGAATTGCCATCCATCGACTTTCGCTTCTCACCGATGTCATACTCGGAAGATGGAGCGGTACCGGGCAGATCGCCAATCAGCTCTGCCGAGTGTGGGAACTCAAAGTCGATTTCTGGGTTGAAATCCAAGAATGGACTCTCCTCCTCCCCGAAGCCGAGGCCATTGAGTTGTGGGTTGTCGAACGCACCCGAAGGCGGCCCACTCATTCCGTTAGATGACGCCTGGTCTGGGCTGTGATCAGCTTTCATCTGGGGGGTGTGATGAGGTTGGGGCTGCTGTTTATGGGCGGGATTGTTGGATGAGAGAGCAGCAAGCAGGAGATCCTGCTGGCCGGGGGAAAGATAGAGCCCCTGCGGGTAGAGCTGATCGTAGTCGCTCATGATGATATATGGTGGGGTTTAAACGGGAATAGAGGGGTGAAATTGACAAGGGCTGCCAGATAGTAGTCGTGTCAAGAAGGGAGGAGGATAGGCGGGGGAGATTAAGTTGATGGAAATGACAAGGCTCGAAAGGAAACGAGGAGCGATAATCGGGCGGTCCGCCCGCAAACGATGATAGATGATTGAACTGAGATCAAGAGGATGATAGTGAGAGATGGTAGGATATTCAAGACCGACTCAAATCACCCTGACCCCGGGGAGAAAGATGCCTCCTAGCCTGGAGATCTGGCAGCGTAAGGGCGAGATAGGGCGGTTGGGGGAGGGGGGCGGAGGTGGAGGGGATTCAAAAGGAAAAAAAGGTGCAGAAACGGGCCTGAGGCTAGAATGGGGTGGAAGCACTAGCAGACTGACCCCCAAGTTCCAAGCCCAGAGATCGAGGCACTGCCCGGGGTGTGGCTAGGCAGGTCAAGGGAATTGTACGAAGCGTATGAATAGTATGAATGTTGTATGGGGGGTGTATGAAGGAATGTATGGGAAGTACGGAGTAGTATGGGAACGAGGAGAAGGGAAAGATGATGAAAGAGGAGGCGATCTCTGGGAGCGGTGGACAAACCGGCCGCTTCATTGGCCCGAATTCCGACCGCAGGTGATCTCGGATCATCGGCAGCCAATCAGCGTGTGGGGCAAGGTGGGATGGTGGGGAGCTGACTCATCCGGTTCTGGGCCTGAGGCAAAGCGTCGCCCTGTTGGCCTGCGTTGGCCTGATTCTGCCTGGTTCTAACAGACCTTTCCATGACGGACCCGACCTGCTTAGAAATCAAGATGCGACTCTCCCTTCGATCTTCTTCGGTGGGTTCGTTCTGATTCGCTGCTGCAACTGCGTTTCGACCTTTTGGTCTCGTTCTCCTCACGGCAATTTTCTGCACCTGATTTTTATTCCCGTTTCTCGTTCCCTGGATGGTCCGTCCAGTCAGACGGGTCCTTTTTGGCCCTCGTGTCCCCTTCCCCTCTATCTAGCGCCATGTTTCATTACGAGTGACTCATGGGATTCGTATACTCCGTACATCCATACACTCAGTTACATCTTGATCCTAGTCAAGAATGTCCACGAAATATATGCCAACATCACCGCTTGACAATACATCTCGACCCGGTTTTTGGTGAAGGGGTCAATATATATAGGTAACTACAGAGGGAAGGTCATAGTCACCGTCCCGTACGACAACGAGTACTCCGTACAGTACCTTAGCTTGCGATGCATTTCATCCATCGTTATCACTCCTCTGGCCAGGGTCTGACCCCACTCTCGGGTTCAAGCCAATGTCTTCGATCCTAGGATCAGACCATGACTCCAATTCCCATGTTCCATGGCAGGTCGCGCGGTTAGTTTACTTCCTCCATTCTTTCTCCAGGATGAACTGCTCGTGGCTCCTATTTCCGCACCGAGGTAGCCTCGATGTCAGCAAATCGTTCTGGAACCTTTGTGGCAAAAACGTGCTTCTTATTCACGCCGCCCGATCCCAGATGACGTTTTCACTTTTCCTACCCATTGGAACACGATCCGTATTTCCGTAATCTATATATGAATTACACGTGCCAAAAAAAAAAAAAAAGCAAAAAAAAGGACCGAGTTTGCAGCCTGAACAAAGACATAAGCAGACCCCATTTACTCCATAGTAAGACTCTCCGATCTCGCATGCAAGCCCCTCGTCGATCGTGGAGGCTTATCGTACCTGTCTTATCTCGTTCTTATCAGACCGGGGCTTGATTGAAGAGTGGCCGGAGCACAAAGTACTTTGTATACGAAGGTACGGAGTACAGTATCCTCCTTTATATTTCGTTCCAAGTACTTCAAAAGGCCTATAACAACAAGCAATTACTATCTCTGGAATCTCCGAATAGAGATTATTATTCAAATCTCATGATTATTAGCCTGGCACTATTCTGTATCTACGCTACACCAACATGGCCTCTCCAGATCACATGACCGTGCAATTTGGCAGGCCCGTCAACTTTCGCCGGGCAGGAAGTTCTCCGCACATCGCATATCCACTCATCGACTAGCGCCTGGAAGCTAAGAGATCCTGTCGAGACTTCTTCAATCTGTCGTCTGGTTGCCTTTGCCCTAATACCTTTTCTTCTACCCCAAATACCCCTGATCGTTGCCCACCATGTCTGACGTCGCCGCCTTGGAGGCCGAGGTCAAAGAATTCAAGATCCAGGTGAGTCTTCACCTCCTCTTGTCTACACTTCGTATGAATGAAAACCAGCCCAACTAATTGCCGTCATTCGCCCATTCTCTCTAGCTTGAAACTGTCCAATCTAGTTTGCAGGTAGAACCCGATAACACGGAGCTGCAAAGTCTCAAGACTGAACTCGAAGAACTCATAACTCTCACCGAAACCGCCATCGCCGAACTCAAACCACCCGCACCCGCAGCCAAGCCCAAGCCGAGCACAGCACCGACTCAGGAGTCATGGTCATCGAAAGACTCTGTCTCGCGCCCGTCACAGCCTACCCTCGATCGTGCAGACGAGGCCGCCACCACCGCACCCCCGCCAGCCGCCTCGTTCGCCGTCAATGACACCGTTCTCGCCCGCTGGGTTTCGGGCGACAATGCCTTTTATCCTGCTCGCATCACCTCCATCACTGGCTCCTCCAGCAATCCTGTATACCTGGTCTCGTTCAAGTCGTACGCGACCGTTGAGAACCTGACGGCCAAGGATATCCGCCCCATCGCGGGTAGTGACTCTCGCAAGCGCAAAGCTGATGGAAACCCAGGAAGTTCAGCATCCCCCTCCCCCGCTCCGCCGTCAGTCTCACACGCAAATGTGATCTCGGCAGCGGCCGATATCAATCCAACTCTTGCCAACCAAGCCCGCCAGGAACCTAGCAAGGTTGGGGATGCGTCCGCACGTCCTGCCAAGGTGCCTCGCAAGGTCAAGGCCAATAAGGAATTGGAGGCGGGCAAGAATAATTGGCAAAGTTTTGCAGCCAAGGGCAAGGGCAAGTTTGGGAAGAAGGATAGCATGTTCCGTACCGGAGACTCGGTAAATGCTCGAGGTATGTATTTGGTCATCCCCTATCGGATCGTGGAGCCAAGAGACAGCGGCTAACTCTTCTGATCAAGTGGGATTTACGGGATCTGGTCAACAGATGCGCAGAGATCCTACGAGGACACGCCATGTCTATCAACAGGCTGAGGACGAGGGCTATTAATATGGCAACATCGCCTCAGGCTCGTTGGTCGAGCGGTGGAGATCTCACAGCATTGGGCCCTCGGGCTATGGTTATGTCCTGTTTCTTTCCTGTTTCCTACTTCCTTCGTTTGGAGTACTCCTCATGTTCTCATCGCTAACTGGATCGGCGATGCAGATAAAGCCATCTTTTGTGTTTCTCGCCTAGCGGAGTTTTGTGTCCATAGATTATGGTTCTACCGGGGATCTCATAAGTTTTCTTTATGAAGTGATATCCATCATTAGCTGACCATCCTTTCATTCGTGTGTAGCATTCTAACTGTGATTTTCATGCTTCAGATCTGCGCGTGGTGCTATGGTCCCGTCCTCGTGGAGACGTACTACTTGGCCTGCGCTCCGAGCCTGCGAATGCTGGATCATTGCGATTTTCACTGGATATATTACTTGACCGGAGCTTCGGTAGAGCCCTTTCATTCTGCATCTTATCGAATAGTATTGCCTCAGTATTACCCGTATCTCATGGAAAGTGGAGGTATGCCGTGCTCAACCCGTTGCCCTGCTGTACAAAGCACATTAAATTTCACCAAAGGAGGCTAGTTCCAATTATTGAAAGCACAACCATATGACTGGAAGTCAGATGATCTCCTCAGAAACATTTCTCTCGGTCTCCCTCGTGTAATTAATGAATTGGCCTTCATCGGAGGCCTCGATGACTAGCAACAAAGTACCTACATTACCCTATATGTTCTTGAAAACCATGTAGGTACACAGACGCATGACGATCCATACGATCCATACGATCCATACGAGCCCGACAAGTAGGAACCTTTCTTGTGCCTGACCTTAGCGAGTAGTCCTGGCATTCCAGCTCGCCCCAGATGATCCTTGGAGTCTTGGCCGGACTGGGCGGGGCGCGGTACCCGCTTTCTCCTCGGTCCAGCCCACGTCATGCTGCCCTTTCCCTTGCTTCTGGGCTCTCTCCAGCTTCCAACTTCTTTGACAATTTCATTCCTATCTTCCCCTCAAACTTTTTGCATGTTAATGGAGGTTGTGGATGTGTAAAGCGCCTGCTACCACTATTCTCTGTGCCAGACTCGGTTTTGTTGGTGTTCCTTGCGCCTGCAGCGTCCGAGCTCGGCCTTGCGACCGGTAGAGCTGTCTCCACCTCTCGCATGAGCAGGTCTGCGAGGCCAACGATTGATAACGAAACCTCTGCCACTCATCTGGAGACTCGATAACTCGGACTAGGACCTGAGAGGGCACGAAGATATTTCAATCTGATTGTCGTACCGACAAAATGCGGCAATTGGGGTTTGTTGGAGCGCTCGTGGGGTTGGGCTTCCTTGCCTCACAGCCGGCACTGGTCGGCGCGCAGGGCGAGACCAAGATCCATGAGAAGGGCCGCTGCGCGATCCGTGGACACTGTGGGAAGCAATCGATCTTTGGCGGCGAGTTACCTTGCCCTGATAATGGACGGGCCCACGAACCGGAGGACGACGTAAGGCAGAAGCTGGTCGGGCTGTGCGGACCCAAATGGGAGGAGGGCCCTGTCTGCTGTCTCGATGAGCAGGTAAGATCATGATCAGTATATGGCTACGCCGATACGATCGCTAGTTTGGACAAAGTGTGCTGACCGAGTTCACCGTTTCGTCCTAGATCGACGCACTCTCGAGTAACTTGAAGCTGGCTGAGGGTATCATTGCGTCCTGTCCAGCCTGCCGCCACAACTTCTTCGACATCTTTTGTACTTTCACCTGTTCACCGGATCAGTCTCTTTTCGTCAACGTCACTCAAACCGAAGAGAATCGCGCGGGAAAGAAGCTCGTGACCGAGCTGGAAAACATATGGTCCGAGGAGTACCAGAGTGGATTCTTTGACAGTTGCAAGAGCGTGAAGAATGGTGCTTCCGGCGGGAAAGCCATTGACTTCATCGGTGGTGGAGCGAAAAACTACACCCAGTTCCTAAAATTCCTTGGGGACAAGAAGTTCCTGGGGAGTCCATTCCAAATCAACTATCACACTGAGCCCAGTGGTCCCGACCCCAAGGGCATGAAAGCGTTGTCTATGAAGCCTAAGGCTTGCAACGACGCAGACAAGGCGTATCGTTGCTCTTGTGTTGACTGTCCCGATGTCTGCCCCGAGTTGCCTGCCGTGTCTACTCAAGCCTCATGTCATGTAGGACTCCTGCCATGTCTCTCATTTGCGGTCATCGTCATCTACTCTGCATTCCTCACCCTCGTTATGGGACTCGCAAGCTATGTCACATATAAGGAACGCCGATTCCGGAAGCCTGAGCGTGTGCGATTGCTTCAGGACCCCGCTCCCAGTGATGATGAAGATGAAGGGGAGCTTGTGCATCGTGGAGGCTACTTGGAATCTCCCCAAGGTGTGTACAGGCCAAACTCCCTGTTGTCTGCGCTGTTCCGTCACATTGGCGGAGTTTGCGCTCGTTTTCCGGCCATTACGATCGTCTCCAGCTTAATTGTGGTGGTGTTGCTTAGCCTGGGGTGGTTTCGGTTTACCATTGAAACGGATCCCGTCCGTCTCTGGGTGAGTCCGTCCTCCCCAGCCGCCCAGGAAAAGGCGTTCTTTGATGAAAGCTTTGGACCATTCTACCGAGCCGAGCAAGCTTTCCTGGTGAATGAAAACGGACCGGTCCTGGATTACGAGACCCTTGTATGGTGGTTTGACGTTGAGTCTCGCGTGCGACGCATGATCTCGCTTGACAAGGGCCTCAACTTGGACGACGTCTGCTTCAAACCGACGGGCGATGCTTGCGTGGTACAATCCTTAACCGGATACTTTGGCAGCTCGATCTCCAATCTTGACCCCGACACATGGCAAGATCGGCTCCGTCACTGCACCGAATCACCGGGCGACCCTAGCTGTCTTCCTGATTTCCAGCAGCCGCTGAAGCCAGAGATGATCCTGGGTGGATATGAAAGCACCGGAGACGTCCTGGACTCTAAGGCGCTAGTTGTAACGTGGGTTGTGAATAACTTTGCCCAAGGAACTACTGGCGAAGAGAATGCTATCGACTGGGAAAATAGCTTTAGACGCGTCTTCGATGTTGTTCAGGAAGAAGCTGCTGAACGAGGTCTCCGCATTTCTTTTAGCGCCGAGGTCAGTCTCGAGCAAGAGCTGAACAAGTCAACCAACACGGATGCGAAGATCGTGGTCATCAGCTATGTGATCATGTTCGTCTATGCTTCTGTGGCTTTGGGGTCCGTCACTGTCACCTGGCGGTCTCTCCTGGTGAATCCCGCCAATGCCCTCGTGCAGTCCAAGTTCACCCTCGGAATTGCTGGTATCTTGATCGTGTTAATGTCTGTTTCTGCTTCGGTGGGACTGTTTTCAGCGGCCGGCGTCAAGGTGACTTTGATCATTGCCGAGGTCATTCCGTTCTTGGTATTGGCAGTGGGTGTGGACAATATCTTCTTGATCGTTCATGAGTTTGAGCGTGTCAACTTTAGCCATCCGGACGAAGAGATTGATGAGAGAGTTGCTCGTGCCGTCGGCAGAATTGGGCCCAGTGTGTTCCTGTCTGCCCTAACGGAAACTGTGGCATTCTCTTTGGGCGTCTTCGTAGGAATGCCCGCCGTCAAGAACTTTGCTGCTTACGCCGCGGGGGCCGTCTTCATCAACGCCATCTTACAGGTCACTATGTTCATCTCCGTGCTAGCTCTTAACCAGCGACGTGTGGAGAGTCTTCGCGCAGACTGCTTCCCATGCCTTACCGTTCGGAAGGCAAACTCGTTTGGTTTGCCAGAGGACCAGAGTTACGATGATCACGAAGCAGAGAGTGCGCTTCAAAGCTTCATCCGCCGGATATATGCTCCTTTCATCCTGGATCGCCGCGTCAAGGCAGTAGTTGTCATCGGTTTTCTGGGTATACTCACTGCAGGGCTGGCTTTGATCCCAGAAGTCGCCCTCGGTCTAGATCAGCGGATTGCACTTCCAAGTGACTCCTACCTGATCTCATACTTCAATGACCTTGATGCTTATTTCCGCACCGGACCTCCGGTTTACTTTGTTACTCGCAACGTCAACGTGACCGAACGAAAGCACCAGCAACAGCTCTGCGGTCGCTTCACGACCTGCGAAGAATACTCCTTGCCATTTATTTTGGAGCAAGAATCCAAGCGTCCGAACGTGTCCTACCTTGCAGGTTCCGCAGCTAGCTGGGTTGATGACTTTTTCTACTGGCTTAATCCCCAACAAGATTGCTGCAAAGAGGATGGAAAGCTTTGCTTCGAAGATCGTAACCCTCCGTGGAATCTCACTCTCTATGGAATGCCAACTGGACCCGAGTTTATCCATTACGCCGAGAAATGGATCGATGCACCCACCGATGCTTCCTGTCCTCTCGGTGGCAAGGCGCCTTACAGCTCTGCAGTCCTCATCGACAAGGAACATACCATGATCAACGCCAGTCATTTCCGAACGAGCCACACCCCCTTGCGAAGTCAGGATGACTTTATCGGGTCTTACATTGCGGCTCGTCGAATTGCGGATGATATTTCTCGAGAGCACAAGATCGATGTGTTCCCGTACTCGAAATTCTATATCTTCTTCGACCAGTACGTTTCCATCGTACAGCTGACTGGTACACTCCTGGGATCGGCAGTCGCCATCATCTTTGTCTTGACCTCCGCCATTCTCGGGTCAATTGCCACGGGTGCAGTTATCACCACTACGGTGGTGATGACCGTGGTCGATATTATCGGTACAATGGCCATAGCTGGCGTTTCATTGAACGCCGTCTCACTGGTGAATTTGGTTATCTGCGTTGGGATCAGTGTGGAATTCTGCGCGCATATTGCACGCGCTTTCATGTTCCCTCCGCGGACTCTTCTGGAGAAGGCTCCCGCCAAGTTCCGAGGCAAGGATGCCCGGGCCTGGACAGCACTGGTCAATGTGGGTGGCAGCGTGTTCAGCGGCATTACAGTGACGAAGCTTCTTGGAGTCTGTGTGCTGGCATTTACTCGAAGCAAGATCTTCGAGATCTACTATTTCCGCGTGTGGTTGGCCTTGGTGGTGTTTGCCGCTACCCACGCGCTTATCTTCCTGCCGGTGGCTCTGAGCTACTTTGGCGGTGGTGGTACGTAGACCCTTTACCCAGTCATTGATTTTTTTTATCTATTTTTTTCTACTAATGACGTCCAGGATATCTCGACCCAGTCGCAGATGGTGGTCTCGAGGCCAACCTCGCTTCGCGAGGCTACCGTTCGTTGATGGTCGATGATGATTACGACTCTGATGAATATTAAGCGCTACTTGCTCGACATAGGCTGTTTCTTTAACCCTTACCAAATTTGACTCTTACTTTCGGTTGGTCACGGACTTCTGCAGTAGTTGTTGTTTTGGGCTCGCTGGGCTCGCCAATAGACTGCAGCCACGGAGACAAAGAGCCGATGGAGGGAGGGTACAGGCGCTGTCAGAACAGACTGGGCGTTGTGGGGGAGGTTTGAGGGTAGCTTCCTTGTCCTCTGATTGCTTCGACTCTATGCTAGTATACACGTCCATTGGCATGTTTTTTTTCTCTCCTTTTTATTCCTTCGTATTGTTTGCCTACCCTTCAGGAGACCACACCGAGAAAACTCGAAACCCACCCAAAAAAACCCTATAGATCCACGACCCAAACTCCCCGTCACCAAAACAAAAGCTTACCATGCAAAGAAGAAGGAGGGACACTATTAGATTGTCATAATCACGGGAAGAATATCTCTCAGAAACGATGCCCAACTCCAAATGGGCCTAATGACCCAAGAAACTCCCAAGTAATCCTTGTGTGGTCCATTAGCCCAATAACACCGAGGGACTTTTTCCCCCCTCGACGCGCCTGATGTGGTCCATCCCGCCCTAAACCTATTCGGGTATTCTTCCCCCCCTTAACTTTTTTTTTTCTGCCGCGTCTCGTTCTTTTTTTTTTTCTTCTTCTTTTCTTCATCACCCCACCATCCTCTCCTTACTTTCTTTTTATTTCCTTTCTGTTTTTTTTTTTCTCCATTGTGATACCCCTTGAGTTGTTTGTCTTCGCCGACAAGCTGCTCATCATTGAATTGTCCTCTGCCTGAAAATATTCGGGGCTCAGGGACACCCCCAAGTGACTGTCACACGGTCACTCTACTGAAGAGAAGAGAGAAAGAGAAGAAAATTTTTGACTTGGTGATACCATAGTTTGATAATCAATCATGGATCAGCAACGATTCCTGCAGCAATTGCAGATCGTCCTTGATCGTATGTACCTGATAAACTCATACTGCAATATCGATTCGCGCTAACCCTTGCGTCTTGTCTGTTCCAGCCTCCCAGGGAAATGTCAAGGAAGCCACTGGCATCTTGCAAAAGGAGTTCTACAACAAGCCTCAGTCTCTTGTCCTCCTCATCCAGATTGCTACTGGCCATGAGGACCCCAACCTCCGCCAGCTGTCCGCCGTCGAGGCTCGTTCGCTCGTCCAGAAGCACTGGCTGAAGGTTGCCGCGGACCAAAAGCCTCAGGTTCGGGAGCAGCTGCTCCGCGCTACCATGGGCGAGAGCTCTGATCTCGTCCGTCACTCCATCGCCCGGGTCATCTCGGCTGTTGCCAAGATTGATCTCGACGATGGCGAGTGGGCGGATCTGCCCAACATCCTCCTGCAGGCTGCTGATGGCGGCAACAAGGACGAGCGTGCCGTTGCCATCTACATCCTGTTCACCATTCTGGAGACCCTGGGTGAGGGCTTCGAGGAGAAGTTCCAGGACCTGTTCACTCTGTTCAACAAGACCATCCGCGACCCCGAGAGCGCCGAGGTCCGCATCAACACTCTCCTGGCTCTGAGCAAGCTTGCATACCACCTTGACTCCGAGGAGAATGCTGCCCCCGTCAAGGCTTTCCAGGAGATGGTTCCCGCCATGGTCGCCGTCCTCAAGGATGCCATTGACCAAACCGAGGAGGACCGTATCATGCAGGCCTTTGAGGTTTTCCAGACTCTTCTCAGCCTGGATCCCGCCCTTCTGACCGTCCACCTCAAGGATCTGGTCATCTTCATGAACGAGATCGCCGCCAACATCCAGGCTGACGAGGACGTCCGCACTCAGGCTATCAGCTTCCTGATGCAGTGCGTTCAGTACCGCAAGCTCAAGATCCAGGGCATGCGTCTCGGTGAGCAGCTGACTCGCACTGCTCTGCAGATCGTCACTGAGCTGGATGACTCTCCCGCTGATGATGACGACATCACCCCTCCCCGTTCTGCCCTCGGTCTTCTGGATATCCTCTCCCAGAGTCTGCCCCCTAGCCAGGTCGTCGTGCCTCTGCTCCAGACTCTGGGTCAGTACTTCACCAACTCCGACCCCAACTACCGCCGTGCCGGTATCATGGCCCTGGGTATGTGTGTTGAGGGTGCTCCCGACTTCATCAGCACTCAGATGAAGGAGATCTTCCCCATGGTTCTCCAGCTCCTCGCCGACCCCGAGCCCAAGGTGCGCCAGGCTTCGCTGCACGCTGTTGCCCGCCTGGCCGATGACCTTGCCGAGGACCTCAGCGCTGAGCACGAGCGCCTCATGCCCCTGCTGTTCAAGAACCTGGCCTCCGCCATGCAGGAGTACAAGGGTGAGGAGGATGGCCCCACTATGGATATCATGAAGGCTGGCATCAGCGCGATCGATGCCGTTGTCGACGGTCTTGATGAGAAGGACGTTGCTCCTTACCAGGCCGAGCTTGTGCCCATCCTGCACGAGCTCTTCAAGCACCCCGACTTCAAGATCAAGGGTCTTGCTGCCGGTGCCCTTGGCTCGCTTGCTTCTTCTGCTGGTGACTCTTTCCTCTCGTTCTTCGACGAGTCGATGCACCTGCTTCAGGAGTTTGCGGCCGTCAAGGACAGCGAGGAGGAGCTTGATCTCCGTGCTAGCGTCACCGACGCTATGGGTGAGATGGCCGCCGCAGCTGGCCCTGAGCGCTACCAGCCCTACGTTGAGCCCCTCATGCGTGCCACTGAGGAGGCTCTGCACCTCGGTCACTCCCGCCTGAAGGAGAGCACCTACATCTTCTGGGGTGCCATGGCCAAGGTCTACGGTGAACAGTTCTCTCCCTTCCTCGAGGGCGTCATCAAGGGTCTTTTCGAGTGCATTGAGCAGGATGAGACTGACCTTGACTTTGACCTTGGTGAGGCCGCTAAGGATCTCATTGGCCAGGAGGTGATCGTTGCCGGCCGCAAGGTCAAGGTTGCCAACCCCGATGAGGATGACGAGCTCGAGGGCGATATCGAAGATGTTGATATCGATGAGGATGATGAGGATGCTTGGGATGACATCACTGCTACCACCCCTCTGTCTCTTGAGAAGGAGATTGCCGTCGAGGTTATTGGTGACCTCGTCACCCACACTCGTAGCTCCTTCCTGCCCTACTTCGAGAAGACCATCGAGACTGTGATGCCCCTTGCCGAGCACCCTTACGAGGGTGTCCGCAAGAGCACCATCAGCACCCTGCACCGCTCTTACGCCATGCTGTTCGCCATTGCCGAAGAGAGTGGCCAGATGCCCAAGTGGCAGCCCGGTCTGCCCCTGCAGGTCCAGCCCGCCAAGGAGGTCAAGAAGTTCGGTGAGATCCTCATGACGGCCACCATCAAGATGTGGGCTGAGGAAGATGACCGGTACGTATTGGTTTACTGTTTTGTTTTCTTTGCTTTTGGCCTGGTCTTTTACATGATGATTTTTCCGCTTAACCCAGCTCACTTTGACGCACCAAAGAGTGTGATTGATGCGAACGGCGATTCTGTATCTGATACTTGTTTCATTGCCCATGGCCTTGTTCTTTGCTGCTCTGTGATTGGCTGTCGATACAATTCATTTATACTGACTGATCGACCCTTAGTGCTACCGTCGCGGACATCAACCGCAACATGGCTGAGAATCTCCGCTTCTGCGGTCCTGCTCTCATTGCTGACGAGACCGTGCTCCACAACGTGATCCAGATGGTCACCGACATCATCACCAAGCAGCACCCTTGCCAGATGGAGTTTGGCCCTGAAGAGGAGACCCTTGAGGCTGGTGAGGAGACCTCTGAATTCGACTGGGTCGTTGTTGACACTGCCCTGGATGTCGTCTCTGGTATGGCCGCCGCTCTTGGCCAGAGCTTCGCTGAGCTCTGGAAGGTCTTTGAGAAGACCATTCTCCGCTACGCCAGCAGCACCGAGTCTCTGGAGCGCGCCACCGCTGTCGGTGTCCTCGCTGAGTGCATCAACGGTATGGGCGCTGCCGTGACTCCCTTTACCTCGGTCTTCCTCAAGTTGCTGCTCCACCGCCTGGGTGACGAGGACCCTCAGACCCGGTCCAACGCCGCCTATGCCGTTGGCCGTCTCGTCGAGCGCTCCAACTCGGATGCCGAGATTGTCAAGGAGTTCCCCACCATCCTTAGCCACCTGGAGTCGTGCTTGCAGATGAACGTGTCTCGTCTGCAGGACAACGCTACTGGCTGTGTCTCTCGCATGATCCTGCGCCACCGGGACCACATCCCTACCAAGGATGTTCTGCCGGTTCTGGTCAACATCCTGCCCCTGAAGAATGACTTCGAGGAGAACGACCCCCTGTACCGCATGATCTGCCAGATGTACAAATGGGAGGATGCGACCATCCGTGAACTCACCCCCCGTCTGCTCCCTGTCTTCCAGGCTGTTTTGACCGGCGATGAGGACCAGCTCGACGATGAGCGTCGTGCCGAGCTCATCGAGCTGGTCAAGTGGCTGAACCAGATGCAGGCGGGTGCTGCCCCCTGGGTTGAGCAGCTGTAAAGATGCTTATGACGGAATTGTTTTTGTGATGACCCCCTCCCTGAGGCGAACGATGCGTAATGGTATAGACGGATGATCTGGGCCCCCAAGATGACTAGACGATACCCCATCTTGACGGTGATTCCCCCGCGATGAATGATGAAAAAAAGTTGTCGTTGTACATAGTTCAATTGATTGATGATGATTCTCTACGAGAGTGCTGTTTCATATTCCGTATACCTGCCAAGTTGGTAACTTTGTCTAGGTAGTTGTATACTTGTACTATCTTTGCGTCGCACACAAATTCCATCGACCATGGAATATGTCAGCTTCGTTCAAACCGTAAGCTGAGAGGTACATTTGTATACTTCGTGTCACTGACCCTTTTTCATCGCGACCTTGTCACGTTAGCTCGGACCCCGTGACGTGTGTGGCGGAATCCCTAAACATTAACCAGCCTGAAGAAACATGGATCCAAGCGCCTATCGGTTCTGAAAATGTGATTGGGCGATGCTGTCAGGAGTGCAAGGAAGGGGGAGTTAAATGGCTGCCTGGTTCTCGAGGGGACGGACATTTCATACTTTCCATCCATTTCTTTCGGCCAAACCCTGAGCCCTTGTCCGCCCCTTGCCCCTGGTCCTCTTAACGGATTACCGGCGATCAACTATACGACGTCTTACTGCGTCTTACCTGAGGTCAGATCTCCAGGTTCATGGTTCATGAAGTACTTGCGTATTACCGATTTGCTGACGTCGTTCCAGGTTTCTTGGTTTCACCGCTAGTTAATAGCGATCGCGAAAAGAACGTACAAAGTAACACATTCATGATGGGCTCTTCCGTTGCATCTCCAATCAATTGGGTTCTGCCGTCGTCGAGCTCTGGTAGCTCTATCAAGAAACCGATCAAGACTGTGTCAAAGCCGTGTTTTGGTTGCGACTGCGGCGATGAGGAGTGCGATTGCTGTATCTGCACGGTGATGTGAAGTTCCAGAGGAGGGATGATGGGCCGAATCGAATCGACTTTTCCTTAATGACCGAGGGCACCGATGAGACGTTTAATGATGTCAGATTTTAGGAAGATGGTTCTGGGCAGTAACTTGTGAATGGCCGCGGTCGCGATGAGGACGAATATCACGGCCATCTACTTGGCTTGACTAGCAATAGCGAATGCTTTTTTCTTTCTTGTTTCAACGTCTTTCTATTTCCAGCCTGGATACTGTACTTCGCAGGGTGTCTCATCTGTGATCCTTGCGTTCTAAATGATGAACTATATACCCTCCGATCATGTTGTGGCGAGTCATGGCTGTCTCTCGCCCAGCTGCTGTCTATACCCGAGTACTTCCTGTAACGATCTGTGACAGATCTGCTATATTGCATATTTTTATACCTTAGTTTCCATGTCATATAGTTTCCATGTCATATTGACAACCCGTGGAAAGCACCCCAAATAGAAGCTCAGTCCCACTCTCGCAATGCCTCCCTCCCCACGAACCCTTGGAAGAAAAGAGTTCAGACTCCACGGATCGGCGCCTTCCGCTGACTCAGCGCCTTCCAGCACTTCCGCCACAGATCGCCTCCGAAGCTTTTGGAGATCTCCATGCATTCATCAGAAGAAGGAGGGCCTAAGCGCACGGCGCGCGCCTGCGATTCTTGCTATAAACGCAAGGTAAAGATTTCCGGAGGTGTATTCGGAATTATGTGCGAGACTGACTCTCCTAGATCAAATGCGATGCCGCCGTGCCGCAGTGCAACTGGTGTAGCCACCATAACCTGCCGTGTACTTTTGATCGGGTCATTCAACGGAAGAGGAAGACGGGAAATGATGGAAAGTGAGTGTCCACCACCCAATTTGATCTACTTCTATCTCGCTATTGTTATTGCTTCTTTTCATCTCAACTTTTCTCCTTGGCTAACAATTTCGTGTAGTCGGCCTAAAGCCTCGCGGCTGTCGGAGCGTATCAGCCGCATTGAACAGCTACTGGCAGAGAATTTGATACGAGATTCAAGTCCTGGTAAGCTTTTTGTCGTCTTCAGACGAGCTTTTTTTTTATTTTACGGCCATAGCTATGGCTATCATCGTTCTCTCTAAGTCCAAATAGCCCCACCAGATCCATCAGAGACCACCAATGACTACTCAACACCCGGTAGCTCCCCGAGTACTGTCAGCAGCAACCCACCCCAGCTATCATATTCACTGGGAGTTCACTTTGCTGGTCGAGAACTGGGTGTGATTAGTCTTCTGACGGGAGTTCCGTTCCTTTTGCCTGAAGGGCAAGCTTGGATCCAGTCCCGCACCGGACAGACCATTGCCCGCAACAAGCTCAGTCCTATGCCTGCGCCATGGGAGAAAGAGCGCGCACAAGTTAATAAAAATTTGTTGATGAGTCTGGCGAACCAGAACTTGTTCGACCCTCCCGACGAGCGTGTCGTACGCCTGTACTTTGAGGCCTACAGAAGCTCTGCTGTTTTCCGACGGCTCTTTCCGGTCATCGACTGCGATTTATTCGAAGAGACTTTGCAAGCAGCTTACCAGCCACAGAGCGGAGGATCACGAGAAACCAGTAGTCGAGCCTGCGTGACTGCTTTCCTCGCTTTTGTTTGCCGCCTGCCCACCGTCAAGGAGCTTGCCCAGGAGACTCCTGTTGATCACGAAGCATTAGCTGGAAAGTGTCAATTTTTAATATCCCAAGTGTTGCAAGAACCAGCAACCCTGGATGCCTTTCAGACTGTCACTATGATGGTAAGAACTCTTGACTGGCCTTGTCCAATCAGGAGCATATTGAGAAGGCGGCTAATTCCGTTTCATTCCACTCACTAGACGCTATATGAGCTTGCTTCGGGAAATATGAGAGTGACAAATTATTTGGCAGCAGTAGCCGCACGCCAAATTTTCATGTTAGGGGCAAACGTCACCCATCATCGAACGTCTCCAACCAGTGAGCGCAGCCAAAAATGCCAAAAGCAACTTCGCAATCTCTTTTGGATTTGCTATACCCTGGACAAGGATGTCGCCCTTCGCACCGGTCAACCACCTGTCATCATCGACGAAAATTGTGATTTGACCCTACCTGAAGGATACACCGATCGAGCCTACAAGGACCCGGAGAAGGATGAACACTTGCTTTTGGAGCCTATCTTTCCTTTTGATTTGCGACTGAGCATGATCAAGTCTCGGACCCAAAGCCACTTATATTCGGTGAGCGCTATGCAAAAGTCCGATGCCGATTTATTGAAGTCCATACGAGAACTGGATGACGAGTTGGAGGCGTGGCGGCTATCAATTCCTCTGCAATGGCGTCCAACCATGTCGTTCTCGCAAGAGACCTCCGATCCCAATATGAGCATGCATTCGGTCATGTTGCGGGTCAACTACTATCTCTTAATGAGCGTCATTCATCAGGCGAGCAGTCGGTGCAAGGCGTGGATGCAGGGCAGCGGGATGATGGATGGGGTAAGCTCGAGTCTCGCGCTTTCTGTGGAAGCCAGCCGGTCAACCCTCTGCTACTTGGGAGCCGCACAAGATGTGTTGGTGGAGGGAGTTTTCTGGTAAGAGATTCCCTAATACTTTCTCTATATTGCAAGTAGGCACGCCGTGGACTTCTTTGGCTAATCAGAACTTCTCTCGACTTAGGACTTTAATATTCTACCCAATGTCCGCACTGCTCTGTATATTTTGCAGTATTCTCCAGAACCCACTGGATCCACGCTCTCGCGATGATTTGGATCACTTGAAGATGGCCTCTTTCATGATGGCTGGCTTCTTCTCCAGAAATCTACCCGAGAACGAGGTTGAGCATTTGAAAATGGTGGCTGAGTTTGTCACTGAACTGAAGCGGCTAGCTGAATGTGCAATTGACAAGGCATGGCGAGAGCAGAGCGGCAGCTTACATTTGACATCATGATGGGGGTTTCTTCCATTTTTTTTGCCTGCCTGTTATTGCTTCTTTGCTCATGGGCTGGGTGTATGACTTAGTTAATTTTGGTACCGCGTACGGCGTCGAGGGATGCAGGATGTGTTACAACCGGGGAATATGGCGAAACGATAGAGGATTGGGATTGGGGGGCACAGGGCTTAAGTCTTGGGGCAATCTCACCACGATACTTTGCTAAAGACATCACTGTTTTCGAAGCACTAATAAGTTCCCGAGCAGGACTTGGGGCTTTCTAGAATTGTTGATGTTTACTTAAGACTCTTGTGCACGTAGTTGAAGATGCACTCTTCGAGGTCTACGAAGTGGATCCAGGGAGAGAACGAACGCTAGCCCCGATTGGGAGTGTCTGGGGAAGCTATGTAACTATTCAAAGGATACATCATAATATCAAGTTAACGGGCCAGAGAACTGATTTGAGACTCAAAACTGGCGTAGGAGAGGTATTATTTGTAGGATTTAATCATGAGACTGCCTCATCGATGGTCTATACTTTAGGGATGTCACCCCGGTAGTTCATTGTGACTGCCTGAGAAGTGGACCAACTCTAAACTCGGAGTGATTCCTCACAACGAGAAAGATCATGCCAGAAGGCTTCCACATAGTCTGCGTATGAGGAAGTAGTGCTGCTGCCGTGGTCCTCTTTCCGCAGGATGCTACCTTAATTTTTGGTGATTGCCGCTCCCAGATGAGCAGATAGGCGTACGGCTTTGTGGCTCGGAGGCCACGGCTCTATGCCTGGTTTGTTCACTTGATTTGTGTGGGCACGACATGTCTTTCGCAGTAGGTAGCGACTCGAGTAGCAGCTTTCGGCGTGAAGCTCGAGTCTTGGTTGGATTGGTGGGGATTGAGTTGCAAAGACCAGCTTTGGTTCCTCAATTCACCTTGTCGAGGAGATCCCATACCAGATGTGCATCCTCAACTGAGCGTTTAGCTGCCGCCTTCGACTCGACGGTGTTCTCAGGCCGTTCGGCGGAATTGACCCCACTCCCCTCGGCCTCAAGTTGCTCCATTAAGCTCTCGATGTCTGATTTGACCTTGTCCATTTGTTTGATTTCCTCTCGTGTGCGCTTCAGTTGTTCTTCCATCATCATGATGAGCGACTCGCGCGCCTGGTGGGGGCGGTACAGGTTGAGAAGATGGTGGGCATTGATGAATAGATTGCGCAGATCCTCCACCTTGGACTCGAACTGTTCAGGTGATATGGAGAGGATGCCGACAAATTCTAGGAAGTTCAACAGGAGGGATTTGCTAATCTTCAGCAAGTAGTAGGCGTGGTTGAGGGGTTGGGCAGGCTGGGAGAGGGCTCGGTCGGCTTCGGAGGAGGGTTCTGGGTAAAGCTGCTCGATACCTTGATCTTTCAAAGATGGTAGAGTTGTGGAAAGCTTTTGTCATCTGAAGTCAGCGAGATTGTCTCCAATTGGAAAACGTTCACAATTTAAACGCACTGTCTGCGGCTCGCCAAAGACGGTATATTCCCCCGTGGGGATCTCGGGCGGCACTAGAAAGCGCAACTCTGGCGGAAGGTCCAAAGCACGTAGTTCTGCTGGCGACCATTGCTTTTCACTGGCGGTAGTCCCGTCGTTCTTCTTCGACACTTCGGCCTTGATCTGGTCGAGCTTATCGAGATTGTCGCGGGTAAAATGCTTCCACAAGGGCGGCGGAGGCGCAAAGGCGGTAGCGACGGCTCGTTGTTCGTTGGGGTCGGACATGATGCTTCGTCTAGTCTGCCAGAGAGTTGGCGATGGGGGTTATTATCGAGGCTGATCAGCGACAAAAAAGAACTGAAGAGTCGAGCAGATGTGGAGGTGGAGGTGAAGGTGAAAGACGAAGGAATGCGGACGGAGCTAAGTGGGTCTGTGCTTGCAACGCAATGCGCTTGGCCGCTTCATCACCTCCTCTTCGGTCCAACCTGGGAGCCTTGACGAACACGCTCGCTCTTTCTGCCTCATGACGGGTGGTTGATACCTGTTTTCGAGGATCCTCGCGAGTTTTTCTTACGCAGGATGCCTCTAAATAATCCGGGATCTCCATCCCAACCCATCCTGCATCGCGCCGGACTGGTGGGAGCGGCCGCTCGATTCTACCAGCGCTCGTATGCGGCCGATTATATTGCACTGGGCTTCCTGGCAATGGGATGGTTGCTGGTAGGTCAATTGTCCTCTACTTTTATATGATAGGCATCGTTCCTAATTTCTGTCTTCTGGCTTAGATCCAAGTCTTTGTGAACCCGTTTCATCGCATGTTCTCCCTCGACAACAAGTCCATACAATACCCTTTCGCCGTCCAGGAGCGAGTTCCAGTTGGTACGCATCCTCGAATATCCTTCCACAGGCCCAATCTATACTCATCAGTCGACTAGTCATGTCCGTCATCTATGCCGGTGTCATTCCATTCCTCGTCATCCTCGCCTGGTCGGCCATGCTCCAGCCCGGCGTACACAAGACGCAGGTCACTATGCTAGGGTTGGTGATAGCTCTGATGTTGACCTCCTTCCTAACGGATGTGATCAAAAATGCCGTGGGCCGACCTCGTCCAGATCTGATTTCACGGTGCAAGCCTTCTCGAGGCACCGCAGACAATGTACTGGTCGCGTGGACAGTTTGCACCGAGTCCAACCAACATATTTTACAAGAAGGATGGCGCAGTTTCCCTAGCGGCCATAGCAGCTTTTCTTTCAGTGGATTGGGTTATTTGTCTCTGTAAGCGTTCCGATCAAGTGATCAAGTCTACTGTGGATGATAGCCTGCTTACTTGTTTAACAATAGATTCTTCTCTGGTCAGATGCATATTTTTCGACCTCGAACGGACCTCGCTCGGTGCTTACTGGCGTTCTTCCCGCTGCTATGTGCCGCACTGATTGCCATCTCTCGTCTGGATGATTACCGTCATGACGTATGGGATGTGACCGTGGGCTCGAGCCTGGGAATGCTGGTTGGCTGGTTCTCGTACCGCCGCTACTACCCGCCCTTGCGTTCGGTTCGTTGTGATGTTCCCTATGACAAGGCCGATATTGCTGGCCCAGAGGGATTCAACCGACTAGATGATGAGGAACAGGCGGTTTCTAGGCCGCTAGTCACTCGCCAGGGCTGTGGGCACGAGGAAAGCTACCAGATGCAGCATGCGGAAATATCGAGTGCTGCCTGAAGAGGAACCGTAGAGACATCGTCGCACTCGTTCCTGTGGCGAAAACCTTCAGTGATGGGGCACGATACGCCGTACATGGTATATAAGTTATACTTCACATCAAACATATCTTTGATCCATACATAGGTTACATAATAATTTCAGGCATGTATTCACTTGTAAGTTCAATACACCGGACACCACTATGCCCCTCTCCCGAAGCAAATTTCCTTGGGAGGCACTATATGATAATCAATCACTAGTGGTCCAACCAACGATGGCTCCATAGCTCTTTCAAAGCATGGGCTTATCTATGACATGATCCATAGTAGCCAACTATTCATAACTGAGATGGCACAGGCCGCTGGTTGCAACAAGAGCACCATTTCGAGAATCTCGTCCAACATAGGAATGTTTGGTAGCGTCAAAGCACCGAATGGGTCAGCAGACTGGAGAAGAGTGGATGGAAAAAGCACGAAATACATAAGCAAAGCCTCCTCATCCTTCCCCTACACGTACACCGACATTACCAGGTATGTATTCCGCATCGATATATCTTCGCACCCAAAGCATAGAACTGGCCACTTCATGTTCTCCTGTGTGTGGGTTATCTTCACCCTATGACGGTCAGTGTGCGACGACCGTTCTGGCCCTTTTTTGTGTCGTGTTTTGCTTTCTGCCATTTCAACCACTCGGCGATGTGCCAATACGGCCGGCTCAGTTAGCTTTGTTAGCGATGTCCAACATCTTCCTTGAACCTAGGCTAGCTGTCCAACGGGTAGAAGGGGCCGCATCTAAATGTTTGGGACCAGTCGGTTTCCGGGTACAGCAGTGCTGGGTCCGCCCAGTCAGAGCGGAGCTCCGTCTCAAAGTCGAGTTTGAAGGGGTATTCGTGCGTGAAGATGTTGGTGCTAAACTCGACGGTGTTAAAGTGCGTGTCCGTGAGTGTAGCTACCGAGTCGACGGGAAGTGCAGGACTAAGGCTAAGACAAGAGCTGGTGCAGCTTTTGTCGCCGCTGTTCAGGTTGTCTGCCGAGACTGTGTTCTTGTTGATGAGGATTCTCCCAAAGTAGGGGATGGCTACGGCGTAGTCATCGTCGGCAACGTAGGCGCCGTGCCGTGCCGCGTTGACCAGATCGAGGATGCGAGCGGCCTGCGTGGCGACGACACAGTCCATGATGGCGACAGTACGCCGCAGACAGAGGGACACGTCCCCGACGAGCGCCCAGTCCTGCTCTTTGGTGAGTGGTGTAGCTCTCGCGGGGGATATGAGATGTCCTATGATAAGAACCATGGCTGCGCTAAAGGCTTGGAAGTCCATTAGCTCACATAGGTCTGCACCGGCGCCCGGCCACGTCCTAAAATCGGTGTATGCTCTCGTCGCGCCGCGCGCCGCCTCCATGGCACGGTCCCAGCTATGCATGAACTTGGATTCGTCCGCCGACTTGAGCATGTACGGCAGGTGCACGAGCTTAAGGGTCGTGAAGAAGATGAGCTTGCTGGCTTGCTGGTTCCAGCAGTCGGAGAGCGACATGTCCGGTGCCAGAGGGAGCCACTGTTCATCTGGGAAGAGGCGGTATACCTCTTCCATGTCCTGGTCGATCTGGACGGTTGTCGCATAGCTGACTGCAGAGTTGTGCGCCTGGTCGCGGTCGATAGCCTTCCCGCAGATGACTGCCACCGACCACATGATGCGGCTCATCAACGGGGCGGAAGGCGAGTCGGACGACGTTCCCGGGTGGTTTGCCGAGACGGACGTCGGCAGCCCTAGCATCAGGGCCAAGAACCGTTCCGAGTGCCAGGACGTGGACCACGCATACGCGGCGCGCATGTTCAGCGCGTCCGCCTTGCCGGGGAGGCTGCAGCTCACGGCTGTGGTGATGGCTTGGCGACACCAGTACCACGCTTTTTGGGGCCGCCCCATGTTGATGTACAGCTTGTACAGCATGTTCATGCCCTCGATGCCATCGATGGTCCCACCACACTCCGCGTCCAGCTCCAGCAGTGACTTTGCTATTTTCATGTACATGTCGACGAGATCGTCCTGGGCATAGGCAAGGCTCACAGTGGACAAGACGCTTCTGGGCGTCTGCTGCACGCAAAGCGCTACCCACAGAGCCGACCTTGCTATCAGACCTGGCTCTGTGGAGCTGGTGACTACTGTGGCCAGGATCTGTCGCGCCAGCTGCCTGTTTCCGGGTCCCAGGACGTCGGTTGCCAAGGGCTCCCCGTAGTGGTATGGCGGCCATATCGGCCAGTACTTCTCTGTGGCTTCCAGAATACGGTCAAGATCATGCGTCGACGGGAGCAGCGAGACGAGACTATGTCGGTATTGAACCATGCTAGACGCAGTTAAGATGTCCAACGGCGGTGGTATCGTAGACGCTGGCCCGTTGTCTCTGTCCAGTAGTGAGGCGCCCTTGAATAGAAGCATCAACGGCGAGTTGTCGACGGCCGAATCCTTTGACGGCTCGACTCCCCCGCGCGTTGCTGCCGGCACTGGCCTCCCACCCACGGCAGATAGTGCGGTCGCCTGTGAGTGCGCGGGCGTCGTGGTGGAGGATAGGCCGCTGTAAGGATCTCGTCCACGCACAACAGGCGCATCGTCTCCAGCAAAGTCGGAGCGGGGGAGCACCGTCGCATTCGGAGGAAGCTTGTGGACAATGGCCTCGAGGTCTCGTAAGCGCCGCTTCAGAGCGTCAACCCCGTCGCTGGGCACTTCACGGCCTCCGGTCTGCTGGGCGATGCAGTCGGTCTCATGGGCCAGACATGCCTCGCAGGCGCTTTCGCCTGTCCGGAGGATGCAGCGGACTTTTCTTCGGCGGCACTCCGTACAGCTTTTGGTGCCGAGCCGCATGCGCTTTGTGGGCGTCATAGTAATGTGCATAGATAAGAGCGTGGTCCCCCTGTGTATATCTTCCTTGATGCAAGCCCCGCGCCTTTATTACGTGGGTATCGAACCACGTACGCTACCGCGGTCGCTTAAAGGTAGAACAGGGAAATAGTAACGACCTGGATATTCTGCATTCGTTCGTGGGCTTGTAATTGTGCGAGACCTCGCAGCAGCAGCGTGTGTGGCAGAAAGGAGCGAGTCCGTTTAGGATTCGCTCGAGTTCGGCCGAATGCGGGGGGGGGGGGGGGGGGGGGGGGGGGGGGGGGGGGGGCATCGGTATCTTAAAGTCCCAAATTCAACGGCGACATTACAAATTAACACGGCAGTGTTGCTGTCTGTCTCTCTACTTGAATGGAATATTCAAAGCCGCTATTTCCTGGGGAGAAAGAATAGAAGTGTATCATATCCGCTGTATCATCCCTAGATGTCCCGTTCGTCCAAAGGCTGCAGATTACGAGAAAAAGAACTTGAAGTTGACACCTGAGCAGCTCTCAATCAAAAGTTCTCTTCACCCGGCGATACAAAATGAATAATTTTGACCCATTATGAGCATAGTATACACCTGCTTCGTGGTATAAGACAGCTACTTTTGACCTATAGAGTATTAATCCACTCCAGCGCAGTCTCGGGCTCAAGTCTTTTGGTATAATCTGGATCAACAAAAGTCTTTCGCACAACACCTTTTCCATCCACCAACAATGACGCTGGTATGGGCAACTCGAAGGAATCATCGCCATTGCCCTCAATGAGATCGTGCCCCAAAGTCTTAAAGACCGGTCTCAAGGTCTCGGGCATCTTCCACACAATACCTAATTTCCGTGCATACTTGTTGCTCGTATCAGAAAGCACAATAAATTTCAAACTT